CTTATCTTGTAGAATGAGATGCATTGCTTGATTTACTTGTTTATCTATTTGCTATTTTTTTTTACGATGAGTTAATAATTACGCTTTTATTTGCAATTCTACTATTGGATTCAATCCATGAAGTAAATGAAATATTACATATAACCAATTTGATTAATCCAAAAAACTTAATTACTTGCATACTAAAGTCAGTAGGATTATAACAGTTCTAGTGCCTAAGCATCACGCTTAGTTAATAAAGCCTCTTCCAGACCTTAGATAAAATCTTGTAGATTTAATGGTCCCATAAAGAGAAAATGTATTTAATTATGAACATTATGAAAATTTGATGATTTCCCCTCTTTATTCTCTCATCCATGTCTTTCGTTAATATATTTCTTTGTGATGTTTTTTAGCATTTTTTTGTTTCATTCTCTCACCACGTGTATATTTTTTTCATTTCTTTATCCCTACATTGCCTCTTTCTTCATTTTAATTTTTATTCCCCTAGTTTTTTTTCTCCATACAAAAATCTCTTCGTTTTTCTTTCCTTTCTATGAACTGAGCATTTTTACTTACTTATACAACATATTTCCCTAAGCAAATTATAAATGACATATTTTTTGAACTTGGATGACATGAGATATTATGGTTGTTGCATTATTGATCAATGATGTGAACACAATTACTCAAGACCAACACAAGCTTCATCAACATAAAAAAAAAAACTCAGCGAGCTTATAATGCATTCCTCATTTTGCTGAACGTCAAGGCGTATTTGATGCGTGGGAAAACCAATGAGATATAACCTCCAATAGCGCATGCATCGACTTAGATATTGTCTGTTGTTTCTCAAACTTTAAGCATACATTCGTCTTGGAACCGGAAAATAAGATTGTTGCGATTGTTGGGGAGAAACTGAAAAAGCGTGTGATTCATCACAAACAGAACAAAAGCCAGCCATTTCTATTTCAATTCATATTTTTTTTTTGTTTATTTGAAAGAGAATGAATGTTAAAAATGTTACTGTATTGAACCCAACACATTCAATGATATTTGGTACTAGATGAAATGTTGGTCGGAGACTAGATGCGTGTCTTATCTTCTTCATTGCCTTGACAGTTGACACAAGGCAATGTTTGCAGGATTTTTTGCTCGTCATGTTTGGACAATGGATGCAATAACACACCCTTTGATGCAACTCGATCCGATGGCAACTGGGTGTTTAAGATGTCTTATATTTGTTGATGACCTCTTTCAGCTTTCTAAGGTTCCAAACGAAAAAACTACATCCATTATAACTAGAGTTGTCGAAAGTCGACCCGGCTGTAAGTTTCAATTGTGTATATAGTTGATGTATATTTGTTTAATCAAATATTTGTGCGTATCCACACTAAAGTTTCATATTGGAAGAAGAAAAAAATACATCACAACTCTGCCTTATTAATGCAGACTCGCCTCTTGTGCACATTAACTTTGGTCAACATAGTGCATTAAATGTACCCAGCTTGAAAAGTTTCTATGAGAAGTCTACAAACCTTCAAGATGGAATGACTCCCCTGAGAGCTATTTCTATAGTCATGGTGTTGTTGCAGAGGTATCCAAAGTTATGACAATTATGCTTTATTTCATGAATCATATTAAAATTCGTGAATCGCGAGTCTCTTAATTGTGATGACGTAGCAAATGTAGAATATTTGTGTGAAGCATATCACACATAACACTTGATTTGCTTTAAAATAGTTTGTTATTCTCTATGTGACGAGTACTTCCTGTTTAGATATGAGTGGAAAACACATCACGAAGAATGGGTTCAGGCAGATAAACCGAACATGTCTCCTCAAGTCTCTGAACATATTCTTGCAACAAACATCCTCACATGTGATGATGACATACAATTGTTACATAAAGTAAGAACCAAGTTGCGTACTGCTATTCATACTCTCTTAAATGTATGAATTTCCTCCCTGTAGTTGAATCTATAATCCGACATAACAAAAATTAATTTGATGTTTAACTTAAACTAATTAATATTAATTACAGCATCTTGATTCTTAGGATGGTGGGATTCTAGTTTTCCCCACCGTTTCTCATCCCCACCTAAGGTTAATATGGAAAGGGAGCACTCTGCCGAATCTTATGATAGAACATTGATCCTGTGTAGCATTAGGTACCTTAATTATCATGGCCGAAATGCCAGTTAACGTCATATTCTTCCGATCATTGTCTCGTTCATGTGCTTTCATGGAGCATACAAGTTTTTTCTCGATGCAATATTGTTGGATGTGTATTGTGTACCCAACTCTTCAAAGAGCATGCAACTTGCCTTCAAAGTCATCAGTCGTGTTTCCTGCAGTTAGTGCAAGTCTCGAGGTTGCTAAACTGTTGAACGACATGGTTAGGCTTCTGCATGTCTATTATGTGGTTCATATCTTAGTCTCGAGGTTACACACATATATAACATTAATTTGTCAACAAAGAAGATTCGTTTTTTATACAAGGCAATGCTGCATGTGGGGGTAAACAATTTTTCAGAGCTACCAAACACTATAATCACGCTATCCAGTTTGATGGCGCAGAGCCCAACTAGTACTGAAAACGAGCAGCATCTTTCATGGAATTTTCATGGTAGAAAAACAATGTGTACAATAATAAACTGAATATCTCTCTACCGGGGGGAGGGGGTAATGGAAGCTCTTTTACGAACTGTGTGTTAGCATTTGGCAGCTTTCCGGAAGTTGACGACGATTGCTCATCGTCAATAAATTTTGGCGGTGAAAATGTGATGGTGAGCTTTTAATATTCATTGGGAGAAGTCAATTCTGATCATTATTGAACCCATGGCTGGTTGCTGTAGATAATGTATGCATTCCTCATTTTTGCATAACGTGAAGGCGTATTGATGCGTGGAAAAGCCCGAGAGATGCTTATCCAATATGAAGATGCTCTGCAGGGCAAGGTTGCCATGGTTTAACAATTAGTGCTGATTTTTTGTTTAGTGAAGTGCATGCTTGAGGACTGAGATTTGCCTGCTGCTGCTGCAGATTTTAAGCATGCACCCATCCTGGAACCTGAAAATAAGATTGTTGTGATTGTTGAGGAGAGACTGATAAAGCGTATGAGTCGACGATAATTTTTATATATATGCATTGTTTCCATATATGTATAAACCCTTTAGTTAGATGTTCTTCTCTTGTCGGGTTTCGATTTTGGTTTGAGGGTCCCAAACATTTCGCGTTTCGTAGTTTCTAGTTCCCGTTTCACCCTCTGGAACTGGGTTTTTTGGTTGGTTTGATGGTTTCCACCAGCCATCAGCAGCAACAGGTAGAGGAAGCAATGAGGAAGAGTTTGTGATACTGACGAGTGATTTGGACCTGCACGAGTGTTGCGAGATACTCAATTACGTCGGGAAAGAGAGCGCGAAGCTCGTCTTTCGAGATGTGCCCTTTGTAGCTGGGAGTTCTAGTAGCAGTAATTGCTTTCTGACGTGAAGCTCATAGCGGTCTGTACATACATAGTCGTCTATGGTAAAAAAATCGCAGGCAAGATAGAAATACCTTGTAAGGTTTTGTTATTGTACATGGACATCATCACCCTAGTTTTAGTTGAAAAGAAGGTAGTGCCAATCATGTTGGAAATGAATGTCATTTCCTCCCCATGTTTTGGTAAATCATATATGTACTTAGTAGATAATTAAATATGTAAGGTTAAAAGCTAATTTTGATCACCATAGTCGGTCTTATCGAAATTGAACTTGTATTGAGACAATTAAAGCATTGAACTCGTATCAATACTCAATAGGTCAATGGATATAATTTTCTAACTAGTTCAACTGATATATGTAATCTTATTAGAATAAATATTCATAATTGCACTAAAATGTTGAAGTTTTGACATAAAATGTATGGATGTCGAAGTACCAAATTTACACGGACTACCGAATCTAAAATATGAATGACAGTTCAACTTAATCGTAACAATGCAATGAAAGCTCAATTCATTTAGTCTGTTACATGACTTAGTTACCTATAATTATAAGGGATTACGGTGTACGTATTTTGTATTGACCGACCAACAAATATCCATTGATTATAACCGTTTAAAAAATTAGTGGACCAAATTGCAAGTTTTCCGTATTCTTATGTAGCTTAAGAGAAACTTTCCGCCTTTACTTTTCTCTCCTTTGCAAGGGCTAAATTACACGTTTAGTCACTCAAATTATACAAATCTTTCACGTTTGTCATCCGAATTACTTTTCTTTCTTATTCACCACTAATTTTACGAATCGTTTCACCGTAGCCACCGGCCGTCCAATTCCGTTAAAATCATCCTACGTGGCAGTCAACCAAAGCCTTTGACCGTTAGTTTGATGACATGGCAATTAAAAAATATTAAAATGTATTTTTCAAACTAAATAATAATATTAAAATATAGTAATTCCTAATACAGAGCTAGAGCGCAGAGATTGAAGGCAGCCTCTTCTTTGGCCCTGGGTTTTTTTTTTCCAAAGAGAAATTGAGGCCTCTTCAATTTCGAACACCTGTGGACTCTTCAGCTTGCCGAGGAGCACTTCCACCACCGGGACAATTACAGTTTTGTCGGTCTCAGGACGAAGCGTCGCGTGAGGAATATCATCTTGGTCGGGTCGGTAATTGGAGCGGGAGCGATGAGTTGAACGGATCTTGCTCGTCAGTGGAACATGGAGATCCAGAGCGGCCTCCCCAATTTCCAATTCCTACTCCCAAGGCTTCTATACTTACCCCATTTGTCCCCCAGCCTCGAGAAGAATGTCGGAAAGGTCGTTCCTGAGAAATGGCTTCAATTTATTTAGGGTTTTGAAACGAAAAGGGAAGAAGAGGAAAGGAGATGCTCGACAATGATGATTTGATCGTCTGTGCGAGCAGATGAAAAGGAAAACTAGAGTTTCTAGCTTGGGCTCGTAAAAGAGGGGCAAGCCCATAACAAGTTTAATCAACTTAAAAAACAGAACCTTGGGCCGGGTTGAGAAATTGCTACGAGTCTTAGCAGGTTTTTGTTCTTAGCTTGATATAGCACGCTAGAACAGAGCAAGACTCTGTATTGCAGATTTCACAGCCGCTGATCTGCAGCACCCTGTCGTCCTCCACTTCCACCTTCACCTCCTCCTTCTTCAGCCCCGGCAGGTCCGCCTTGAACACGTGCGCCTCGGGAGTCTCCTTCCAGTCGATCCTCGTGTTCACGAAGGCCGTATTCTCCCCGCCGCTAGGGATGAGAGCCGACGAGAAGGGGAAGTTCGTCGAGAAGTCCCTGAAGGGATCAAAGGCATCCAGGGCGGAGAACGGATCCCACGCGCCGCTGCTGCTGCCCGGGCGGTTCCCGAAGAAGCTTGGAATCAGCGACATCTTTTCTGTTTTTGTGAAATTGGGGGGAATGAAAGAAATTGGGAGCAAACAAAAAATGATTTTATTTTTATGTTATTATTTAATTTGAATATATTATTTTTTAATTGCCACGTCATCAAACTAACGGTCAAAGGTTTTGGTTGACTGCCACGTAGGATGATTTTAACGGAATTGGACGGCCGGTGGCTACGGTGAAACGATTCGTAAAGTTAGTGGCAAATAAGAAAGAAAAACAATTTGGGTGGCAAACGTGAAAGATTTGTATAATTTGAGTGACCAAACGTGTAATTTAGCCCTTTGCCCCTTTGCAAGGGAAACACAACTGAGCAAGCAGTTATAGGCTTATAGCGGGAGAACAAAAACTGGGAAATGGAAATGGAGGCTTTTGAGTCGCAGACGAATCGAAGATAGTCCGTCACCTTGTTCCTTCCGGCGAAGATTGATCGGGGGTCGATTGATTCCGTTTTTTTCCAGAGAGGATCCGTGGAGACAGAGGGGAAGATCGGAGAGAGAGATCGGCGGCTGAGGTAAAATTTGACAGTGTGCTTCGCAGTTAGCTAGCGGCGATCGGAAGTGGAAGCTCGGGAGCCGGCGTCGTGGCATCGTGGCTCGGTCACTGAATCTCACTGCTTTTCTCTCGCTCGCCGGTGTTTCGAGGCCTCAGGGTAACTATTTCTATGTCAATTATCTTTCTCCGGTTGCTCGATAATACAATGATTCGCGAATGTGGAGCAGGAGATGCCGGTTCAGTTTGTTTAATAGAGCTGCTGAGGTCTCTGCCTGCATGTTTAAGATCGAGTGAGGTCTAACTGTTGTACGGCTGCAATGCTTCCGGCACAGAAGGGCGATGTGTTTGTTTTAGGCGAGACTTAGGAGCCAATTGTGATGCTATAAGAATTTTCTAACCATTGGGTTGTTGGTTTCAACTTGTTTTTGAAATTCTTTTTCCTTGCTCAACTATGTGATGAATGTGGATCTGCTATGACTTAGTTGATGAGAAGGGTGGCAAGCTTTGTTTAATTTTTGGATACTGTCTTTGCTGGGAAGTTGTGTGTGGCAGTATGAACAACAGGTCCTTTCTGCACTTTGTTTATCTGATTCTGCTGATTTGCTTACTTCATTGAAATGTCATGTTCAGAATCTAGATGGCAATGTTAGCAGCAGTTTGGGGTGGTTGATGTCTCTTCAGTGATATTTTATCAATCTTTTGTTCATATTTGAGGTACTCATAGGTTGTTTGTATTGTGTCTATCACCAGTTTTTTTCTGAGGACTCGTTTATGATGTTTCAAAAGGTGTAACGCGGACCTTGAGGGCTGTCAATGTGATACATTTGACTTAGTTTTGGGTCAGAAAGGCATAAAAAACGGTGGGAAGGAGAACAAACAGAAAAGGAAAGAGGGTAACAGTGGTGCGCGGCTGCCATGAGGAGCAGCAATGATGGTAATTCAAACTTGGATTCGAGATTCAGCCAAACCCTCAAGAATGTTCAAGGGTACTCTTCCTACATTTTAACTTGTGGCTGTACATATATTGTTTTGATTTAATTGAACGTTCGGCCTCAGTTCCTTCTCTAGAATTAGGAGATATATGTTCTTTTTACTCTTCTAGTTTTCTCCATTGTGTTTGTTTGCGTTTTATATTGACCATCGTACGTTCTGTTACTTAACCAAGGGGAGAAAGAGAAAAAAAATTATTGAGTCATTGGAAAATGAATTTCCTTAAAAGGTTGGCTAGATCATTCTTCTAATATTTCCCCCCTGTTATGTCTCTATGTATTCAAGGATGCTCAAAGGACGTAGTATTCCGGGTAAAGTCTTGCTAACCAGGAGGTCGCCAGCAGAGGAGGCAAGTTTACAAGAATATTCTCCTACCTTTCAAAGAAGCTTTTCTGAAAATGATGCTGGTACAAGCAATCGGACTGACACATCGAAGGAAGTAAGAGTTACACAATTGACTTGCAATTTTCAGTTATTACCCTGATAAATTCTTAGTCTATCATGCGTAATGCAATTATCCAATTGCTAATTTGCTATCTAAATGAGGAGACTCTTCTTTGTCGTGCAGGAGGATGAGTGGACTGCAAAGAAGCCAACTAGTAGTTCCATTGCCAACAAACTGAAACCTAGTACCCCCAGTATCGAAGTTTCATCTGGAGAAGTTCAGAAGTCCAGTGTGGGTGCTAGAGCTACCAATTCTGCAAGAGTTGCAAAGTTCACCAAAGAATTATCAGGAGCAACTGTAATGTTAGGTATGTTGAGGTAATTCTTTGTCTAATTTTTGAGTCACTACCCTAAAAGTTAACATTCTGCTCGGAATTGAATTCACAAGCAAGATTCTTCTTCCAATGTTTAAATCATAAAATTACGCATGACTGCTATAACATGAGAGGCATATATGCTTCAGCAAGTGGATAAGCTTTGATGATTGAACTAACATGATGGGAGAGATCTTGTAATGACTGTAGTTAGTCCATGGAGTACCCCCTCCTAGATCTTCACTTGTATTGCATCATTGAGAAACGAGAATGATGCAATGACTTCAGATATAACTTATCTTGTGGGGATGAGAGTTCCTTCATCCTTGAAAGCCAGTGTCTGAAGTGGTAATTTTATATGTGAAAATTGATAAATTACTCTTCTTGAAGAGCTTTGTACAAACAGCAAAACACACTTCTTTCGTACCTTTCTGTTGTTGGTTTCTCTATGTTGCTTGTTCTAATTCAAGAGAAGACTCTTTGCTCTTCCCGTTATAGTTTGCAGTTCTGCTGCTGCTAGTTTTGTCATGAATTTAAACTCACTATTCTCCTATATTCCACATTTATCTTCATAATAATAACTTCTTGGTTCTTTGAGTTTCAGCTTACTTTTAAACATCTCCTCTGACCATACTGCTCAAATTTCATGACCTAATTCTCCTTATGCATCTGATCTCTGTATAGATAAACTTCGTGAGTTATCTTGGAGTGGTGTACCTCCATATATGCGCCCAGAAGTTTGGAGGCTTCTCTTGGTAAGCTTTTTATGCAAATTACTGGTTGCCCTTCTTTTAGAAGACAACGATACTATTATCTCCTTTTTCACATAGTTTCCGTAAGGTATTGGGTTAGCTAGTGGATATATTGCATCTGGAAATTTGCTGTGAACATAATTAAGCTTCTAATATCTTCACCATCAGTTAACGCTATGTGTACTGGTGGACAATTTGTGGTCCATTTATACCTATACTGCTGGTTTCTTAACTGGTGGTACTTTGCTTCATGAATATAGGTTTTTTTGCTTGTTTTAATAAAATATGAATTGACCACAGGGATATGCACCATCTAATTCAGATAGGAGGGAGGTAGTTCTGAGAAGGAAGCGGCTGGAGTATTTTGAATGCGTCGCTCAATTTTATGACATCCCTGATTCCGAACGTTCAGATGATGAAGTCAACATGCTTCGCCAGGTTTTGCTTTTAATCAATGGATTTCTGTTTTGATTTTAGATTATCCTTCTGGTATAGCTCTTAACTATAATATTGGGTTCCTTTTGTAGATTTCTGTTGACTGCCCAAGAACCGTGCCTGATGTTACATTCTTTCAGCAGCCACAAGTTCAGAAGTCCTTAGAGCGCATTCTGTATACATGGTTAGATATTTGTGCTCTTCCAAGTTGCTTGTTTGGCAAACGTATCCCTTATTTGTGCTCTTCTCCACAATCTAATTGCAGGCCCAAGAACTGTTATATAGCTGCTTGATTGCTGCAGTTGTACAAAAATAAAAATAAAAAGTTGTTTCTATTATTTTTCTTTTCTGTTTACAGATGTGCTCAATTTTGCGGGCTAATGTTCTAGAATCAGGTTGGGTTGTGAAAATCGAAAGCCAAAAAAGTGAGGGGCTTTGAAATTGGGCTAGTGCGTGTATCAGCTTCATTTTCATTTTCATTTTCTATCTTAGTGTGTGAAGTGAGAAAAGGAATAAACAAAAGAGAAATTATGAAAGTGGTTCTGTTACAATGCCTCACCTTGAGGATCAAAGCTACTCATGTGTTCATCCACTGTCCTTAAGGTTGTACCAGTACCTTAATGTGGTTGAAGTTTTGTTTTTGGATTTTTGTCGAGTTTCTGTTGCAATATATACTTTGTTGGTGTGATTTGTAGTGCCTGTGGTGGTAATGCAGTCTCCCTTTGAGGTTTTAAATTTCTTTGTTTCTTTGTAGGGCTATTCGGCATCCAGCAAGTGGATATGTTCAGGGTATAAATGATCTTGCCACACCGTTTCTGATTGTTTTCTTGTCCGAACACTTAGAGGGAGATATAGATAGTTGGTCTATTAGTGATCTCCCTCTGGAGAAGATCTTCGATGTCGAAGCCGATTGTTACTGGTGTCTGTCAAAGTTACTGGATGGCATGCAAGATCATTACACATTTGCTCAGCCGGGGATACAGAGGCTCGTGTTTAGGCTAAAAGAGTTGGTTAGGCGCATTGATGGTAAGTTCTTAAACCCAAGCAGCAACCGTAATTTATTATTAGAGCTGCCATTAGTTGTTTATATGGTGAAGGTTTTCTTTCACTTTAATCCAGTAGGTTTTGGTGCTTAAGATTTGCACTCATTCCTTGAGGATATGTTTTTGTTTCCATTTTTACACGATAAATGTTGTCAATTAGCCCTCATTGAGAGGAGTCTGTTTTTGGAATTTCTCAGAATCCCTTTCAGCACACATGGAGGAGCAAGGGCTTGAATTTCTTCAATTTGCATTTCGGTGGTTCAATTGTCTGTTGATTCGTGAGGTTCGATCACTCACTTTTTTTGCCTTAACCTTTGATTATTGTATTATCAGGCGTTTCAATTGCATGTTTTGGTGAAATAGGAAATGACCTTTAGAAGCAGTTTAGAATAATATCCTTGCTGCATTGCTATTGTTTTTGTTCCAAAGTGCAGCCTATTGCTAAATATGGTATGTTCCTAATTCACAGATCCCTTTCAATCTTGTTACCCGACTGTGGGACACGTACCTTGCTGAAGGAGATGCATTGCCCGATTTCCTTATCTACATTTTCACTAGCTTTCTTCTGACGGTGAGTAAATAGCCTGACTCTGCACTTCGGCACTACACTTGATTCATGGTTCTGAATGTCTCCCTTTTCAATGATGAGTTGTTTTCCCCCGTTCTTTCTTGATTCTGAAACTGAATTTATGAACAATGATTCCTATGATGTTAGAAAGTTAGAGTCACTGCACAAAGATTTAGCATACTCCATTGATCATCGCCATTAAGTTATTGCTTCTGAATTGGTTTTGCAAAGTCTTGCAACGTATGAGGGAGGCCAGTCACTGACTACTATTAATATCTGTATGTCCGAGATTAAATCCGAAGTAGGCAGCTTGCTGCAAAAAATAGTTGCATCTTAAACTGCAGCATGTAGGGTTAAATTCTGTCGTGGGTAAGAATCCAAACGATGAAACCTACTTCTGCATGTACACCCCTAGTCTCTTATTCTTCATGCAGCAATGCTCCATTGAGAGGATCATTTCTGAGTGTTTACAGCGTGTTTGCAGTGGTCGGACAAGCTTCAGAAGCTCGATTTCCAGGAGCTGGTAATGTTCCTCCAGCACCTGCCGACCAATAACTGGACGGACCAGGAGCTCGAGATGGTCCTCTCCCGAGCTTACATGTGGCACAGCATGTTCAACAATTGTCCCAGCCACTTGGCCAGCTAGGACTGCGACGACTACGTTGCGATCTTGTTTATTTCCCTGAGCGCTGATTTGCTTCCCTGAGCTACAAGGGGGGAAAAAGAAAAGAGTTCCATAGTAATGAATGAGAGGCTTTTTTCCGGTTTGTGTGTGTGTTCTTGAAAGATTAGAGAAATCATCCCAAAGTTGTGTATTGCCCTTCCGTTTTTTTTCAGTCTCCCCTCAGGTGTCTTGCTGTAATATTTTTGTATCCTTCTCTTGTACACTAAAAACTCAGTTCTCGCTTTGTATCGATCTAACAGACGATCGAAACCATTCAAACTTGCTGTGCCATACCCATAATAGAATTATCATCGTGATCATAAGCTTTCCGACTGATCAACGGTTATTCCCGCTCTGAGTTCTTGCAGTCGAAGTGACTATCAGAATTGAAGAATGTAGTGTGCAAGTAAGTTTTGGAATCCGCATGTCAATAGGACTACTTCGGTCCCTTAGATTTGGAATCCGTATGTCATTAGAGATCGACAACATTTATCCCGTCACGTTTTTCCCCGTTTCAGGTTAATTTCTTACGTCATCCATTCATATATCTCCTATTTTGACTGTTGTTCAACTAGTTAGACTTGATCTTACAATTAGATAGACTCAATTACCCATTATATTATCACTATTATTCATTCATGAAATCATTTCCCCTTCGTTTTATCGTAAAAAATAAAATTTTGTGTGTATTTTTTTTCAAATACCATGTAAGAGTGGGTTGACCCGTCCCGCCCCGTACCCACGCGGGTATTACCAGCCCTCGACCCGTAGTAGCGTGGGGAGGGACATGAGTATTGACTATTGAGTTACCTGCCCCGCCCGACCCATTGCAATCACCATATATGCAATTAACCCATTCAAGTGCTAATCCCAATTCCAAGATTAAAGCCAATGCTTGGAACTTAGAAGTTGTACATGTGTTGGGCCGAAGTTGTTGGACTATTCCAAGAAAGCAATAGATCCGCTCTCCCGCAACCTATTCAGCATATCCTTCGTAGCAAAACCCGTTGGAACTTTTAATCGGCATTGTTGTTGTTGTTGTTGCGTAACACACTCGAACTCAGTATGGCGTTTTTCCTTCTATGTAGTATTCCATTTATATATATGCCTAATAATTAATATTCCTTTCGGCTTTCGATCATTGTCCACAGATAAAGAAAATGGCTACCGTTCATCCAGATCATGCTACCCTCAGGGGCGGAGCTAGGTAGGCTCTCGGCCCCCCCGAGAATTTTGAAAGTTACGTGTAAACGGTGTGAGCATCTCGATATTTTCGTATAAACTAAATAATAATTAAATATCTTTTAGTGCACCAATATCACACAATAATGGTTAGTAGTGTAGCGGATGTAGAGTTTGCTTGTTGTTGCTAGGTCTGTGGTTCGAAACCTACTGCAGGTAAATTTTAATTTTCTAATCAAATAGTTCCTTTTTTTATAATAACAGTTTCCTTTTATTCAATGGTTTTCTTAGCTATTTAAATAGTTCCTTTTTTTTATAATAACAGTTTCCTTTTATTCAATGGTTTTCTTAGCTATTTATTTTTCAATTATGAAAAAGAATGAGTTACATAATAATTAATTAGTTTGTTTATTTTCTAATTTTATATTAAACATGTCATGGTGTTAGTGTATATCTTATTTTGACTGAAAATGTAATGTGTTATACTACATTGAATTACATTTTAATTGATTTTTATCTTAATATATAATCTTAATATATTTTGAATCTATCATGTTAGAAATTTGTACTTTAGATCTCGCAATTAGTTACTTTAATTATTTTTAAAAAAAGTACAGTTGTAATATTATTATTTATCATAATTTTAATTAATTTTAACGTCTTTTCGTGCTTATAGATTAGGAAATTCGGCCCCCCGACGACCAAATCCTGGCTCCGCCCCTGGCTACCCTGGCAACCAGAGCACGTACTTTTTACTGGCGCCTCCGGTGGACGGAAAAGCTGCAAAAGGAGGTCACTCGCGTTGCAAAAGCCATGGACGATCTTCTGAAAGAGATCGAAGCCTGCGGCGGCGACATGAACGAGCTCCTGGCGTTGCTGACGAGGCACGAAGCCGTGTTGAGCAACTTCCGTAAGCTCGCCGCTGATCTTTCTTACCACTGTCTGTGTGTTCTTATAACGATTATTTCGCGATATGAACCTTCGCCGAAGTAATTATGGATGAATTGTGAATCTATATGTACGAAAGTAAGTTTCAGACCGTAGTGGAGCAAGAAATTCATGAAAACAACATTTAAGGATTTGGTCTGATGATAATATCACTAATTTTATTTTTTTTATATTGCATATCACTAAATTCAAATAATACCTAAAGTAAACCTATAATTAAAACATATTTGCATCAAAAGAGTTGCACGTTTTTATTTTATTTTTCAATATATGTGAGAATTTTTTTGCATTAAGACTGGACAACGTGATATAGAAGTCCTAGCCCAAGGCGGGCCAAGGAATATGTGAAATCCAAATCCATCCCTTTTCTTAAAAGCCAAAACGGAGCTTCTAAAGCCCAATAAGTATACAATGGGCCTGGCCCGCTTAACCTTACGCCGTTGGAGGATCCGCCGAAACGACACGTCGTCCCCTCTCCGACTTGCTATTCTCCGCAAACTTGAGGCTCCCTAAATGCATCCCTCTCTCCTTCTCCTCTTCGCTCCACTCCGCTCCATAATACAACTCCTCGCTCCCCTTCTCCGAATCCTTCGTCGCCGGGAAAAACATGCTCCCCCACTGCGGGAAATGCACCGCCGCCACCGGCAGCGTGCAGGCCACGATCATCGCCCCCATCAGCGACAGCCCCGCCGCCGATGAGTACTCGGACCTCGTGAAGAACAGGTACTGGGTCAGCCCGGACCCGAAGTTCCCGCCGGCGCCGGTGAGGCCCGAGATGACGCCGAGGGAGCGGCGGGAGACGAACGGGATGATGCCGAACGTGGCCCCGCAGGCGGCCTGGGCCCCGATGGAGAACAGGATCATGAAGACCACGGAGGATAACAACGTCTGGGCCCGGCCCAAACAGATGCAGAAAAGCCCGCCCAGGGTTTGGAGGATGTAGAGGGTCCAGAGACGGCCCCGCATCCCCACGTGCTGGGCCGCCACGTCGGATAGGAGGCCGCCCAGCGGGCGGGCGAAGATGTTGGCCATGCCGAACGTCGCGGCGATTGTCCCCGCCGTTCGAAGCTTCAAGTTGAATCTATGATCATCAACGGTGATTAATAAATAAAAAAAATAATTATGTAGGGATTATTAATAAATAGAATATATAATTAAGTACCTGTCGAAGAAGTATTCAGCGATGACGTTATCGGTGGTCAATTCGACGCCGAGGGACATTCCATAAAGAATGAAGAAGATCCACGTTCTGTAATTTGTGATTGCACACCACAACACCTATATAGAGTAACACAATTAATGAGATTACTATGATCAATTTAATTAAAAGATGTAAGTATTTAACTCTTATCCAATGTTTAATTCTGATTGTACATATATGAAAACGATAAAAACAAGAAAACAATTGTATCATTGTCTCTGTAATCAGCCATATCCCTACACGATTAGCATCATAATTTAATATAGACAGCAATTTCATTGGTTCTATCAAGAACAATGACACGATTTATTAACTTATTTTTTTTGAAATGACAAAACATATAATTGTATGGAATTTGTCAAAAGACTAGTTTTTAAACCTTTACCTTGGGCAGTTTATCCTTCGCCACGTCGCCTTTCCTCTGCAAGGCGCCAAGGTTGCCGTCGGGCAAATCCTGGCCCAAGCTCAAAACCAGAATCCCCATCGCCACATGCAAAACCCCGGGGACAAAAAACGCAATCCTCCAAGCAGTAAACGGCGTCGCACCGCACCTCCGAATCACGTCGTAAACCAGCGGCATCACCAGCTGCGTCACCCCGCCGCCCATATTCCCCCACCCGGCCGCCGTCCCGTTCACCACCCCGACGATCCTCCCGCTGAACATCGTGCTCATCCAGTACTGACACGACACGAACGTCGCCAGCGAGAACCCGATCACGAACCTCACCGCCACGTAACTGCAACAGAGAGAGCGTTATAAGATCCATAAATTAAACAAATGATTATAGGTATAATATGTCTCCTCTAGTATATCGTTTTATAAAAAATTTCATTCTACTATTTTTTACATGACCCTGTACTTTGAAAAAGTTATCAAACATGTCCATCTGTTGAAATTTCCATTGACAACAAATCGTCAATCATGCTTGAATCGAGATTTAGACGACCCGACATCGACAATTGAGAGGGAAAATGTTAGTTTTGTCCCCTGTTTTATTAGAATTACTTGGCTATATATAAAAAAAAAACTCTAGAGTGAAATTACTAGGGATATTCTGGACATTCGTGTCGCCCAAACCAAAGTTTGGTCATGGTTAACAGTTTTTTGGATGAAAATTTTAACAAAATGATAATGTTTGATCATTTTTTCATAATAAAGGGGCATGTTCGATGTAAAAAAGATAATAGATGACCATGTTCAATAAAACGTCATAGTAGAAGAACACGTACACCTATAACCCTTAAACAAATCTCCTAACAATTCGAGTTATCGGACCAACGATATTACCCTGCCGGGGACTCCACCAGCGCCATGCAGAACACGGCGGGCGCCGTCAGCATGACGAGGAACGCGGCGGCGTAACGGGGCCCGAGGAGGTCGCAGGCGGCGCCCATGACGAGGCGGGAGAAGATGCTGCCGGAGACGGAGGCGATGGAGGCGGCGCCGATGTCGGGCTTGGTGAGGTTGAGGTTGTCGCGGATGACGGGGACCAGAGGCGCGGCGGCGAAGGTGGAGAGGAAAGTGGTGAAGAAGGAGAGCCAGGCGAGGTGGAAGGTGGACATGTGAGGGTGGGAGATGGTGAGCGGGTTGAATGTTTTGGACTTGTGTTCGGAGTCCACCGGCACGGCGAAACGAGGGGACTCCGGCTCCGGGAGCTTTGCCGGCGGGGAGGAGGCGCCGTCGTTGTCGTCATCGTGCTGACTGGCTGCCATGATTGGATGAGGTGGAGGGATCCTTAATTAGGGTTTTCTGCACATGGATATAAATTAATAAGGTATTTGTAGGAGGGGGAAATGAAATGTTAGGGTTCCAAATGGTGCAGTTTTTGAGGAGCATAGTGATTGATGGAGATGGGATTTTTACCCCTTCGAGGGTGCTAAGAGATCATCCATTAAAGTAATTTGCTTGTACAGAGAAATTTGGCCTGGCTTGCTTATACACACTTGGTATTGCCGATTTATGCCGTACGTGCATGCTGCCAGACAAACGTAGATCTCAAATTCCGATCGGTCATCGAATAAGGGTCCCCCATCAAACTTACGTCCACCGCCCCACACCGAACCAGACTCTGATACCACTTGTCGAAACTGGGCAGCCCATTAGTATGATATTGTCTGCTTTTCGCCAAAGTCCGAACGGTTTTATCTTTGGATGTCCTCCCCAATTAAAAGGCCTCGTACTAATTGGGTTAGGTGGACTCTAATATACAAGGGTTTGTTCTCTTTGTATTACCGATGTGATACTTGAATTGTACCCTAACATTACCACGTCCGATTCACATTCGCGTTCACATTTATTAGACGTAATTTGAAATAATTTGACGAATCGGAATCGCTAGTTCTGATTAATCGATTAAATTGATCTTAAGGTCTGGGTTCGAAAAATCGGGAGTTTTTCGTCTTCTATTTTCTTACTTAGATATCAAGTCGAGTCGAGTCGCACTTAAATTGGAGTGGGGTTGGCTCCATAGTCAATCTGATGGGTCTGAATGAGTTGAGGTTGGTTGCTAATTCTTCGATTACAGCGACAAATGGGGGTTCTCCTTTTCTACCACCAATTTGCATCTTGGCAGTTTCCCTATCAGTTAAAGGAGTTAAGAACTTTAAATAGATTCTCCAATAATGATGAGCAAGTTGAGGTTCTCTGGTCTGGTGGGCTACTTGATGCTTTCCCCTTTGCTTTGCTTTGTTGCAGCGATGTCTCTGTACTAATAACTAGGGCAGTGTTACACAGCTGACAATAATGTTCAGAGCAAAGGATAATATTATTGGAGGTGGAAAATATATAGCAAATTGGTATTGTAGTCCTAGGACTCGTATTAAGGTAAAAAAAAAATCGAAATTTACAGAGCAAAGTTTCTAATTTCTACTTTCTACTTCGAATTATTGTTAATGAAAGCAAGCCAAATAACAGTACAATCCATCAAATATAGTAATGAAGTATCCACATAAGATCCTTATTCTTCAAAAGTTCCACGTAGATAAAGAAAGAAATAGAAAGAGTGCTTTATTGCGTGGCTTATAAAAAGAAGGTATCAAGAGCACTTCTACTATGCTATATAGTATTGGTGCTTTAATGTACAATTTAAAGTTGTACCATAACATTAAATGTATAAGTTTAGGTTGTACCATAAAGCAATTTGTACCCTTATATTATGGTACAACTTTACAACTTGAAGTTGTACCATCACATAAAGGTACAAGTTCAAGTTGTACCATAAAAGAATTTGTACAAAAAGTATAGGTACAATCTGAAGTTGTACCATAACGTAAATGTACAATTTTAAGTTGTACCATAAAGGTAAAAACCTATAGCACCAATACTATATAGCATTGTAAAATTTCTCAGGTATCAAACCTTGGCCCAAATAAAGGTTGACAGGGGATGTATCCTGGAAATTAGAAACGAACAAGAGCGTCGATTTGGGTATGAAAACGTAGTTTTCACCAAATAACGAACAAAGGGACCAAAAAAGGGTGAAGATTTCTGATTTCCTCCTAAAGTCTTACATTATAATAATCAAGCCACTCTCTACTCTCTAGGTGATTGGCTAAATTCCAAGTCTTCTTGCAACTATCTTCGTTTCTTCAGGAATGGTGTCGGTCAATTGATGATGTATAAGTTATTTCGGTCCAGTTTAGAATTTTAAATCCCGCTTCCTTGTTAGCTGGGAAACCCCCTGCTTTATTAAGCAGAGAATGATCATCGATCGAATGCAATAGATGGAGTTCCTAAGCATGTCAAGTAGATTAGCACACGATATCCGTGTAAAGCCTATCACAATATGAGAGGACTCATGCAAGTTTGCTTGAGCCGTTGTTCATGGCGAAACTCGTTTTCTGAATGAAGTGTTTGTTTAATTTATGTCGTTGTCTAGTTTGGTGGGTGAGAGTGCAGATGTGTCGTGCAGTCGAATCAGGTAAGGACGAGATGTTAGTCTTGTGTGGCGGACTTCAGTAAAAGGTAAATGGAAGCTTAATGATGTTTATGATGTGAAGCAAGCAAAATAGTATCTACAAGACAAAATATTTAGATTGTTCCAGATATTAAGGATCATTACGTACAATCCATTTGTGGCACATCCATTCTCAATAATTGTAGTTGCAATAGGTAAACGTCTAGTTTCAACAGTAGACTACTACAAGTAACGAAGTAAGATATTTTTCATAAAATTTTCTCGTTGATTTATAAGGATTCGTTATTTGTATTTGCTTCTAATTTAGTAGAGAGATCTGTTTGACAAAAAATTAGCTCTTATCTTGATACTCCATATGTACATGAGCCAACACGTTTGAGCTAACTCACACACTTACAAGGAACGTATAACTGAGCGGCAACTACTTTGCTAATTACGATCATTCCTTTCATCTTGGTTATGATTAATTCATTTAGGATTTTCTACTCTTCAAATGATTAATGGCATGATAACTTAAAGACCAACTACCTTTCGTCACATAATACATTATGATTCAATAGGTTCTTCTACTCTTCTTGTGATTAATAATACAATTTAGGACGTATTTCTGCATTTTGCTTTCCTAGTGAAAATAAACCATCCTCATTAGACCAAACTTCAAGTGGAAATACTCGATTGAATTATTTTGATAATAGAGGGATCGGAAAGGACTCATGTAAAGTTTTAGGGATTAAGTAGGCCTCAGTAATAAAAATAAAGGAGAAGATGGAAATTTTGTAAAGATAAAAGGAAGAAAATAAATATTCTCCCTTTCACCTTCCGAAGTTCCAACGCCGACGAAACAAAAAATTTCCGGGCTCCCGAATTCCTCTTTTCTTTCCCCGGCCTCCTTACTCCTCCTGCTAGTTTATCCGGCCGAAATCCATCAATTTTCCGGCTTCTCCCCGGAAGGAACTCAATTCACTTGCCTCCGAATTATATAGCAACTTGCTTTGTTCGTCCTCCCGGTGGCGGCGGCGGGGGTTTGAAATGGCGGGAATTCGAACGACGGAGTGATTTTGCCATTGATAGTCAACGAGATTTTGAGCTGGGCTTGGTGGGCAGCCTTCTGGGTTTCGTGGGAGAGGCAAAGGTGGACGCTTTGGGGGAGGTTTTGTCGTTTTTCTTCGCGGTTGTCGATGGCGAATCCTCCCGGTACGCATCTGCAACACCATAATCAAGATGCTACGAATGCAAATAGCAACGCTCCTTCTTCTACGCTCAACGGAACCAATCCGGCCAACGGCAATCCGGAGAGCTCTAATTCGGCTTCCCCTTTGAAGCACAACCCCGGGATCTCCAACGATTGGACGGCGGAGGAGCAGTCAATACTCGAGGATGGCCTAGCTAAGTGAGTTTCCGCTCTCAGAATCTTGGACTTCGTGTGTTGAATGAGTAGAATTGTGTCGATTCATGATTGAATTTGGTCAATAGCCTGCCTGAAGTAGCAGAATTTGGTATGTTTTTGTCCTGTTTCTGAACCATAGGAGACACGAGTTTCGATTCTAAGACTATGGTTATGTGAAATTTTCTGGAAGTAGAGCAAGTTTTATGAGAAATGGTGGATGGGATTGAGCAATTTCTTGCATGTCAGATTGAATTTCATAAATGTGTACTGTGTTATTGATATTTTTGTTCAGTGGTAGTCCAAATTTTGGATCTTTATTGGAGTAGAAGGCCTTTCTGTATAGTTAATTTGTTGGACAATTGGTAGTTGTGATTCTCGGTCTGCATTCATGCTGCTGCTTCTTCAATAACCATTTGTGGTTTTTGGGTGTTGGTACAGATATTCATCAGAGTCGAACATACTCCGATATGCAAAGATAGCTATGCAGCTGCAAACTAAGACAGTCCGAGATGTTGCCCTGCGTTGCAGATGGATGACTGTACGATTCTTATTTTTCAATCTTGTTGCACAATTGTTTGGACTCTGACTCTGTTTTCATTTTGACTTTTGGAACGTGCTATTTTGAATGCATTAAACTTGATTTCTTGGGTATATTAGGATACTTGATTTCTGTATTGAGTTCCACTAATGGGTCCCTTAATGATTTCATGCTTCATCTAACGTCGTGTGCTCTGTTTCCTGGCTACAGAAGAAGGAATCTAGCAAGAGACGGAAAGATGACAATTTAGCACGAAAAAGCAAGGATAAGAAGGTATAATTTCCTTTCAACTGTTTTCCTCTGTTTACGGTGTAGGCAACATTTGGAGTTCAATGAAAAGAGAAAAGGGTGTATGACTCCAGCCTGTGGTTTTGTTTTTTATTCTGAGGCGGGAAGGAGAATGAAAACCGAGATGCTTGCATGTCAATTGTCATACGTACAAGCCAAGTATCTGGAAAATAGTTTCATGTTAGCAATGTTAAGATTGTCTAATATCTTTTATTGGACACTAATGGTTCCTGCTCTTTAGAGAGGTTATGTTCATTTGTTAATCAAATTCATTCGCAAAGCGATGATATCTACTGGCAGGACTGGTGGATTTTGAGGTCTTAAGGTGATTACTGTTTTTCCGTCACTTGATGCTCATGAAATTGTTTTTATCTATTTTTTTACAGGAAAAACTTACTGATGCTTCAACAAAGCCATCTTCTTTCATTACCCGAGCTAATGCTCCTGCATATACAAATACTGTGGTTCCTATCGACAGTGACGATGGCATTTCTTGTAAAAGTGAGGTCCCAGCTCACCAGATCCTTGTTTTTAGCTTCCAGTTAAAATAAATTGGTTTTTGATGTGCCGTTCTCTTCTAGTTTATACATAGAAATTGGCTCTTTAAGCTCGTACTGCTTTTTTATTATGGAATGATAAATGTTCATTTTGCTTCTTCCAGCTATTGGTGGGGTCACTGGGGACCTCCTTGAGCAAAATGCTTTGGCATTGAGTCAGATTACTTCTAATCTCTCTACAATGCAGGTACTACTTTTGATGGATGGTTTAATTGTTGTCACGATCTCATTATTACTGTTCTGAGTTTAGTTTCATTCGGTTATGTTCAAATGGACAGAAGGAAAGTGCCTGTTATGTGACAATTATATACCACTGATTATTTCCTCCAATTCCCGAGGTTTTACTACATGAATGGGATACTATGAGATGCATCATTTACATGGATGTGCATTGATGTTAAGCATTAGATGCTTAACCTAGATCCATATCCCCATTTGTAGCAGCATATTATCTGCGTAGCTATTACTTAGGAGATTCTACTTTTACTCAACTACTTGTGCAACCAAGCCAAGGAAGGTTTTCTATTTTGTTTGTGATGACTTTCCTTCTGCTGGTTGAATTATTTGATCATTTCCATTAGTCATCCGCTAAGGTACATAGGCTGCAGGCTTTTTTTTTCATACTATTTGTTGTTCTTTAGCTTGCTTTGAGTTTATATTGTACTGAGTAATTTATGCTTCATTGACATAGGATCGCATCCAGATCCATTACTTCCATCTCAATGCTGGTTCATTACTGTTAGTTACACCAATCCTTTTTCTTCTGCAGATACAAGAAAACATCAACCTACTTTGCCGGACTCGTGATAACATCCTCAAAATTATGAACAAGTACACTTCTGAACTTTTCACTTCTATTATGATGCTCAAATATGTCTTGTTGCTCGGTGCAATTTTTCCTTCATCTTTTTAACTGCATGGCTGCTTCATGTGACTCAGATGTGTTAGTCTTTATGAACACTTTGTGCCTATTTGAGGCCTCTTTATGCAATTTCACATGGACTTTTGCATTGTGACATGCTGCAAATCATTTTCTTCTCGTGCAAGCCTGTGCTTTGGCTTCAGCACGCTATTGTTTGCTATATTCCGTGGCTAAAATGAAAATAAATTGGAAACATACTAGTACCCACCTTCACGAGCTAGGGTCTTGTTGTTGGTTCTTTGTGTAAGCTGGGTGTCAATACGGATGGGAACCTGACGAATTGACTTCATAGTTTATGATATAAGCATTTAATACACAGTGGAAGCACTTTGTTGACATCCGGACTCTCTCTCGCGTTCTGTACTTGTATTGCAGCTTGAATGATGTCCCGGAGGTGATGAAGCAGATGCCTCCCCTTCCAGTAAAGATGAACGAAGAGCTTGCCAACACCATCCTTCCGCGCCCAAACATCCCCATGAAATAGGTACCTGAGGCGAAATTCAGCTGCTGCAAAATCTTCTCAGCATCTCAAAGCCATACTTGAGCCTCTTTTGTAGTCGCAGTATAAAATCGTTTTGTTGATGGTGGTCAACACCTAGTTTGGTTGGTTGGTTTTCTTCTAAAAGCAGTTCTTGGTAGGAAGAAGAAGACTACTCAGAATTTTACCTTTTCTTTTCCTGGGTTTGTAGGCAATTAGGCTTACACAGAATAAACAATAAGCAAAATATGTGATCTTGTTGCTAATCTTCTCTCTTTACCCCCATTTTGGGGCCTTCTGTGAATATGTTGTAGCTTCACTTCTTTTGTCATTGCAGGATTAGTGCTTAGTAACTTGGCATTTGTTCTTTGCTTATTTCAAGCAAGTAGCCCTTGGAAAGGAAAGAAGAAAGGGTTGTTTTGTTTGATTAGTTTATCTGGATATTGAGTTTATTATGAATGCTATATAATCATTTTTTTTGGTCTATCAGGAATTCTATTGGATTCAATTCATACAAATTGGCACCCATCTTTTGTTGAATTTCAAAAGTCCACTTAAACTTTGAAAAAGGTGGGCTGCTTACCACCAAGGCAAAATCCAGACTTTCTTGTTAGCAAAAAGGACCTTTCAAATTTTCACCCCCATCTACAAGCTTCAACCTTCTTCAAGTACAAATACTTCTACATCATCAAATTAGTATTATTTTATCTAAAAACACTACGAGCATAGATGGTCTGATCTCGACTAGCATTGAATCATATTCATGATAAGAGTCGGATAGAACGTAAAAGGAAAAACTGTGATATCGTCTTGAAATCATATTCAGATAAGAACCAAATCGAACGTAAAAGGAAAAAAATCTGATATCGTCTAGAAATGAATCATATTCGTGATAAGTGCCAAATCAAACATAAAAGGAAAAACGAGATCCGCCAATCAGAAGCTCTTCTAGTCGAGTTGAGTTTTAATTCGACTTGCTTTTCCTTTTACCTCTCACAGAATCCATGGTACCGACGCTAATCAGATCCAAATATCGACCCGGTGAAATATGGACCAAAATGCTCCCCACTGTTCTCATGAATCAATTTATGTTGAAAACAAAAGGTCATGAATTGGACTAGACTTTTTAACGTATGCTTTGTAATTCTTCTATTTAGGGGGCTCTGAATAATTCATCGTGACCACAAAAGTAATCTCAATCTAGATACACACGTTGTTGGGAATTGACCAGTAAAAAAAAGAGGAATTTGGTTGCAAAAGGAGGCTCCAATACATCATTATTACGACTTTATACGACGACCCATAACCCATGAGACTAAATACTATATCAGAAAAAAGTTTACTATATTCATATCTGTATAGGAAAAGTCTCTTTTGTTCTTTGCTTGCATGAGATTATCTATATATGTAACACAGAAGCCGCAAGGAGAGAATATTAACCTTCTTCGTGCACAAGCAAAAGAACAGAGCATATCTAGAAGCAGGTTTCCTGCCTGATAAATGTGCATCATTTCATTACATCTACTAGTCTAATCCTTCTTCTTCTTCTTCTTCTCCTTCGACGATCGAGGACAACGTAATCATCTTTCGATCGCGCTTAATTATGTAAGCGCGAAACTCGATCCATCTTCTTTCCCCGTGCGAATGAGTGGTGGTTTTCATATTCTTGACTTCATCCCCTGTTTCTCTGTTGAGGTTTACAGGTTGAAGAAGAACACATCATCATCATCAGTTGGCACCTTTGCTGTGTTGTGCATAATAGTCATCGTAGCAGCCTCCTCGTTGGACTTTGTTGCAGCGCAGCCATCATCCAAGGAAGGTTGGACTGATTTTCTTTCATCTTATTGTGTTATTTGGCGACCACTTGTGTTCATAAAATACTGGACTCTATCTCTATGGTGCTTTAGCGACGAACGTAGTTACGGTGGCTAAAAAAACTCTTGCAGATCGTACAATAGCGTATTAAGTCGTTACAAGTATTGCGAATTAACGTGCTAGCAGTATTGTATTTGCATATATCTTATGTGTCAAATTATGTGCACAGGTAATGCTAGTTGGAGTAATAATGACAATGATGGCACAGTGAGGATTGACCCTCTGGACAAGTTGAAGAAATACAGGGGAGGGTTTGATATCACTAGCAAGAACTACTGGAGTGTAAGCAAAACCAAACAATGTATTCCGACGCTATATAAATTCGCGCGATTTGTATAATCCACGATTAATTGACACATTTTCTCTATGTGCAGTCGACTGCATTTACAGGCATATACGGCTATGCCATTGCTGCCCTCTGCCTCCTGGCTGGAATTTGCTACGGAATTTTCAAGCTTGTCATTGTTCTCTGCTGCAAAAATAGGAGACGGAAGTTGAAAGGAGGCAGCAAATCGTCACCACCTAATGACGAACGTTATGTGATGTACAAACGCTTAGTTATCCTTGTCCTCCTCACTCTCGTGGCCATGTAAGTAAGATTAAAATGTTCGTCGTGGTTGATTGTCTCGTCTAGATCGAATACTTCATTAGAAACCGATCTTACTATGACCGAAATTGCAGAATGGTTGCAAGTGGAGTAGCCCTAGGAGGGAGCTCAAGTTTCCACAACAGGGCCAAGAAGGCAGTGGACATCATCATACACACCGCAAACAATGCCTCGAGGACCATCTACGATGTCACGTCGGCGATGACTGGCATTTCTCGTACTCTCGAATCCACCGAGGCCTCGAGCCAGTTCCCGGCAGCCATGACCGCCTCGAGGTTCCTGAGCTCCACGTCGCGGAGGCTGGATCGTGAAGCTGCCAGCATTGAGAAGGAAGCCAGAGACAATAGGCGACGGATTGATATAGCCGTCACTATTGTGTACGTTATAAGCGTCGTCGCTATTGCTCTCAATTTGGCTGTCACCATTGCTCTTTCAGGTCTATTTTTAGCTTGAATTTAACTCGTTACTAATTCATTTTTTTGGGGTGATATTTGATTTCTGTTGAATTGTCGCTAAAGGTGCTTTTTTATGATATTAATGCAGTTTGTGGGGTACTGAGGATTCGGAAAGCAATTAATTGGTAATTTACTTTAATACATCTTACTTTCTGCTAAATTATTATTCATTATCAATAGTCATTATTAACTATATAATTATTAGTCATTATTAAAGATCCTGTATTTTTCATTATTGCAGGCTTTTTGCATTATGTTGGTCGCTAATAGTCCTCTGCTGGTTGCTATTTGGCATCTATTACTTCTTACACAAGTAAGCCACATTTACTCAATCGATTTTTCATCTCAATTTCAAAGCACATGAACTAAACCGTTAAAACATTTTTTTTAATGTAATGATCTGAATATATTTCTTTCTTTCTTTCTCACCAGTTTCGCAAATGACACGTGTCGAGCACTCGAGACGTTCGACCACAATCCTCAGAACAGCAGCCTCAGCTCGCTCGTGCCATGTGATGATTTAGCCGCGGCGAAACCAACTCTGAGACGGGTCAGGGAGGGAATTTACGACCTCGTCTCTCAACTGAACGTCGCCGCCACCAATGTATCCTCGACACTGGGAGTGCCTCCCAACTTCATTCAAGTTTGCAACCCTTTCTCGTCGCCGCCGAATTACCACTACCAGCCACACGATGATTTCAGTTGCCCTCCTCCTTCGATCCCCATTCGCGACATTCCAAAGGTACAAACACACAGTTCCTTTTTCGTCAAAGATCAAAAATTGTGAAGCCGTACCAGAGGTTATACCAGGAAATTCAATAGTAGAATATTTTGTGTTGATTAAAATCATAGGTTATTAATCTTGGTTCACCATTTCATAGGTAGTGAAATTGGTGACATGCTCAGACGACGGAACATGTAGCAACGGGCAGTTTGTATCCCCTGCCGATTACAGACTGGTGGAGGGCTACGCCAGTTCGATCCAGAGCCTCGTCGACGCCTTCCCCGAGATACAGAGCCTGGTGGAATGCGAGTCCGTCAGGGCTTCACTGTCTCGAATTGTCGACCGCCATTGCCAGCCGTTGAAGAAGAATGCAAAGATTGCTTGGGCATCATTGATTCCCCTCTCTGTTCTCAACATGGCTCTTCTCGTTTTGGTACTAGTAATACAGAGGATTGGACCTTTAGGAACCAGCGGTTCCGTTGGTGCCGTCGCTAAAGATGATATGGCGCCTCTGCCTCGCCATTCTTCGTCGTTGGAGCTAGCCGGCTCCGGCGGCCACCGTCGGTTGGTTTAGTGAATACTTCATTCTTTATTTGTTTGTATATTCCCACCTCTTATATTTTATTTTGGTTAACTATTTTTATAGGTTACATAGGGGTAGTATTTTTGTTTTCAGAGGATTCATATTAATAGTTGAATCCATAGGGTTTACAAAATTAGACGGTTACTAAAAAGTACGAATAATATCTATGATATGGACCCAATCAAGGGGAAGAGAACCATTCATAGTAGTAAGTAATTGTATCCATTCTTTTGTTTGATGTATGAAGATGAATGAAATTTCGATTATGGTTGATTGTTCCCCGATGACAAATTGAAAGATACAGATCTTTTGAGTATTGACTATTGAGCCAAACTTTTTGTGTGAAACGGTATCATGTTGCATGTTAATAGTTCATTTGTCAAAAGTCACATGTTATCCACCATATATTCGAATACTTAGAGCTAATGCGATGTTTTGATGATGGAATGTAATAATGAAATGCGGTTTAAATATGTAAGAAAATAGCAATGGATATATGATTTTGTGTGTCAGGTTTTGGATTCACTAGTAGTTGGTAGGAAGAACAAGCAAGCGAGATGTGGTACCAAATGCTTCAAATCGAAATCAAACACTAAAGTCTATACAAGTAGGATTAACAGTGAATTTCGTATTTATACTTAAATGCTGAATTCATATTTCACGGATATACATTCTGTCGAAGAGCATGGAATTAGAAAAATAATCCAATAATTTATAATTGGATTCAAAACTTCTCTTAAAAATTAAATTTTTATAAACATGTTCCTAAATGAAAAATAAGCTAAATTAATCTTAATAAGGGGCAATAGTATAGTTAGTAAATACTCCGTTTAATACACGTATATGTACCCGTACGTACTTTATCCGTTTAAAACTTCCGTATCCGTATTTTTGTCAAGCCGTTTCATTTTTATCCGTTTATTTGGTGGCTCCCGTACTAAACACGTATAAAATCCGTATAACACGTTTTATATCCGTATTTAATGAATTAAATTGTTAACTTTACTATTATTTATATATTTATTTATTTTAAAAAATAATTTATTTTATATATTTATGACTATTAACGTACTATTAAACGTAACATTAGCTTAGAGATGAAGTAAAATACCCGTACGTATTATATCCGTAACTTTCCCGTACCGTATTTTACTAACAATAGGCAATACAAAATTTAGTAGCATTATGGCCAAATTCAATAAATTGGTTCTAACAAAACAAAAGTCAACAAATTGGGGCGCAGCCCGTCAGTTGAGACACATGGCGCCAAAGATGCTAAAACCCGAACTGCCGGACTCTCGTCGCCATTGATGCTTTCTTCACTCACTCCACAATCCGCACAGCAAACTGTTCTGTATCTTCCCTCCGATGAATACACGCAACTCTGTGACAAAGACGAACTGATAGGGACAGCTTCCGGCTTCGGCCACAGTTCCTGCGTTGTCTCGAAGTCATCAATTCACCATGAATCGGCTCGTCTCATTTCGCTCCAAATCGAGAATCGGTACTACGCCTTGCAGCTCCTCCTTCTACGCTCGTCTACTTGGCAGTTCAATCGACGCATCTCGCACTCGTTCGACCGCCAATGCATCCGATTCCTTGGCTACGGTCTCTCGTTGTTCTTCCTTGGTTCCAGCGCGAACCCTAACGGGATCTTCTCTGTTCGGGTCCCGAAATGGGAGCTCGGCGAGATTGAGTAATTTGACGGGACACGGAGGGAGCCAGGGCGTTGCTAGGAGATTCTGTAGTGATGCGGCGGCGGAGAGGGAGTCGATGGAGTATGATGTTGTGATCGTTGGAGCTGGGCCTGCTGGATTGTCGGCGGCGATAAGGTTGAAGCAGTTGTGCGGCGAGAAGGGGGTGGATTTGTCTGTTTGTGTTGTGGAGAAGGGTGCCGAAGTAGGTATGTTGCTATGACTCAAGTTCGCGTGCTGTGTACTTGTTTGCTGGTGGTGAATTGAAGTTTGATTATCAGTTTCCGCCATTTCTGTTTTTTCTTGGATTGGTGGATTAGGTGCTCATATTATATCCGGGAATGTGTTTGAGCCTCGGGCGCTGGATGAACTTCTTCCGGAATGGGAAAAAGAAGAGGTGATTTCCTGTACTCACTTCCCCGTTGATCTCATGAATTCACCATTCATGTCTTTGGCTTTGATGCTAAGAATGAGTAGTTGGGGGTAACCAATTCTTTCGATACTGGAACTGAAGTTTGAGAACTGTTATCATTTTCGTTGTTTGTTGTGTAATGTCATGTTGATTGGAGAGCATAATGAAATGATGTAGTTAAATGGGTTTCAGATTCTAGCAGTTCTTCTTAATATCTGTGTATGAACTGTACTGTGATATTCGAAGCCGATCAGATGGGCAAAGAGAACAAGCTGTTAGTATTTAGAAACCCATCAAAATTCAAGTGATATGTAATCTGCAGTGGTCTTTTCTTTTGTTGAATTGCAGGCACCAATCTCTGTCTCGGTTTCTTCTGATAAGTTTTGGTTTCTCACAAAGGATCGTGCATTTTCATTGCCAAGTCCGTTTGATAACAAAAATAATTATGTGATAAGGTAATGAATAAGCTTGCTGCTGTTGTAATGAGCATTTTGCATGTGCCCTTAATATTCTCTTTAACATGATTTCCTTGTTTTGCTTTCCAGTGGTATTGGGATAGAAATCTATCAATGGGTTGTACAAATTAGAAGCTGGTATTTTGAAAATGTATACCACTGTGCATTTCTTTTACCTACCTAATTTGATTACTACTGAATGCGTTTTGTACATGAAACCATGGGGAAGATGTCAGCGAAAGACGTTCAATATCTTATTTTTGAACACTCCTGCTTTCCTCCTCTCTATATTGGGAATATTTTCAGATGTTTATCTGATACATACGTTATAGAAGTTGGACGCTGTTCACACTCCTGCTTGCTTTATTGAAATTTGACTGGAGTCAGTAGTCAGCAACAGTACTCAATATCACCTTTTCTTGTTTCTCTGTCCTGTTTTCTGTTTCAGCATCCCGTGAAATATATCAAATGGGAGTCTAATGTTCATATTGTCCGAGGGAGCTAAAAAAAGAAAGAAAAATGGGGTGATGTAATGCTACATCAATCCTAAATAAGTTTGATTGTGAAAAAGTTGCGACTAATGATAGGGAAGTGTGGTAATTCTTGAACCCAACTCATCACTGTAAGTCTCTGTGCAGCTTGAGCCAATTAGTGCGTTGGATGGGCTCGAAAGCCGAAGAATATGGCGTGGAGATATATCCTGGATTTGCTGCTAGTGAGGTATCTGAGGCGGCTTATTTTACATTCCGTGCTTATTACCAAAAAAATGAAGTAATTTTTTTTTAATGTTTGCAGATACTATGTGATGATAATGGTAGTGTAATTGGAATTGGAACTAACGATATGGGAGTTGCAAAAAATGGATCTAAGAAGGAAAATTTCCAGCGTGGTGTTGCTTTGAAGGGTGTGTCTCTAGCTTTCTCTGGAAACAAGATGATTCAAGTTCTTGCTTCAAATATACCTTGGCAAATCAAATGATTCCTCTTCGTGTAGTTGATTGATTTGCTATCAGTGTTGCTTTATGAGGGCGATAAAACTTGCAGGTCGAGTAACACTTTTTGCCGAAGGTTGCCGAGGATCATTGTCAGAGGTTTGCAAAATTAACTTTGTGGCGTAGTTACATTTATTCATCAAGGTTAACCATTTTTTGAATTATACTAATAAATGACATATTTTTCCTATTATCAGAAGATAATCAAGAAATACCATTTGAGGGAAAAGCGGAATGCTCAACATCAGACATATGCGTTAGGAATCAAAGAGGTAATATACTTTCTAATGAGCCTAATGTTCACTGTGTTTGATGTTTTACAACTTTGTTTCTTTGCTTATCAATTTTGTTAGAATGTCCTTATAGGTTAGACATATATCCAGATTGAATTGATTTATGTTAGTATTATTATGAAATCATCAAGATTGTGAATCTCAGTATAAATCCACTCTTACCGATTAACTGTAATTCACCTCACACAATCAGCCCTCACTCATCTAGTGCATTTTATATGCTTCACACATTGATGGATGTTTTCAGGTTTGGGAAATCGATGAGAGCAAACATCAACCTGGTGCAGTCATTCACACTTTGGGTTGGCCTTTAGATCAGAAAACATATGGGGGTTCATTTCTGTACCACATGAGTGAAAGACAGGTAACTACTGTTCATGCTGCATTCCCTATCTTAACTTGTAATTTTATGTCAGGGTAAATTCCATGCAGTGATCCAAATCCTGTTTGCCTGTTTGCAAGTTGGAATATCATTCAACAGTGCCCTTTGTTTTACGGAGTTCTATATTAATGTCATCGCTTTCCCTGTTGAGCATGCAGGTCGCTATAGGTCTTGTGGTGGCTTTGAACTATAAGAATCCTTATTTGAGTCCTTATGAGGAATTTCAGGTAAAATGGCCATGTAGGTCTTTCATATTCTACGGTTCATATTTCTGATTCTAGTGGTGGCTTTGAAGTAGTATTTCAAATTCCTGGTCCACTGCTGAAAGCAAACATGATAAGGCATGTATGCAGACTCGTGCATATTTGAACATATAAGCTGAAAGAGCTTCTGAGTTGGTTTAAAACCTGTGCTATCCCTTGAGTGTCTCATTTGATTCCAGAGAACAGGAAGCATAATACAGTTATTTATCTTTTCAGCATTAGTGGATCATATGTATTTGAGGATCTAGTGAACTTTCCTTTAATGTCTTTATCTTAGAAACTGAAGCACCATCCTGCCATCAAGCCAATTCTAGAAGACGGGACTGTTATTCAATATGGAGCCCGAACTTTAAATGAAGGTGGTATTCAGGTGAGTATATGCCTTCTTGTGTAGAAATTATATCCGTCGCCATAACTACATTTGTGTTTAAGAATAACAAATGTTGAGAAGTGTTTTCTGTTAGAAATGTAAGGTGCATTTTCCACATAAATGAGATAGTAGTTTTAGATCTGCGTATTACATGCTATACAAATATGATTGTGATACTGAAACAAATTTCAGTCCGTTCCATATCCAGTTTTTCCTGGAGGAGCTATTATCGGGTGTTCAGCTGGCTTCTTAAATGTACCGAAAATAAAGGGAACACATACGGCAATGAAATCAGGTATGAGGTACCTGCTCCATGTCTTGGCGATTACTGTCTTTGTTTTACTCTCAGGGATTCCTGCTTCATCCTCTTTTTGTATCAACGAGTACAAGGTTTCATAGTTGTACTTGATTTTCCTATTTGGTGAAGAACGTCCTGATTGTCCTTCTTTGAGTAAAATAAGAATAATTTCTTTACATAGAAGCTCAAGTTCTTTACTAGAACAGACTACCAACTATCAAATCGCAGTACTGTTTATAACACATATCTTTTGTCCATTTGTCTATCCTTGAATCATTAAGACCATGTTTTTCTACAGTGAATCCATAATTGTTCAAGAATTGGCAGAAAAAAGAATCCCAGAATGTTCGAAGCAAAGAGCTGTCCATTAAATCCTTTTTATGTTTCTGCAACTGCCCAGGAATGCTTGCAGCAGAAGCTGCGTTTGGTACACTTCTAGAAGGCTCAAACTTAGACTCCTATTGGACAACTTTGCAGAATTCTTGGGTATGGGAAGAGCTGCATAAAGCACGGAACTACCGACCTGTGAGTGAAAATTTCATCGCCATCCTTTTCTTTTTCTTTGCATCACGTTATTACAGTTTCTCAGCAAATTCAGACTTATTTCTTTAGTCTAATCATGTCTTCAGCCTTCCTATTTCACGAGCCAACTTATATGACTGTAGGCATTTGATCATGGGTTCATTCCTGGAATGGCGATCAGTGCAGTAGAACAGTAAGAGTTCACTCTTCATCAAATTTCCCTTTCACTTGGATTCACGGTTTCACTCAACCGTCTCACTTTGATGAGTTTTCTGCCAAGCAGTTACTTGTTTAGAGGGAAGTCCCCATTTACATTGAAGCATGGGAAACCTGATCATGAAGCAACAAATGTAAGTCGACATGTCTAAATAAGTCTTTATGTGTTGATCGTTGAATTCAGTTATACACATTATGTTAGTCCGATGAGGCCGCATAATATGGTTAGTACTCTACAAAAGAGTTTATGATTCTCACCTACTATATTCTGTGGAAATATGTCCTACGTCAGACGTTCATTTAAGCTTCTACATGTTGAGGCCTCGAGTGGTCTTTAGTTATTAGTAATTCTGTAAATTTAACAATGAACAACCAGAATCTCATTCTGCTATGTTTCATTTTCATTTGCTGCCTTCAAATTTTCCGAGACTTGGGTGAATAGACAACCAATATCCAGTTTGCATGACAAATGGATGATGATTAGCTCACCCTTGTGACTGCAGGTGGCAAGGTCACATTCTCCAATCGAATATCCAAAGCCTGATGGAGTTCTGTCATTTGACGTACCCACCTCTCTCCACAGGTTTCCGAACCTATCCTTACAGAATGTTCACATATTGATATGGATATACTTGGAACTTTTAATACATGTTTGCTCCAAAACAGAGTTGTAACTTGTAAATGATGCCAGTTGATATCCACTACCACCCTAGTTGGCATATAATGAAATAGCAGATGGTTCTTCCGCGTTTGATGGTGGCTGACCTCATTCTACCTGTAACTCCTCTGGGTTTCTCTTTTTATGCTGTTATTCCCCATTTGCAGGAGCAACACAAATCACGATCATGATCAGCCGGCACATCTGAAACTCAGGGACCCTGAAATGCCTACTCAAGTGAATTTGCCGGAGTATGATGGACCAGAGTCACGATACTGTCCTGCTCGTGTGTACGAGTATGTGCACCCTTTACGACTCGGTTTCTACATTTTGCTTTTAATTTCCATCTCTTAATGGTAGAATGTATCTAACATAAGAATTTCCCCCAATCCCGGTGGGTGGTTGCAGGTACGTCCCAGAAGAGAGCGGTCAGTTGAAGTTACAGATCAATGCTCAGAATTGCCTACACTGCAAGGTACTCGTAAAAACTCGAAACCCCGTGGAACATATGATTTGTACCCTCGAACAGTGCATGTTATACTAGAGAAAGAAAGCCGCTTGTCGACGATACAGAACTATGTCTGAAAATCGTCATTGCGAAAGTACTTCTGATGAGTGTCCAGAGATATAATGTTGCTGGAAATGAAATAGAGCAATCGCATCGGATACACCGCTTGTGATGATTTTGTGAACCTTCTGACGTTTGGTTTGATATGATTTGCAGGCATGTGACATCAAGGACCCAAAGCAAAACATTGAGTGGACAGTCCCTGAAGGGGGAGGCGGCCCAGGCTACTCAGTTATGTAGTAGTTTTCGTCGGAGTGATGCTAGATTTACTGAAAACTCAAATAAAGAAAAAGCCTTGTATCATCCCGTATACTAACTTCTATTCGTGTAAGTTGTAACGAACTTGTTACTGAAGTTTGTACATATAACATAGTAGTAATTGCGCCAGGTCTTTGGTCCAGATTGTTCATGTCAAGCTTGTGATGCACCAAAATGTTGATTTCTGATATTGTAAGTTCGAGCTGGACCAAGTAAGGAATACGAGTTAACATGTGTCGTACATTTTAGCTAATCAGGACCTCATTGACTTATTTTGGAATTTGATATTCTAATTTGTGCGAGAAAAATGAATTGAGTGACTATTATGAATGATAGTTATACTTGTAGCAAGTGAATTTGTTAAAAATCAAAGTTTGATGATTGATTTGTCACTGATCACAAAGTTTAGTGACCATTTTTGTAATTGATCAAAATACGATCCATGGGCAAGCCCAAAGTAAGTTGGCGGAGAACAGTGTGGGCAACATAACCGCGGCACAAAGCCCTTTTAGTTAGTTGTTTACCAACAACGAGCCTTCCCTCTCCGTGGAGTCGCCGCCGGTCTCTTCAATTAGAGCGGAGACTGTAGCTGCAGATGGAGGACCCCGGAGGAGGGAGAGAAATAGACGGCTGAGGCGGAGTTGAAGAAACGTCTTCGCGAACAGTGTAGTGAATCAAATCCTTTAGCTTCCAAGAGCTGCACATGCATTAGGAACTATGCAGCAGGGCTCCCGCAAGGTACCAATACTACTGCTACTTCTCATAATCATCAACTCTCTTCACAACGTGACCCGGTTCAGTCATGTCTTTCTGAATTAAGATGCTATCATGAGATAATAGTAATAATTCCTTAGCTGAAGTAGAGACGTGTGTGCTATAACGGTGGGCATTGTTTGCTAGATGCTAAAGCTGGGATTTGGGGTTCGGTTTCGTATTAGGAAGTTCTGCTCTGTCTCAGGCATTGCCCGAGTTGATTGTGAAGACTATTCAATACCAGATGATGCTGCGTCTTCGAAACCCAGCATCCAGATTCCTCCAAACATGGTGGAAATCAACTCTCAGTTGAAGCTGCTGGTCAAGACTAAGCGCTTGACAGATGCCCGGGATATGTTCGACAAAATGCCTTACAGAGACGAAATTTCATGGACCACAATTGTTTCTGGCTATGTGAGTGCCATGGACAGTGCCGAAGCATTGAGATTGTTTTCGAGGATGTGGGTTGAGCCGTCGCTCCAAATGGACCCCTTCATAATAAGCATTGCGCTGAAAGCTTGTGGGCGGAGCTCGAGTGCTCGTTTCGGCGAATTATTACATGGATACTCTATCAAATCTGATTTTGTCAGCTCAGTTTTCGTGGGGAGTGCTCTCTTGGATATGTATGCTAAAGTTGGTAAAATTGACAGATGTCTCGTGGTGTTTACTGATATGCCTCTGAGAAATGTGGTCTCTTGGACTGCTATTATAACTGGACTTGTCCGCTCTGGTTCTTACAGGGAAGGATTGATTTACTTCTCGGAAATGTGGAGGTCAAAAGTTGTTTGTGATTCATACACATTTGCAATTGCTTTGAAAGCCTGTTCTGATTTGGGTGCTCTGGATCGTGGGAGGGAGATTCATTGTCAGACTATAAAGAAGGGATTCCATGTCTGCCCATTTGTGGCCAATACTCTCACCGTCATGTATAATAAGTGTGGGAAATTGGACTATGGTTCATGTTTATTCGAGCAGATGGAGTTGAAAGACGTTGTTTCATGGACCACAACTATAGCAACATGTTCCCAAAATGGGGATCATGAAAATGCTGTCAAAGCCTTTAGAAGAATGCTTGAAACTGGCGTAAGTCCAAATGAATACACTTTTGCAGCAGTGATGACTTCTTGTGCTAGTCTTAGTAGACTTTGCTGGGGTGAACAATTGCATGCTCATGTTTACCGCTTGGGTTTAGTTGATAATTTATCAGTGACCAATTCCATCATAACCATGTATTCCAAATGCGGACAGCTCGACTTAGCTTCCAGCATCTTTGAGAAGATGTCTGAAAAGGACATCATTTCGTGGAGCACTATAATTGGAGAGTACTCTCAAGGGGGCTCTGGGGAGAAGGCTTTTGGTTACCTATCCCATATGAGAAGGGAAGGCCCACAACCAAATGAGTTTGCTCTTGCTAGCGTTCTAACTGTTTGTGGAAACATGGCGATTCTCGAGCAAGGAAAACAGCTTCATGCTTATGCATTACGCGTTGGTTTGGAACTGGATGCCATGGTACAAAGTGCTTTAATCAATATGTATTCCAAGTGTGGTAGTATACCAGAAGCTTTGAAAGTGTTTTCTGAGGCTGAAATTGATTGCATTGTGTCCTGGACTTCCATGATCAATGGTTACGCTGAGCATGGGTTGAGCGAGCAAGCAATTAGTTTGTTTGAGAAATTTCGAAGAGTAGGTTTAAGACCAGATTCAGTGACCTTTATCGGTGTTCTCTCTGCCTGCAGTCATGTTGGACTAGTTGACCTTGGTTTTCACTACTTCAATTTGATGAGTGAGGAACATGAGATTTTTCCCTCAAAGGAGCATTATGGCTGCATGATTGATCTCCTTTGCCGAGCCGGACGTCTAAATGATGCTGAGAGCATGATTGAGAACATGCCATTTCAACAGGATGATGTTGTTTGGTCAACTCTTCTTAGTGCATGTAAGGTCCATGGAGATGTAGATCGTGGAAAACGTACTGCTCAGAAGATTCTAGAAATAAATCCTAATTGTGCTGGCACGCACATCACCCTTGCTAACCTGTATGCTGCCAAAGGGAAGTGGAAGGAAGTAGCCGAAGTGAGGAAAATGCTGAAATGGAAGGGTATAATTAAGGAGACGGGATCGTCATGGATAAAGATGAGGGATGAAGTTACTACATTTGTATCTGGCGATGACTCTCATCCACGGGCAAAAGATATTTACAATGTATTAGGTTTGCTATCCGTAAGAGAAGATGAAGATGCCATGGGAATAGGTTATGATCCAGTTAATGTTGATGATCAGCAAATAAATGCTTTCTTGTATTAATCTGCTCAGGAGGATTAACTAGGCTTTCTTGCATTAATTTGCACAGGAGGATTAACCGTTTAATTGTCATTATGACTTGAGCAGGAGGTCTTATTCGCTAAGGATGTCTTGTGAGTATCTGAAAAGCTGAAACTTTCACCTTTACTCTCCCATTTGATGGTTGAGATGAAGTGTGCGATAATCATTGAGCCATTGGACAATGGGTAAGGCCTGGCTCGAGAACGTCCCATCATCAAGCAATCTTGATTAATCCATATATCCACATTCAGCATCAGAGAGGGGCAGTCTGCAGTTTGCACATACCGAATTCTTCATCCATCAACTTTTCTTGCATACTATCAAGAAGATTCTTCTTTAATGCAGGAGCTAGAAATGCAGAGAGCAGAACAACAAATAGGTAAGCTCTCTGGCAAAACACTGTTGTTATTCCACAACTTTAAATTTGCCCTTAATAATATGTTTTTACTCCCCCCACGGCCCCACACATGATAAGGCAAGAAGTCAGTTACCCTTAATAGTATGTTCTGTGTGCTTGTTATTCCCCGATTTTCGCTCTCGCCTCTCTGAGACCAGTTCAAATCCTGCATCCTAAATGTTTCTGCTCTAGGTGTTTATTTAAAAATTTCAGACAGAATTATTTGTAATCTCGGCATAGTGGGGTCTTTCTTTTTCCGCAGGCTTTAGAAAGAGCCAACGGATACTCTCCCCAGCGATGGTGATTGCTTTCTGGCCGGACACGAGCAGAAGCTCTGTGGATGGGTCAGCTTCCTAATGCGAGATCTCGCTCTTTTATGCCTTCGTCGCATGATCCATTCTTACTCCACATGGTTGCTTCAGGCTTCCTTTCAGGTAAATCAATTCACTGTATCTCTTGTTCTCTTACTTTGTGTTGAACTTATTCGATTCCCAGATGGGGTTGAATCATTTGGAGTTGCTCTCGAATCTTATATCGCAGTTCTGGACTAGGTAGAGGACCTAAGAGCGGAAAAAATGATGTTGCAGTGATCCTCCTCATGGTTAGTCAATCTAATGCAATCCTATATATCTTCCATATGTAAATGGGAGCAATCGCCAAATTGAGATCTGGGAACTTCGTCGTCAACGAATGATTAACCTGTCTCCTGTCCTATAAGATTTCCATATTGATAGCTACTTCCTTCTGATTTCTCCTGGCTCCATACGGATCAGTAAGTGGGTTTTCAGGGATCTAGCACATTTGGCGTCTAATTCGAGAATCTCTTTGGCCAGCTTTGTCGATCATGGTTGGCATCTTCTTCCCTCATGTTCTGGACATCATCGTCATTGATCTGAAGTGAGGAAAATATGATACTCCTTCCCTGTCAGATTGAAGCAGAGAGCAACTTGTCCAGCATGACAGAGCAAGTGGCAAGAATACTGTCAAAGGTTACTGAATATGTTCTTAGCTTTAGCTGCAATTCATAATCATTGTGTTTATAATTCGATGTAAACATGAAAGAGAACCAGTAACGATGTGTGCAACATTCAGGACGCGGAGTCTGGCCTTTTCTCCGGTTAATAATGATGATGGATTTTGAAGTTATTACGGGATATTATTACGTTAAAGCACAGTTTTGTCTATCCTTTTGGTACGCATGGGCTAGTTGATCCCTCTTTGGAGATTGATCGAATTTGCCGAGAGGATCTTCTTGGGGTCAGTTTTCCTCTGGTTTGGGTCGTGTTTTTTATGATCTCTTTTTAGTTTTTACTGGTTCCTATATCTAGCTGGTAGGAATCTGTAACCTCTGGCAGTTTTGCCTCCCTTTAATAAAAAAAAAAATTACATTACCATGTCGAAAGGTAAGCATTATCGTGACTATTAACGATTGTTAAACAAACTCATTAACGACAATAAAAACACGCATACTTATTAATACAAGTGGCCAACTTCAACTACACAACTAACTCGTCAACCCAAATACCCAATGCCCATGCACAATAAAAAGAAAAATAAAAACATCAACCAAACCCTAAGAACAATGAACACACCCCATTAATGTAATATAGAGAGAGACCAAAAGAAACAAGAATATGCCAACTTTCATATGATGGTTGGGGATTTGGGATCACAAACTCTAAAAACAAAGAAGTATGGGGGAGACATGTGACATTGTTGTTCAATGTTGGGTGGAAGACCAAAGCTATTCTTCCCATTCAACAATGAATAATATGATAAATAAATGTTTCTCTTTCAACATTTCTCCATTCATGTCAATTTTCCCAAGTTTTAAATTTTCTCATTTAAATCAATGGCTTGCAAATTTCTTTCTTGGTCGCGGAAGAAGCTCTGGGCTGGGCTGTACGATAACAATACTTCTATTCTGGGCTGCTCTTCATTTTTCTTCACAGACTTCTCTTCTTCTGAAAGCTTCGCGGGTTTCCTCCCCAGCAAAACGCGTGGACTTTGCTCTCCATAATTTCCCTTCGCATTCCGTGGTCAAATGGTGGTGCTAGCTGCTCGAATCAATCCATCCTTCCTCTTCCGCTAACGAATTCAGATCTCTGCTTCCTTTACTGGGTTAAAGGTTTCTTCTCCCGCTCTGTTCTCCTCGGTCGTTTTCAGCTACTGGCTTCGGCGGGTGGACTGTGAATTAGGGTTGTTGTTACTCTGCTCTTGCTCCGGTAGCGGTAGGGATTTTGATGCGGGAAGCTCTCCAAATTGGTCTTTGAAAGTACTGGTTAGGTTTTGTTTCGGTGATGGATAAGGATAAATCGGCGCCTCATGGCGGGTTACCGCCGACTCCGACGGGCGGTCGTTTCCCGAGCTTTTCTCCGCCGGGGAGCTCATACGGTGTGAAACCCGAGCCGCCTTCGTCTTCTGCGTTCCCGCCGCTGGCTTCTCCGGATTCCGGCCGGTTCAGCCACGATATTAGCCGAATGCCGGATAACCCGCCGAAGAACTTAGGCCATCGGCGGGCTCATTCGGAGATTCTCACCCTTCCCGACGATATTAGCTTCGACAGCGATTTGGGAGTTGTGGGTGGTGGCGCTGATGGGCCTTCTTTCTCCGACGAGACTGAGGAAGATATACTATCTGTGTACCTTGACATGGAGAAGCTGAATTACTCCTCTGCGACGTCTGGTTTTCAAGCTGGGGAGGCGTCCAATCCTGGCTTTGCATCAGGGAGCTTGCATGGTGGTGGCTCAGCTGCCATGTCAGTGGATGGTGGTGCACCGAGTGAGAGACCGAGAATTAGGCACCAGCACAGCCAGTCGATGGACGGTTCGACCAGTATCAAGGATGAGATGCTCATGTCTGGTTCCGAGGATGCCTCTGCTGTTGACTCCAAAAAGGCTATGTCTGCAGCGAAGCTTGCTGAGCTTGCTCTTATAGACCCCAAACGAGCAAAAAGGTCCTATTCCACAACTTGCTCCCTTGTATTTGCTGTTGTGAATAGAATTATGATTCTCTTAAGCTTGCTTGATTTGATTTATTTGGAAGAGTTGAGTGATAATTGACGCAAATGTATCGTTTGACACTCTTGATTCTCTTGGAATTGGAAATGCAGTCTCAAACACTTGTGGTAGGAAACATTTGAAATGCACTCTGGAGAATAGCATGCAAAATGAATAATTTAACATGTAACTTCAATTTACAAATGCGTTGAAAAACACACTATTTAAGAGGGTTGGATAACAGTTGGGTTTTTTTTTTTGTTGGCTTGCTGTCGAGGCGTTACGGTAGAGTTTGCTGCCTTTTCTGTAAACGCTAGATAGTTTAACTTTCCGCTCCGCTCTGCTCCTTGTTTGGTACGTATGTGTTACTGTCTTGTTTATATTCCTTTTCTACATGGTGTAATAGGATATGGGCAAATAGGCAATCAGCAGCAAGGTCAAAGGAAAGGAAGATGCGATACATTGCTGAGCTCGAGCGAAAAGTGCAGACATTACAAACGGAGGCAACATCGTTGTCTGCTCAATTGACTCTTCTACAGGCAAGTTGGATTGGCTTGATAGTTCACTTTTAAATATGTGAAGTATGAAGGCCGTTACTTGTTTGTTACACAAAGAGGTTAAAGCCTAACACTTTAATGATTCTGTACTTCACTCTCTTTCTTTCTCTGAGCAGAGAGATACAAATGGCCTAACCTCTGAAAATAGTGAACTGAAACTTCGGCTACAGACTATGGAGCAGCAGGTTCATCTGCAAGATGGTTAGTACCTTTCTACTTATTTGAAAAAGCTGCAATCTGTTCAGTTTTAATCGGTGTTTAATGTTTTGTTTGTGTTTTACTCTTATTACTTTTATTGGCTAAAGTCATATACAATTGTTACTGCTTTATTATGTTTTAGTTGGACTTTGTTGCTGCTTGGCATTTGCGTGACTCATGTTGCTTTAGATGGTTTCCAATTATCGTGGTGGTGTAATTCATTAGAAAGTCAAGGTTCTTAGTCTATCTATCAAAACTTTTGCTTTATTTTCTATTTTTAAGTTAAAAATCGCTTTGCATTGTGCATTATGCGTATTAGAAATAGAGGTGTGATTGACATGTTTGAGCTAGACTGACTTCAGCCTTGCTAGTCTCTTGAGTAAGCCTAGAAATGGATAGAATTTTTCTTTGCTAGGCTGTTGCCAAGATGACTAAGATGGTTTTCTAGATTAGTATATGGAGCATGACTTTTACATCCTTCTATAGCGTGTACCATGATTTAGAAAGAATATCAGTCAACATGGTTACTCCATGTCTGCAAGTTTACTTTTTACGTTTGAATGATGTACAAATAATTCCAAATTACTAAAAGGTGACAATTTGATGTTTTGAGTTATCTCCTGCATGCATGGAATATTATATATCCTTTCGAAGGTCAGTATGTTGGTTACTTTTTCTAATATATTGTCAGTGCCGATATAATGTGTTCTTAAGATTAATACTCATGAGTGTATATAGTAGAAGGCTGGTAGACCTATGTTTGTGGATTCCTGGAATTATCTTGTAATTTGTTGGTGTGAAATTTTAAGGAGGGAGCTTCCATTCTGACTTCTGAGGAAGCTTGTCTGACAGAGAACAGAAGGATATGGTTTGAGAATGATGTTAGATCAAAGCTTACCTTCTTTACGGAAGAGTTGATCACTATTTTATTGCAGTTTTGTTACAGCATACTCGTAATAGGAAAATTGGTTATTGCCCTATTACAAAAGCTTACCCTAGAAGGAAGGACAGGATGCCTGTGAATTCTATGAAGGGATGCATACTCGTAACAGGAGGGACTGCTGTTAGTGTAGTTAACCGCGGGAAAAGAGATTTTCATTGTCTAGGCATGTCATATGTGTTTGGCTTTCTCTGTGTCTTAAATCCAACTTCCATGGTCATTAATTATGTTTATGTTAAGGTCTGGTTGCATTTATTTCTAGTTCAGTAATTGTTTAGCATTATACTGCTTATGCCTTCATAGTGAATCAGCACACTGTATATTTGCTCCTTGTGCCCTTCTTGGGTTACTAGTCAGATCTTTGTCAATTGGTGGATATGAACATAGTCTTCCTCTGAGTATTGAGTTATTAATATGAGGTTATAGGGGTTTTAACTTTTTTGGTGAAACAATTTTCAACAAACAGGCCAGTCTTGTTGTTTATGTTTGTTTCTTTTGGTCATTATAATGTCTTGTCTTCTTTTGTGGAAAAGATGATGAACTCTTTTGTTCTTCCTTCTCTTCTTTTAGCATTGAATGATGCACTGAAAGAGGAAATCCAGCATTTCAAGTTACTAACGGGACAAGGCATGGCAAACGGTGGACCAATGATGAACTTCCCGCCTTCCTATGGAGCAAGCCAGCAGCAATACTACTCAAACAACCAGTCGTCGATGCATACCCTTTTAGCCGCCCAGCAATTCCAGCAGCTCCAAATTCATCCTCACAAGCCGGCGCCACCACAGCACCACCAGTTCCAACAGAATCACCACCTCCATCAGCAGCTACAGCATCATCAACAGCTACAACAGGAACAGCAGCAGCAAGCCGGGGATTTGAAGATGCGAGGTGGAGCAGGTTCTACTATGGGCTCGTCGATGCAGAAAGATAATAATGGATCTGATCTCCTTAACCCAGATGGGAAAAAGGACTGATGAGACGCTTGAGGTCGATGAAGATGAAGAAGATAAATAACAGTTTTTGATTGATCGCCATTTGTTTGCTAGAGAATTCCAAATTTAGGGGTTTGCTTTGCCCTGTGGAGGCAGGCGTGTTATGGTCCTGGTGTGTCAGCTTAGTCTTCCCCCCATTCCATTTGTTGTTAGCCAGTTTGGTTCTTTCTTGCTGTAAGATCATAATTTGTTGTTTTAGTTTTGGAGAACCAAATCTTATAATGTTTTCATCTACATGGAGAGATGATGATGTACATTGTAGATTGTAAGTTAATCTTATAGCACCTTAATTTTTCTTGGAGTACCTTCCTTGCTTGCATACCTTATGGGTTGATATTTGATAACATAGGATATAGATCATATATGGAGTGACATTCGATTTAATTTCATTTAGCGCACATCTCTTCCACATCAAATTACAAAAAATCTTTTCGAAATTCTTCATTATTAGAAACCTTCACCTTTATTTGAGTATATTATTTAGAGTTTATATTACTTTGCAATAATGCATGAAATCAATCTAATAAGAAAATACGAGCATCAATGAAGTTCATCAGTACACATTGGTGAAAAAATTGTCCTTGAAATCAAACTCTTTTCGAAGTCCTTATTTTCACCCATATTGACTTCTATTGCACGGTTCCCCCCCTGATTAATTACTTACTCGTGGATTATACGACAGCGTAGCAATATGGTTATGAGCCACAGTCCCAATCCAGAGCTTCCCATTCACTTCCCTAACTTCACTCACAAGCTTCATCACCATCCCCTTGGGATCTTCCATCACCTCGAGGATTCGACCGTTCTCGTCGAACAACGCGATGACGGTGTACATCTTCATCCCCATGATCCTTGCCAGCAAGCTCATCCTCATTGGCAGCCGGAAGTAGACGCTCCTCATCCATGGGTTCCGTGTCAGCACCTCTTGAGGTGCAGTTCTACAACAGTCAATGGCTACCCAATACTGCCCTCTGTCGTTGGCCCGAACATTGTCCGGGAAGCCTGGCAGGTCGACGACATGGTCCACCGTGCCGGCCTTTGGTCCCTCCAGCCAGTATTTCATCAGCCTGTGGTAGTTTTCGATAATCGAGTTGTAAGTACGAGTTGACAGTATCAAATCGTCCCTCACACGATCTCAGTCAATTGATCGCGTGGATAGACGATCCAACCTATGACGAAATCGATCAATTGAGATAATTGCATTTGATTGGTGACATGGGGAACCTTATGAGTCAAATACCAACCTGCAATTAGTGGTCTCGGTGAAGAGTAGGAAAGTTTGGTCATGAGATAATTGGACACCATTAGGGAAAGCTAGCCCATCGATCACAACATGAGTTTGATTTGTGGGAGGATCATATCGTAGAAGTCTGCCCGTTGCTTCTCCTTCCAATAAGATGAAGAAATGACTCCTATATATGGTAGATCCATGGTAAAAAGAAAAAACACATATAAACAGGCAATTAATGATTATTTTGTTACAAGCATGTTAATTTACATATCATTTAGAAAAAGAAAAAAAATCTTTATAGACGTAATCACTTACACACGATCGTATCGTTTGCTCGTATCGGTGAAAAAAACGGAGCCGTTTGAGTGGATGTCGAGATCATTGGCGAACAGAATGGGCTTCCCGCCCACGCCGTGTGTAGCCATGGGCCTAGCTATTCCACCTTCCGGCCCAACCTTTAAAAGCCCATAGTAGGCGTCGGCAATGTACAGCTCACCGGTTGCCTTGTTGAATCTCAGGCCCAAAGGCCGGCCGCATTGCTTCACCATTTCTTCCAATTCCTATGTGTTCACAAAACACTTACCTTTCTAGTTAATTTACATGATAGTTGGAAAAGGAAAAGAGCACACCTTGGAATTTAGCGGGAAGAGTTACTCACAAACTAGAGATAACCTTTAAATTGGTTTGGATATAGGGATCAAAATGACTGAAACACAAAGATGACCTAAAGGCCATGTGAGTCAAAGTAAATTTCAAAAATGTTTGAAGATGACAATATGAAGTAGAGTTAAAGGTTGCATCAAAACTATTGAAGACTTTGATGGAAGAAGAGGGGTGTACAAAATTTTACATATGATCAGTGCTCGACTTTCAGCATTCATATGTATGCTTGGTCTGACTAATTTGAAATCGGATAGAAGATCAAGAATCTTCCGCTTTAACATAGTAATAAAGAAGACTAAACCACTAGGCAAGGAACTCTACCAAAGTGGTGAGAGTAACTTCTTGAGAATTCGTGATGGCTGGCGACGATGCCATCAACATGTACCAATAACAAGATTCTTTTGGCTAGATGATAGTAAAAATAATGAACGGTTCATCTCTAATCTCGAAACGAAGAGAGGTTCAACCGTAAAACTGTGAATTAAAGTTCATTTAGATCCAACCCATATTCCATTGTAAGTTTTCATACTCTTCCACGATGCATATTCAACTATTGTGAGTAAGTTAAAGAATGCAACAACAGAAAGAGTGTCAAAGAGGTGGATTGGATTGTATTCATTTGACAGTTGAGACGTGTGAGCTTCATCTTCATCTTATTGTTCAATTTACGGTGATAAAAACAAACAAAATTAATAGAAGGAAGAAAGAAAGCAAGTATTGAGCAATCCCAAGGGCCAAAGACACAAAGCGTGTATACTGTATGGACTAGGTACAGAGACGCTACTTTACAGATCTTTCTTTGTTCTTCCCTGAACGGCTCTCTGGTTTTTTGCTTTTTTTCCTTTTCCCCTAAGCCGCTGAAAAAACAAGTTAGAATCTTTTTCCGCCATTGATATCTTTTCCTGGAGCTCTTAAAGTTTTGATCTTTTCATGAACTCCTCCTTCAAGACCCCAACCCCGCAATCTGATCGATTGATTGCCAGCAGCCGTTTCTTGGCATCTTTGGTTCCCAGGTAAACCCTTCGACTTTACTCTGCTTTTTGTCGTCTCTGCAAACTCAACCCCGATAGTCCACTTCCATCCCTAAAACTTCTCTCAGACCAGAGATAGATTTCAGAATTCCACTAATAGTTCCCGCGAATTTGTCAAGTTAGCTAATTTATGCTGTAAAGCAATCGCAATCGCAGTGGGAGAATCGAGGTCACACAACTTTGCCGCCAAAAATCCGCCATGGCTTCTCTCTGATTCTCCACCGATTGAATCCGAATCAGAAAAGGGGTCTTACAGTTCGATGGCGGGAGGCAGCTGGGAGAGACAAGAGGACGAGGAAAAGAGAGAGAAAGAATCGTGGATAGGGAGAGTGAATTCAGGAGGAGCTGTTCCACTGCTCGATCCGGAGAATTGCGCCAATGGATGGGCGTCACCGCCAGGAAGCAAATTCATGGTTCGAGGCCCTGAGTACTTGAAGACCAAGGTCAAGATTCCAGCTGGAGACTACCTCCTGAAGCCGATCGGGTTCGATTGGATCAAGGGTCCGACCAAAATCTCTGAAATTCTGAAAGATCCAACCACTAGAGTTAGGAGAGCTCTCGACGAGGCATTCCCCCAAATTGAGGGAGGAGGAAACCCTAATTCTAATCACAATCAGAAACAACCCTTTGTTTGGGCTTTCAACTTGCAGGTGCCCAGCAAGGACAACTACAGCGCAGTGGCTTATTTCGCCTTGTTCGATCCTGTCCTGGAGGGATCGCTGATGGATAAATTCTTGAAAGGGGATGATGCATTCAGGAACTCAAGGCTGAAGCTGATTGCCAACATTGTGAAGGGACCTTGGATCGTGAGGAAGGCGGTAGGGGATCAGGCGGTTTGCTTGATTGGCAAGGCATTGAACTGCAAGTACACTGTTGGGGAGAGGTTTATGGAGGTGGATGTGGATATCGGCTCTTCTGTTGTGGCGAATGCGATTGTGCACCTCGCATATGGGTACATTACTCTGCTGACTGTTGATATCGGTTTCGTGATTGAAGGGTTAACCGAATCTGAGCTTCCGGAGCAGCTCCTGGGCGCGTTTAGATTCTCTGAGCTCGACCCGGGTTCTGCCTCGATGCTGAAACCCTCGTCGAATGGCCTGCAGCAGCAGTCCTCGCTGTCGACCAGGTTGTGGAAGTCGATTGGGTTATGAGTTTGCCTGATGATCCAGAACAAGAACAGCAGCAGCAGCAGGGAAAAGGTTTTAGAAAGATAGGGTGGTTTACCCTAATACCCTTTTCTAGGTGACCCAAATTGTAAGGTACTTTTGCTTAGTTGCCATTTGCAGATGTTATGATGGGTTATTTTGTGTCATATCATTGAAAGGGATTCACTTATTTGAGCACCGCAGCAGCTGGAAGTACCTGACAAAGTTAGTGCCAAGTCATTGCAGCCTTTCGTTCTTTTGGGTTGTCTACACGTTTCTGGGATTTGTTTCTTGCATCTTAATCGAACTCTAATTAAGGCACCGACTACGTGTAGCACAACACCTTTTCTGTGTGTTTGTGTGAACTGGCACATTGTGGTTAGTCGTATTAACACATCAACTGCATTCCCTTCCTATCAGACTGAAATTTGGTAATCCAAACTGCATACGGAGAACTCCTGAATGCTCTCAAGTGCGATCATTTGCTTGCTGTTACATCTCTGTTTCTCTACTCAGTATTGACTCAACTGTATGTCTGGTCAAGCTGGAAAATGGTGTACATACTTCCTGCAAAAGCATCATACTAGGATTTCTCAAGAGAAACCTATGCATACAAGGTTACCTGTCTGCAAAGAATAGGCGACTCGGTTTCTCTCAGACAATTGCTACAGCTGCACTACATTGCATTTAACAGTCCATTATACATAAGAACTTGATCGATCACCAAAGTAGAATGATGACCAATATAGCATATTCATGATCACACAAGTTCTGTACCAGCAACTGGACCTGAACCCATCTGCAAAACTCTTAACATTTCCAAGAAACCTTAAAGAAGGTAACGAAGAATCTGTTACAGACTCAATCTCGAAATCGCAAGATCCAGACTTTTTCAGACTGATCACGAACACGACTCCGATCCAGGCCAGCATAGAGATAGCCCAGAAGTTGTTTATCCCACGGATCACACCCCAAGCAATACATACCCCACAAAGATTTCAGACAAGTGGCCAAGAAAGCATGTTTATGGACCGTTTCACTCCATTAAACATAGTTTAGTGATCGACTTGACCATAAAAATAGAGTTTAGTGACCATTTCATCATTTATTATTTAATTCTTAGCCGAAGAAGCACAAAACTAAAAACGAAAACTCGAACTTGCAGGAAGAAGAAAAGGAAGAGGGAAGAAAGATCGAAACTTTGTGCATTTCCCCACGGATCAGGACTCTAAGATCCCATACCGTTGATCTTTTACCCGCCGACCAGTCTCGCGGCATCTCCACCCCTGTCGCTGGCCGTGTTGCGGTGAAGGAAGAGCAGATCGATTCCCTGAAGCTCCGGCGATCCGCCGCTGATTGGCCCTCTTCGGTTCCCTCATAAGCCGTGCATTTTGGCCGGGGGGCTGTCAATTGCCGCCGCTGATCGAGCGTCTGCGTCCCTGGTATTATCTCTTCCATGAAGTTTCGTTTGATGCTCTAACGAACTGAGTTGTTTAATTCACGAGCGGCAGAACTGCTTACGAACTAACACGGGTTAGGAGTATAAAGTTGCTTGATTCAATGTGGCCTCGTGGTTCATGGCTGGTCTGGGTAGTAGAGAAGTGATTCAAGGTTGTTAAATTGCTTGATTCGATGTTAACACACCAATCTTAGAGAGGCGCCAGTGGCTTGAGAAATTGGCCTAATAGTGTCGATTCCATACTCGATGTCATGTTTATCCGATAGTTGCATTTCAAGGTGGATTCTACCAACTGTAGTTAGCATAGACTATAGAGTTCAATCAGAATGGGAAACTAACTGCTTATTTGCTCTCCCCTTAGATCCCCATGCCAAATTCAGGGAGTTATGGACAATCTTCTATTGTTGAAACTAGCTTGTGTTCTGTGCTCGTCACGTTCTTTTGCTGTATCCTATCTTTACTGCTTGTCTTTATTACATGTTCCTTTGCAGCTGATAGATATGGAAGGTTTGGTGGGTTTATGTACCACCACTCCAGTTCGTCCTTCTTATAGGCAGCATCATTCTCTTTTCATTCCACCTATTTCCCTGCAACTGAGGAAGCAGCTAATGCAAAGCAGTCTCGTGACCATGAAACAGCATCGTCCATTTAATTTAGTTGCTGCTTCAACTGAACCATTAAAAACCTCATTGGGACAGTTCGATAACACTCTGCCATCTAAAGGTTGGCACTAATCCAAGATCTTGTTTTGAGCTCTCCAATTTCATGCTAGTGAACATTGTCTCAAGAGCTTTGGAAAAGTATCACACATTATGTTTCATAATCTTGAGATTATTATGTTCAGATTGTCATATGCGTTCACGTTTAAATTAACAGAAGTGCTTGACCTTTGGAGAAGAGCTGATGCGGTGTGCTTTGATGTCGATAGCACTGTGTGCCTTGATGAAGGCATAGATGAACTTGCAGACTTTTGTGGAGCTGGAAAAGCGGTTGCAGAATGGACAGCAAGGTTTAGTGTTCCCTTCCTTTTTTCATTCTTTGATTGCTAGGATCATCTATCTTATGTTTCAAATGTATGGTACCAGGGCGATGGGCGGTTCTGTTCCTTTCGAGGATGCATTGGCTGCTAGATTATCTCTATTCAAACCGTCCTTGTCTCAACTTCAAGACTTCTTGGAAAAGAGACCTCCTAAGTGAGTTAGCTCTTTGATCACATGCTCGACTTAATTCACCATGTAACTAGGTCTGGAGTTTAATATGTTAATATGCATTCCTTGACTAAACTGTTTTTCCGTGCTTGTGCTTTTTGTTTCAACTGCTTACAATTGGAGGAGTGTGTTATTAATTAACTTGTTGAATCATGTTTGATTATGAATACTTACGTTCAAACATCTGGTCGTTTATTTGGATATCCAAGAGTACTTTAGGTAGGTTTATTATCTTTAGAGAACAGTTCCATATATCCGAGCAGTTCTTATGCAAGAGAGCTCATCACTTAAGACTTTTAGGAAATTTTCTTCCTATCTACATCTAGTTCTTGGTTTATGGCATGTCCTTATGACATGTCCTTTAGTTATATTATTGGTCTATCTGATCTGGGGACTGGGTAGGTCTTTGTTTCAAGGCACCTGTTTAAGATGCCTTCAAAGATTCATACACAAAATATCTATGGCATACTGTAGTCAAACTTGCCATGGATAATATTTCCAAATGCATCTTTTGCTTGCTACGGCTGTCTGAATATGGTAATAGATCTAGTTTTCTCTGCAGTTTCCTTGTCCGTTGGGGAACTCTTGCAAACTCTGTCTGAGGAGCAAGTGGTTTGATATTTTTTTTTTTTTTGCCTTCTTCTGTTTTGTAGGATTTCTCCTGGCATAGATGAATTAGTCAAGAAGCTCAAGTCCAAGAATATCAACGTTTACTTGATCTCTGGTGGCTTCCGACAGATGATAAATGTATTTTTCTTCCCAACAAAATTTGCTTTAATTTCTTTCTCTTTTCCCGTATCATCTCAAGTATGAATCTCTTGCAAACAAAGAGTTATCATCTGTGAAGATCCTTTGAGTTTGTTGCATTTGCCAACCTCTAAATTGCTTGACAGTATAGTTCAACAGGCCACAACACCTTATTTTTAGCTGATGAAGCAAGCGAGCTTGGATAATGTAAAACAAGAAATAACAATCTAACTTTCTAGTGACCTTCATAGCTTTGAAGATAAAATCTTCCATATAGATGCATAAAAACTAGTATGTGCTAAAACATTTAACTGTAGATTTTATGATGATGATGAAGTTCATGAACTGTTAGATGTCATGAGTATGTTCGGCTTGGTGCAGGCTACACTTGTTGATTTTTCTTCTAATCGATAACGTTATGGTCACATCTGCAGCCCGTTGCATCAGTCCTGGGCATTCCAGTTGATAATATATTTGCCAACAACCTTCTATTTGAGAGTTCAGGGAAGTTTCTAGGGTTTGATGCAAATGAGTATACATCAAGGAGTGGAGGAAAAGCAACTGCTGTGCAGCAGATAAGAAAGGTTAGTCGGTTTGTCTTGTACAGTTGTACTCTAGATGTTTAATTTGTATGCTTTCCAAGGTCCAAAAAGATACCGATTCTAATGTTTTACCAGGCTCATGGATACAAAGCTATGGTAATGATTGGGGATGGTGCAACTGATCTTGAGGTATAATGCTCAGAAAAGTCCTTTCTTCCTTTTCAACTCATGGTCCTTTCTTCCTTGTTTCATATTGCAATATAGGCACCGGTTTAATTCCATACAATGTGTTAGCAACCCAACCAATTTTCAGTTTAGCTTCTAGCATGGGCTTATTGCTTTAGGGTAGTTATCAGAAGTCAGTTTGTTTGATTGAGAAGTTGGTTATTTGATTAGCTGGTGCCCGCGAGTTGTATCATCATAAAATGGGAGTAGTTTGTATATTCTCGTCTTACTTTTACAACCTAAAGTTGTTCATTCAACAGTATGTCATCCCCTCTGTATCTGGTGCAGGCCCGAAAACCAGGTGGTGCTGACTTATTCATCTGCTATGCTGGTGTTCAGCTCCGGGAGGCTGTTGCAGCAGAAGCTGATTGGCTTGTTTTCAATTTTACAGACCTGATTAACTCTCTGGAATAAGCAAGCTTTTCCAAGCAGCTCGTTTTGGCTTCACAAAGTTAGTGCCAAGTCGTGGCAGCCTTACATTCTTTGGGTTGTGTACGCGGTTCTGGGATTTGTTTCTTGCATCTTATTCAAACGCTAATTAAGGCGTCGGCCATGTGTAACACAATCCTATGTGTGTGTTTGTGCGAACCAAGTTGTTCGACTGACACATTGTGGTTAGTCGTAATAACACAACAGCTGCATTTCCTTCCTATCAGACTCAAATTTGGTAATCCGAACTGCACAAGGAAATCTCCTGAATGCTCTCGAATGCGGTCATTTGTTTGTTGTTCCATGTTGGGGTCACGGTTCGTCAGGATTGCCCTATTTTGTTTGTAGTTCCATGTTGAATTGTCCCAAATTCGATGGCATGCTGATACTGCAATCGTAAGTCATACCAATACAATTACATAATAGAGCCAAACATCAAAATGCCAAACTGAAAGTGAACCATACAAAACCCATTCCCAGCGCCAAGCTTGCAACAAATGGTCGACTTGTTAAGCATTTAATATCTCTGTTTCTCTACTTAGTATTGACAAAACAGTAAGTCTAGCCAAGCTGGAAAATGGTGTACTTACTTTCTGCAAAAGGGTCATACAAGAATTTCTCAAGAGACACCTATGCGTACAACAAGGTTACCTGTCTGCAAATAATAGGCGACTCAGTTTCCATCAGGCAGTTACAATAGCTGCACTACATAGTATTTAGCAGTCCAGTGGAAGAAGAGACTATCAAGCGACGCCAAAAAATGATTGATACATAAGAACTTGATCGATCACCAAAGTAGAATGATGACCGATATAGCATATTCATGATCACACAAGTTCTGTACCAGCAACTGGAACTGAACCCATCTGCAAAACTCTACCATTTCCAAGAAACCTCACAGAAGGCAACGAAGAATCTGTTACAGACTCGATCTCAAGAAACTCGAAATCGCAAGCTCCAGATTTTTTCAGACTGATCACGAACACAACTCCGATCCAGGCCAGCATCGAGATAGCCCAGAAGTTGTTCATCCCCCGGATCAAACCCCAAGCAATACCATACCCGACAATGATTCCAGACAAGTGGCCAAGAAAACTAGCTTGAGGAACAATTATCGAAGTGAAGACCAATGACTCGAACGGCGCGAAACTGATAGGAAGAGAGAGAAGTCCAAAGAGGTTCAACTTTGTGGAGGGCTGCTTCACAGAGAGAATCGTCATCCACCCAAAGACAACACAAGAGTACCCAACAGCTGTCACTCTTCTGAAATACTCCACTTTGAATCTATTTATCAGTACGTGGTACATGGCGATCACTAACACGCCAGATAAGACAACCAACACGAGCGAGTACTGGAGATAGTATAGTGAGCCGAGGCCCATGTGGTCCAGCTGTTCGACTATTCCAAGACTCCAAAGAGCACTCATGTTGAATACCAGATGAATAATGCTGATATGTGAAAATGCTGAAGTGATTATCCTCCAATGGTGGCCTTCTACTGCTGTTTCGTAACTTGAGCCAACTTGTGAATAGCCGAGGTTTTTCTTCTGTAGGTAAAACCATATTGCAGTGCAGAATGCTATAATGCAGCTTGTGGCTGGTTTTTCCAGTATCTCGTAGAAAAGTGGCCTCCCCATCAGCAATAACTCTAATGAGTTCCCTTTCAATTAGTTGGAAGTATGTCTCAAATACAAGGCTTGGCCTTACCTTCTCGAGCGTCCATGGCAGATCTTACAAACGAACCTGAAAGTAAGTAAGAGTTTGTCAAGTGAAGTTCAGAATGGGCAAAGACATATGGTTTTCACTTTTCATCATACTTCTTTTCTATCAAGAGCATGGATTTATGTGAATAGGTAGCAATCTCAAAAGACAGAGAAGCAAATGGGAATGCAAAAGCAGGCCGACTACAGTATCCTAAAACATGTAATGAAGACAACCAGTAGAGATAGGATACAGCAAAAGAACGTGACGAACACAGAAGATTGTCTATAGCTCCCTGAATTTAGCATGGGGATCTAAGGGGAGAGCAAATAAGCATTTAGTTTCCCATTCTGATTGAACTCTATTGTCTACACTAACTACAGTTGGTAGAATCCACCTTGAAATGCAACTATCAGATCAACATGACATCGAGTACAGAATCGACACTATTTGCGCCTATTCCTCAAGCCACTGGCACCTCTAAGATTGTTGTTAACATTGAATCAAGCAATTTAGCAACCCTGAAGTGGATCACTTCCCTACTACCCAGAACAGCAATGAACCACAAGGCCTCATTGAATCAAGCAACTTTCTACTCCTAACCCGTGTTAATTCGTAAGCAGTTCTGCTGCTCGTGAATTAAACAGCTAAAGTTCGTTAGAGCATCAAACGAAGCTTCAGGGAAGAGACAATACCAGGGATGCAGACGCTCGATCAGCGGCGGCAATTGACAGCCCCCCGGCCACAATGCGCGGCTTATGGCGGGAACCGAAGGGGGTCAAGCAGCGGCGGATTTCCCGAGCTTCACGGAATCGATCTGCCTTTTCTTCTACTTCTTCTTCTTCTTCTTGGCCGCCAAGCTCTTCTTCACCGCAACACGGCTAGCGACAGGGGGCGGAGATACCGCGAGACTGGTCGGCGGGAAAAAGATCAACGGTGTTAGAGTTCAACCGCGATCTGGTTTCTCGGGGAACGCCGGTCGATCGTTTGTCTCCTGATCCGCCGGGAAAATGCACAAAGTCTCGATCTTTCTTCCCTCTTCCTTCGAAGTTCGAGTTTCACTTTTCTTCTTCTTCTTCGGCAAAGAGTTAAATAAAGAAGATCAAATGGTCACTGAAAATATATTTGTGTTCAATTCGGTCACTAAATTATGTTTAGTGGAGTGAAACGGTACATAAACCAACAAATATTCATGCTTATATGTTTCTTGTCCGAAAGTTTTTATTTCACAATTCACCATTTACAAATGACTTATACATGATTCATCATCGTTTATTTTAAAATTGGTGTAGTATCTCACTTATGGAAGCAAATTTAGAAGTTAAGTGGTGATATATTATCGATTATAAAAAATTTACATATTCGATAACAAATCAATTTGTCGGTTGATATTGACAAAATATTGATGTTACTCAACACATTTAACTATATTCATATACTTATTTTTATGTCATTCTAATATTGACTTAGTCTCTTATAATATTAGTCATATTTTTCCTAGTTCTCAAATTTAAGTAATTGACCTAAAGAGGTGTCTTGATTCATAATAGTTGTACATTGATTTGATATGAAGTGATTGGACAAACATTTCATGCAAGAAAAGTTCTTTACTTGCTAAACACTCCATTAAGTTTAAATTATTGAATTGGGAGGGAGAGTCTCTTCAATCTTCATAGTTAAACTCATCATCTACGTCCTTTCCCCTTTTCCTTTGAAAGTGGAACATGAACCAAACATGATGAAGATTTTTCTTTTGGGGTAGAACATGATGAAGATTGAATTGAATATGGGAAAATGACCTTTCTTTATACTCTATCAAACACGGAAAAGCAAAAACAATACATTGAATTGAATTATAATATGAAAGATTTATGACATGTTGGTGGGAGTTGGCCAGAGAAGGAGAAGCAAGGAGAACCACACACTGAGATTTTCTTTCTCTCGCCGTGGGACCGCAACAATGGTGTGTTGTATCATCCACATCTCTTCCTTTTTGATTCCTTTTCTTCTTATTAAATTTGCTTGGGTGTAATCAATCCATTGGGAAAGGAGCAAAATCCTTATCTTGCCTCTAATCGACGTGCTGTTAGCTCCCATTTCCATTCGTTTCTATGGCTTCTCTTACCCTCCATTCCTAATCTCTTACCCTCCAAACTTTCTCTGGGTTCTGCTCACTTCTCAGAAGCTTCGCAGCTTTGTTAGGTGAATTCGCCAAACAGATCAGACAAAGCTCGGTTCTTTCCCACTTTTTCCTGCGTTTCTGGATTCTGGGTTCGTCTCGGATCTTGGATTTACCTTCTGGGTAGCTAATAGATTGAGGCGGGTCGCAGTCGGAAGAGATGAAGATTCAGTGTGATGTGTGTGAGAAAGCTCCGGCGACGGTGATATGCTGCGCCGACGAAGCAGCGCTTTGTAGCAGGTGCGACGTTGAAGTTCATGCGGCCAACAAGTTAGCTAGCAAGCACCAGCGTTTGCTCCTTGAATCTCTGTCCAACAAGCTTCCTCCCTGTGATATCTGCCAAGTAAAGTTCCTTCCTTTTTGCCCCTTTTCCCCTTCTTTTTGAACTTCGAATCTTGTCTAGTATTTGGTTCTGGAACTCCAGAGATGGTTCTTGTTGGTAATTTTGCCCGGGTTCCTTCTTTGAATGAGGTATATGACCTCAGTAAGTAAGTAAGTAGTCTTAGGCTGCTACTTGGATTCCATTATTTTACCTTAGTCAATTGGAAGAAGCATCTTGAATTTGGTTCAAGGGTTTCACGAAGCTGGGATTGGCTAATTGTTGATAATTGATAAAGCAAATGGTTGGAATTCTTAATGTGTGGCCAATCCCAATCGTGATTTATCATTTCGAGCTAACTGTATTATTGGTATGTTCATCTTACTCTCCATAGTAACTCCTTCTAACTGCTGATTTCCATTTAATGGTGCAGGAGAAGGCGGCATTCATCTTCTGTGTTGAAGACAGAGCTCTTTTCTGCAAGGATTGTGACGAACCGATCCATTCTGTAGGTAGTCTCTCGGCGAACCATCAGAGGTTTCTAGCTACAGGAATACGAGTGGCATTGAGCTCTAGCTGCTCTAAGGAGGCTGAGCAGAGCTGTTTAGAGCCACCGAATCACAGCAGTGCTCAACAAGTGTCTGCAAAATTGCCTGTACAGCAGCAGCAACAACAACAACAACAGTCGAGCTTCTCGTCCCCATGGGGCGTTGATGATTTGCTTCACTTCTCCGATTTTGGATCGCCTACTGACAAAGTAAGCTTGGAGTTCTTTGTTAGGCTTCATCTCTACCTTCGCCTTATTACTTAGACCAGCCCAGCTTTAGATGCTCATTGGAGGCTTCTGTAGAAGTTCCTATTAGAAAACTTCTAAGTTGTGACCGAACATTATAATTTCGTGCAGCAGACTTCTGGTTCTGAAGTGGATCTCTCTATGTTTTAAGTCATTGACATTCATTCCCTTTTTATCTGTTACAGAAAGAGCAATTGCAGCTTGGAGAGTTCGAATGGCTGACCGACATGGGTCTCTTCGGCGACCAACTCACAGAAGAGGCTCTCGCAGCAGCTGAAGTTCCTCAGCTACCCGTTTCGCCTACGGTCAGTGTCAGCTCATACAGACCTCCCAAATCCAGCATGCCACACAAGAAGCCGAGGCTCGAGATCCCAGACGAAGACGACGAGCTTAACTTCATGGTGCCTGATATTGGCTGATTTCCATCACAGCTTCACTCTCTCGATCTATTCGACATCATGTTAAGTAGTTCGATATCTACATAGTACACATATATCGGACCAAGGGAGGCTCTCCGGAGGAAGAACACAACAATTACTTCTATGGTTGGAATTTGGATCGTGTATTTTGGGGAGGGAAGAACTCAGTGAAGATAACTGAAAGAGCATTGGCTTTGTTCGTTTTGCTCGTAGCTTGTGAAATGATGCATCGTTGTGATGCTTTAGCTGAACTGCTATAATGGTAGTAAATTAATTAATGCAACTTCTTGGTTCTAATGGCTCGTAGAAAAGCCCTGACCGTCAACTCCGGCAGAAGCCGCCTGATGTCCTCCGCGTAACCCTTGACGCCGTCGGCCGGGGAAGAAGACCCGCCGCCGGGAAAACCAAATTCTTCTTTATTCAAACTGAAGGGGCCCACAGGAAAGAATAATCCGACAGCGTTTCGGGAGGGAGGTGTACGTGCGGACGGGAAAACTGGGCTTTTCTCGGTTTAACTGAAGGCCCAAAAGGTTGATGAACTGGTGGCGTTTCGAGGGGGAGGGCAGGCCTACGGCGGGCGAAAACGGGAAAAACGCACAAAATAAAGAAACGGGAATCAGAAACGGGCGAAACGGCCAAGAAGGGTTCATCTTTATTTAATCGAAGGCCCAAAGGGACAAAAATCCATCAGCCTTTGGACAGGGAGGTAGGCGGACGGCCCGGTAAAACTGGGCTCTCGTTAGACAACGGGCCCAAATACCTTTTTTTCTAGCTATCCGAAGGCCTAAAGAAGTAGAAATGCCCCGCCGTTTCGTGAGCAAGGGTAGGCCTAGGCCGGGGAAAACAGGGAAGCTCCGCAGATCGGAGAAACGGTCACCAGAAACGGTCGAAACGTGAAACGTTTCGGGTTCCACAAAACCAAAATCGAAACGCGAGAAATTGACGATTAATTGAAATTGCCGAGATATCGCGATATGACAAAATACCGCGATATTTACACGAATTATTGACTTTTTGCGATATATTGACCGGGTATGAACTTGCCGTCGGATAGGTGGAAAATTGAGTGGGAAATGGAGAATAAAATCCGAGGATTGCATAAAAATAAGGAGAAAGAACACGGAAAAGGATTCCGCTCATGAACTGCGCCAAGATTCCTGCATCCAATTGTGAATTTTTGATTAATTTGGTTTCCAGAATGGGTTCTTAGGCCACTGCAGAGACTTACGGTGAACTTGGGAGAATCGAAGATTTCTGGTTCTTGTGCGATGTCTATGAACGATTACTGCTTCGCTTCTGTGAATATGGAGCTATGGTGGAAGCAGAATCAATCCTCATTGAGCCAGCCAATGGGCTACGTCGCAGATGAATCTGCAACAACCATTTCCGTCGGAAAAGATTTTCCCGGCCACTTTGCCGGAGGCGGCAGCTCTTCCAGAAAACCCTACAAGTGTTCTCGGCCGTACTAATATAAATCCAAGCTTCATATCACTTCGGGCCTCTCATTCAGGTCTATTGCTTTCTTTTTCAATCAGCCTGAATTATTGTTGGGCTTTTTTAGAGTTGAAGTTTGGCTCAAGATCAAGCGACTGAAAGACGAGATAAATTAGATTGAACTGTGAAATACTGAAATCAACTCATTCATTTCCTCCGAATGACAATTTCGACTTGACCCGATTTATCCGACCTGTTTTGGGCGGGTCTGACTTGCCCCGTAGGTGGGGCGGGGCGGGAATGGGTACCTCTCATCGACCCGACCTGCCCTGACCCGTCCCATTCTCGACCCGTTCTGGCCTAAGTTACATGTAATCTTAGTCAAATTACTTAGTATTTTCCTCTTATTACATCATATTTTAGGTATAATGAAGTTGTATATAAGTGAAAAACTCAATTTCTCCAATAATTTAGCTACATTCTATCAAATTATGTTTTCTTTATTGGTCTTTTAATTAAAATAATGAATAATTCTAATGTTTTCGTATAAATCATATACCCAATGGGTCGACCTGCCCCGACCCGCGCCCCATAATAAATTACCCGACCTGGACCCGACCTGCCACGGGGCGGATATGGGTATCGAGATACCTGCCCCGGACCTGCCCATTGCCATTCCTACTCCTAAGTCCTAACAGAAGTTCTTTGAGGACTACCACTCCATTCTACGAGCATGTCTTATGCCTCACATTATGATATTGTGACAGACAAAGAACCGCTCTTGAAGGAATGCAATAGAAAAAAAATTAACACGTTTTTTTTTATAGTTAACAATGGCGGAAGCTCTCTTTGGCCATGAAGGTTTCATGATGCCATCTTTTCATGGGGCAGGAAACAAACAAACCCTGAAATATAAACAAACTCAACAGAAATCACAGAGAGACGCCACTCGTTACTCTTGTCTATAGCTCACAAAATGGTCAGAAGAGGTCATCACTTTGTTCTCCTCCTCCTACTCTTGGCCCTGGCTTTCGCCCCGAACCCGGTCGAACCGCTAACCGGAGTCACCGACGTCCAAGCCCTCCGAGCCCTCAAGGAATCGGTCGACCCGGTAACCATCACCCCGACATCATTCCTCTACAGCTGGGACTTCAACGTCGACCCCTGCGACAGCTCCGGCTCGTTTCTCGGCGTCCTCTGCTCCTTCCCGCTCGACAATTCGAGCAGCCGGGTGATCGCGATCGGCCTCGACGATGCAGGGTACGACGGGTTCCTGAGCCCGCTGATCGGGAACCTGACGGAGCTCGTCACCATCGACCTGACGAGGAACAAATTCCGCGGGCCGCTGCCGGAGAGCATCGTCAACCTCCGGCAGCTCACGAAGCTCCTAATTTCGGAGAATCTCTTCACCGGGCAGATCCCCGACGGCATCACGAAGCTCAAGTTACTTCAGGAAGCTGATCTCTCGTACAACCATTTTTCCGGCAATGTCCCGGCGAAAATCGCCGTGCTGAGGAGCTTGAACCGGCTGATTCTCTCCAACAATGCGCTCTCCGGCAGGCTCCCCGACATGTCCGGGCTGTGGCAGCTCAGCGCGCTCGACGTCAGCTCGAACAATCTGTACGGGAACATCCCCAGGCTGCCGTTGAACCTGAAGACCCTGCTGATGAGCCACAATGTGTTCTCCGGCCACATCTCGCCGGTCAAGCACTTGCAGAAGCTTCTGGTGCTTGACGTCAGCGACAACAGGATGTCGGGCCGGGTCCTCAGGCAGGTCCTGACCCTGTCGTCGCTGGTCCGGCTCAATGTCTCGAGAAACCATTTCACGGCGATGGATCCGATCGATTTCCCCGGGATCGAGACGCATTTGCAGTCGCTGGATGCTAACGACAACCAGCTCCGCGGCCATTTGCCAGGGTCTTTGGCCGGCCTCGAGAACCTGACATCGCTCGATCTGTCGCATAATTACCTGTCGGGTTCGATTCCGATGGAGTACGGGGCCAAATTGGGGCGGCCGTGGAAGTATCTGTACTTGAATGATAACTTTCTGCAGGGGAACCTGCCGCCGCAGTTGGCTGCCGGCGGGGAGGACGGGATTAGAGGGAGCCTGGCGAACAACTGCTTAAGATGCTCGACCACCGTTCGACTCTGTCGCGGTGGCCAGCGGCCGCATGCTGTTTGCGCCGCGCAGAGGCGGCGCTGGTGAGGCTTTCCCCGCCGGCGGGAATTTAGAACTGCAGAATTCTTAATAACATGTATAAGCTCCCTAGTAAAATCATAAGATATGTAGACCTCGTTTGGATGTAATGAATTTGGCTGCGAAATTCTCTCTTCCGTTTGTTTGAACCACATTTCGACACCCAAGCAATCCCTTAAGAGCTATATGATCCAGGAAAAACTAAAACAGAGTGCTGCAAATTCATCTCAAACATCTTCAGAACCTTCTATAAACACACAATCATAAACTGTTGTTTTCTAAGTACAACAAAAACTCATTCCTTGCCCTAGAGTACTACAATGCAGTTATTTTTGGTGTTCAGAGAAGCCAATTAACAGTGATGTTGCCAAGCCACATGAAAAGTGGGAATTGAGCCAAAGCAATGAAGAGCAAGAGATAGTGATGCCTGCTCGAGTCGTAACTCCTAGCCTCGGCGAAGAGGACGCGCTTCATTGTCTTGACCAGAAAGACCCCCATGCAGAGACACGCCCACGGCAGCACAAAGTAGTACGAATAACTGAGCAAGATCTTGCTGAGGACAGCGAGGCAAAGGCCGGTGAACATGTAGCCTGCATACGCGACGATGTCTAATAAGGGAGCTTCTCCGCCGCCTAACGAGAGTAGAGCCATTTTCAGCAGGGCGACCTGCATGAACCACCCGAGTAGACCCTTGACGAACAGCCAGTTGAGGTTTTCTGGGCTGAATCTGTCATTAGTAGAAGTGGAGACTGTCAGTTAACTGAAGCAGCAATGAAAAATCGAGGAAAAGGCTCCAAAAGAAAAAAGTGGAAGAGGTTCATTTGAATGATTTAATATGATTGGAAGAACATAGGGCTACTAGGAACACTAGCTAACTTGGTCAGTTGTTTGGTTGGTTGTAGTCTTGGAGCATTTCCAGGCTTCCACAGACCACTATAAATTATGAGTGATAACTAGGAAGATTATTTTGGGAAGGCTGGCTAACATTCAAACCTCGACACATTATGGTTAGAATTAATGTCTCTTACAGAGATGAGATATATTTGTAACTAGATATTTACGGGTTGGGGGACAGGCTGAAGAGATGAAAGCTATAAGCTTAGCAGAGTTAATACTTACTTTCCATAGAGTCCCAGTGACATGCCAGCAAGAATAACATAGGTGCCAAAAGCCATGAAGGGAATGTACAAATCAGGTGCATTTATATCATAAAGAGGAGGTTTGTACGATAAGCGGCCTCCAACTGGCTCAGTTATCCGCGTCCAGTGTCCCTAAGCAAAGGAATAGAATGAGGTCAGCATATGAAAATAACACAGAAAAGGCCAGGAGAAAAAGAAGGATAGGGAAGATTACTCTGTGCAAGAATGGGAATAGAACAACTTTCAATTTGTTCCTCACATACTGGTCATTCACTTGAAAATAGTATTGAGGATCAGAGAAGTACCGAGTAATCTGTTCATTTAAGAGAACCACGTCAATTAGAAAACATGCATCCAACATACATACTCGACAAAACATATAACAAAGTTTGAGGTGACAATAGGCAAGAATCTATCTCACTCTCAGCCTAAAATTTCTAGCACTCATGTTCAACATATCCCTTCAACGAGTTCATTACAATGCCATGCCAAAGTACAACCACCCATTTCACTGGGACTAATGAATGCAATCCTTATTTGTGATACACAAGCAATAATGGGCATAAATAACTCAAGACATTTGACAGATAGATTATATTGCACAACTCTATGAGCACCCGGGAATCCTATGTTTGAGAGGGTTATATTGAGGGTGTAAGCAGTGTGCACAAAATTTATGAAACTTTGTCTAGACAGGTGCAAGCAACTTTTAGTTAACAGTTAACAAGCTCAAGCAAACTCCCTTATCTCCTACAGGCGGCTAACTATACTGAAAATTAAACATGATGTGTCCATGTCATAATGTTAGCTTAACACTTACATTGCTTTGGACATATTCAGAGCTTGATCCAAATATTTTCTCTCCATAAGCACCAAGACCACCTCTTATCAGGCCAGAACCAGCTCCATAAAATGCATTACCGAATGGATTAGCTTGAACATTTCCTGGAGGTATTTGACCAATTGGCATTCCAGGCACGCCAGGCTGGGTTCCGACATTGTTGTACATACTGTAAGCAAGTAAGAAGAAAAGGAGAAACATAGTTAGACCATCCTTCATTAGCAGTAATGCTAAGATGACCATTTCAGCATTATTTTGAGCGAATTATTCTACAACATGTAACACAAGAGGTAATTTCCCTGTCTACAGAAAATGCACAAAACTAACAGCAGGAGCCGACCACCAGCCCAAAGCAGACCCTTGACGGTATGCAATCATATTCCAGTAAAAAGCACAGTAACATGTATGTAATATCTCATTTTCTCTCGATCTCTTACAATCACTTGCACCCTGCCAACCAATGTGATGAACCCAGAACAACACTGATTCATAAGATAAGTTACCATGTCCTGATCTCCAGTTTAGCTTTTGACTACTTGCCACCTTATACACGAGAACTTCAGACACTGTCCACATCGTCTAAACAAGTTAAACCTCTATTTCAGTAATTCCTGTCCAAAACTAGAAGGAATGATCTAATATGTCGCCATTAAGAAAGTAAGGAATGCAATTGAGCTATCGTCTCAAACAACCAGACAATAGCCCCATGGAATGCGCCCTCTCCCAAAACGCGAACTTTACCCTTCACACCTTGTGAATCCAATTAACCAAACATAGAGCAAGAATTCCCCACAAAGACACAAGCCTTGCAGGAAAACCCCAAGGCCATCCCTCCCGCCATAAAGCTGCAAACTTGCAATCCAATTCCCCGAAAACACTAGTTCGGGAGAACTCCAATTCATAAATCCCATCAGTTTACTTCCATTGAAAGCGATCCTATTGCTTTGGCAGATTCAAAGCAGCTCAATCCTAACTATCTTCGTAATCAAATCTCAGGCTCCAAGAAACGCGCTCGGTTCGCGGGAAGAGAGACGCACCTGAAGTTGCAGTTGGCAAGTGACTGGCGGCTTCGCCCGGCGGTCAGGGGCGGCAGATCTGAGCTCCGACTAGCAACGAGCTAACGGGCGATAGGCGAACTGGACGGAGACGGAAGGCGATCGATCGTACGAGGCGAAGAAAGGACGAATTGGCGAGCGAAAGATTGAACTATGGGTCTGTACGTTTCCAATGAGAGAACTGATTTACGAACGGATTCTGGAAACAAAAAAATATAAGTTTTATACGGACATTTTATTGGTCAAGCTTTGCCACGGTGGCTATTTCGAGTGATGTGATTGGTTTGATGCTGCAGTTAGGACTCTTGCCATGATTCATGATTCATGATGCAATCAGAACTCGGACCGGACCCGAGCTGAATTGACTGTGTCCAATTCGGTTTGTTCTGCCGGTTTTATAATTCTAATCTAATGATTAAAAAATCGTATCATATTGACGGTTGAACCTCAAAATACTGGTACGGGACCCAAATCCAAAGTGGTACAAACAATCGTAGTAAAAAATCGGTCGTTGTAGAAGTTGAACCTATGAACTACGAAATTATGACCGGTTTTAATCAAACCGAACTGTTCGTAAAATTAAAACAAAAATTCTCCAATGCCAAAACGGCGTTGTTTTGAGAGAAAGTTACTGAGAAAAAATGAAAATTGGTAGAGCCATCTTCTCGCACACAACCCTAATGACAATTACTCTTATCATTTTCACTCCTCCACTAAAGCAATACTCAACTCTCTCTAGCAAACAGAGACCGAGCTCTCTCTCTCTCTTTGACGGTGCGATAAAGGCAACATTTGCACTTTGCAATTGGATTTAGTTAGACTTAATTATAAGATTAAGTGAAGTTGTTTATTTACTCTATGTGACTTTGTTTCTCGTGTTCAGGTAGATAATATTTGACGCATTGATATCATGTGTAGTTCCGTTATTTTTTCCAGTGTGATGGCATACTTTTATGGGTTTTAACAAAAATATATTTTATGGAACGTTTAAACCTTGAACCACGATCGTACCGCAAAATATTCTACATACACTAATTCGGTATGAACTCTAATAGGTTTTTCAAATGATTGATTCTAATAGAATAAAGTCACAAGGCAAAAGGGTAATTCTCACTTATCGATAGCATTTTCAATGTTATATCAATCAGTTCTATTAGAATGAATTGTAATTTGATGTAATGTTGATTGAATTGCTACATATATGTGACATGTTATCTCGCTAGTAATTCAAATATATGTGAATGCGCATAACTATTTATTTCTTGTGCCCATAAAATCTATAATCGATATTATCTTGAATATAAAATGAACAATATAAGGAGCTCACGATATGGTAGTACAAAATCAAGTTTATAGAGTTAGACAAAGGCCACTAATAGTACAAATATTAAAAGAATTGCTCGGAAACTTAATCTCTCTTACATAAGCTTTATCCTTCTTTTTTCTATCAATAAGATATCAAGCAAAGATATATTATCATATCGAAGGTTCACCACCGGAAAATGACACATTTATGGTCGAGTCAATCATTATATATAATCCATCTCACTTTTTCAACTTAAGGTCTAAATCCTTGGATACATACCATAACCCTGCAATGATTTTTCTTTAATGTAATCGTTATTTCAATACTAAACATAAAAACATAAATTAACATCTCAATGACAACAATACAATTCTTGTAGTTTTCCAATGGCAAACATAAAATTAAGCAAGGTTGTTTTAGGTGCATCCATCATATTAGCAAAATCTAACAAAATTGATATTGAAGAGAAAACAACTATTTTGTCTTTACATCTCATTATTTTCATTTTTCAATGATGGTTAAGTTACTGTATTTTTTTGCATGACAAACACGAGAAAACTTGACAATTATGGGTACTATTCATGTAAATTACTTGGTGTATTATGTATCATTCTGCAATTAACCTTGGCTTTATCCGGGAAAATACTTCCCTTCAAACAGCACTAATTCGAGTCGCTTCGAGCGAAAGAATGTGAAGGCGGAGGATCAAAATCAATCCGAATTGACTTCGGAAAAATCGAATACCTAATCTACCGGTGCATTCGTTGCTCGCAATCCATTGTTCTGATTCGAATTGAGCTTTTGCTTTGGTTGCTGTAATGGGGCATAGCTCGAAGAAGAAGAAAAAGAAAGGAGGCGGGAGTGGGCGGCGGAACAAAGATCACTCCTCAGCTGCCTTCGATGGCAACGAGCTTCTCGCCGAAGAGATTACCGCCTTGTAAGTTGCATTCCGTCGATCAATCATTGAGTTCCGCTCCAATTCTTGAATTCCCACTGTCAGTATCCTGCTGCAGTTCTTGTGTTCTTTGTTGGTGTTCATATTTATGGAGTGTTTATATAGTTTGCTTATACTGAGTAAAGTGCTATTGTTTGGTTTATTCACTGTGGCAGTATAGAAACAAGCAATGTTATGCACCCCGGTGATGAGAACGCGTTGTTTGTTTACTGAAATCTATATTTTGATAGAACAGACTATGTATCTTGTTCAGCTTTGTTGCTTGATTCTTCTCTTATCAGCTGTGTCACCGTCAGAAGCAAGCCACAGTATGGGTCCGGGTAGGAGATTGAGCTTTGCTAGATTGTGTGGAAGTTGGCCGCTCTGCTATAGAGCAAGGCTTGGTGTCCTGACCTCAACATTGTTATTTGAGTTGAGTCTGTTCATTGAAATGAAGTTCTGTTGTCCTATTGATTGGCTGAGAGAACGACACACATGAGTTGTTCGTCATTTCCCCTTCTGCAGCGTGCTTTATGTTCAACACTTTTCCTTTCATCTCTTTGTGAACTTTGGTTTGGAAGTCTTGCTGTTTAAAATTCTTGGATGGGCTATATGAAGTTTACTTTCAAGATTCTGTGCTGTAACCTGTCTCATAAATGTTGATGTTTTGCTCCATCCCTTTCACTTTCAGGAGTGCAATTTTCCAGGAAGATTGCAAGATTGTGCCCGGACCACCTAGTCAGATCGTAATAAAAATCAGGTTCTTGTGCTCCTGCAAGATTTATGCATGGAGTTCCATTTTTCTTGTTGGTCATTCTGATTTTGAGGTTTGAGCAGGCCTCATTCTAAAGATATGGGCTTTGAGGATTTAGACATCTCAGTTCAGCTTTCAGTCAGGTTGGTCAGAGTATAAAGTCATATTTTGTATATAAATTTGATTCATATAATATTCTAAGGTGGTATCTCGCTTGCCAGATGTTTACCAGGATATCCTTACAAGTGCCCAAAACTGAAGATTACTCCGGAGAAAGGATTGAAAGAAGATGAATCAGAAAATCTTCTGTCTCTTCTTCAGGAACAGGTAACTTGTTTTGTTTGTTTCTTATATATTGATGAAGTGCATGATTCTCCTGTCCGTATCATGTTTCTTGAAGCCATTTCATTGCTTTATGTAGTTGCACTAGCAATCGTCAGTCACCTGTCAAGTTTGCTTCCAGCTTGGAAGATGACTTTTCATACCTTTACTGTATTTCCCCATTTGTCCAACTGTTTTGTATTCGTGAAGGCTACTTCAAATGCGCGGGAAGGAAGAGTGATGATTTTTAATTTAGTGGAGGCTGCACAGGAGTTCCTTTCTCAAATAGTCCCACCTGAGCGAGAACCTGAATCTGTAAGGCTTCTCCAAAATCTTATTCAGAACTACGTAGTTAACATACGTTGTTGTTTGATAAATATAGCTAAATGCTCGTACTTTTCCTTACTTCAGTAGCTAACTGATATGTCTTTTTTGTGGAAGGCTATGTGCTCAACTGTGGATAGGACCAGCCAGTTGTTCCAGAAGGACTTCCCAGTTTCCGGTGATAATAACTGCACTTCTACAGGGCCGTTTGTTTATGGTTTCCTAGACCTCTTCGGTGGTTCCGGAGAGTCATGGCATTGGATGCCCTTGGACGATAATAGAATGATGAAATCAATAAAATCATTGTCATCTGATCCTTTAAAAGTCAAATCTGGTACACAAGGAGTAAAAGTAGACCGGATTGAGCCATCACCAGTCCAAGCCAAAAAGCAAGGCACATTTCCTTCCCCTATTGCTGAGTTGGATATTCTTGATGAAGAGAGCGAAGATGGCAATAGTAGCACTTCCGATACCGATTCGAGTAGCTCGTTAACTGATCAATTTGTAGGGCATGAAATGAACAACAACAATGAGGTATGTAAATTTGGGAATTTCTTCTTTGTTCATCATGCCATTGATGCTTGGTTTTCTAGGACTTGCATCTATTTCTATTTGTTAAGCGATAAGCACTGATGTCTTTATTAGATTTGTGGCTACCGTGCTGAACTCCTTATGGAATGGGGATAATTGTGTATTATCATATCATTAACATAAAATTGTTACTGGAAGTGGGTTTCTATCACGTACGTAGTACTAAGAATGGTTCCTTTGATTCTACAGGATAGCTCTACCAATGAGCAAATAGCAGTAGAGAACAACAATGATTTTGAGACTGAGGCGTGGAAATCCCTATCTTCCTCCCCCTTTAGCGATGATTTAGCATCTCAAGCTATTGAAAAGGAACTTATAATGGTAATAAAACTTTATACCTTTTTCATTATGGAGCTTAATCCATTTTATCGATACCGAGATTCTCCTTCATTAGGTCCATCTGCTTCGTCTTGCCTCCACATCACAAGGAGCTCTTGTGGATATGTTCCCCAATGTTATAACCGAGCTCTGCAATTTAGGCGTATGTATTCATTGTCTTTTACTTGTCTTTTTTTCCCTTCATTAGTGTGTGGATATCTGCACATTTGTGAAGCCTGATTCAGCTAGAATATTTCCAGATCTTATCAGAGAGGGTACTAGAACTTGCTTCAAAACCATCTTCAATGTTTTCCACAACCTTTGAGCATGTGTTCCGGCAGAAAATGGTTGGCTTTGTGCTCCTTCTTTTGTCAATTTTATCTTGGAAAAAACATAGTGGTTAACCATCTTTATCCAGGTTTCATCCAGAGTACCTCAATTTTGGAAGCCTCCCTTGGATTTGGACGGGCTTGCCGCACCTATGCCCAACTCTAGATATCTTAGTGACTTTGAAGAGCTGCGTCCCCTTGGTAGCTTCTCTTTCTTCCTTTTTACGCCTTTGTGTTTGCACTTACTGGTGTTTGTAGAACCTTGGTACGCTGCTATCAAATGTGTTAAGTTTCTTGATGGATTATGTTTCCTTTAACTTGTTGTATGTGTGTTTATTTATTTATAACTGTTGCCAGGTCATGGTGGTTTTGGCCATGTTGTATTATGTAAAAATAAGTTGGATGGGAGGCAGTATGCAGTGAAGAAAATTCGTCTCAAGGACAAAAATCTACCGGTTGATGATAGAATATTGAGGTAAAATATTATGTTATTTTTAGGTTTGATGATGTGACCATGTCAGGTGGACACAGGCACTGGTTTATGATAGTTAAATTGTTTTAAGTACTAATCTTCTCTAGTTGCCAAATGATCCATAGTTCAGTTGTTTTCTTAAATCATCTTAGTTTACACTAGGAACCCTCATGTTTTAGCATTATGATTCCTTTGCTCGGATGTATGATGAATACTTTTGTAGTGAACTCTTGTTTTTCTATCAAGGTTTCCCTTTGCCAGTTTTCCTGTCTCGTATTCATTGGATGAATTGCCTTTTGACTCAATAGAAATGGTGTATAAGCTTCATTGTTAGTTTTTTGTCATTTCCCCATCCCTTTTCAGTATTTGCTGCTTTTGATGGACGACAAGTCTGGTTGCACAGCCTTTGTTCCTATACCCTGTCTTAAGTTGATCCACATACTAGTGAACTTTAGTTTACCTGAAGCATGACTATTGAGATCGGTGCTTTTATTTTCTATATTTTTTTCTTGTTCTTATAAAAATCTTGTCGTAACTCTGGCGAGGTGCGTAGGGAAGTAGCTACACTTTCTCGTTTGCAGCATCAGCATGTTGTTCGCTATTATCAGGTGAGGAAATTCGATTTTGCTTTTATGGTGGATTATTGCCAACGAAATAAAACGTGGCACAAAATGTATGCTGTAGTTTATGACTAGGGATGGAATCCTTAACTGTCTAGTTCTAGAAGCTGAGAACTTCTTTCTCTTTCATATTGATAATTATGTACTTGCTGAAAACAAGTGAAATGGCCTGAGTTCACACTCCAAGTGCAAGTTTCTTGATTCAGTAGTTGAAAATGTTGTGGTTTACATTCTCAAGGCTTTAATGATAGTTATGGCAATTGTAAAAACTTTCAGGCATGGTTTGAAACAGGACTGGTTGGTTCTATTGACGATATCGGTTGGGGTTCAAGTACTGCAGCTAGCTCAAATTTCAGCAGGCAGACGTCTAATGTTGGGCAGGATACTAAGCTTGAATCAACTTACCTTTATATACAAATGGAGTATTGTCCAAGGTATAAACATTATTTCTTTTGAATTCTTCTAGTGCATTGTTGTTGCTTTCTATTTCTTGAGAAAAATCCTTAGGTTCATGCTTCAGGTGATGAAAATTGTAACTTCTTGGAAATGAATTTTGAGAAGTAATGAAATAAGTACTATTTAGAACTTGAGTATGGTACTCTTTTGATGGTTCACATACTTCATTTAAGCTTGTAGTACACAGATTAAAAAGCACTTTAACAGTAGGAAGTATTTGTTCTTACATGCATTTCTGTATTCCTTTCCTTTGTTGAACACTTGAGATAGCACATCTTGGTAATATGTTTTTTATTGGTTTCTTGTTGAATCTTCTGGTCTAATGCCCCTTCAGTAGGATTGGGAAAAGCCATTGGATTGTTTTTCTTCTTTCAGTTGTAGATCTAGAGTTGCTGACTTTCATTGTTTTCTTTCTCATTTTTCTATGATTGAAGGACTCTTAAAGAGGTCTTCGAGTCATACAACCATTTTGACAAAGACTTAGCTTGGCATTGGTTTCGGCAAATCGTTGAGGGCTTGGCGCACATACACGGGCAGGGAATTATCCATCGGGACTTGACTCCAAATAATATATTCTTTGATGCTAGAAATGAAATAAAAATTGGCGACTTTGGACTCGGTAAGATAAGTGTTTTTCCATAGCAACTATCATACTAATGGATTTGTACGCTCACGCTGATAATGCACCTTCAAAGTTCTCTCTGTGTTTTGAGAAAATAGATGATAAGATGAGAATGTGCTTCAGCCTTCGTTTAATTTATATCGTGTTGACGAATGTGGGTGGGACCAGCTAAGTAGTGGGACAGTTAGGGGAAAATATGAACTATTACAGTTTTGACTATTGTCGTCTCTGTTGACTATCTTGTTTTTCCTATTGCAGCCAAGTTCCTCATGTTGGAACAGGTGGATCACGAGGCACCTTTGCCCTTGGATCCTACAACTGGAGTGTCAGTTGATGGCACTGGTCAAATTGGAACATACTTTTACACTGCACCTGAAATTGAGCAAGGCTGGCCAAAGATAAATGAGAAGGTCAGTTTCAGATTGCTCTTGTATCTTCATTAATTTATTTTATATCATCCCCATGTTATTCAGGGATTACGCATAAGATTCACTAATATTCAGTTGTACCTCAGGTGGACATGTACAGTTTAGGAATCGTCTTTTTTGAGCTTTGGCACCCTTTCGGAACATCTATGGAGAGACATATTGTGCTATCTGATTTGAAACAGAAGGGGGACTTTCCTCGTCCTTGGGTTACTCGATTTCCGGAACAATCATCGTTATTGATGCGTTTAATATCGCCGATTCCCTCTGACCGTCCATCTGCCACAGACCTTCTAAAGCATGCTTTCCCCCCGAGAATGGAATCCGAGTTATTAGATGGTGAGCAGCTTATGATAAACTTCCTATATTTGTGAGCCTTAGCAAAACGTGGAAGGTGCAAAAGGTGTATTAGAAAGAAACAGATTACCGAAAAGAATGTATGATGTATATCATCGACTGTCTGGCATGTGCTTGAATGCAGGATGTGCCAACATATTGCTTACAAATTTGATTCTAATTCTTTCTTGGCAATTATTATTTCCAGGCTTGTTGCGAACTATGCAAAGTTCTGAGGACAGAACTGTCTATGAGAAGGTTGTGGGTTCCATCTTTGATGATGAAATGATAAGCATGAGAAGTGGTAACCAACATGCTGGTACATCAGGAATAATTAGTGATACTTCCTCCACCCAGTGTTTGGATTCTGAGTTCCGTGATTATGTGGTTGAAGCTACAAGGGAACTTTTCAAGCGTCATTGTGCAAAGCATTTTGAAATTGCACCAATACGTTTGCTTGATGATTCTCCAGATCTTAACAGGTTAGAGTCTTAGCAATAACTCTCTCCTTATCTTTCTTGTCTAGGAACTGAAAACTAGGGCTCGCTAATAACTTTTTATGTTGCATTAGAAGAAGTGTGGTCAAGCTTTTGTCACATGGAGGTGATCTGCTTGGACTTTGTCATGAGCTGCGTTTTTCATTTGTTAGATGGCTCTGTGCAAGCCAGGTATCAACTAAATTTGTATCTTCAATGTTCGTTGTCCTTCGGTATTATCTCTGTCAATATAAGTTGCAAAACTTCTAAGATATGATGATTTAAAAGTGATGCTTTTGAACTGACTCGATCATTTATCTTTGCACTTTTGTATCTTCTTAGAAAACTTCGTTCAAGAGGTATGAAATATCATATGTTTACAGGAGAGCAATTGGCCATTCACCACCAAATCGCCATCTACAGGTACGACTACTTCCGCCGTATCAAATTGAGTGGGTGGTTCTATGGCTTTCCCTTACGCAGATGGACGGCTATGACAATTAATAACAGTTCAATTTCTAGTATATCTTCGTTTTAACTTGCCTTCCAAAACAATCGTTGGTTCAAGCATTGGTGTCAACTTCGTCTATCTGATAAAACATTTACTTGTATGAAATCTTTATTTTATGAACAGGCTGATTTTGACATTGTTGGAGGTGCATCAGCATTGACCGAGACAGTGATTATCAAAGTACGAGTCTATTTCTCTTTCATATAGTTTCTTTGCTATATTTGTTGTATGTCACATTAGATGCATACCTATACTTATCTGGCTTTTTTTTAAGCCTTTGTTTCTGTGGATAAGAACATAGTCTATGTACATGAGGATTAACCGAGGATATGTAAGGATGGTGCAACATTCGTAGTGTAAAATTTGCTCTATTATATACCTAATGCATGACAGGTTCAATATCCCCTGCTTCCATCAAAGTCATACTATTCTTTGATAGTTCTATGAAAGTTATTTTTGTCCTTGGACCCTAGTTTCTTATCAATTTACAAACTTTTGAATGTAATTTTTATTTGGCATTTCAGGTGACGATGGACATTTTGACTTGTTTCAACTCTCATGGATTTGATATTCATTTGAATCATGGTGACCTGCTAAATGCTATCTGGTCATGGGTTGGAATCAAACCAGATCATAGGCAGAAAGTTGGGGAGGTACTTATCAAGATTTTATTTTTTAAATGAAATCATTATTTGTTTGTGAAATGAATTAAATTCGCCCCTTCTACATGAAGCTTCTTTCCATGATGGCCTCATTGCGTCCTCAATCATCTGAAAGGAAGTTAAAGTGGGTAGTGATACGACGTCAATTATTACAGGTTAAGTGAAGAATCGCGAAATATCTGCTTTTGTGTTTGAAACTTTGCCACTTTCATTAGATGGTAATATTCTATCAGTCTACCAATTCCTTAACTTTTGCCTTATCACTTACTTGCAGGAGCTAAATTTGCCCGTAGCTGTTGTGGATAGATTGCAGACTGTAGGTTTGAGGTTTTGTGGTCCTGTGGATCAGGCACTTCCTCGATTGAGAGGAGCCTTGCCCGCTGGTATTACTTATTCTTTTATTGGTTTGTTCAGTGTGTCATCACTGACTAAAATGCTAAATTATTTGTTGGATTTTGGTGCATTGTAGATAAAGCTACACGGTCGGCCCTTGATAATTTGTTGAACCTCTGTATTCATTTGAGAGTTTGGAATATAGAAGATCATGTTTACATCGATCCATTAATGCCCCCAACGGAAAATTACCACAGGAACTTGTATTTCCAGGTAATTTTATGCTTTTGCGACATGCCTAATCTAGTATTTAAACCACTGAAACGAATTTTTTTTAAGAAAATGACAATGTAGATCTGAGCAAATTTACATTTCGTCCACAAATCAGGTATATTTGATGGCGGGCAACAATCCTTTATCGCTTGGTGAAGGTCTCTTGCTTGCTGTTGGTGGTCGATATGATTATTTGCTTCGCCAAATGTGGAGTCATGGTTCTGTAAGTTGTAGCTGATTTGATCACCCGGTTTCTTTGCTTTATTTTCTCTATCTTAGGTTTTCCATTTTCTCCATCTTTTTTGGGTTTCCAGACAAGCAATCCTCCGGGGGCTGTTGGGACAAGCATTGCTCTAGAAACCATAATTCTGAACGCTTCTGGAGATATCAGGCCTATAAGGTTCATCGGTCCCTTCTATCCTGACATTAGTTCCATTCATATGAAGCTTTTGATCGCATTAGTGACAAATTGTGCTGTCCTTTTACTTCATTCACTAGAAACGAAGCGAGCATGAGTGTTCTTGTATGCTCGAGAGGGGGAGGTGGGTTGTTAGTGGAGCGGATGAAGCTAGTTGCTGAACTGTGGGAAAACAATATCAAGGTCAGAAAGATTGGCTTCCTAACTTCCCACGTTTTCCCATTGTTCATGATCCTCACAACTATGACATAGTATTCACTTGTTTAAAATGGGTTGTACCAGGCTGAGTTTGTCCCAACACCTGATCCAAGCCTGACAGAGCAATATGAATATGCCAATGAGCACGACATCAGATGCCTCGTGATCATGTCTCAGACTGGTTTCGTGAAGGTAAATCAAGGTTAAATGCCTAAATGGGGTGCCGATCGAACAATTTTGAGTACATGTTTATGATCTCTCTCTCAATTGCATAGGTTCGTCATCTGGAGCTGAAGAAGGAAAAGGAAGTGAAAGATGATGCATTGGTGAGGTTCTTGCTGGATGCAATGACAACCCAGTTCAGGAACCCTTCGGTTTGGAGCAAGGCCGACGAGACAACTGCTTAGATGTCACCGATGCCTACAATTTTTGAAAGTGTAGTAGCCTAACCTCGCATTAGTTTTTGGACGATAAAGTCACTGTTTTCGATCTTTTACTACAACGATTCATCAACTTTGGTTCCAGTAGAATTTCCTGGGTGGATGTAAATATGGAGCTGCCAGGAGCTTAGATTTAGTTTGTTTATTTCTTATGTCGGGTTGTTAAAGCAATTTTGTTGGTAAAAGGAGGAGAAATAGTGGAAACACCTTGGAGTTGGTTTTTGCTCAGTTATTGTTCTTGAGATGGTGATGAGAATCAAACTCTACAACAACCAGATTCCAAAAACAAAAGACTTCACCTTTACAAGCAAAAACTAAACTGCAGACTAAAATGTTACAACTGTTCTGTGTTTCAGCCTACGCAACATCAAGCTGCTTGAATTGCATACTGCATGAAATATCACAATAGCTTTATATTCAGCCTACATTGCTTCGAAATGCTGCGTTAATATGCCGTGGGTATCTTCGCTGGTATGATTGAACTGATAGGATTACTGGAACAGGGAGAACATAATGCAATGCTAAACGATGCAACTATTGTGTGCAGTGGCCAAAAAGCCATAGTTTGAACCTTGTTCACCTTCTCCAAACATTAGGATACAGAGCACCACGGCTCATTATTCTCGAACAGCAGGCTCTCTTTTTTTCCTAAACAAAGTGCAACCCCATGTTTGCAATAATGTACATACAAACATGACTGAAAGTATCTAGATTCACCCGTTCTATGCCGAAAGGCATGAAAAGATCTTATATTGCTTGTAGAGCCGTATGGTAACCTGGTTCACACCTCTACTAGAGAGTTCATACTCGCTAAGACGCTATCTTTGTCACACACAACGGAGTAACCACAAACGAATTGTGCAGTAGTTTGACAGTTCCCTTAAGAAAAGAAAGACCGGGTCTTGTTGCGTTCTAGCCGAGCTTCCCTCTACCAAGATCGAACAAAAGAAGATACAAGACTCATCAGAATGAGAACAAGGCTAGAAGAAAAAGCTTTTGGGAAGTTTCAAAATACTGGTAGGGAAAGTGAACTGTTTACCTCCTTTTTCTTGCATTCTTTGTAGACATCAAAATGTTCCTGACATTTGCTCTTGTCTGTGCTAAACTGTTCCAGGCCTACAAATAGAACTCAGACAATTAAAAGCACTACCTCAATTCACATACAACTTTTATGGATGACCCTAAAAACCATTTGTGATATCCATATGCATATATCCATAGCCGACAAGGTGACACCAAAAGGCTAAGCATTGAAGTTTCACCAGAATGAGCAAGCTCCCACCTTCATTCAACCATGGCAAATAAGCATTACCAACAAGTACAATTTCATCGCTGCTGACTGCTGAGTACCGTGTGGATAGATGGAGAAAGTTCATCGATCATCAAACCAAAGGTTTAAACTTTCAAAGCATAAGAAAGAGATATTCAGAAAAAGGAAGAAATTCCATCCTGAGATTCATTCAGCATTCCTCAAAGCCACAACAGAGCATGTCATTAATACTTCTCCGCAGACAGGCAAAGTAAACTTAACTACCTAAGCAGAAAACTTAAACTTGCCAATACCAGAATTCAGATAATTCTGATGGTACAATGTTAACGACGAGTTCACTCGCAAAGCAGGAAACCCAATTCAAGTAGTGAAAGAAAGATCCTAACTTTGGCGCAGCATTAGCAAAAGCTGAGGGCTGGGTATCTGGGATAGTAGCGAGGGTTCTTACACTTGAGAGAAGCGGTGTACTGAGGAAAGCACTGAGAATCGGATATCCTGGCGGCACTCGGATACGGCGGTCCTCCTGATGCTGCAGCCGTCGATCCCATCACTCTGCTCCTCGCTGATTCTGAATATCAATCTTCACCTCCTACGATTTGGCGTCTGCCTGACGAACGATGGTAGATTTTCCTCGTCTTCCCTGAAACTGAGACGAGACGTGGCTTATGAGGAACTTCCTGCTCTTCTTCCCAACGGCAAGGATTTTGGGCTCGGAATGCTTGACAAGAAAATGGGCTTGGTGCTAGTCCATTGGGCCGTAAACCGACTTTCTGCAAATTTTGGTGACTGTTTCTGCAATTGACCAAATTTGGGAATGGAGGGAGATGTAAAACAAACAGAAGCCATTGAAACCAAATAGATGGAGGGAGAAATGCAATAACTGCTAGCCATAAATGCAGTCACCTACATCCACCACCTTCCCCTTCTTCTCTCTCTCTTACCCCATTTTTCCATTCAACCCAAAGCCAGCCTTCAGTTTCTTCTTCCCTTTCTTTCTTGAGCTCACCACCCTCCCATTTAATATTCCATCTCTCTCTCTCTCTCTCCTCCTTGAACTCCACAGCCAGTAGTGTAGAGTGTAGACCCCCAAAACCTTACCATAGACCGACCATTCCTCCTTCCTGCAGCTGCTGTCCGCCATTTCCATTTCCCCCACCGCCCTCCACAGCACTTCACGTAATTGTGCCAGAGTGAGAGCTGAATTCCGCTTACCGCCATGGAAACCCACTTCCGTCCTCCCTCTTTGGTTACTGGGTAGCTCTCTGTTCCTCTCGATCTGAACTCCAAATGGAGCAAGTTCCCTTCTTTTTTCTTTTGTCTCTCTGAGTCTGTATAGTACCTACTGTTTGTTTATATGCCCCAGAGAAAGAAAGGCGAGGAAAAAAGGGGTAGAATTGGGAATGCTCTGCCTTGGCTAATGGTTAGTTAGTTTGGAGTGTTTCACATTCTCAATTTGGGGCTCATTCCTCATGCTTCTCTTTCTATGCAAGTAGCTCTATCTGAAGAACCCTCCTTTGTTACTTCTTCAGTTTGAGTTGACCATTGCCGGAGCATTTATTTTTACCGGTTCTCTTCATTCTGCAGCCACATGTTCCTTCAGTATTCTAGTAGTGGAATTCACTGCTCTCCTCTGGAATTGTTTTCAGTCCGAAGTCTAATGCTTTAGCTAGGCTGGGAATTTACTGCATTTGCCACTGGGCTAGATGTAGTGACTCATAAATTGTGTGTTATAGCAAGTTAATCAGCTATTCAGAGTTAAAGATGGCAGCTTTATACCTTTGCCATTGGGTTCTAGTTGCTAGCTTCCTGGTTCTTTCCCACAGATTGCAGTCAATCTCGGCACTGGGCTCAATGTCATCAATAGCCATCTCCTACGGAGAAAACGGCCCTGTATTCTGCGGCCTGAAATCAGATGGTTCCCATTTGGTAACCTGCTACGGCTCAAACTCGGCAGTAATCTATGGAACTCCAGCTCACTTCCCCTTCATTGGTCTAACCGCTGGCGACGGATTTGTCTGTGGGCTGCTCATGGATTCCAACCAACCTTACTGCTGGGGAACTAGTGGGTACATTCAAATGGGTGTCCCTCAACCAATGATTAAGGATGCTGAGTATGTAGAAATCAGTGCAGGAGATTATCATTTGTGTGGTTTGAGGAAGCCATTAACTGGCAGGCTTAGAAATGACTCTATCATAGATTGCTGGGGCTACAACATGACCAAGAACCACGAATTCGACGGTCCAGTGCAGTCGATTTCTGCTGGCTCCGAGTTCAACTGTGGGCTGTTTGCTTTGAACAGGACGGTTTTTTGCTGGGGTGATGAAACTAGTAGTAGAGTGATTAGTTTGATCCCCAAGGAAATGAGGTTTAGAGAAGTTTCTGCTGGTGGGTATCATGTTTGTGGGATTTTGGAAGGTGTTGATTCGACCCCGTTTTGCTGGGGGAAGAGCTTGGACTTGGAGGGAGAGATGGCGATGGAGATGATGGAAATGAAGAGTTCTTCTGGTGAGGTGAATGTGGATTTGGCTCCAAAAGAGCCTATGGTTTCAGTTGTTGGGGGTAAGTTCCATGCTTGTGGTATCAAGAGTTATGACCGTGGAGTCATCTGCTGGGGGTTTGTTGTTAAGAGAAGCACACCCCCTCCAAGCGGCATTAAAGTTTACGAGATTGCAGCTGGGAATTACTTCACTTGTGCAGTCCTCGCTGAAAAGGACCTCTCACCAGTTTGCTGGGGGCTTGGATTCCCTACTTCTCTCCCACTAGCTGTCTCACCTGGACTGTGTAACACTGGTCCATGTGCTTCTGGAACCTACGAGCTCAATTCTTCCGATAATATTAATAACTTGCCTTGCAAGGCGCTTCCTTCGGCTTCTCATGTATGCTTACCTTGCACCAATGGCTGCCCTCCTGAGATGTATGAAAAATCTCAGTGCACATCGAAATCGGACCGACTATGCGAGTACAACTGCTCAGCTTGCTACTCTACTGAATGCTTCTCGGGCTGTTCATCCGGGGAGAAGAATAAAAAGGAGAAGAAGGATGAGAGGGGCTGGTCGATGCAGCTGCCTGTGATTATTGCAGAGGTTTCATTTGCTGTGTTCTTGGCGGTCATTGTGTCTGCCACTGCTGTTCTGTACGTTAGGTACAGGTAAGAACTTAGTTGAAATCTTAATTTAGATCTTTCATAGAATATCAAAATGTTACAATTAAGATTCAACTTCACCAGTGTTTATTCCATTTTCGATGTTGACTCCATGGATACAGGTTGAGGAACTGCCACTGCTCATCAACTGCCACAACCTCTAACCCAAAGAAAATCCAACATGGGAGAGGAGGAGCCACTTCATCATCACCAAAAGGTCAGAGCTTAAACGCCAAAATCAGACCAGAAATAAGGAGAGCACAGACCTTCACTTACGAGGAGCTCAACAAGGCAACCAATGGCTTCAAAGACGAATCCTTAGTCGGCAAAGGCAGCTTCTCATGCGTCTACAAGGGAGTCCTGAAAAATGGCACCATGGTAGCAGTGAAAAAGGCCATCGTCTCTTCGGAACAGCAGAAGAACTCCAAAGAGTTCCACACGGAGCTCGATCTCCTGTCAAGGCTGAACCATGCTCATCTGTTGAATTTGTTGGGATACTGCGAAGAAGAAGGCGAGAGGCTGCTTGTGTACGAGTTCATGGCTCATGGCTCATTGCACCAGCACCTCCATGGGAAGAGCAAAGGGTTGAGGGAGCAGATGGATTGGGTTAGGAGGGTGACCATTGCTGTTCAGGCAGCAAGAGGGATTGAGTACCTGCATGGCTATGCCTGCCCTCCTGTGATCCACCGTGATATCAAGTCGTCGAACATTCTGATTGACGAGGAGCATAATGCAAGAGTGGCTGATTTCGGGCTCTCGCTGCTTGGACCAGCTGATAGTGGTTCTCCCCTGGCTGAGTTGCCTGCAGGTATAGTAGCTAATTATCACATTCATGAGTTTGCTAAAGAAACTATCCTTTTTGAATATGTAAAGTCCTTTAACTTCAATCCTGATTGCATTACAGGTACATTAGGATACCTTGATCCGGAGTACTATAGGCTGCATTACCTCACGACCAAGTCCGACGTCTACAGCTTTGGGGTTCTATTGCTCGAGATACTTAGTGGGAGAAAGGCCATTGATATGCAGTTTGAGGAAGGCAACATAGTCGAATGGGCGGTGCCCTTGATTAGATCAGGAGACACCTCATCTATCCTAGACCCAAATCTGAAGCCACCATCTGACCTGGAAGCACTGAAGAGGATAGCGAACGTTGCATGCAAGTGCGTGAGGATGAGAGGCAAGGAGAGGCCATCAATGGACAAAGTAACTACTGCATTAGAACGTGCCCTAGCACAGTTGATGGGTAGCCCATGCTACGAGCAGCCGATACTCCCCACAGAGGTGGTCCTAGGGAGCAGCCGGATGCACAAGAAATCTTCGCAGAGGTCATCGAATCGGTCTGGCTCAGAGGCAGCAACCGAGGTGGTGGTTGTGGCAGAAGGGGAGGACCAGAGGATCGAGTTCAGAGCTCCGTCGTGGATAACGTTCCCTAGTGTGACTTCCTCCCAGCGGAGGAAGTCGTCTGTGTCAGAGGCAGACGTCGATGGGAAAGCTTCGGAAGCAAGAAATGTTGTTTGTGGTGGGGGTGGGGATGCTTTGAGGAGTTTGGAGGAAGAGATTGGCCCTGCTTCTCCTCAAGAGAATTTGTACCTACAGCATAATTTCTGATGATGGAAAAAAAATGTACTGTTTCTCCTTTCTTTCTTTCTTTCTTTCCTTCAATAGGAGTTTTCTGAAGATGAAATGAGTTTTGAAGAGATGAATCGGAGAAATTGAAACAAAATGGAGGATGTAGATGTAAATTTTTCTCTGGTATTCCATTTCCATGAATAGTGTCATTACAACAACATGCAATCAGCTAACCTCCAGTCTCCAGATCAACCTGGAAAACAGAATAACTTGCAATTCACGTAACCCATCAACCCATGCTTCTAATTTATCAGTGTGAATTTTCATATGGGCTAAAATTATAATTCATCATCAAATATTTCAAAATTTATTTTTGAATACCAAAATTCGACCACATTCATACAAAAGGTTAAATATTTTTATTTGGGGGAAAGTGGAGGAAAACAATATTTATCAACCAAATGAAATTTTGGTGACTAATGTGGATACAAAGGAAATGTTCGAGGACCTATTTGACACTAAATCATTCATCGTTAAAACCCACCGAGTCGTAGTTTAAAACACACGGAGAAAATAGGACGTGGGGAAGAGAAAGAAAAGAAACTCGTTCTCTGTTTCTGGCATTTTAGGTTTCTCTCTCTATATAGTCTGAACGTGAAGCATTTTCCTTTCCTCTGGATTTCCAAAACCTCCACAACTCCCTCCCCGGGGTTTATCGCAGCTCTCCATTGTCCGAATTGCTCCGGCAAGGCTCTCCTTAGCGCCGTCGCTCGCCGGTTGGATCTCTCTTCGATCAGGTAGGCCAACAACCTCCGGCTCATCCCTCTGCTTCCTCTCATTCTTTCTTCCGGTGTCTCATTTTGCCATTTACCCCGTCGTCCGGCCGTGAATTTGTCGACGTGCGTGCATGAGAGGAATGCGGCTGACGTCGGGATTCCAGTTCTCTTCGGGAGGGAGCAAATTCGCTGGTGACTAGATTCCCCGTGTCTCTGTGTTTCCTGCTGTAATTTCTTTGTTTCTGCTCTGTTTTTTTTTTTTGGTCGCATGCAATCTTAACTTGTGTGAATTGCTTTGATTTTGAGCTGCCGACATGTATAATCGGGGTATTTCGTTGATTTTTTTGGCACTCGACTCTAGGGCAGCAATAGGTTCTGGAATTGGTTGAGAACTACGGAGTGTGAATTGATAGCTTCAGAGAATTAGCTAGTGTGTAAGTGCATGAGAATAGGGTAGATTCCGTTGCTGCCTGTTTGTGATTGAATGAGTTCGAACTACAATCTTGACTTGATTCATCAGTGAACTGTGTAGATAAAGGGGAAAGAGTGGAAGGATAGATGATGCCTGATGCCTCTGTTTGGTGTCTCTGTTATCCTCAACTGGGCTTTACAGTGCATCTGAAGCTTGAGAGATTCTTCGTTTAATGTATCTAACAAAATTCTAATTCTTGGTTTCCCCTCTTTCCACAAATTTCTGTCTGAGGATAGGCACAGTTCAACTTATATATGGGAGAGAGGAGTTGGCAGAGCTAGCATATGTACCCAACACGTTCTGGTCCAGGAGATGGGCCTGTACCAAGGCCAGTACGGACTAGTGACAGACCTAGGAGAAGACCAAAACCATTTGGTCGCCCATACTTTTATTACCCGGGAACTGGTGTTCGAAGCAAGAAAGTCAAGAGCAAGGGGAGGACAGCAGCTTCTCGGATTGCAAAAATGATGCGTCCTGGAAACAGGCCTGTACGAACCATAAATGCTAATGTAAGTGAGAATAGTTTCCTCCTTTCTTGGGATTGTGGTGTTCTCTTCAATGAATTATCTCCCCCACCCCCACAAATGAATTTGGCATTACGGTGTTATTACTGTATTATTAAATTGAGTTTCATGGCAGAAGAATGCATTTGAATAAGACCTGTGGTAGTGTACTTGTACTCCCAATAACCTTGGAATTTTCAAGGCTGCTAAGATGAGATGTGAATATAGAAGGATGGGGTGGTGTCGTGGTGATTGTGAGGGATGTGACTTGTAGATGTTTAGTCTTAAAAGTCAAATAAGCAATGTGATATATCTTTCCTACTGAATAGTGCACATGATAAGCAGCAAGATGTTGTCTTGTTAGGCAAAGGAACATGGATGACATTTCTAATTGATGCAAGCTGTTTAGAGTACTTACGAAATTTGCTTTCCCTCTATGCAGTCAGTCAACACTAATCTTCGACGTTCTACAAGAAAGAGGAGGGTTCCTTCAAACCTTGATGGCTATGAAAACACTTCTGGTTCGGAAGATGAAGACATCATGGTGAGATTCCTTCCTTACAAGGCATACATTCTGTTACTTGGATGTCTAACTTCATTATCTTTTTTAGTGCTTGGATCAAGCTGAAAAATCCGGTAGGAATTCTTGGTTTTTGAAGTTTGGGTTGAAGATTGTGATTTTCTTAAAATGTTCCAGTTGCAGAAATCACGTCCTCATAGACGCTTGAGGAAGAAAGGTTTCACTACAGTCAATCACAATGACTTGTCGTCTCCGAAGTCCAAGAAGATTGATGAGACCAAATCACCTCCCAGGCGCGAAGGACTGCGTCCGCGTCATTCTACAGCACTTGGTAGAAAAGGCCTGAACTTAGATTCAGGTGATGATAATACTTCTGATGACAAGGTGCAACAGGATGAGACAGAGAATGGAAATGACATTGATGAAAATGATGCCGATGATGGTCGGGATGAAGAGGATGAGGGCCATGGAGATAGTGAGGATGAAGGAGAAGAAGATGGTGATGAGGAAGAGGGTGAAGAAGAACAGGAGGATGGAAGAAGGAGGTATGATCTTCGAAATCGTACAGATCGTGCAGATGTTCGAAGGCTGCCTATGTTGGATAAGCAAAGGCAGAGATCCCCGCGAAGGATATTGCATCAAGGACTAGGGACCAAGGTCAATAGGGATATGAGAAAGGGAGGATCTCGAGTACACAAGCGCCATCGTCTAACAAGGGTTGATGATTCTGATGATTCTCTTCTTGTGGATGAGATGGACCAGGGGCCTGCGATTCCTTGGGCTCGAGGTGGGGCTAGATCTGGACCACCTTGGCTCTTTGGTGGCCTAGACATGCATGGGACAACAACATGGGGACTGAATGTTGCTGCTTCTGGGTGGGGTCATCAGGGTGAGAGTTTGGGTGGTTTAAGTTCCGGGGTACAAACTGCTGGGCCAAGTTCTAAGGGAGGGGCAGATATCCAACCCTTACAACTTGACGAGAGTGTGAGTTTTGAAGATATAGGCGGGCTTTCTGAGTATATAGATGCTTTGAAGGAAATGGTCTTCTTCCCATTGCTATATCCGGATTTCTTTGCCACTTACCACATCACCCCGCCAAGAGGTGTTTTGCTCTGTGGTCCTCCCGGCACTGGGAAAACCTTGATTGCCAGGGCATTAGCATGTGCTGCTTCAAAGGCTGGGCAGAAGGTTAGTTTTTATATGCGTAAAGGTGCTGATGTACTCAGTAAGTGGGTTGGGGAAGCTGAGAGGCAGTTGAAACTTCTTTTCGAAGAGGCTCAGAGGAATCAACCTTCGATAATCTTCTTTGATGAAATAGATGGTCTTGCACCTGTTAGGTCTAGCAAACAAGAACAGATACACAATTCCATTGTTTCCACTTTGCTGGCTTTGATGGATGGCCTGGATTCTCGTGGACAAGTTGTTTTGATTGGAGCAACTAACCGGGTTGACGCTATTGATGGGGCTTTGCGCCGTCCTGGTCGGTTTGATCGTGAATTTAATTTCCCATTGCCAGGTTGTGAGGCACGTGCTGAGATTTTAAGCATTCATACTCGAAAATGGAAGCAGCCCCCTTCAAAGGAGCTAAAGTTGGAGCTTGCAGCTAGCTGTGTTGGATATTGTGGAGCTGATTTAAAGGCACTATGCACCGAAGCTGCTATCCGTGCTTTTCGTGAAAAATATCCTCAAGTTTATACAAGCGACGATAAGTTTCTGATTGATGTTGATTCAATCAAGGTGGAAAAGTATCACTTTGTAGAAGCCATGTCCACCATAACTCCTGCTGCTCACAGAGGTGCTCTTGTGCACTCTCGGCCATTATCCCTTGTAGTAGCTCCATGTCTGCAAAGACACCTTCAAAAAGCTATGAAATGTATTTCCGATATATTCCCACCACTTGATGTGTCAGCAGAGTTCACGAAATTGTCTATGCTTTCCTATGGTTCCGCAATTTCTCTGGTGTATAGACCTCGGATTCTGCTCTGTGGCAGTGAAGCTTCTGGGTTGGTAATTATCTTTAAGCTCTGTCCTCTGGTACATTGATAAACAATGGAACCTCAAACTAAATATACTTACTGATTTAGTTCAACAGGATCATCTTGGCCCAGCAATTTTACACGATCTGGAGAAGTTCCCTGTTCATTCTCTTGGGCTTCCTTCTCTTCTTTCGGATCCAAGTGCTAAGACTCCAGAGGAAGCATTGGTCCATATATTTGGAGAAGCCAGAAGAAGCACGCCGTCAGTCCTTTACATACCTCATTTCCACCTTTGGTGGGAAAATGTAAGTACGTGATGGTGTTATGATATTTACTAGAATGCTTGAGATATTGTAGTTCCACTGCACATTTAGTTCTTCATTCTTGCATTCGTTAGATTTTTTAGATGCCTTCGATGGTGCAGGCACATGAACAACTCAGGGCAGTTCTGCAAACGCTATTAGAAGAATTGCCATCTGATTTACCTATACTGTTACTTGGGACTTCGTCTGTATTACCTCCTGAGATTGATGGGAATCCATATTCAGTTTTTCCTCTCCGTTCGATGTAAGTCCTGTAATCAAGCTAGCTGTTCCTATGGTCTTCTAGCTCTACTGCTCATGAATCATTTAACTTCGTTTTTGCTTGATTGTTGAGGAATTGTTGATTGATTATAGACTTGCATGACTTTTTTCTTTACGTAAATAGTTTTCCGTACTTGATACACACAAAAGCTAGACTTTCTTTTCTGTCATGAATGATGATGGAACAAGGGTAAATACTTGAAAGACACGGGCATCAACTCTTAAGTTAATTATGTTTCGACTTGCTGTAACCTGGTGATTCTGAGAGATTTGCTGCAATGATAACTTGGCAAGAATGTTGATGCCTGCTTTATTTCCGGTTTAATAGGGCATGAAATTCTTTTGTGTGCTTATACAAGATTTATATCAGATATCTCTGGAGCTCATTTATTTTCTCTGAGAAAGAATCTTAAGAAATTTGATATGACGCAGATTTCTCGGATGCTAGAACGTTTGTACGCATTCTTTTCTTGTTTTCAAAATTTGGTTTTATATGCTTCCCTGTGGTTTCCATTCTCAGACATCTAGTGGATGGTCCATCAACCGAGGATAGATCAGCATTTTTCAGGCAGTTAATTGAAGCTGCTTTATCAATCGTGCTAGAGGGCGACACCAAGAAATCTGGACAATTAGAGCCTTCGGATGAACTTCCTAAGGCTCCAAAAGTGGCCAGTGGTCCGAAGGTCTCGGAGTTGAAAACTAAGCTTGAAGCGGAGCAGCATGCACTTCGCAGAATGCGAATGTGCCTAAGAGATGTCTGCAATCGGTAAGATCACCTGCATCCTAAGATATTGTCAGGTTTGCTTTTCCATGAGAGGCTACTGCATACTTGCCATCTAATGTGCTTTTGCATTATTCTGTTGTCCACCTGACTTTGTTTGTGATTTTGTGGATTGTCAACCTTCTCTGTCAACTCACGGGCTGGGTTGGCTTAAGTTGATATAAAAGTGAAAGAAAAGTTGAGTTGATGAGATACTATGTCTAATAATAAAGAAATGAGCAAGTTCTGAGAAATGACTATTGTGGTATCAGTTTAAGAATGGTGTGGTGGATTTTAGATTTACATTATTTGTGGGATATGGGGTGAGTAAGTGCCTTTAAAAAATCAAGATTCAAGAAATGTGTTTGTTGTAGCTTTTCAGTCAACGTTTCTTGAGAAGTTAGTAGTTTTTCACCACGACAAATGCACCCTTAAAGCTCTATCTGCTGTACCTAATGTGACATTGGATATCTTCTTGTTTCTCCTTCGAACAGGATATTGTATGATAAAAGGTTTACTGCCTTCCATTATCCAGTCTCAGATGAGGATGCTCCAAATTACCGGACAGTAATCCAGAACCCTATGGATGTGGCCACTCTTCTGCAGAAAGTGGACTCTGGTCAGTATATTACTTGTTCAGTGTTCCTGCAGGACATTGACCTAATTGTTATGAATGCAAAGGTACATATCCCTTCTCGTTAGCTATTTTTTATGTTAATTCATTACGATAGGTTCATTGTTTACCTAGTGCTCAGATATTGTGAACCTTTGATGTTGTGAACCATTGAAAATCTGGTTCGTAACTCCTGATAGATTATTATTCATCTTGTAAATGATACAGGTTTTCAATGGAGATGACTACAATGGCTCCAGGATAGTTAGCAGAGCTTACGAGCTTCGAGACTCTGTAAGTTTTTCATCTGATGCTCTCTGCCCATTCCACAATGCATCCAATTTTCATCAACGGTACTCATCATGATTTGCCATTTCTTAGGTGCACGGGATGTTGTCTCAAATGGATCCTGCGCTGGTTGCTTATTGCGATAAAATCGCAGCCCAAGGAGGGCCAATGCAGTTGCCTGATGATATATGGGGGACCATCTTTCCGTCCACGCCAGTTGTGCAGCTGGGTACTGCAGTCACCAGAGCAAGTGCCCGCCTTCGAAATGTGCAGCCAGAAGTCAATCTTGATCAAAGCTACAAGGTTCTGAAGCGGCCACGAAAAACGGTCGATGCTGCTGCTGCACATCCAGGTAATTATAAATAAATCGGACACAATTACATAGTCCACTAAGTTCTTATGAGTTTGGAATAAATACCAAATCAATGATTCAATGCAAATGAATAAGGAGAGAATGTTGGGGAAGTGGCAGGTTTAGTTTGGCTAATATGGGGTACACTTATGGATTTGAGCTGAATTAAGTATGGCGTAAAATGAGTTGTTCATATGAGCTAATTATGGTAAATTTGGCTCTTGTATTATGAAATTTGTGTGAGTTTACATGTTAAATGTGGTCAATTGTACTGAAAAATCTGACAGATATATAAAGTGACTTATCTGAGTTATTCTGGACTTGCATCATTGTGAATCAAACTTGAGGGATTGAGTTGTCATTAAAATCCCGAAGTCCAGTTTTCACCCTTATCGACCAGACTAATAAGTTGAGATTTTCATTTGGTCTGTAACCTCAGCTGAAGACAGACAGCAAGATCAATCATCTGAAGAAGCTGTTGATGCTGATGTTGCCATGGTAGTCGACGAAACCCCTGGGAAGCAGCAGGCCCCAGAATCCCCTCCTACTGCCTCACCTGCTGCCCCCTCCACAACCGAGGTAGATCTCCAGCTACGGCATGAAAATTGTGATGCCACAACTTCTGGGGACGATTCATCAAAAGATGCGACAATGTCAGATGGCGATCTTTCGGCCGAAATGAATCATGTGAAGGAACTCTTCTTGGAGCGCTCAGTAGACTATGGGATACCTCAGCTAGAGAGGCTCTATATGAGGGTGATCAAGAGCATTTTCTTGTGCAAGAATGGTGAAAAAGGCAAAGGATGTCTTAGGAGTTCAATTTTGATGTATTTGCTCAAATATGTCCAGGATGACCATAATTTTTCCTGATAACTACTAAAACACAGAATGAAAACCAAAAGAGGGAAATTTTGCAGTTAGGGAAATTACGATCATTGAGGCTTCATTTCATACGCATAATCCAGCTAAATCGTCACATACTAGCAAACTACAATCACAAACCGCCAGAATTCAAGCATACTAAACACCTATTTCGGATCCCTTTACTCTACTCTCTACAGGCAAAAGAGTTCAATAAGAACAGTAAAGAGGCTATATGTAACAGCCGCTGCTGCTGCCAAATCGTATGAAAGAGGTTTGCAGCATGTTAGCAAAATGAGACTGTATCGACCGGGAAACAGTGTTGAAAAGCTGTTCTTAGTGCTTGACTGTTGCAGTGATGGTGGTAGTGCTGCTGTTGCATATCTTCTCCAACATCTGTGACGCAACCGACTCCCTAGCATCCCTTGGATTGAGACATACTTCGCCACCAGTTGAGGACCACTCTGTATCATCCCCTTTCACGATCACGCTAGCCACAAACCCGCCTTTCATTGAAATGCCCATAACAAAGTTACGAATATGCGGATATATAATGGTATAGCTTTAAAAGCTGTCGGTCTAGGGGGCTCACTCACCGTTTACTGATAGGAGGCGGTATGTTGGCAAAATCCACTTGTTCTTGTAGCATACATTGTCCAATGCCTGCAAATTACCGGCCAATGAAATCAAAGATTAAAGCAAGGCATTGGAAGGGTTGAATCAGAGTTGCTTGGTGTGGAAACTTTTTGTTTCAGTCTGGTTGGAGTGGACACTTACTTCACATGGCGTATGGCTATCATCTTCACCATTTCCCAGCAACGTCCACATCTCGTTACTTTGGGATGAAGGTTGGTTCTTTCTGGTCACAGTTCTCAAGAACGATGTGTCATTGCAAAGTTCGAGGAAGGATTCTATCTTTAGCGCCATATCATCACCACCTAGGAAAAAGTTGCTGACCAGTTTTAGCACTCTATTTGCAACTTATGAACTTAATCATAGAGCACCACAACATACATTACTACACTCAAACTGACATCAACATCATCAAAAGGTGTGACAGTATCAAGAGATAAAAATTATGATAACCTTAATTTCTGTGCATACAGTAATTTTACATGCGAATCAAGGAGAAAGGGACGGAGTGCCAAGAGATAAAGAACTATACCATTCAGAAGTCTCTGGATCTTCTTATCATACTGTGCGATCTGATCTTCTATATCTCGTTGCTGAAATGACTGCAGAATCACATTGAGGACAAGCCAGAATCTCAGAATCCAGACTAACTTGATTACTATGGTCTTAGGAATCTACACGGTTAATTACACACCTGTACACAGTACATACATAAACCTTTGGACTCATGGCAGCATCAAAGAAAGAAGTAGACAAAGAACACGTACCAGTTTATCTCTTTTTCCCATGAGCACTTTGAGTGCTGCTTCAGAGAGCTCCTTGTCTTTTGAAGCTATTATAGAGAATACTTTCTCGATATCTTGAACACTACATTTGTACTCAACCAAAGGAAGATGATGAACTGCAGGCTTTGCATCTGGATTCACGGCGATGTTGCTGCAGTTCTGATCACTTATCACAACATCTCTACATCTATCTTCAGCGATTTCCTGAGTACTTGGCTTCTTCACCTGCACAATTCGCAGTCCTAACAATGGTTGGCATCAACCAAGTACACAAGTCTATTCATGAATCATATGCTGATTAGGCAGACAAAGAAAAATTCGAAGATACAGTATTCAGAACATGTGGAAAGTTCATCAAGTACTTTCCAGCAAATATTAGCTTGATAATTATGGAAACCAATAATTCAATAGCAAATGTTTAGAAGTGTAGCTAGAATATAAACACATCATATAAGCTAAATTGTGATGGGAGATTAGATTAAGAAATCTTAACCTTATTAGAAATTGTCAAGATTTTTGAGCTCTTAAGCACGGTCTCCTCAATCTCTGGGTAGGCAGGTTTGATGGCCTTGGCAACATTTGCACAAATCTCTTCTTTCTCCAACTTAATGACTGGTGATGCATCCACTTCCATGTGGTTGCGGTTCACGCCACTCTTGAAAACATTTCTACCTCTTCCTTTAACAATTTCCTGTGTCACTAGAGTATTTGGCTTCTCCGCCTGCATAATTCGACAATACTGCAGATTGGCATCAACAAACTGAGCAAAAGAATCTAAGGCTCCACACCAACGAACTGCGTTCCATTCTCAGCAGGTGCACAACAAGATAACACTTATAAATAGTTTGATATTGGCTCCTAATAATTACGAGTACACAAGTTTATCAACTCATTCCAAGCCGATTTGGCAAGATAACAAAATTTGGAGATATGGAATCAGGACAACTTTAAGAGTTCATCAAATGCTTGCCATCAAGACTAGACTACCCATTGTGACAACCAATAGTTCAGCAGCCAGAATATAGCAAGTTCCACAAACTAAAGTGTAACTGGGTTGCATCAAGAAATCATAACCTTATCAAAAATTATCAAGTCATTTGAGCTCTCATGGTTAGAGCCAGCGATCTTTTGGTTAGCAGGTTTGGCATTGACAATATTCAGACCCATATCTTTGTTCCGCGAATCAATGACTGGTACTGCATCCACTTCCATATTCCGGGGCCCAGTAAAATTAGCCAGACTAATCATTGAACTTTCATCATTCTCAGTCTGCTTTTCTGTCTCAGGATGCTGCACCAAAGTATCGGAACTCACATTTTCATCCTTTGGCATCAGTGCTTTAGGTGTCATGCCACTTTGATCATTCCTCTTCGGTGATTTTGAGATCATGCTGCTGCTGTCAAGATAAACAACTTTAGGTCATCTCGAGAAACATTCATCCATGAATCATAAGTTGCACTATGCAACTTAAGTTAATTCCAATTTTCTTTTTATTCCCAATCATGTAACAGTCTTAAGTACATGCCAGTAATCATGTGACTTCTGTCGGTTACATCACATGAGCATAGTACAATAAATCATCACATTGAATATTCTCAGGAATGTCTCATTTTCCTTAATCAGACCTCTGGTTGCATGCAGAGTTCATCCAGTCTGCAAGAATCCGAGCATAAGGAAGCAAATGAAAGTACTCAACAACAGGTGTGATTATCCATCCAAAGGAAGTCTTTGAGAATAGTGGACCCTGCAAGCTGCTCCAACGACAATGCAAAGGTGGCATTAGAAGATTGAACAGTGTCAACAACTCATCATTTGTAGCAACTTTAAGGGTACAATTGAATAAGTTGGTAGGAGAAATAGTACAACATTGATAACAACCTTTTAATCAAATCTTTGATGGTAACTTGACACAAACTATTGTTGTTCTCTGCTTCAGTGTACTGTGAGATGTAAAAGCGCATGCCAGTATTTTCTTTACTTGCGGAACACACAATGTGGCTTTCCAGGAAACAAAGGTCATCCTGGCCAATTCCTGTACCAAGAACGAGAACTAAATTAAGGTAACAATCCTTGTCGGCCGTGGTGTTGCATAGCAACTATCAGGTCTCATTAAACATCACATCAATCAAGAAAATCATTCTTCTAATCCTCTACACTTACAAAGCAGAAGCTATATCAAAGTAATTTCATTTTGAAGTTTCATGAAAGAAGGCATACCAGTGGCTTCATTGACAGCTAACATAGCCACTTTCTTTAGGCCATCTTCAGTAGTACTTTCTTCGCGTTTGGGAGGAGGTCCTTTAATAATCCTTCTCTTTTTGTTAGCTAGATTTGAGTCACCAGAATTTTCCTTACTTAGATCAACAACGGCCACATCCTTCTCAACAACAGACCACACACCGTCAGTGATCGAACCAAACTGCAGCAATGCTTTCTGCTTTGTAGAGTCCACAAGAAGAACTGCAACTCTGGAAACAGCAGATCCATTTACAGCAGGAGCCTCTTTGGATGCATCCAAAGACATAGCAATATTACACGCATCCATAATATTCTTCTCAGTCAAAGAAAGCTGATTTTCCAGATCATCCAGCACAGTATCATTAGAGCTTCGTGTAAGCTTCATGTACGGCAGAAGATTAGGTCTTAGTATCACAGCCAACTTGCAGAAACTCTCGAAATTCATGAAGTTCAATTCTGGATGCTGTCTCCTATGATAGTAGTTGTACAGCAACACAACTGCATGAATCTGAAGACAATAAACAAATGAACAGAAGCCATTAGATGACTACTTTACAACTCAATCAAATCTACCATACAGTGATACTTTCTTGTAATGTCTTTAATATCATTATATATTTGCACAGGTAACTTTCCTCACACTGGAACTATGAAGCAAGCTTAACTTTGAACTAGTAACACACCCTCTTTTATCCTTCTAGGAATGACTCACTGATCCACAAAATTGGAACATAAGCTTAGGATAGAAAGACATAAAAACACCTGTTTGGCTATGACTTCTTCATCAGCTAGAGACGGTGGGAATCCTGATCCAGATTTTGCCGGCAGCTTGAGGTCAACCAGATTTTCAAACAGTGCAAGAATGGCATCCTCGGTCTGGCAAACTTCAGTTCCCTCCATGATCCAGACACAGGGACACTCACCCTAAAAGAAAGTCAAATTTATGATCAGGAAAAAAAATAGACAAGACTAGTTCATTTAGCACATAACAGCAGCAGGAGACAGTTTAGCACATTGGAATTTCATCTTCAAAACAACTCCTCAGAAGGAGCAAAGGAAACCAAACCCCATGAAATTTTCACTACCCCACAAAATCAAAGCAAGTGGAAACAGAGCAGTAAAAATGAGTTCCCTCGAAACATACAAAAACCCAGGGAGGAGGAGATGATGAGATAAAACAATCTTCGAACCAGCTTAGCTCCTAAAACCCTAACCCTAAACCCAGAGAAAGCGGCAAACAAGAGAAAGATAGAAACTTGCATTCTGGGTGCTTGAGAAAAATCAACGTAGGGCAACAAAAAAAAAACCCATATGGGCAGCAGAAAGGAAACAGCAATGTACAGGAACAGGGTTTTCCCCGCCTCCCGGGTTGCCGTGATCAAGTATCCTACAAGGCTAACACAAACGAGAATCCTAAAATGCAGCCGAGTGAGTGAGTGAGTGATCTCTTCACTAACCTTTCGCAAAAGAAGCCCTTGCTATTTCCTTCCTTCAGGGTCCTTTATCACTCTTCTCGTTCGCGTGAAGCTTCAGCAGGGAGACGCTCAGTAAATAGAAGCGCAGAGAGAGAGAGAGAGAAAGGGGAGGCAAATGAATGGTTGATCAATAAAATGAATGCTTGTTGAAGGGCAGAGGAGGGTGGAAGTGTGACAGGGGAAACTGACAGCTGATTGGAAATAGTTCTGGTGCTGGGTTTTAGCCTGCTGCCACCCACAAGGACAAGGAAAAGCCTTCTCCTCCAAGTTTGGCCTTGAACAGTAAAAACTAAAAACAAATTACAAACAAAATAGTTATGGATAAAAGATGATCAAATGTCGATCTGGTTTGATATGAATTCTCTATGAAGTGCATAATTTGGTGAATGATAACTTGGAGCTGTTTGGTTAAGTAAAAGAGTGAAGTTGGCTTACTTTTTTCCATTTTTTTTTAAGGAGCACATCACATCAAGGAGTGGATACATTATTGTGTTCAGTAATATGAGTTGACACTTGACAGCAACAAATAGATGAGAAAGCAAGAAAAGATTTGTCCTTGCAAACAAAGCTGTGGGAAGATTCTCTCTGATTTTCTGTGATGATGATCTTTGGGCAGAGCAGAACTAATCTACTCTACTCTTTGGCCTTGTCTGCGTAAGTGCATATTGCCCAGGCTTCCAAATAAGGGCAAACTATCTTTCTACCATTTTAGCTTGGAATGATTCGGTCTAAATGAACAAGAAGAGTCTATTTTGTGGTGGGTCTAGTTGGATGTATCCGAACAATTTGTTCGTTTTATGTTGATACACGTATGATGTATTTGAGTATAAATAAATCGTACATGTAATTACTTTGAGGTTGAAAAATATTTGGATACTCATTTTATATATGAGAGAGATGAGTTAAACATGTCTTTTCACCATTTCTGATCTAATTTCAACGCAAATACAATGAACTAGACCATGTATTCCCCATATGATAATTACGAATATACGGCGAGTCAAAACAACATTCTAAACTCGTTAAGTTTTATTGTGTTTAATTAGTTGATTTGATTCTTCTATTGATATACGATACAACCATCAACGTATGTCATTCATTCATACTCGGTTGTCGATTGGTTCATATTCTTTTCTCAATCTAACAATTCTTAGAACGTGAATTGATAAGAGAAGATCGTAGTGACAGACATCACAACAAACAATACCAACCTAAAGCTAAGACTATCACAAACAACATCTCGCGCTTTAACTACATCTGCACTCTTCATCACCTAACAATGCCATCTTGATATAATTTAGCAAATCCAATTACATCTACATGCATTTTGCACGTACATTGTATTCCTAGCTACCAGTCAACTCAGTAACCACATTTGGAAAAAATGGGAGACCTGGGGATTAGATTCTGTGTTATAATACAACCTTTAGCTCATCTCAAGAAGCACTTCCATTATCTTACAAATTGATCGATCTCCTCCCATGGCTGTTCTCCTCCATTTCCTGCTAGCGGGCAGCTTAGTACTGTTGATGAGTTCATCTGCAGCAGCACAGGGCAGCAACAGTAACAGCAAAACACAAGTGCCAGCAGTGTTTATGTTTGGAGACTCTTTAGTTGATACAGGGAACAACGATTACATCTCCACCATCGCCAAGAGCAACTTCCCACCTTACGGCAGAGACTTCCCTGGCGCGAGACCAACTGGAAGGTTCAGCAATGGCAGATGCACGTCCGATTTCGTAGGTATGAATTGGCTATATAGTTCAGATATAATCAATTTGCTCGTTCTGCACTTTTGGTTGGAGTTCAATTATACTAACTTCAAAACAAAATTTCATCAGCTGAAGTATTTGGGGTGAAGAAGTTGCTGCCACCTTACCTTGATCCAGACTTGGAGCTTCGGGAGCTCCTTACCGGCGTGTCATTTGCTTCTGCTGGTTCTGGCTACGACCCTCGCACTTCGCGATTTACTGTAAGCAAAAGAAAAGAAAACAACAGCTTTGGTTTGTTGATCATGTTTACATATGAAGCTGATCATGTTTTCCCCCCTTTGGTTTGTTGATGAGAAAGACGGCTATACCACTGACGGGTCAGGTAGATATGTTAAGAGAGTACATCAGCAAGATGAATGCAAGCGTCGGGGAAACCAGAACAGCTTCCATTATATCACAAGGCGCATTCATAAGCTTCATAGGGAGCAATGATGTTACCTTGCACGCTATGTTGGGGTCTCGATCTGGCGAGGAGGACGACGATTCCTACACCGATAAGATGCTCCATTTCGCCATAGACTTCTACCAGGTTTAATTTGTGTTCTCTAATCCTGGTGTGTCGTTACTTCCTAGTTCCTACTAGAAAAATTGTACCAATGCTGCCTTGTGCCAGCAACTTTACAAGCTTGGAGCAAGAAGAATAGGGCTGGGGAACTTACCACCAACAGGTTGTGTGCCAGCAGTGAGAGATGTGGTTGGAGGACAAGAGAGGGAGTGTTCAGAAGGGCTCAATCGACGGATGAGGCTCTTCAACACCAAGCTGGCTGGGGCGGTTAGTAAGATGAATGCTGAGCTCCCAGGTGCCAGGATTGTGGTGTTTGATTTCTACAATGTTGTCCTCTCCATCATCCAGAATTCAGCTTCATACGGTGAGTGCCTTAACTCTTTTCCATTTGGTCATCTGGGGTGTGATCATCTCATGTCTCTGATGAACTACTCTCCATTGGTTGTTGAATTCTTAGGATTTGACGAATTCAGCAGAGGATGCTGTGCCTCGCATGAAATTGAATCTGGGTTCCTCTGTGTAATGCCGGGGACTTGCCCAGATGCATCCAAGTACGTCTTCTGGGACAGTTTCCACCCCACTGAGAAAGCTTGTCGAATCCTTTCCTACCAAATGGTCAGCTCAAAGCTAAGGAACCTGCTATGATTCAAACATTATGATGAGATATGATTTCAAGTTAGGTCCCAAAATCGATCGCAAAGTTTTGTTAAAGCTCATTCCCAAAAACATGTATGATCTCTCCGAGATTGATGAACTCTTTCCAGCATGAATGACTAGCTTTCCAGAAACATTCATCGACGAATCCAGTTGTTCCATTGCGCCAATGGAAATTATCAAATGAAGTTGGTGGCGGTAAGGGTTTGGCCGCCATTATTGCTCACAGAGTGACAGGACTGCCACCCATCAGCAGTTAATACCATTGATAATCGAAGAGACAATGAGAGAGAGAGAGAGAATGCGAGGCCGTTTGCCCTTTAATCGTCAAATAAATAAAAAAAGACTAAAAAAGAGATTAAAGTTTTTTATATTAAAAAAAATGCTAATGCAGAGAACCCAAATGACTCTTGCTCTCTTCCACCTTCGCGGTTCCCCCATTCAATTTCCGGCGGCAATTTGGCGACGCAGGATGCCGCCGATGACCAGATTCTCTTCCCAATCTCTCCACTTCCAAGCACCCGTTCCCGCTCCAGACAAACCCATCTCAGGTTAGCTCGTGGACAGTGGCCTTTGTGTTCTTTCCCTCCTCTGAAAGGAACTGTCTTTTCTCTTCTTTCCTTGATCCATTGTTAAAAAGGACGGTTTTTGTTAGGTTCAACCCAACCGTCTGTCTCGGAAGTTCGCGTCTTTACCAGGAGGAAGAGGGCTGGGAAGGGCATGGAAGTTGCAGGAAAGCAAGTTGAGTTGGAACCCTTTAGAGATAAAGTAAGGAGCTTTTGTAGTGTCTTTGTCAGTCCTTGTTATGTGCTTTGGGTATTCAGTCCATGGTAGATTCTACTTCCATTCTTCCATAGTGAAGAACAGCTTGCTGGAGAACCCATATTCTTGACTTTCGGGGTGTAATGGTGGAAGCATTAGGGATTTGGCTAGGTAATTTGTGAACTTGCAGCTTGACAGTGCAGTGAAGCCTGTTCATTATTTGTTGGAAGCAACTGAACTGGTTTTAGATCAATTGCTTGATGCTATTGCTTCTGAAGTTGCAAGGTTCTTAGACTTGAGAATTATGATGTTTAATGTATATTCTTCAGCACTAGTTTTCGTGTGGCTCATGAGGTGGCCAGGAAGACCCTTTCTTTGTTGCCTGCGAGTGTGGAGAGTTTTGATTTTGATCGTTGGTATTTCTTGTGATGTAAACAGCGCTTTTCTCTGGTTTTGGTTGAGGTAATAAAAGCTATCTATTGTTAACAAAAATAAAAAAAAATAAAAAGCACTAGTTTTCGTGTTGTGTGAAACGACGATCGATGGTCACGAGTCGATGTTATATGTTCAGCGTTTTTTACCTTTTCGTTGTGTGCAAGTCTTTTAACTAGATGGTTTTCGACTTGCTGGATGAGCATTTAAAATGTTAGTTGGACTTTGATGGAGTTTCTGAAATTGTTCCCATTACTTCTTATAGCCATCTGCCTTACCTGACATAGAAGAATTTGCATACAAAAAGCCAAATGGATCAGTGCAGTCAAGTAAGTACCTTTCCTTAGAAATACGAATTAGACTCTGATGTCTAGAGTTGGGGGTTTCGGATTTGTTAAATTGAAAAAGAGCAATCGTTGTGATATAGTTATTACTGATATTCTGTTGTAATGTTTCTGCAGAGAAGGCAAAATATGCCACAGAAGTTCTTCCACTGAAAAAGGAGATTGTCTACACTATTAGTAAAACAGGTATGGTGAATGCGTCCTCCACATATATTTTGTCATGTTAGTCCATGTGAACCATGATCCTTTCTATCAGCTAATCATATATATCCATACCTAAAACAGGTTGTAGTCTGTGAAGTGTCATATTTATTATACCATTAAATGGTTTTAATGATCCGCAATGTAGGCGAGCCGCCTGTAAACTGGGAAAAGGTCCTTGAAGGAATTCGCAAGATGCGGTCGTCTGAAGATGCTCCTGTTGATACTATGGGATGTGAGAAAGCCGGAAGCTCTCTTCCTTCTAAGGTATGTCCTTGACAAGACTATAGAAAAGAAAACACCACAGTTCGACCTGCCTATCTCAAACTTTTTCCCAAGTGTTACCTTTGTCATAGTTCTGAATCCTAGAATCTTTAGCTGCGTATTATTCCCGCCTGATGCCTTAAAATGTCTTGGTTGTAGGAAAGAAGATTTGCTGTCCTTATCTCTTCACTCCTTTCCAGCCAAACCAAAGATCAGGTAAACAATGGTAAGTCTATGCTAATGTTAGTCCGAATGAACATACAAGACCTACAATTTAATGTATGGGAAATATTGTTCATGCCTAATTCATTTAATATAGCAGCCGTTGTTGAAATGTGGCAATAGATCATGGCTGTACTGTGAGATTCTTAGAGTTGGGAGAACGGAACTAAAGAAGATCAACTACCACATGTTAAGACAGTAATATAGAGTTTTGGAGGACTTGGCTCACTGAATTTATGTTTCTACACACTGAGTATATGAAGTTTTAAGTCATTAAGATGCTAAAAATTAGGCAATGCGCATGAACTATGAGTCTCTGTTAGAATTGTGCTTTCCTTACTGTCAATAGCTCATAGTAACTTCCTAAATCTCGAACTTGGTGTGTGTTTCACCGAAATCCTTTCTTCATGTAGGAGCAATTCAGCGTCTCCTTCAGAATGACTTGCTTACTCCTGATGCAATTGACCAAGCAGATGAAAAAACACTCAAAGATTTTATTTACCCTGTAGGTTTTTCAATGGAATCATATTTCAATGTTCACATGATCTCGATTGTGCTATATTTGTTCCTCATTACTTTCCTTGTGTGCATCAATGTAACAGGTTGGATTCTATACAAGAAAAGCCAGTAATATGAAGAAAATTGCAAGAATTTGTCTTGAAAAGTATGATGGGGATATACCTAATTCTTTGGAGGATTTGCTCTCACTCCCAGGGATAGGTCCTAAGATGGCTCATCTGGTATGTTGTATTCGTAATACCTTCAATAAGAATTTCCAGTGGATTCTCTGAACTCTGAAGTTTTTTGGTGTACTATTCATTAGGTTATGCAAATTGCATGGGACAATGCACAAGGGATATGTGTGGACACTCACGTGCATCGTATAAGCAATCGACTTGGTTGGGTTTCACGACCAGGCACAAAACAGGTACCTCCCAGTGTACTTTCTGAAAGATGAAACTTTAGTTCAGATTCGAGTCCCTCGTGAATGGAAATGATTTACAAGTTCTGGATTCTGTTATTGCCACTTTTTCTAGAAAACTTCAACCCCCGAGCAAACAAGAGAAGCTCTACAATTGTGGCTTCCAAAGGAAGAATGGGTTCCCATTAACCCTCTTTTGGTATGTATATCATTTTCATGCGTTGCGAACTGCAAATAACCTGAAACACTCATAATTCTGAATTCTCAGACTCTGCCTTTTTCTGGTCACAACCAGGTAGGGTTCGGGCAGACGATTTGCACTCCTCTCAGGCCCAAGTGTGAGATGTGCTCAGTGAGCGACTTGTGCCCATCTGCATTTAAGGAGAAGACCTCTAGTCCTTCATCGAAGTTGAAAAGATCACCTTCACTCAACAAGAAATCTTCAACCTAAGTTCTGGGAAGTTGTATACTTCGATTTTTTGTGTGCCGGTTATCCTTAAAACTGGCACTCCATGGGGCTGACTTGGTTGATTCTGCAGTCCTTTTGTCCAATGATGAATGAATATCCTAAGCTGCCTTCCATTTGTAGTTTTACTGAAACTGAACAGAATCAAAAACTAATGTAGATTGTAGGGATCCCCATTATGTACGTATAGCCAATTTGTAATGTAAGTAAAACTTGTATTGCAAGTGTAAGTTGAAGAGTATCAATCCAGCTGGAACAGTCTGATGTCTGAATAAGAAAAACAAAGAGAATTCGTTTTCTTCTTATCAAGTACTTTACAAACAGCTTCATCGGATTAAGTTCTACACAATCAGCTGGCTTTTCCGCCATCTCCAATAGTTTACCCTCATGGCATCAGCATGCTCCAACACAGAACAAATTGTATTTCCCAAACTGTCCTTGGTGCTGCTACTGTTCTCCTGTGAATCTAGGCGTGAACTAGCAGGATTCAACGTGTCCACAGCTTCCCTCAACTCTCGGCTTGGCTGTAACCCATGACTCAGAAGATCGAGAACCGTGCTCAAAGCGAATACATGGTTGGTACCACTGCTAGTCAACACCTTAAGACACAAAGTCGAGACTTGAGGATCATGAATCCATGACTTTGGGTCGTCTTTGTAGAGACCTCTGAGATACCTCCATGGACTCTCGTTCTCAGGGTTAGCTAGAATCGCTGCAACCGTGTACTTCACTTCTGACTCTCTCATGGCTTGGAGGCCTCCCAGGAGAGGAGATTTTGTTATGATGAAGTATCTCTGTAGTCACACACATATCACATGTAAGTTTGACATATCGTATGGAGATGCACTTCCTGATGAACTTAAGGTCATCAGATTAATTTACAGCCAATTCAAAAAGACTTCAATTAATTTTTCTTTCCCATCAGAATTAGACCCAAGTGAACTTTGCCTCTGAAATCAAGACTCTACAACAAAGTGATTTTGCCTCACAGTGTTGCATTGTTTACCTGATTCCAAGCTGAGTTATTGAAAATATCCTCTTCAAGTAGCTGGTGGCAGTACTCTAGTTCATCGTCCCATCCCCCCAGAGATTGCAGAACCCACTACAAACGCAAACCACAAAATGCAGGAAACTCAAGAGAAATGGAATCCAACACAACTCTATAAAGCAAACCAAACCAGGAGGACAGCCACTTTCATGCAGACAAAGACAGAATATGCTTAGCACAGGAACAATACCTGCCTGTGGGACCATGCATGATAATTTTTAGCGTCACCAGAGAGTATCTTCTCGGTGAACTTAAGTTCTCTACCAGCAGCATCAGGACCGAGTTTCTCTGCAAGCCAGCGCCTATGATGCCTGCAAAAGATCGATAATTAGGGTCAGTGGGGAGAAATCAGGGAGAAAAACAGTTCAAGAGCAACTATAGTGGTAGGAAAACTAAGATGAAGGCAAACTGATCAGCTTGGTACCAATAGCCAACCAAAATCCAGTTGCAGAAAGGATGAAAAACGATAAAGAGCAAGAAAAAGAGGTCGAGAAAGAAATCAGTATAGGATCCATCAGCTCACCATATCTGATAATTTTTAGAGTTCTTCTCAGCAATCTTGGAAACATAATCCAGTTCCTGCTGCAGGTCTTTACTTAATGTCTCCAGTATCAAACGCCTGAAGTGCCATACCTTTCAGGAGGTTGACAAGAAACAAGTCAGTTATGCACACAGGAAGCATGAAATTCTGCAACAGCAGCAACTTGACAAGCAGTATACATTCTGCGGCACTAATTTTCAAGCAGGCCACAGAGAGAAAGAGTGATTGCCAACATAACATAAATGAATATCAGATAGCCCAGATCATCAAGTTCACTTTTTTAACACATTCCTGCACCTTAATCAACAACATTGAGATTCCAAGGAACCCTAGTCTTATTCAATGTGAAACTTCTAAACTCCAAACAAAAGTCACGAACTTGAACATTCATTCAGTTCAACAAGGACAGTTACCACATCAAGCTACAAACTTTGGCCACAAGGGGAACTTAAATCAGAACCCTAGAAGTTCCCATTAGAGGGAAAGAGTTGGGGGGGATCGTTACAGTGTAGTTGCCTGGATTCAGGAGGATGGCTTGGTGAGTGAGCTGAAGGGCGCGAGGGGATCGCTCATCGGCGCGGTAGACGGCGCGGAAGTAGTCCATGGTCTCCGCAAACTCCGGCTTGTAAGCGATCGGAACCACAGGGTTTGGACCGTCGTCTTGAGGGAGAGGACTGACGTCCGACCACTCCGGTCTCTGCGACGGCAGAAGCTTCTCCTCATCTTCTTCCCAATTCATTGCTCTGCCGCGGGAATCGCAGTAAATCTCTCCGGTATGCTTTTCCGGTGACTGAATCTCTGCTTAATCACAGTTCTCTCGGGAATTTGCCTTTGCCTTTTCCCCTTCCCCTTTTCAACTGGCTTTGCTTGGCAATGGAAGGATGGAATAACGAAATACCGATAATTTATTGCGAACATAAAAATTTGTTAAAAACAAAACTTTAGGGATTGTTTTGTTAGTAGTGTCAAGATAAGTGACCGTATTTGTAATTAATCGTCGGAAGAGTTCCCTTCCCTGGAAACTGGACAGCTGATAACTGAGATATTAGCTTCAGCGACGATCATTTCATCATCGAGAAGCAGAGCAGAAATGGCGCATTTGAAGATTTCAAGTCAGTAAGACAAACAACAGCAGAAATCAGTCGTCTTCCCCTTCGCCGGAGTCGGCAATCATGACGGTGGCAGCGGGGATCGGGTATGCCTTGCTGGCATTAGGACCTTCCCTCGCTCTCTTCGTCACCGTCATCTCCAAAAAGCCATTTCTGATCCTCACCGTCCTCTCAAGGTCCTCCTCCCAATTCAATTTCTAGGGTTCGATGTTGTTTCGTCTGTTCTAATTATGGGGTTCCTGGTGTATTTGTGTGCAGTACTCTGCTATGGCTGGTAAGCCTAATCGTGCTGTCTGGATTCTGGCGCCCATTTCTCCCTCTCAACTCCGCCGCTTCCTGGCCGTTCGCCGTGCTTATTATCACCTCCGTCGCGTTTCAAGAAGGCCTCCGGCTGCTTTTCTGGAAAGTTTACAAGTAAGTTTTTCAACACTCCCCCTTTTGATCTTTTTGGCGGAATGAGTTTTACTTCCGAAGCACAAATTTGAATCCAGATGGAAAAAGGAGCTCACTTTGGGTTTCTTGGTGTGTAAATTTGGTGCAGGCGATTGGAAGATATGTTGGATGCGTTTGCAGACAGGGTATCGAAGCCACGGTTGTACCCTACTGATAAGATGCTAATTGCTCTGGGTATGCGTCAAGCAGCTTTACAACTTTTTGAGTTCCTTCTTCGGTTCATTAGTGTTACTAATCTGCATTGCAGAATGCAGATGTTCCCTTCTGTTAGCTAACTTTGGGCAGCTGAAATGAATGGTGCAGCTGGCGGTTTAGGTCATGGTGCAGCTCATGCTGTTTTCTTCTGCCTGAGTGTTTTAACTCCAGCATTTGGTCCAGCGACATTCTTCGCTGATCAATGTCCGAAGCTACCATTTTTCCTTGTTTCGTGTAAGTGAAACTCTATGTTTTCCCGATGCAACCTATCCTGTTTGTGTAACTCTATGTTTTCCTCGATGCAACCTGTCCTGTTTGTGTCTCTATTGATTCATACAATTTCACCTAGAATCAACTTGGATTATGGGAGTCTGAAACTGGTTATTTATAATATCATCGAACTCTTGCTTTGCAATCTTGCAGCAATTATTGCTCTTGCGTTTGCTACAATTCACACATTCTCGATGGTGATTGCCTTCAATGGCTATTCAGATGGGAATAAGCTGGACCAGCTTTTCGTCCCTGTGGTTCATCTTGTCACAGGAATGGTGGTAAGAACATGTTGCTGGAGTTACTATTGCAATTTCTAGAAAACAGTTCTTCCCGTGCCTCCTCGTAACTATAGTGCATGTTCGTATACAATCATATCAGAATTACTTTTGCTATAGACAGGCATGAGATTGTTGGACTTGGATCATTTTTAGGATACATGTAGTGTGTAATTATAGGTCCTTAATGTTGGAATCGGAAACTAATGGCAAATGGATAGCCTTTTAGGGTGTTTTCATACTTACCTGAGACTGTCAAGTGTCAATCTTCATCATGCTAGTAGTCTTGGATGAACTTACATTCTATTGTTAATCTCTGATAGATTGGCTTACTTTTTCGCATTCCTCTCTGTATCATGTTGCTTTGATTGCTCCTTAGTGCATTCCTACATTTGCATCCTTTCTCTCTGTCTATTTCCCTCCTGGATGTTGACTGGTTCAGCTGGCTATGGAGCAGTTCTTCATTTGCCGAAAACCAGTGACATAAAAGACCACTGTGAAACCTAATGCGTGGGGTTATCTATACCAATATGAAAAAGAACTCAACTTTTATCTTCCAACTTCTGCATCCTTGTAACTAATGCTGTTTCTCTTCTGGCAGACGCTGATCAATTTCACGACTGGAGGGTGCAGTATTGGGATCCCGATCCTCTACATAATCGCCATCTTGACCCTTCTGCATTGTGGGAAGATGGTGTGGGGAAAACTAACAGAGAACCAAATCCGTCTATAGGTCAAATTCATATTGTAAGATCTAAAGATTCACCATCTCTTGTTTTTTTGCTGGTGCAACCATTTGTACTTATGCTTGCTGCTGCTGCTGGCACTAGCTTAGATAGAACAGAGAAGTCTGATATTGGATTGTTAGATAGAGCTTCTTTTGCAAACAAAACTATGTTGTACTGGGTGGACCAAACCCAGAACTTGTGGGAAAAGAAAAGGAAGAAGAAATTAGTGCATTTCCAGCTCTATTTGGGTAATTTAGCTGTACTTTACCATTTACACCCAAAAACTGTGGCTGTATGCATTTAACCTGCAAATATTTGGTGAATGTATACAGGTTGTACACAGTAATCCACAGTTGTTTTAATGGGGAAAATCACTAATAAATCAGTCATTGTAAGGAAAGTGAGTGAATGAATTGAGTGAAATGTACATTCACTCATTCTTTTTGGAGAAAGTATCATTAGTGAATGTATTTAAGTCCTTGATTATTGGTTTATGAAACTTGATTTCTGCAATCTTTTTGATATTTGCTAACTCCCCCTTGTCCCACCTCCCCCTCTCAACTTAGTAAGAATGGAGATAATCAGAGAAGGCAGCCTCTTCAATCCAAGATAATAGGTAATCAAAATCGAATATGTTCTTCTTTTCTCCCTTCATTCCCTGCCTATCTGTTTGTATTATGAGTTGGGTAATGATTCTGATGATGAGATTAGAGGTCTTTTTATATCATAAAATGACTAGTTCCTGGCTGTGAATGCCCGGCACTGCAATTTTATCTTATCCTTTGGTTATTGCCATGGCATGAACATTATTTTTCTTAGCATAGGGGCGAAACTAAAAAAAAATAACAAATGATGGTTCAAGTGATAAGGTATGAGGTTGATAAGTTGTGCTCTCGGGTTGAGGAGGATTTCTTCCTGGCCATCGATAAGGGTGTAAGCCCATATTGCCTGCTCCCATGAGTTTCCTGGATATTCATGGGATTGAGATAGTCTCGGGCGTAGATCTTTAAAATATTGATAATTCAACTTAGTTTTCAAGTAGCTAGAAGCCAGCATTCTAATGAAAAACTGAAAGTTCAGGCCGTGTTGAAATATTCATTTGCCTGTGAGTTCTTGAACATATGTAATAATTTGACTTTGAGCTGTTCTTCCTAACACCAGAAATAAAAAAAACATAATAATAATAAAGAAAATGTGTGAAAGCATTGGCAATTTCCAGGCAATTACTGTTGGGATTGTTGGCCATTTCTTCATGTCACTATACTGTTTCAACACTCCCTTAGTTATTTCCCCCACCATTTCTTGGACTTACTGTAGGTCTTGGTGGAGGATTTGGGTTGCTGTTTTCACATTCGAGTAGTTTGGTATATGCGTATCTATAAGTTACCTCCTGATTCAGTGATTCCTGATCATCTCTTTACACAGCTTTTTTAAACAAGTCTCAATATGGCCCTTCTGGCTGGTCTTTGGTGGTGTTGGCATGTACTGTCTGAAAGCTCAGTTTTTGGAGCTAGCTCAACATTGTAAATAAGTAGATCATTGGATAGATAGACTTAGGAATGAGTCATTTTCCCTTGTGTGATATATTATGATGCTCGTAAACTGAATGAAAATCACAGGGTAGTGATTGGAAATATGAGGAAGATCAAGGATGTGTCCTTGTTGAAGTCTGGAATCAAAAGGCTTGGCTCATTCTGCAGCAGAACCAGAAGTGACTTGCTGAAAGAGGATCAAGAGGAGGCTGGAATATGTTTGTTTCATGATGATGATCATGATGACGACGAGGACGAGGACGATTCGTGTTTATGGTTGTCTTCATCAGCATCTCCTTCATCGTTCTTCGACGAGGGATCATCCTGCTGCTCATCGTTCATTCTTGACGAATCCACCATCTCTTCTGACACCAGCAGTTCATCTTCGAGAGAGGTCGTCGTCGATCTTGCTTCTTGGGTATCGGAGTTGGAGGAGGATGTGACTTTCTTGGCTGATTTGGATTTGGAGTACTGCTGCATTCCATCTAATTTCCCAAGCCCATCTTTCAGTACTTGTGGTTCAAGTATCAAAGAGGCAGAGGTACTGGAGGAAGCTTCAGAATTGGAGCATATTGATGATGATGATGATGATGATGATCAGCCGGCTTTGTTCTGGCCATTCGAGGAAGGGAAGCTGGGCTGGAATCCTGATGAAGCATGGATTAGCTTCGCCATGTCCCCTCGAAAGGACATCGACTCTACCATGTCAAGTAAGAAACCTTCCAGATGTCTAGAATCAGAACATAAGCGACATGATCATCGTCATCATACTACGTCGAGGATTGTCCCGAAATTGAGACAAATCAGCAGCCTGCTATTGCCAAGACGAATGTCCAGTCATTCAGATTCGAAGCCAGTAGCAGCTGCAACAAGAAGGGCAGCAGCAGCAGCAGCTAATAAGGTCATCTTGCCATCAAGGTTTGTGAAGGCTTCAGAATCAAGTTGCTCCATTGAGAAGGGTTTGATGAAAGTTGTGCCATTGGAGGTCATGATGGCGAAGAACAGAATGGGTCATGGTGCAATTGATGAGGCATGTTTGTTCGATTCAATAATTGGTAGAGGTGAAGTTCCAATTGAGAAGGTAATGGGGCTCGAAGAGTTTGATGGGCATGAAGGCATGGATTCATCACAACTTGAAGATGATCTCATTAATGGAGATGATAATCTTTTCTCATTAGTGGATTGAGGAACAAGTCTTTTTGGAGGCCAAATGTCATGTGTTTGTGCATATACGTTCTTTTTTTCTTTTGTTGTTGTAGTTTGTCTCTTGTTACTTTGAGAGAACATGTGTGGGTGTTTACATATGTGTTTCTGTGCCTTCCATTCTCATAAAAAAAATTTGTTTTGTAGATTAGTGTCCTTGAGTTGAATCTGAGAACTTATATTGTTCGATACGGTCTAATCTAATTTGCTGCTAAAATAAATCAGGTCTTGTTCACTATGAAGTATCTAACGAAAATAAAAAATGATGCCACACATGATTATGACTATGAGTTCTATCAACATATTTTGCAAATAGATTATGGGGTTAGATGATTGCAATATAGTTAACTACCAAAAAAAAATTGTTGTATGGTTAAAAAAATACATGAGACTCGAATTTTGAACTTACATTACGTTGTCTATCAGAATCGAGCTAGTCACTAGAGTGAGATCATAGAGAGGAGGATAAATGAGAAGGAAATTTGCTTTTGATTAGTGAAAGACATGATTTTAATCTAATTTATAGATGATGATGATGATGATGATGATGATTAATCATCATTGTGATTCATAAAATTAAAGCTCTTCATGGCTAGATTTCTTGCCCTTGACCTTGTCAGTTGTCATTTGCATTGTGGTCTCGACAACCTTAGCGGCAACTTCCGCCGTTTCTTCGACAGCGTGCTTGCCAACTTCTACGCTTTTCTCCGCTGCCCCTATCACCCTGTCTGTGGTCGCTCCACTCCCAACTTTTGGGTCCTCACTTCTAAAACTAATCAATCAACACACCAAAAAAGAACCACCCATGAAACTAACAAGATGATGCAAAAAGATTGATTATGATATTAGGGTTTGGTTTTGATTCTCAAATTTAAAAACCTTTTAGTTTTGAATTCTTTAAAATTAGTAGTAAAAATGAATCGGGATTAAATTGAACTCTTATATTAATCTCAATCCATTTGAGAATAGGATTGGACCATGCCCCCCTTTCCAAATTGTCTTACATCATGACCAAACCAAACTCTTCAAATAGCTTTCACAATTGTAACCACAAAATTCCTTAATGCCTTATCTTGTGGATCATCAAATAAATGATCGATGTATTTTATCTCCTTCTAAAGTCAAATTCCGGTTTTCGCTACAACATTCACAAGTTGAGCAACACGAATGATCATATAACAAAAGGAACTAATATATTCAAATCTTACTCTAAATTAGGGGGCGAAAACTGCAGTTGTATGTCATGGATGACATTTTTAACTTTGTCCCAGGAGCTTCTATATGATGCCTTCAACACTGAAACGGTGTCGCTTGCCATCTTTGTGAGCGACACTTTTGGTTGTTGCTGTTGTTGTTGGCTACTAACATCTCCATTGCAAGGGATGGTGAGATTAATCACGAGAATAACAATTACGGAATAGGTCATTAGTGGAGAAAAAGAAGAACAGCAAGAAGAAGAAGAAGAATGAGATAATGATGTGGCTCTTCTTCTAGTGTCATTAGATGATGAGGATGATGATCTTCTTGTGACATTAATCCCACAATTTTGATCATCTAAACCCATTCTTTTACCCAATTATGAATGAGCTAATTAGTATTGGAATTCTTGCAATGACATTTGTATAGGAGGGGGCAATCAAAAAATTTAAGCTTTTTGATTTTTGAGTGGGATTTAGGAGAAATATTTGGTGGCCATAGTGATTAGTGAGAGAAGAGAGTTGAAAGAAGTATGTGGGTATGGAAATTTTGTGAAATATTAGGCTTTTAATCTTCATTGTGTCAATATATATATATATGGTTCTAGTTTTTCCATATTTGAATGTGTCAAAAGTAGTTGAGATTTATTTGTGACTAGCAAACCTCTTCACCATGCCTCTGCCACAACGTTGGGTACGTAAGATTCTTTTTTTTCTTCATAGTGTTAGTTTCAAAAACATTTATCCTATCTGCGTGACTATTTTACTCAACAAAAGTCATAACCTAAATGGTTGTAAAATGGTCACCAATATTCATAATCGTGAGTGTTTTGATTGGTAAAACCGACCCTTGTTAACTACATTACATATTACTTAAATTGTCCTTGTTTATCTTGAGGATATAAATGTGTTTTCGGGATATGGTACTCGTATTTCTCATCGAATGATCGTTTGCGGCCAATACCCGATTGAAGCAAAAAGTAAAATTAACTAGTTCATGCACATATAGCTAAGATTGTACGTAAAAAAATCAATATGTGACTCTACTCTTTTCGAGAAGAGATGCTAACTAACCTAACCAAATCTTGCACCAACTTAGATTAATGTCCCAAAATATATTCTCAAATTCTTAACCACTCATCATTTTGTGATTGGACACGCGTCCTAAACTATCGAATTCATCATGCCAAATTAGTTAAGACCAAACTATAATGAATTTATTAATTAATTAATTAGAGGGTATGCCTAATCTAATCATGAACTCGAAAACGCGCAACCACTGAGACAACAAAGCAAGCAAACGCGAGATCCAGCAAACAACAGCCATGGATACCACTTCACCAAACAAAATTATTTAAATCTTTAATGACCAGTAATGAAAACTTGGAAACCATTTGATTAGATCTCTACTTAACACTTAATAATTATTTATCGAAAGTCCTTCGATTATCCAAAAACTCGAAGATGATCAATTAAATTCCTTGAGTTGACCGCTTCCATATATTCTCTCCAAATGACCGGAAGTTGCAAATTTGGGAATCAGATAATGTTGATCTGCTAATTAGTTAAGTAAACCTAGAGTATGTAACGTGTTAGTCTTCTCTTACTCAAATGTGTGAGCCCTAAACTCTAATCTTTCTTCCTCTATCCTCGTCGGTTCCTTATCTATCTTTCAACTCCATCTATCCCTTCTCCAAATCACCCTGCAATTATATCGATATTGTGTGTCAAGATCCATACCTCCATCACCTTTCAACGACTCAAATCACATAATGAATTTCAAGAAAAGCTAAGAATGGTGGGTTGTTCATCGTATCGAAGCTAAACTCGTCTCGTGAATCTTAATTCATTCCAATTAGCTTGACTGCTAGTTCGTCAATGTGATTCGAACCACACCGATGCGGCAATGCCCACCCCATAACTAGTTGTTTGGGTCATACTTGACCCAGATTATCCTCCAACACCCAAGTGTAGGCCCAACACGTTAGTTGAAAAGTCAGCCCACCTTTGTTGCTCTTTCTTTTTAACACCCGCATGAAAAAGGCTTTTTTTTTCTCCTTTCAACTTGATGCTGCATAAAAAAATAAAAATAAAATACGGTATAATCCCAGAAATTCCACACCTCCACCCGACGCGGCTTTTCCCTCCTTTTTTTATTATTATTAAATTTTGGGTTGGCGCTTGCCAGACACACATTATTCTTTTTCCACCCAATCAAAATCCGCCAGCTGGTTTTTACTCGGAGAACTATATATATATATATGTATATATACATTCCCCTTACCCCCAATTTCCCCCACCAACGCCATTTCTGATTCTCTCAACCATCTTCATCCAATCGACGGCGACAAATCACCGATTTCAATTCGAGCCATCGGAATCGAATCACCAACCAGAAGAGGAAGAGGAAGAAAGGAGCAGAGGAATTGAATTATGGGGAACTACGTCTCCTGCACGCTGGCGACTCCGCTGATCAAGAGCGGGAAGGCGGCGAGGGTGGTTTTCCCCGGCGGCGAGGTGAAACAGTTCCGGGAACCGATGATCAGAGCGGCGGAGATCATGTTCGAGTGCCCGAATTTCTTCCTCGCCAACTCCCAGTCCCTCCACATCGGCCGCCGGTTCTCGCCGCTCCCCGCCGACGAGGAGCTCGAGCTCGGAAACGTCTACCTCACGTTCCCCATGAGGAGGGCCAGCTCCGTCGTCACCGCCGCCGACATGGCGGTGTTCTTCATGGCGGCGAACTCGGCCGCCAAGCGGATCGCCGGAGGATCGGCGGCGGGTGGAGGAGGAGGAGGAAGGGTCCAGCCGGAGGAGATGGATCCGGATCGGGTGAGCGGCGGCGGAGAAGGGGGAAGGAAGAGCTTGGAGGAGATGGCGGAGGAATTGGAGATTCCGGCTGAGTTTAAGCACAGGATGTCGATTTGCCGGTCGAGGAAGCCGATGCTGGAGACGATTAGGGAAGAGCCGGCGACTCCGGTGCTTTCCAGATGATCCTCGGTACGGCGGCGGCGGCGGCGAATTCCGATTTGATGTTATTGTCTTTTTAAAACTATAACAGAGGAAGAGCTTGAGGAAGGTTCAAGGATGGTGGGGGGAGTGAAAATGATATTTGGTTTGTTTTGGGTAGTGAAGTAGAATTTTGTGAGACTTGGGGGATTAGATGTAGAAAGGAATGGAAGAATGTAGATAGTGGGGGGATGGAAATGGGAATATGGGATGTATACGTTGGATATTGAGATTATTGTTTTTGTTGATTGAGAAGATTCAATTAATTCAAATTATTATTTTGATTTGATGATCATAATATTTATGTGTACATTATAGTGATAAGTTGTTTGAGTTTTATTATGGGTTATTGTCAATATATTCATTCTTCTAGTAAAGAAAAATGCTATGTCTGATCAAATTATGAAATTCAATTTGTATCTTGTATTGGATACTTGGATTAACACGACTCCAACTAAAAAATACAACGACAATACTCTTGGATCAAATTTTTGTTCGCTATTTGTTATCACGTGAGTTCTTCACTTTATTGATATTTCTTTATGAATGGAAAACAATTCATTTTAGATATGTTTATGTTGTTCAAATTCCGTTATATATGTTATTGTGTGTGATGACGTGATTATCAAATCGTCTGTGTTTTTAGATAAAAGAAATCATCAGACATATTCGTCTCGTGAAATTTCTGCAAACATTTAAAAGAGAAATAACTGAAATTGCCTTCAAAAATATAAGGGAGACGGTTGTCCATTATCAACTTGAAAAAAAAACAAGATATTATAGCTAAAAACTTAATTAAGTAGCATAATAACCAAAAATTCATTTTGTATTTGATTTTGATTGTGATTGTCACTTCTTAATTTGTTTATCTCGATTTGGGCTCGATTACAGAACAAGCCCAACAGGCCCATAATTCATTCCAACGAACTAGCACATGGAAACCAGCCCAGCCCAGCCCAGCCCAGCCCATCTCATTTGTCGCGCGTGCGCAGGCGAAAAGGACGTTGAGGATATAATGGAAATTTCGTGCCTTCCTCGTGTGCAGTTTGAGGTCAGAGTCGAGCAGTCGTGGACTCAGCGTGAATCATTCACAAACAGACGAAGACGAAGAAGCTTCTCTCTGTGTTTCCCATCCCTGTAATTACTCTCTAATTATAATTTGATAATAATTAACCAATTTCCCTCTTCTTTCTTTATTGACTTTTTAATGGGAACGATCTTCCTTCTTCCTCACAAATCGGCAGCAAGTCTTCTCCTTCTTCTCCTCCACTTCCACCCTCTGCGCCAAAGCTGAAAGGTCTCTCTTGTTGTAGACTCCAATCAAGGTCTTTCTGTTTTTTCGGGTGAAATTCATACTGGTAAGCGCTCGATTTCCAACTGGGTAGTTGTTTTTCCTTCGAAAGTTTGTGTCTTTACTTCTGGGTTTTTTGAATTTTGATTGCTGAAGTTTGCTTTGATCTGGGATGATAGTTTCGGAATTCGGATCATTTCGGTTTGTTCGAGAGCCCATTTTGCGTTGATGATTGAATACTGATGGCTTTTCTTTTTTTTGGGATTTGCAGTTCTTTGTGTTGGTTGGTTGGTTTGGGAACGGATAATGCGGGCGCCATCGTTGCTTGCGCAGTGCTGGCCTGGCTTGATTCCTAATGATCGAGGAAGCCATAGCATTTCATGGGTTTCTGAAAGAGATGCTCATCTCTCTTCGCCAGCAGTTGAGATTGTACCTGCAAAGGTATATATTAATCAGTTTGTGATTCCACATTCCCGAGTTGAATTTCTTGCATTGCTTATGAAACAAGTGACGAACATATTTGCTTGAACTGTGGTTTGATGATGAAGGACATGCTACGATCTTCTGCGTTGGTAATTTGAGGCATTGTTCTGTTCCGTTTTGCTCTACAGGCACATCATACAGACAAGTTTGCGGTGGAGAATGATGAACAAGGGGTTAGTGTCTTCAAGGGTAGGATTAGTGTTGCTGATATAATTGGGTTCACTGGCTCTGACACGATCTCGTCGAAGCCAGATGGTAATTTTTATGCTGTACCCTTGAAGAATTCTATTATAGTCATGGTCTATACTGGGAGGAATGTGCAAAAGAGTTTATGCACTGATACAGCTTATTCTGGTTTTTGTAGGATCTATGAAATTTTGTGACAGCTCTATCGATCTGGTTAATTTACTCAAGAATGAGATCCGTGATGGGCAACTGAGCTTTAGAGGCAAGAGAGTTCTTGAGGTGATTTGTTGTGTTCTCTGCTTAAGGTGAAAAGATGATCACTGTATGTAATGTTCAAATAATGGCCCTATTATATCTATTCAGCGTAAGTGAAAATGTGAAGTCTCTCAAGATGCGATAGCATAGCAGATAATTAGGTTGTTTGCCATGAACTTGCTCATTAGCCCTTAGCATTTTGTGAACTGCAATTAGCTTTCTATTAGAGCTCTGGAAAAGCAATGTATGTTGAAGTAAGGGAAAAGCTTTATTTACAAACTTCTTTTTCTGTTTCGTGTAAATCACTAACAGTTTGTATTGCTTCCTACTTATTCTTGCAGCTCAATTGCAACTATGGGCTTCCTGGAATCTTCGCTTGCCTGAAGGTAAATCACCTCAATGTTTCACATCTTCTTCTTCTTTCACATTCCATAGCTTGATGGCTCCTCATCTATTTGGTGAACATTTTGGTCCACAAATCATGCACTCTTCTTGCTTACTGATTACTGTGATGGTTGAGGCAATTGAGAGTATTTCTTCTTTCACTAAAAAAATTGTATCTTTCCATGTTAAAAATATGGAACAAATTTAGTTCTACGCTTCCTAATCAAAGGAAAAACCTTTTAGTTCTTAACTAACCCGCGGCCTTTCTGAACAGGGTGCTGCCACAGTCCATTTCCAAGACTCGAGTGCTGAAACTGTTAGGTGTTCAACCATTCCCAATGTCCTGGCCAACCTCGAGCAAGCTCGTGATAGACAAGCCCGACAACCAGAATCTCCCCTGACACCATCAAGACACGCTCTTTCCCCTACTGTCCACTTCTACGCTGGTGACTGGGAGGAACTCCCAAGTGTGCTCTCTGTGTTAAGCAGTGAGACACCTGAAGCAGCAACAACCACAGGGATGATGAACTTGAGCTTCTCTGAGGAAGATTTCAATGACGGCTGCAGCAGCCAAGATGGCAGTGTCGTGGCCCCCGAATCTGCTAGAAGATCAAGGAAGCTCTCGGGGAGCCGAGCATGGGAGAGGGCTAATGAGAGCGATAATGGAGAGGGAGGTTATGATGTGATCTTGATGACCGATATCCCATACTCAGTCATCCCATTGAAGAAGCTGTATGTTCTGATTAAGAAGGTTGGTCTTTTGGCGAACCAACATTATGAATTTGTTTTGCATACATCATTGTGATCTTGTTCTGATTTGTCTACATGAACAGTGTCTGAGGCCACCATACGGAGTGATGTACTTGGCAACGAAGAGGAATTACCATGGTGGGTACAGCAATGGTGCTAGGCAGCTGAGAAGTTTGGTGGATGAAGAAGGCTTGTTTGGAGCTCACCTGGTGAAGGAAGCTGCTGATAGAGATATTTGGAAGTTCTTCCTCAAGTGAAGAAAATGATTACAATACCAAGTAGAAGAAACAACTATACAAAACTTCATTGTTTGCAGGCTGGCTAACTGGTTATCTCCTAATTTCAGACTTCATATTTTGTTTTGTTCTTCAGCTAAAACAGGGTTATCAATATCATACTGCATGTATATTAGGAATCTCAAAGTATATACTGAAACCTTCCCCCCTTTTTCCCTGCCAAATCCATCTAATTGGTTCAGGAAGAAAGATTATTATGATTCCCTCCCATTTTTGTAATTCCCTTTGTTAGTTTTTCACTTGTGAAGTTTTTTCATGTTTGTAGATGTAAATTCATTCATTTTAAAATTGAGATTGTTAAATATAATGGTTGAGCTAGTGATACTGAATATCTTGTAGTTATCTTTCCATACTATTAGATTATTTTCTTAGATTATCTTTAGAGTTGACAATTCATTTCAAGTACACAAAGTCCGAGATCACATTGTGTCAACTTTCATATTACTACTTGATGCACATGGTGTCGATATATTACTAACGTAGTTTTATCCCGAGAACTAACTTTGATATCATTATAAAGAGGAAAGCATGTTTATGATAACATGATTGGTTAAAAATGGTACACATTTCTCTTAATTTGGTTAAAATTGGCACATACACAAAAAAGGGATCTTCAAATTGATTAGTGACAATGATTAATCTGAACACTACTACTTAATTTGAGCCAAGGATTTGTCCTTTAGTAACTTGATGCTTAGGGCATTTAGCATGGCCCTTGAATATTGTCGAGATGCCATTTTCCAATCCATCCCACTCTTCATCATTGCCTTGAATTCTTCATAACTTATTCTTCCATCCTGTAATTATTTATTAGGATTAATAAGCTTGACAATTACCCATGCCTTCATTAAAAGAAATCATTGAAAGCACAAGTTGAAAAGAAATCGATAGCCATAGTATGTTGTTTATTTTTATACTGTACTTAAATACATAAATGAATTTGTTAATATCGAAGGTTGTCGTGATTGTGACGTTAAAATTTGGTTGCTTACTTAAAAAGAGGTTCTAATTAACCAAGTATGATGTTAAAATTAGTTTGTTTAGGACGTCACCAAATCTAACGGTCCGTGAACTCTTATCAAATGTAACTATCTTTAGTAGAAGTGCAAAAGGTTATGTAAATGAAAAAAGAAGTTACCTTATCAAGATCAACATCCACCATGATGTCTTTAATCACTTGCTCGATGTTGATGGGGCCTGAATGGTCTTCAATCATGGCGTCTCTCAGCTCATCAATCTCAATGTAACCACTCTTGTTCTTATCGAAGTAGCTGAACGCTCGAGCTAGATTATCGTCATTTGCAATCTTCCTCAGATGGATCGACATCACTATGAACTCGTCCCAGCTCAATGTACCATTCCCGTCGAAATCCGCCTTGAACACATTAAAAAAATAGAGTAGCTTGAAAAACGTGATGGTGGAGACCATATGTCTAAGACGCTCGAGTCTACATCAGCCAACATGAATACACAATAAACCAATGAGACCGGGGAATATGTGCTTACAGCGTCCATTAACATCTTGACTTCGAGATCAGGAAGAGCATGGCCAGTGTTAAGAAGACCGTCTTTGAGTTCCTCGAATGACACATCTCCATTTTTGTCGGCGTCCATCGTTTGGAATAATTGTCTTATGTGGTTTACTTGCTCGTCGGGTAAGTTATCTGCTACCACCTGTTAAAACAAAAAAAAAATATTGTTAATGTACTATGTATAAATCCTTTCGTGGGTTCATCGATAATACGAGCAATAAGGGTATCAGAATTGAGAAAGAGGGGCGCTTACTCTAAGAACTCTTTTTTTGAACTTATTCATCAGAGAGAACTGCCTAATCCTTGCTCCTACATTCTCCCCTAGGGACACATTCGGTGCCTCGCTCGCATTTTGCATCCACGGATGCTCTGTAGTAAGAAATCATCACGGGGACTCAACTTCATCATTCATTTAAAGTCTAATTTCTTTTAATCTCAATGCGTTATCTCGTATTATCATCACGAGAATTCAAACTCGTTCGATTCGTTCATGACTAATCCAATTAACCGTTTCTAGGACATACTTGCATGACATCTTTGTTTACACAACCTCAATATTGGAGTATTAGTGGACTATAATTACCGAGTACTTCTTGGATGGTTAGTCGAGAGTTAGGATTTTGATCAAGCATGCTCTTAACTAGGCTTTTGGCTTCTTTAGAGACCTTAGGCCATGGATCCCTTGAAAAATCCAAATGCCCCCTTACAATTGCTTGTGCAATTCCTTCTTCAGTCTCTGCATTCATAAATTCACATACATGTAAAGGGAATTTTATGGTTGCAATGTTTGTAACAAAGAAAAAAAAATGTATAATCCATATAGATTATGAGCTCTTTGGATATAATAAAAAAAAATGTAATGTCACCTGCCCAAAATGGAGGAACCCCACAAAGCAAGATGTAAAGAATGACACCAGAGCTCCAAACATCAATCTCTGGGCCATAATTCCTTCTAAGCACCTCAGGAGCCATGTAATATGGGCTTCCAACTATCTCATTGAAACGTTCATCTGCATTAACGAACACCGTCAGTAAATATTTCGTTTAATATACGCGCATTATATTAGCTTAAGTGTTGGTGCATGTACATACATACATACCGCGTTCAAAGAATATGGAAAGACCGAAATCGATGGCCTTGAGGTCGGAGTTTTCAGACGCATCCGCGAATAAGAAGTTCTCCGGCTTCAAGTCCCTGTGAATCACTCCATGTTCGTTGCACACCTAGATCATTAATCAACACCCACCCGAAATAAATAACCGACACGCGACCAAAACAGAGCTTCGTGCGTCACATTGAAGCGATTGATCAGAATGATCACTTAGGTTTGAAAAATGTAACACACAGAAAAAAGTCACACAAGTATCACGATATAACGAAATCTTGGCGCGAAAACTTTAAAAGTTTACCTTGACGACCTCCAAAATGGTCTTGGTGACCATGACGGCGGCTCTCTCGGTGTAATGCCCTTTGGCCACAATCCGATCAAAGAGCTCCCCGCCTTCGCAGAGCTCCATCACCAAATAAATCATCTCCCTGTCCTCGTACGCTTCCTTAAACGCCACGATGTTGCGGTGCTTGGGCAGGTGGCGCATGATCTCCACTTCCCGCCGGACGTCCTCGACGTCGATCTCCGTCCGCAGCTTCGCCTTGGAGATGGTCTTGCAGGCGAACTTCTCGCCGGAATCCTTCTCGACGCACTCGTACGTGATGCCGAACTCGCCGCGGCCGAGCTCCTTGTGGAGAGTGTACTTGTCGTGGATGTTGTCCCCCGTGGGGTCCTTCACCACCGCGGCGGCGCGGAACGTGGCGAGCTTCCGCGGGGTCTTGCTGTAGTCGGAGTACGGCGGCGGCGGCGGGCGGCGGCTGCTGAACCGGGAGGAGAGGACGCGGCCGGCTTTCGCGGCGGAAGAGATGCAGCCTCCCATTCTGAAGGAGGAAAAACATGTAGTACATTTATCTGTTAGAGACGTTTCATTAATCGCGAAGTTGGTCTAGTGATAATGTACGAACGATATCATCCATCGTCATTTCAATTTGACGTTAACAATCATGTTTATGAAAAAAAAAAATATTAACACGGAATATGTACAAGACGACTACCAAAATCAAAACCAAAATAGGTGTTGAATGATGAGCAAAATGAGAAAAAGCTATTAATTGATTTTCATCGTACAAACCTAAATACAATGAATGACAAGAAAAAAAAAACAGGGTTCATCTGATGATAACGAGCATCAAATAAGAATACAAGTGATATTTTCTTTTAAAAGTGATAAGAGAGAGATTTGGAGAATAATTACATCTCATGTAGTTCAGACCCAGTAAAATCGATGCGAGAAATGGGAGCAGACACGAAATGGTTGGGGGCGGTCAAAATCGTTTCTCCTTTCTCTTCTTTCTTCTTGGTTAATTACCTCTTTCTCTTTCTCCTTGTTGTTTTATCTGGGATTCAATGATGGTGGATTCATGGTCACGGGGAATCCACCCATGTAGCAACAAGAGAGGAAAGGAAGAAGGAAATGGTTGTTTGGATTTCAGGAAAATGGAGATCAATCCCAACAAAGGAGAAAGAGAAAAGGGAAGTATGTCTATATATGGTGATCTGAAATTAATGTGTGCTTGCAAAATTGGAATGTTGTGTGAAGTAATTACAAGCTTTGGGTCTCTTTCTTTTCCCTTTCCCTCTATTTTTACCATCTTATGTTTCACTTATTTTTTGTAGTTGTTGATTTTCACACTCGAATCTAAATTGAACAGAGATTTTTGAAACTATACATCTTATCATATCAAGGCTCCTCAATCCTCATATCAATACTTCTCATAATTAATGTACCTCTATTGTTTCGAGATTGAAGGTGGAATGTAGATCTTTTGGCCTAGTTTGTGGTGGAGTAAGATCATTGCCCCCATTTCAAAGTGTTCAAAGATGGCCGTCTTCTTGCCTATCTTACTCTTTCTAGCTTATATATAGCATGAACTTAAGCTAGTACAATAGTAGTGACAGCAGTAGAAGCGCTTCAGAGGCGTACATGGACCGTTTGGACCACTTCCCCTCGGATACAGAGATACCGAAGGCACCCTAGTTAACATCTCTAGGGTTCGACCTATAACGAAACGTCGTGAGCTACAACACGACTCTCTGCGAGCACAATACATGTGCATATACATATACTAATATACATGTGAGTAAACAACGGCAACACAACCAAACCCACATCCAGCTTGCTAACATTTATATACAAAACCTACATAAAGATGGGCAACACTCCGCTACTCGTCCCAACCGAGGGCCCGAAGCAAAAGGTTTCTCTTTGCCTCATCGTCCCGATCTAGGAGAAACAACAGAAAATGCACGCTTGGAATGAAATGAGAACCGTCATCAAATCAATCGTCTGCATTTCTACCCGTCTTAACATTCGCTTTTCCCCTCCCGGCTCTTCCCTTGCTGCCACCTGTATCCTTTGAGCCGGCTGCTCGGCTACTGGAACCATTCGAGTCCACATCTGCCAGCCCATTCTCCAATGCTCTTACCAAGTTCTCAAAGTAATTTTTCGTCACACTGCATTAGGATACAAAAAGGATTCAGAGTCGGATGAAGCTATGCATACGAGGCACATATTGGATTGCTACTCGATATACCTGGTCAGTCCTGCTAGCTTAGTCCGGAACTCCTCAAACTCCTTCAATGGTCTATCTGCTTCGGGTGTGAGGAACTGCTGCAGTTCTTTCTCTGCACATTGATGAAGCCTTTCCAGGCCAGACTCTGCCTCACCTGTGGACATTCAATACCAAATTCTATCAGAAAGTGACCATTTCAAGACGGTTGACGAGGTACACAGTCCATCTGTTTGTCAACAGAACAATGCCATTCAGCTGCCAAAACAATTCCTTAACTAATATACTCACATACCTTGAAGATACTCAAAAAACTGCCTCTTTCCTTGCTCATGATCAGGAAGATAAAACCCGTATGCGTAAGTCCATTTCAAGACTCGCCTGCATTCAACAATCTGCCAACAAAGTAGCAGGCCTTTAACGTGAGAACCACAGTCATCTATTACCTACAGCCATGGCAATACAGATGACAAATGAATCCTAGGTTTACCTGAAGCCAGGCATCAGTTATGAACTTGAGCTGAGACTCAGGTGTGCAGTGTATGTCGCTAAGCTTCGCAAGCTGGTAAACACCAAACATTAACAAAGACAGAAATACAAATCAGGAAGACATATTTTGAAGCAAATGCACATACAAAAGCTGCAGCTATCTATCAGTTATCTCCACAAATATGTACATAGAAGAGACTTACATGCACATTCTGCATTTGCTGCAAATCTGCAAGAGCTTTTTGTCTCGACTGCAACAGAAAGACACAGCTAGCAAATTTAAGATCACGGAGCAGACACATACTGACAATGAAGAAGCATTAACAGAAATCTGAAAAGATGCCATAGAGCAGCAAATCGGTATGAGCGTGTACTCATAAGACATAAAGGCTAATAAAATATCATAGCAAGCAGAAACTACAGGGAGTAGGGCATGTTTTACTTTTGAGTTTTGACAATGTGTAGCAGGACATTTTTGGCTTCGCTTCACAAGCTCACAGAACACAGCTTACAACAATCCGTAAATAGAAACTATTGTTCCAACACTTTGAAATCCTCAAACCCATACTATTGTCTCCTTGCTCCAAAGTGTATAAGATGGCCCCACTCAGAAATTACACATACTACCAACCGAAATTGTCACAAGGTTCAAATACATACAACTGCTGAGTTTCAGATTGATCAATGTATTATATCATGAAGAGTGGGCAACTAATTCTCCCATCCTAGAAACAAACAAGATGGCTAGCAGTGGCAATGAACCCCTAATTAACATATTCACAAAGTAGAACATGTATACGTGTATCAAGCAGTACGGTACCAATGATACATACCGTTTGATTGCTTGCCCATCTTTCATAATAATGTGTATATCGCTCCAACGAATTCTTAGCCATTTCTCGCCTCTTCTCAGCCTCATCATACTGACCATGTTTACAAAAGGAGCTACATTAGTAATCTACTTCTCTACAACTAACTCACAGACTACCAGAGAAATAAGCCAGACAGTGCAAATACAAAAAACAGTGAGGTCGAAACTTGAGAAATCAAATTGTGAAAAACTTCTATCTCTTACCGCTCCCTCCTGCTTAGCTGCCTCGTAGCGATTACAAGCATAAAAACCACCAGTCCTCTCTCCATGTTCTGACCAAGACCCCTGGCATAGCCTACCATTCCCACATTAGCAGCAATGAGTAAATTACTGCCAAATAGAAGTAAAAGAAATTTTTAACCAAGCTCATTCAACTTTACAACTAAAACTCACCAGCAAAACTCAAATTTGCAAGGAGGCGTACATGTCATGTGCATGCACCCTTGATTCTTTTCAATGGGTCGCTTGCACTTGGGACAAGGCTTGGAATTGGCTAATATCCTGCATTTATCATGTATGTATCAGGAAACGAGACCATGGGCTGTGGTAGTGCATATAATCTTAAGGAAAATACATATGTATAGCAAAAAGAATTTCCAGGTAATGGACATAATTGTTTATATAGTTGTCTAAACATACAGAACCCTTCTCAGGATGGACCAACATTGAAAAGGGTGGGTACATTTTACTTCGCACATCAGAGGCAGTGGAAATATGAACCCACATATGAAGACAATCAACTTAAAGTCCTCATTAGAAAGAATGAAAGAGTAAAGTCATCATGAACGTGTACCAGTTCATGTTTTCAGATTCCGCACTGTTCTTCAAAATCCACTTCGAAACAGTTCCACAATCCACTGGACGATGAGCTTCTTCCGTGCACTGCAAGTGTACAGTCACATAACAAATATTACATCGCGAGTCACGACAAACTACTTGAGAATCTAATGATTCAATAGTAATGAAACACGCAGTCAAAACTTACACTCCAGCAAAAGCTATATGAGCAAAGGCAGGACACATCAAAGTTTCCAACACCCCCAGCAAAATCAACAGCACATTCGCACCCAGGTGCAGGGCACCATTTGGTCTATACACATGAGTTAAGAAAAGAATAATCAGTCTCTGAATCATTCTTACAAAGCAAAAAAAAAAAATCGCACAACAGACCTTTCTGTTATCTTCAACATATGATCTAAGAAGGTAGCGAGCATATTTCTCTTTCTCTTCATCAGAAGCCAACATATTGACCATGTCTAAACCAACCGCAGCACGACAACTGGGATCAGGGCATCTCAGTGCCAAGCATCCAGGGCCATCATTGACACTGGCGTTTATGTAACCTGGTAGAAACTACTTCAGCAACTAAAAGCGGGAACAAGATGGATGGACAAGGAATAGTTGAAACTTTCAGCTGAAAGCCTCAGAAAGCTGCACATTAAATGTACCTGACCAGCACGAATTGCAGAAAGGATGACCACAAGCCGCCGAAACTATTCTACTTCGAGGAAAGAATTCGAAACAGATGCCACAAGTGAGCTGCAATAAAGAAAAAAAGTGTAAGTGGATCATCGAGACAAAGGAAAACACACTGAAAAACAAATTGCGCGTTCAGAAACCAAGTTTAGACATAGTTCGTGTGCTCACTTCTCTAACATCAGAAACATGAACCGCTGGCCTATCCAGCAAACCAACAGTACTCCGGACTCCATCCTCGTCTGCAAACCACTCATCATGCACCTTACTAACACTCCTGCAAAGACAGTAACATAATGGTATCAAAACCAAGGAAGGAAGGCAATACCACGTAAGATACAAGAATGACACCGATTTTACTACAATCAAGAAATTTAGAGCATAGACCACTGTATGTAATGCAAAAACTAACCAGACAGACTAACAAAATAAAAACTAACTGTAGTACCAGTTGTAGTGACGAAGAAGTATGGTTGCATCAACTTTTGGTATGGAAAGGACGGTAGACACTCTAGTGATAGCATCATCCTGCTGTTGCTTTATGTCATCCTCCTTCAAGATCGAGTAACTTTGCTGCAAACAGGAAAGAAGAATAAAAAGGCTTAGATTCCTTTAGCCACTCCGATTCTGGCATTCATGAAGTGAGTCAAATTTAAGTTCCCACAATCTAAACACCACTACCCCAGACAAATCTCAAGCTACAGGGGAAATCTTCAGTCATTTCATTCCTCAGCTAGCACTGTTCAAAGACCTAACTCATCCAACTACCAAACAACCACCCGTACCCAAGTTCAGAAAATACTTCAATTTGCAATCATAAGTTCAGAAAATTCCCAATTCCATCCACATTTCACGACACATTCCCAAAACTAGCATCATCAAGAAGGGGGGGAATGGGATTCCCACCTGCTGGCGCCAGTATACCGAATCCTCGACGAGATCATCAGCAGCCTCAGCCATGAAATCATACCCGGGACCATCCTCATCGTCACCGCCGCCATTTTCACCGCCACCATCGTCATCACCTTCGCTGTAGTAGTAATCATCCTCCAACTCCCCGCTGTAGAAGTCGCCATCCACCGACTCCACGTCGTTGGCGTCCACCATGTTGTCTTCATCCGACTCCATCTCCCGAGAACCAAAAAACCCTAACGAAACCCCTTCCGGGGGGACGATGAAGCGCTGGAAAGGGAAGGGAATTCGAGAAGCAGCGAGGGATCTGGAAATGGACGATGGAAAAGGTTGAGGGGGCTGAGGGATGGGAAATGGAAGGAGTGCGGGGGAAAGAAGGAACTGAAAAAGGCGAAGCCTTTTTGGTAGGTGCGTAAAGTCGTTTCTCCTTCGTCGGTTCTGCAATGAAGACGAAGAAGAGAAGTGGAAAATAGAGTGTTGTGTTCTTCGCCCTTTCTTGATTTTCCCTCGTTTCTTTCTCTCTCTAGACTCTTTCCTCTCTCCCTTCCAATAAATAGCGGCAAATGGCGGTGCTTCTGAAACGGCGTCGCGCTGCCTGTCAGAATTAAGTTCATTGGGCTGGTTACAGCTTTTTGCAAATGGCAAACGGCCCAAACTGGAAATGGGTCAACAGAGATAAGCCCAGACGGATTGACAAGCCAGAATATGCGTAAAAGCCCGATGAGAATTGTTGGGTGAGGGCGTGAAGTGACACAGCAACATACCAGATTGAATTGATATTTGAACCCGATAAAATCGAACTGAATGTCATAATGATTCGGTCATTGATCCTAATCTTTTTTTTACTAATAGACAATGATTCTTATGATTTTATTTCTATAAGGAATCAGATCGGACCATTGCACACCGCTGGATCCAAATCTTCTTGCATTGAAAGCAATTTCTCAAAAATAATTTTGGAAACGTATCTTGGTTCTCATATTAGTCGTGCAAAAATGGCGTCTATTATGTTGGATTAATTATCCTGAGTTGCACGTCAATATATGTCAACTTACGTGACAGTAGATGGTAAAAGAAAATCGAGAAATTATATTTTTACGTACATGAATCAGTAAAGATCAGAAGTTTCACAAATATATATTCAAAATAATATATGAATAGATTATGCCATGTCAATACGAATTCAACCCGAATTGCAACATGATGTGAGTAAAAAAGAATATAAGAAAAAAAATAGTATACCATCTGCGCATGCATCGATTGAAATCGCTTACCGAAAAGCCAGCTCATTTATCTATCTTTCCTATTTACATCTATCCATACCTCAAACTAATCCATCTATCTATATCTTAATCACAATCAAGATAAGTACTATTTATCGTTTCAATTTGAAATTGTGTTCCTCACACCATGTGTTGAATTCAATTTCCATCGTTGATTAGACCATATATATGAAAGAAAAGGACTTGTTGATTGTTCTTGGTCCCAAAACTTTCCTTCATTCGACGTGGATAAAATGAACGATTGCTCATTGTTACCCGCCATGTGTCAAGACACAAAAGTGTCCAATTGAGATCGATCGCGAGCCACACATTACACCCTTCCGCCCAAAAAAAAAAAAAAGTACCCGCCAAGCCATCCTCTACCTCCACGCGCTTACACTGCTCGTGCGGTCACACCCATCACTGACTCAAGTATTCATGCAAATTAGTCTATAAGTAAAGAACATGGAGTGATCGACCACATTCATGATGAAGGATGCTAGCAAAAATATTTAGTCGTTGAAATCGTTTTAGTATTGTACAATTTTTCTGCTCGCCCTATATCAAAAATAGGAAAAGAATACATGTTGGATCGATGGATCAATTGAAATTTGAATAAATACAATATCGTAGAATTGTGCAGACATATGTACAACACGAACCAGCAAACCACAATCTATCATGACATCCATCAAGAGTCAAGATGCAATATCGATGAATACTGCCCACTCACATCGCTTTGGTTTCTACAAATATTTGTTACTGCCACTGATAGTTTTTGCCCGACAGATTAGTTGTAACTTGTAAACTATATCTCATCAGTAGCCAACTAGTCCAACTGGAATGCGTTAAAACTAATCATTGATGGTAATTCGTACGAAACCATATATACAAGTTCTCGTAAAACCTCTTACCGATTTAACATGGTTGTATTTGTTTTGCTCAACTCTCTCCAAAGAGCGTGTAAACCACCCGCCAACCTCGTGAGTAAGAGACTACCCGACTCCTCTCCTCACCCGCCAAACCCCACTGGTAGATAAACCCGCCACGTCGCTTCTGCATCATAATACAGATAAGACAACCAAACGAACAACTCTAATCTCACCCGTCCGTCACTCACCCGCGCTACCTCATTGGTCCGTCTCACCGAATTTGCCGCAGTAAATTACGTTACCAAGCTCCGCCTTTTCTCCGCATCAGTTATTTTTCCCTCGTTGCTTACCTACCATTTCGTTTTTGTTTTTCTCTCGCCTCGAACTTTCCCGAGAAAATTCAAAACGAACGATTTTCAATTCCTCCCCCTTCGGCAACTCCACATTTTCTTTCCTTATCTAGATTCTCTGAATCCAAAAGGAGCGTCAGGACTCAGAGTCTCCCGCATTTCAATTCTCATTCTCTTCTCTCCGATTTTGTCATTTACCCCAATTTCGTGCGCCGCGAATCAATCAGTCGAGGCGAAATCTGTAGAGTAAGCGGATTGTAATCCCTCTTCTTTCGTTTGCTTCGGTGGAGACTCCATTGGTGAGGTAAGCAGCATCGACTGTGTCAAATTGAGGCGTTCACTCTTCGATTGTTGTGGTTGATCAAGCGACGGAAGAAGGGGGGTAAAAAAACGAGCTGCTATAAGTAATCGAGGTTATTCTCCGAGTGAAGAGGGAATTGGGGGAGAAGGGAAAATGACGATCGGGTTCGAGTCGATGCCGGGGAGCTCAGGGTACCTGGATTTGTTCCCGGAGAGGAGAATGTCTTATTTCAGTAACCCGTACGTGTTGGGATTGACTGTGATTGCCGGAATCGGCGGTCTGCTCTTCGGCTACGATACTGGTAACTAACCTCGCCGTTGTTCTTCCGATTCCGTTTTTTGCTGTTGAATGTTCTGGGTGTTTCTTCATTGTTATCTAGTATCTGTAGTTCCTTTGTTTTTTGGTTTTTTTAATCCCTTTGTTTTGGTTGGAGCATGAGTTCGTTTGAGCTGAGACCAGTCATGAAAGTAACTTTTTAGAAAGTGGGGATCAAGAAAAGGAAAATGATTCCCCTTAAGATTTGTTATACAACTAATATGAAACGAGATCAAAGCCTTTTTCTTTCCCCATTTGATTTGTATATTTTGGCTCTATGAACTGTGAACTGACAGCAACTATTAGCCCTTTAGTATATAAAATGAAACCAACACTCGAACAGTGTTGGGAATCATTAATCATATAAACCTTCAACCTTGATTATGACAAATACTGGTTGTTTTGGTTCGTTCGGTTGCTGCAGGTGTTATTTCAGGGGCTCTTCTATATATTAAAGATGATTTCGAGGTGGTCAATCAAAGCAGCTTCCTTCAGGTGCAAACTTATGCGTTTCTTTGTGGCTTTCTAGTTTGTTTGCTTCAAGAGAGGCTATGGTCATGGTGCCAAATGGTAGCCTGGCATATGGTATCATCAGTGGGAGATTATCAGCAACCAAGTTTTCTGTCATGAGAACTCTCTTGCTTTACCATTTGGATTGGGGTCTTACTGGAAATTTTCGATTATGGCAGGAAACAATAGTTAGCATGGCGCTGGTTGGTGCTATGATAGGAGCTGCATCAGGGGGTTGGATCAATGATGCATACGGCCGCAAGAAGGCTACTCTGCTTGCTGATGTAGTCTTTGCTAGTGGATCGCTTGTTATGGCGGCTGCACCCAATCCGTATGTCCTGATTTTGGGCCGGCTTTTAGTCGGCCTAGGTGTTGGTGTAGCATCTGTGACTGCTCCTGTGTACATTGCAGAAGCAGCTCCATCGGAAGTGAGGGGAGGGTTAGTGAGCACTAATGTGCTAATGATAACTGGTGGACAGTTTCTGTCGTATGTTGTGAATCTTGCTTTTACAGAGGTAAGTCACTCCTATCTTTCATTCATCTTTCACACAGCACTTCAGTCGTGGCTAGTTATCATCCTGTTTAAAGGGCATTGTTGAGCATGGAAGCTAGTTAGCCGTGGTCTGTAAGTGCAGAGTGAGCTTATTGAAGACTTCAACTTTCATTTCTCTTGAAATCAGGATGTTGATATTTGGTATTTAATGCTTCCATTCATGTCAAGAATTGGAATTGTTTTGACTAGATTAGACTGGAGCTGAGTGTTTTTAGTATGCTATGTAGTTGCTTTCTCTCAGCTTCTTTCCTGATCAATTTTCTTCTATGATCCTTCCAATGGCCTGTGAAGCCTCTACCTTTAGTTACTAGGTACTGATCAAACAACCTTGTAGGAGAGCTAGTAGAGATTTGGTTGATATTGTTGTCTGTGCATTGTTGCAGCAAGGAAATTTTTACATGCTTTGTGAACATCTTTAAGTTTACTGAATGAAGCAACTTTAATGAAGACAGTATATATTGCAATGTGAAAGGTTTCTGATTGGTGCAGCTCAGATAGACACGGCTGGATAGACCATCCATGGTGCCCTGGTTGTTAATGGCATGTGACAGTTTTTCCGTTTTCCTTGATTCATTATTTCAGTACATCAACTCCCTTCTCAGTCTCTTCGTGTTCAGCTTCAAGTGCATATAAACCTGTATTGCATTCCTTCGTCTAAAGTTCACCTCATTCAACTGTTTACTTGTGTTGGATTAATAAGTTAGTAATACGTGATATCCCATCTCTCTAAAACTCTCTGCTTTTGACTATGCATTCAGAAGTAAGTGACGTGAACACTGAGTTGGTTCTGTAGCTGCATCACAAGGCACGAGACTTCGTCTCAATTTTGTGCATGTTATTTTCTCTGTTGTGCCAGAGTCCGTTGGGAAATGATTGAACTCCTCGACTCAAACAGTCAGATCTGTAAAATGTAAACCACAACTCTTGGTTCTCTAACCGACTTCATATATATTTCTGTGCGCAGGTTCCAGGAACTTGGAGGTGGATGCTTGGTGTCGCTGCTGTGCCAGCTATCATCCAGTTTTGCCTCATGCTCTTTATGCCCGAGTCTCCTAGATGGCTTTTCATGCAGGTCTTAGACTTTCATTAATGCTATTTTGTTCATTGTTCGTGCTCTCTTATCACCCCTTGTTCTTCATCTAGCTCACTCTTCTCACTTCTCAACATTGCAGAATGAAGACACCAAAGCCATTGCTATACTTGCCAGGATATATGACATTGATCGATTGGAGGACGAGATTGAACACCTCTCTGCTTCTTCCTTGGAAGACCGAAAAGAAGAAAATGCAGTCACTTACTTCGACGTCTTCAAAACCAAAGAAATCAGGCTCGCATTCCTCGCTGGAGCCGGACTTCAGGTAGAGCATACACTACCGCGATCCTTGCTTGCATAATGTCTAAATTAGCCTGATCAAAATCTCATAACGACAATGTTGTTGCAGGCCTTTCAACAGTTCACCGGGATAAACACCGTAATGTACTACAGCCCAACAATCGTCCAAATGGCTGGCTTCTCATCCAACCAGCTCGCCCTCCTCCTCTCCTTAGTCGTCGCAGCCATGAACGCCGCAGGAACCATCCTCGGTATCTACCTCATCGACCACTTCGGCCGCAAGAAGCTGGCACTCTCGAGCCTCTCGGGAGTCATCGTCTCCCTCATCATCCTGTCCGGTGCATTCTACGGCCAATCCGCCTCCCCATCGAACTCCCTCTTCGGATGGCTCGCCGTGATCGGGCTAGCCCTCTACATTGCCTTCTTCTCCCCCGGGATGGGACCCGTCCCTTGGACTGTCAACTCGGAGATCTACCCTTCCCAGTACAGAGGCCTCTGCGGCGGAATGTCGGCCACCATCAACTGGATATCCAACCTGATAGTTGCTCAGAGCTTTCTCTCCATTGCCGAGGTCGCCGGCGCTGCCACGACGTTCTTGATCCTCGCAGGGATAGCAGTGGCAGCGGTGGTGTTCGTGGCGGCGTATGTGCCGGAGACTAAAGGGTTGACGTTTGCCGAGGTGGAGCAGATATGGAAGGAAAGGGCTTGGGGGAGTGGGTACAACTCTGAGAGCCTTCTCGAACGTGGAGACGAAGATGAATCCTCGCTGCCGTCGTGAGAAGATTGGTTATTTAAAACTGTGGTATGGTGTGTATAATGTGAGAATTTGCAGGTAGAATTGTTGTATTTGTAAAAGTGATATACTTGCGATTGCGTTAAGAAAGAGATGGTCTTGGTTTTAAACGGTAGGGATGTTGGAACGGCGATCTCACCGTCGATCGGCGACGGAGACTGCGGACGGCGGCAGTGGAATGGCTCCTGATCAATGGCCCTTCTTCCGCTTAGCAATAGGAATTAGGAAATTTGGCGGTGAGTGACGCGGGAAACGTTATGGGTTTCGGAGTTGGCGGGCCCGTGAATTGGAAAATGGGCCTTTTGTTGAGCCATATTTCTATTTCGCTCCAATTCATAACTGCCCGGTATGTTTTTGCCCTCGTTTGGCCCAACTTTTATGTCCGATATCCTTCTTGATAAATTATCAATTTCATGCGTGTCATTCGTTGGGGAAAAAATCTATTCGGTGTTGAAAGTTATATCAGAAAAGTTAGTCATAGTATATTTTATATTAGTCATAGTATATTTTATATTAAAATTGTGATTTAATTATGATTCAAGCCGTTTTCTTTTGTTAAAATCGCCTATCAATTTTGGGTAATCAATATTTTAGGTCTTACTAACTTATATGATAGGGTTTTGAACATTAAAAAAAAATACTTCATTTTATAATTTTGTCACAATAACTTGAATCTCCTTAGTGGCAACCATTAGAATTTTGAAGTCATAAAAATCACTAACTTAACAATTATTTCACCAAATCAAATCTACGTTAACAACGACTCAAACAATAACTTAACAATTATTTCACCAAGTCAAATCGAACTTCTAGCTACAAATTAAACCGTACAATATAACGAATTACTACAAAATTCCCCGTTGTACGTATTTGATTTCCAACATTCTTCATTATTAGGATGCGAACCGATTATCATTCTCGTGGGTGTACAATATTCTCTAGCTAGTTTCTCATCAACTCCATGGATGGAGTTCGGATTAGCTTTGCTTCTTTGTTCGTGCACATGACATCCATGCGTATTTGTTTACGTTAAAGTTCAGTTTGTTTCCTTCTTTGTCATTTTCCATTTGGTTCGACGCAATTGCTGACTTCACTCCCAGTTTATAGTGACGGCAATTATCGGTGGTCAGGAATTGATCACCGCTTCCCGTTTCTCCTCCTTTCCTTATCCGGCGCCGCACACTAGCTCACGTCCTCTTTTGTATTGCCGGCGGCGGTGATGCCCTTATCACGTTTGTATGCTATTTTTAGGCCCTGAATTTTTTTTTTAGTAGAATTTTTAGGCCCTGGTTTTTATGCTGTTTTCTCGTGTTTTTTGGTTTTGCTCCATCTCTTTTGTGCTTTGTTCTCATTCTCTTCGTCCCATCTCTCATCGGAAGATGTTGTTCGAGGACTAATTTTCGGTAACCATCAATTGGTTCAAATAACTCGAAAATATTGGCCATCTAAAAATTGGTACAAAACTCATTAAATTTATACGTTTCTAGAAGCTAGCTCGTTTGATATTGACGCGCACGGAATAAAGTTAATCTCTCTTTTAATATCTAATTTGAGAGTAACAAATATGTAGAGCAAATACTGTAAGGATGAGTGACATTTAAAAAAAAACTCAAATTATTGAGACTAATTGATTTTTGATATGGTATCCGAACTTGTTTGTCCTTGAGGTCAGGTGTTCAAGTCCTCGCAACCTATAATATTAACCGTTGTTTTAAAGCACATGGTGTGATCAGCATGTAAAAACTTCAAACCATGAGTTGAGTGAAGAGAATAATTTAATTATATTACTGGTTAGGACGATATGTAATACTTTTAAAGACGACGTTTAGCATAGTAAATGGTTAAGATCCATATGAACATTTCTTGAGAGTTATTGAACCAGTTGATTTACGACAAATATTTCAAAAGGATAGAATTTATGGGTTGAGTGTTTATGGGAAGGCCATGAATGTGGTTGGAATGACTCAAAACATTTGTCCTTATTCTATTCATTTTGTGGATAACACTGTGCAGTTGCCTCCTCGCGAGGGCATTGCAGTTTTGCAGACAATAATAATACTCTTTGGGTCTCCCTGCAAAGGTCCCAGCCAAAGGGCAAATGTCTTCTTCCCAAACCCTCCCTAGCTAGCTAGTGTTCTTAATTATATGTCATCAATTTCACTAGAATTTAATGTATGGTTGATCCAAATATTAAAGAAGAGTTGTGGCCTTTAGCTTCTTGGCACTTTGGTGTTTAAGTTCAACAAAGATGGAAGGCTTGAATCCATATGTGCCGAACATTTTTCGAGTGGATTTGGTTTCAATACATGAGAACGTGTACATCAATCGATTCTATTTAGAGACATACACGATTATATTAGGACCGTTGATTACATAGTATGTTTGGTAATGTATATGGGCATTTTTTTGCCCTTAATGACTTTCCTTTACAAACCTAACAATTCCTTACTAAGGAACAAGTCACATCTCTATTGAGAGATTGTGGTCCTAATGAACTTCCTAAACCATATGAGAGGGAAATTTTCATTTATGTATGCAATAAGATATAATGACCAACTAGTGATGGAGTATAGATTTGTGTTCTAAATAAAACTACTATGGATCTTCTCTTTGTATCTTTTTAAAATATTCCATCGTGGTTGATCATGTTTCGAGTCATTGCTTATCTTCCTTGTGCATAGATGAAATTTATCTATATAGTCTACAAACATTGTCAATTAGTGGTCAATGGGGATCGAGCATGGTGATAACCTAGCTAGTTTTCACAACCTCATTTGACTGATGTGTAAGTAAACCTTAGCAACTACACATTGATTAAGTTATTAAATTCACGAGAATGAACTCTTCGAGGGCACCAATGCATGCGGCATAACTGGCATCTATCAGGGCGTCGTTTAGCAGATATCGCCAGACGTTCTTTCTGAACGCGATACACGTGTTTTCCTTTCTTTGCAATTCCTTTTCTGGCTTATAACCGAAACCACTTGACGTCTATTTATGCTCATATCTCCGCTTCCTCTCTATATCTCATCATTCTCTTTGTACCCCTTTTTCCTAAATATATATCTTAAAACAATTCATTGATGTTCTCCGTCTGTGTTTCTGCATACTGCCTGAAGGTAAACAATACAATCATTTATGTTGATTCTCATAAACTCTATCTGTTGAAATCGAGATTATTTTTGATGGTTCGACTCTCTCTCTGTACAATCCTTTTCCGTTCTTCCTTGAAACTCACATGAATCCTAATCAACCTCGAGCTTGATTTCAATTGATCTTGAACCTAGCTAGCACTAGATCCCAATTAGGGCAGAACTCTAAAGTTAGATCATGGTAAAAATTTGTTTATCACAACTTTTCTGGTCTAATTAAAATCACATATCATTTTTACAAAATTATGTGAAGAACTTTGGCTATATTTTCTTCTATTATCTTAGCTTTTAGCTCTCAAGCTTATAAGTATTTTAAATTAAATTCCTCGATCATCATGATCCACCATCTCACCCCATCACTATCAACTTCAATTCCTTCCTTCATCCCCCCTTTTATTACATTCCTAATTTGCCAACTTGCATGGCTTCCCATTGTTTCCTCTTACTAACGTGGTCATGCCTCATCCGCTCGATTATTGTCTCCCCTAATCACACGCTCGTGGCACTCTCGAACTCTCTCTCAAGGTTTCATGGTTTACTTGTATATCAGCAGGTAGCAACATCCCATACATTGTGCAATCACGAGTCGATCAGTCGTCGGCATCAGTCGTACAGGCCAATAATGCTAGATCGACATTAGAGGTAGTGTTGATATGGTTGAATACCTAAACTAGATAACTATATAGATACATGCATGCCAATGATAGGCAAGAAGGTCAGTCGCTTAGAGTTGCCCTCGAACCCACACACGTGTTGGTAGGTGTAGCGTTAAACATAATCGATGAAACAAACACTTGCATGAAAGGAATTTCTTGATTCCTTTCTCATCGGTTTGGTATGTTTGCTTGTTTAAACAAGGACAAGGTATTAATGTGGTTTGCTTGCAAAACCATTCCAAGTTATTCCTTGATGGATAGAGGGAGAAGATGAAAGATTGAAAAAATTAAACATATCGATTTACGAGACTCGAACCTAACTCTTAGAGTACAACAATGGATAGATAAGAAAGAAATTGAGCATGGGATTTGATCCCTTCTTGTCAATTGAATTCAACTAGGTTAACTAGTTGCCTCTTGCCTGGCAGAAAGGGTAGTTTATTAGCGTACATGGTGTGTAGCAATCATGACTTGAGAATGCAACCCACTCATTAAACTCATCACATGATGTCTTAGTACTAAATACCACATTGGGGGACAACCATAGTACCGTAATGGTACATATATCAGTGTCGATTGTACGACGAGTTGTGAATTCGTTGAATTTAAGATGGATTCTTTGAAATTAGTCGAGTATTATAGAACTTATGAACTCTGTAATTGTTTATAGCCAGCGTCATCTGATTGATGCATGCATATACCAAATCGCAAAACCATCCATACTGCATATCATAATTTATGATTATATTTCTCCGTCCCAACCCTATAAACACATACTCACTTAATATCGAAATGCACAACGCAACACTTAAACCAAATATCTTATTATTATATACCCTAACCGATCACACATTCTATTTTGAGTCACAACCATTGGATCAAAGTGCCCATGTCCCAAAGTATAAATGCCTAACCTCCCTCTGTTTTTTCAGCCATATGCTCATTCCTTCCTTCCTTCCTTCCTTCAACGCAAACTTTCTCTCTCTATCATTCTCTCGCTCTCTACCTCTCCCTTGCAAAACTACACAAAACACCCTCTACTTCTTCTTCATTCCAAATCAGTACCCAAAGTTTTCTATCCAACAACAAAGATGAACTACTGGCCAACAACGGCACTTTACCTCACGGCAGCAGAAGCAGCAATATCCCAGCTATCCCCACCGCCCCCGCCGGCCGCCGCCGCCGCCGACAGACGGAAAAGCCCCTCGGACGCGCACGACTACCCGCAGGAGCTGGTGACGCCGTCGGAAGTCACCATCCTGATCGTAATCCTCTCCATCATCATCTCCGTCATCGCCCTCAACTGCGCCATCCGCTGCTTCCTGAAAGACTTCAGCCGCGACAGCGGCCGGAGGCGGTGGGAAAGGAAGAAGGCCGCGGAGCTGAGCGCCGCGGTAGCGGCGGTGACCTCCACCGTGAAGTATAAGGGCGGCGGGGACGAGGAGGCGGCGACGTCGGCGTCGGCGGAATGTGCGATTTGCTTGGCGGAATTCGAGGAAGGGGAGGAGATCAAGGTTGTGGGGAACTGCCGGCACCGGTTCCACGGCCGGTGCATCGAGCGGTGGTTCGCTACTTCGAGGAATTCGTTGTGCCCGACCTGTCGCCAGTCGTGCCTGCCTCCGACGACGCAAGTGTCGTCGGTGGCGGCTTCCTCACCCATCGTCGTCGTTGACGACGATGGGTGAGGAAATGAGGGGACCGCTGTCGCGGTCCATAAATTTGTTATCGGGACCATAGGTCTAGTTTAGTGTTTTTTTTTTTTTTTTTTTACACACAACTTAATCGCGATAAGCCATCATCAACGAATTTCGAGACACGAAGTGAAGAGTACAATCTGCTTTCGATATGTCACCTTATCATCATCTCACCTGTTGTTTTCTATATAGTTGAAGACCTTTAAGGTTTGAACTGACGGGCAATAAATAGGTATAATTTCATGCTTAAGTCTATCCTTGGAGTTAGGTTATAATTAGTTGTTTTTCGCATCCTCTTTTCCATCTTATGTACATGTATTTTGTAGTCTATTACTCTGTAACAGTGAGAGAGATGAATAAAAGTGTATTCGTTCAGTCATCAGAAATGTTAGTAGGCGGGAAATGATGCAATGCAATTGCAGAATTGCTCAGTTACTTTCCAATTTGCCGTGGGGTCTTCATAACCACCAGAATCGAGTAGACGTTCAGTTCGATTCGGATGGATCGAGTCGATTTACTTAATTGATTTCAAGAACTACAATGGAATATGATAATAGAGACTGAATCGAGCTAACATGTCGATTCGACCTGGTTCCACACCCAAGTTCTAGCCATGGAACTTACATAAAAACTGCAAATCTGGAATTAGTTCATGAAGATTTCCAAAACCAAGTAAGAAAAAAGAGCCAGGACGTGCTCCATTGATTGCCAATGCATCTTGGATTAATCCTCATACTCGCAAAACATACATTGAGCAACTAGCTAATGTTCGATGATATCGGTTCTTTTCCTAAGATGGCTCGAGGCAATTATTAAATCTGCTACATGGCTCGAGGCTATCTAAAATCGCTGGAACTAAGAGCAAAAGAAAAGAGGTAAACTGGTCATGTGTTATAACTGTAAAGCTTATTTCATTTGAGCCTCCTGCTTGGTGGGGGACTCTGTTTCCTGGGTATGGGTGTTTGAGGCACCGATTTGATCTGCTTTTGCAGGTTTCTGTGCTTGGGCCTCCTCGATCATAGCTTTCGTTTCCAGAACCTTCATCATCTCTGTCATTGTCTGCTCCTCCCCCTCGAGTTGCTGTTTCATTAGTATCTCGGCTTGCGTGTTGATTGGCTTGAAGTAGTCGTCGATGGCAGCCTCCTGCATAAACAAGCGTGCTTTTAGCAAGTGATCATTTCTTTTCACCGTCATATCAGGTAAGGAGCTTGTAAACAAATTCGTTACTCAAGGAGGGATCCAGTACGTGATCTACAATGGGCAGGAACGGGCAAACTAATGCATAATCAAGCACTCAATATAAATATGGGAATGACAATTCAAGACAAGAAATTCCGAAACTTGCCACAGTGTTTTGCTCAATATGTACATACAAAGAATCTAAGAATGGATCACTATACTCACAGTTTCTTCGAGCTTCTTATTCAACGCTTGCATATCCTCAACCATAGCACGAACTTCTGTAAGTATAGTCTGCTCAGGAATCTTTCTCAAGGCCAACTTTTTTTCTTGTGCCTGCACAAAGGAAAGTCCTTTCAGCTTGAAGGAAACTGGCAATGAAGCGCACACACAGACAACACACAATGGAGCGACACGGGCATATAGGAAGACAAAGATAGAGAATAACAAACTGAATAATGTGTTCAAGGAGAAGGGATTGGAACTATGGAAAAAGATTGAACGTGAAAACAACCAGGGTGCGTTAAAGTCTGTTCAACACCCTCATAACAATGCCACAGCATGAAATGGGAAGCAAGAAGTTCTATTTGCTTCACACCTTTCTACATTGTCTTGTTCCATACAATCATTAAAGCAGCCTTAAGTAGGTAGCAAAAGAATGGGTAAAACATTCACTAAGTTAATCAAGTCTCCCCATCGTCACTAAGCACACTGTCTAATACTCAAAGATCGATGGCACCCTGAGCTTCACATGAACATTTCAATGCATAGGCTTAGTTTACTGCTTAACAGTTGACATTACCAAAAGGCCTCGAATCCATTGCACTGAACCAAAGAATCGAAACCAAGCTCTATTGACAGTAAATGAATCAGATAAAGAGACTTCACCATTTCCATCTATGTAAAGGTAATTTCTTTACCAGTTTTCAGCCAAAACTAGACACACTAGTGGATCGTTTCATCCGCCAGAACAGCATGCTCTACTCAAAGACCACCAAAATCACAGCAAGGAAAACAAAGCACCCCATTGACACAGCAAACAATACCAAGATCATTCCTTTTTGGCATTCGAATCAGGAAAGCCAACTTCACTAGAGTTAGAACTCACAAACTCATCAACATACAACGATATAGGATATTGAGAACCCGAGTGGGCAAGCAGACAAATTGGCTACAGAAGTAAACCACTTACAAACTTAACTAATGGGAGTGGCATACCTGTTGGAGACGCTTCTCCAGCATCAATCTATAATTCCGGATTCTACGTTCTTCATATCCTGAAAGCACCTTCGCATAGAAAAACGCCTTCCTCCCAAACTCCAATAACTTCTTCATCGCTATTAAAATCTTCAAATCTACCCAACAAATCGTATCTGCAAACACAGAACACTCGGACGATAAGGAATTCCGCAGCTCAAACTCCCGCCCCTTTTGCCCGCTCGACAAAAGCCAGAGAAAGGGAACAATACCAGAAGTTTGATGGCGATAGCGATAATCGAAACTGGAAGCAGAGCCTGAACTCCGCTGTTTCTACACCTTCCGTCTATTCTCACCTTCCCCTCCCGCCTTTCTTCAATTGGCGGGAAATCGGGAGCGTCTTCACCGGATCTCTGTCTCGGATACGCCGCTTACGTATAGATTCCGATCGCTGTATCGTCGGCTAGCTTTCTCAGACGAATTCCGGAGACCCAATCGCCATTCTTTCTCCTCTCGAGGCTCGAGCAAAGCAATGGGTCGTCTTCACTATTGCAGGAACTCCGAGGTAAAACGACATCTTCTTCTTGTAGAAACGACCCAATGTGTCTGCTTTCGGAGTTTTTTTTAGCCCTCGTAAATTTTCTTCTTCCAGTTTTGGTACTTAACTACGCAAAACTTGCCCAGTGACCGCGTTGATCTCGTGGGCTTTAATCTTTGGGCCTTGATAGCCATTTCTTCATCTTAATGGGCTTATTTCCACAATGAGACTAATGGGCTTATTATCCTCATATGATCATCACTAATTTGCAAAAACTAAAAAAGTACCAAGAAAAAGAAGACAATGCAAAGAGAAAGAAGTTGGTGATGGATTTGTGTTGGTGCCCACTTAACATTATGTTCCCATTGAGACACACTACCTAACAATTTGGTTCCATGAGGTTGGAATGATGTTTTTTTTTTTTTTTGGCACATCAACATGCAACCGTAATAGCCTACAACTGGTCGGACCCAACCACACCAATCCGGTTCCCATACGATCCGGCCCGAGATCTTGGTTGCTACGTGGCAAGGCAATAATGGGCGGAAAGAAGACAAAGGTCTAGCCAATAAATGAGAGTGGAAGTTGAGTGGGCCAGTGGTGTGGGTGCAACTAATTCTGAGCTGTCCAGTTTAGGGAGTAATAAATACGTTGAAACATGTAAAAAAGCCCACCAGAAAAATAAAAAAAATTTGCTCGACCCAAGAGCTCAATTATTAGGCCCGAGAATGACCAGCCCACGTGGGTTTGTTGGCCTCCAATTTGTCTCTATGCTTTCCCCACATACCACTCCCCTCCAATGCCCCGATCCCACGTGGCACCGAACATGACCAATCATGCAAGTTATTGCATATACAAACAATGTCATTATCTCATGCATGCCCATTTCCCCATTGCTAGGGCATTAGATTTTTCTCGAGGATGGGACTCTTTGGATGGATGCCTTTGGATTGAAGAATTTGTTCGAGATGGTGTTGATTTGATTTGATTTGATCATGAATTCACTGGTGACGATTGGTATCGGAACGAGCAATTCGACTAGAGGTCTAGAATCGTTCGTTCTTCTGCACCACATATAAAAATACGTTATGAGGTCGATAGGTACTGCTGGACCGAGAGATTCGTGTGTGTTTGAGTGTATAACGAAATAGACTTTCTCATCGAATCTTACAAATTGTTAGCCAGTGATGCTGAATTGAATGTTCAATCTCGAAAGGTATATTGATAATGATGATAATGTAACGACGACAACATTCACCATACTCTACATTAACAACCTTGAGATCGGGAATTGCATAGAGAGGGAAACATTTGTCCATGTACTTCTTTCAGTTGCCTATCGTAAATTAGTTGGTGAACTACCGCACCCAACCCTAATAATAATGGATGGGCAAACCACTATGTTTGGGTCAACTAACCTGACTTTTTACCACCTATGCTTTTAATGGACGATACATTGCAGGGACGGAGCTAGGAATTAAAGTTCGGGGGGGCCGAAGTTAGTTAGTACATAACCGCGAAAATATTTTAAAAAAATAAAAATTTATAACGACATAACATTAGTTAAAATAATCAAAATAGAATTAATTTAAAGTATTCTAGTATGCTATGTTCAAAATAAATGATTATACTATGAAAAAATTGTCATGCACTTTAACATGTAATTTTTTCAATATTATTGTACGAATTTATGATTTTATTAGTGTTTATATGAATTATTATTTAATTACATATCCAAAACACATCCATGAAATATTAATGTAAAAGTTGAATAACTTGACTAACGTTATTTGTAATCATCGGATTTATAAGACCAAGCAAGAAAATTGAAAAATTAAACTGAAAATAAAATAAATAAAAAGTTAAAATAATAAAAAAAAGTTGCTTACAAGGCTCGAACCTGGTACCTTTCTGCTGCTATTCAACTACAAATCCGCTAGGTTATATGAAGATTATGTCAACATTGTGTCACTCGCATTTTAAATATATTTAATGTTGATTTTATACATAATTCTCGAAAGTTCCTAGGACTTTATACGTAAGTTTCGAAATTCTCGGGGGGGCCGGGGCCCCCCCGAGAGCCTACATAGCTCCGCCCCTGATACATTGGAACTAACTAGAACTATATACTCATAGTGACTAAAAGGGGATTAAACGATCTACTTTACTGTCTAGGTATACTTTACATTATTCGAATCAAACATTCACCGACAATAAAAGATCTTTGTAGGTCAAAGACGTCACAAACCACACAGAATAGATAATCGAGGGGCGTTGATTGACCAGATGCCTCAATATTAGAGGAGATAATGGAAGAGAGGACTTAATGAGGTTGCACGTTACGAACGTTGAAACCAAATAAATCTCTCTGAATTCTCGAAACCCAACATCACAACTACTTGAACAAATCTACTAACACAAATCGATAGTCAGTTTTAAGTACCGTTCAACTCTCCAGCGGGCGAGACCGTGAATCGGTTTTTGTGGTTGTGAACATGGAATCGAGCCTGGGTTTTGATGGCCCATAGGGTTTCACACAGCCACTCAAAATGATCAGAACCAAGGGATTGATGCTAAACGATGTAGGTAGGACAGACCATATGTATCTATCTATGTGAAACAAATTGATTAAATGTTTTCAAGAAAATGAGATATGTGGACTAGCTCCATTGTAAGCCACGAGAGAAAAGAACAGACCATGTGAGATACAAACAACAAAAAAAATTTGGCCTATGTTGTTCTTGTTTGTGGTGCATCATGCATTGGACAGCAATGTAAGCAATCATATATATATATATTAATTGTTGTTGTAGATAACATTTGGATAATTAGTTATTTGGATTGGATTTGGCAAATCCGCAATTAAGATTTAAGAAGTCTTAAATGTTACCTAATGAGTGGTTTTATGATGTGTTAGTGTATAATTAGTATCGATGCATTATAAGAATTGTCGATGTTTTACATCGTCATAAGGTGATATGTCATGTTTAGATATGTGGATGGTTATTAGCTTGCATCTGGAGCCTGAGAGTTGCATCTAGGGCTGTCAATTTGGTTTGGTTTGGTTTGGTTAACAAAAACATTAACTATGAAAAACCAAAAATCAAATCCGCAAAAACTAAAACCAAAATCATTAAGTCCCTTATTGGTTTTCGGATTAATTCAAATATACCTTCTTTGATAAAAAAAAAAACATGTTGCATTGCATTTCTCCCTGTAGCATGTAAATTGGTTTGTTGATTGCGATTGTGTCGTCGTTTCTATATCCGATCTCATCACAATCTAATAATTGAATCATGATATCTACATGTTATTATGACAAGGGCTTTTTCCCACACTATACATTATAAAAAAAAAAACTCTACACAATTCATACTTGTACACACGTTGATTAGGATTCATTGACCATTATTTGTTTTTCATTTTTGTTTTCGTAACGAATCATATGTTGAGATACATGAATGAAATGGTTGAAAGTTTCAATTCATACATAAAAAAAATTATGGTGTGGCAACATCATAAACTGTAGAATAGACGGCCGATTAGGTGGGCAAATTTAATTAAATTCTATTGAATAATGAAAAACAAAATCAAAGTGTAATAAATAAATATAATAAAAGCTAGCTAGCAATTTCTTGTTGCAGTTGCCCATTCCTTTCTCCGTCCATGAGAAGGATTCGTCGTTTGGGACACCTTCCGTCCATAAAAGTCGTAAACAATACAAACACAACCCTAAACCCCGGAGGGCAGCTGGCCGAGTGTTCACATTTTTTCCACAAACAAACATAAAGCTTGACCCGAAAGCCGAACCGATTTGAACGTGTAGATAAAGAATCGTTAAGCGATGTATTTTTCTCATCTACGAGGTGTTTTTTCTTATCATAACTTATAAGTGTTCCGTAGGTAATTGAAAGCTTCTCACCAATTCATCTTCACACGTTTATCGTTAAGTCCATCATCAAAGAGTGGACTCTAGTGATAAAAGTTAAGAATGTTCATCAACACTTGCCCCAATACGAAATCTCGGATCGAATCTACAATAATAAGTTAAGGGGTCGTTTGGATGAGGAATTGTAACGGACCAATTTGACACAATTGTCTCGTTTTGAGACAATTATACCAAATTGCCTCGTTTGCCAGCAAAAAATTTGAATGAATCAATTTGCCAGAGGTATTTTGAATTGATCCGTTTCGAGTCAATTTCAATTACCTGGGGGTGGGGCAGGTAATTCGAATTGACTCGTTCTAATTGCCTCATTTATAAAACGAGACAATTGATCAAATTGACTCATTTTTAGATTGATCCATCTAAAACGAAACTAATCCAAAGCCCATCTATAACAGAAAATAAAATAATGGACCGGGGATGGGCCCATATAATATTGTATGGCGCTTTCCGTTCTCAAGGCGGTTCAGGTTTTCAGTTTGCCGCACATGGTGGGGCCCAGCCACCGCAGCTCCTGCCGCCGTCGAGTGTGCTCTCTTCCGTTCACTCACGACTCCCGTCTCCGTCCAAAATAGACTGAGATGGCCTTTTTTTCATTTTATATTTTCCTTCACTTAATTAATTAATTGTGTCCCTTCCCTCTCCCAATCATCGGCAGCCACCGCCAGCTGTCTTTCCGGCACCCCCGCCGCAACCGACGCCGTCATCCATCCATACACCCGTCGCCGTTGCTCAGCTACCCAGTTAGCCACTCTCCTTAGTTCAGAGTGGTAAAAATGTCGGGTTTGGTTCATCCATGAGAGGTTATTACGGGCTATGTCATCATGGAATGGAATCGTTAGGAGTATTGGTAAGTATATCGAAATTTGAATGATCTATGACATGTATTTAGGAGTCACGTCATATAATAGATCGAGTCCGTCAGCGGGAGTCAACATTGTACAGTGTCGTGAATGATAGTATCAACGTATAAGTTCTGCAATACATGCTATATCCACAAAATGAATCACAAAGTTTGAAACGAGCTCTCGCGCTTATGGAGCATGGAATGCGCCATTATAGTTCCGAGTTACGCTAACTGCAAACAACGCTACAAACACAAAAACTGGTGGGCTCGGTACATGCTCATGCTTGCTTGCTACATTGTGTGTGCAAGTATCACCCAAGACATTGTGCTCGCGTAGCTTTCCTCGCCCCACACTGAGACATTTGCGTCGTGTGATTTTACTACTTGCCATTATTTTTTGATATAAGAATGTCACAATAAGCTATGATTTTATGAATAAAATGTATGTATCGCCATGACAGTTGTGAAGGATCACCAGTAAATGGATGTTAGGTACAATATTCCCACCACAATATACACTTGTTGTGAGAGGAGGGGTAAGACTAGTTGGTAGGTATCATTGGATAACTTTTCTTAATACAAGCAACAAAGACAGACGAACGGTTTAGTCCATTAGCGTATATACGATGCTTGAATTTAGAAGGTCATACATAATCTAATGTGTTTGTTGAGACATTTGGTCGATACGAAAGCCGAGTCCTCCCACATTCACCTTGATCAAATCTAGCTAAACAAATAACTAGGGTTTAGAAGAAGAAGTAGTTCTACAATAACAAGGCTCAAAATGTAAATTGACACAAACATAAACCCTAGAAAACAAACCCAACCTCACTACCAATAATTTTATAACTATTTGTTTGATATGACCAATAATTTTATAACTAACTACCACCAATGTGTTATATTTCTTTAAAAACAAACCCATAATTATTATAAAAAACCCAATAATTACCATTACCATAATTTGGTATCTTTCTAGATTTTAATAATATTATTTTAATTTCCCCCCTCTCAAAAAAATTTGGTTGGCGGATCTCATGATTGGATGCCAGCTTTATAAGCACCATTCCCTTCTCCTCCCACAGCACAACTCCACAAACATAAAGCCCGCACCTTTTTCCGGGCAAGAACCAAACCCAGTTGAGAACACGGAGAGAAATCAGCAGAGAACCCCAAAAAATGGGAAGAATCCCTCGCCAGATCATTAATGGAGGAGAATCAAATTCTCCCTCCTTTAGGGTTTCCACCGAAGCCCAGAAGATCAATCGGAGCTTTGCGGAAGACGATTGTTCCCCTCACGCCGCCGACTCGTTCTACCCCGAGACTCAGCAGATATGGGAGAAGCTCCAGAGAACAACCGGCGACGGGAGGAGCAACGTCGACCGGAGTTTGTCGAGGAGCAGGACGAAGAAGAAGAACCAGGTCCTGCTCGAAGGGTATGTCGATTTAAGCAGAACCAGCAGCAGTGGTGCCACCGATGATGATTTGAAGAGGGCAAAGAGCTTGACGGACGACGATCTCGATGAGCTGAAAGGGTGTTTGGATCTTGGATTCGGTGGGTTTAGCTACGACGAGATCCCCGAGCTTTGCAATACGTTGCCGGCTCTGGAGCTTTGTTACTCCATGAGCCAGAAGTTTCTTGATGATACTGCGCAGAAATCTTCTTCTGCTGCCGAGGGAATGGATTCTTCTTGTGATGGAGTTGCTGCTTCGGACCAGGCTGCGTCTAGCCCCATTGCTAATTGGAAGATCTCCAGTCCTGGTGAGTTCAATTTTGATTCTTGTTTATTGCTGGATTGCATTGGTTAGGGGTTGTAGAGATCTGATTGTGGTTCGTTTATGCTTTTGGGTCATTGGGATGAGTTGGTTTTGGGCTATAGATTAGAAAATTCTTTAGCTTGTTGATGTCATGATCTGTTGGTATGGCCATTTCAGTACAATTAAGATCATGATGCTTATAAGGGTTAGTTGGGATTGCAGAATTTCAGCTCTTCTTATTTTGGTTCCATAAATCTCACTGTTTCGCTCTCTTGACTTGTTAATCTGCAGGTGATCATCCGGAAGATGTGAAAGCAAGGTTGAAATATTGGGCACAGGCTGTTGCTTGTACAGTCAGATTATGCAGCTGATGGGTTTTGCTCAAGGCAGAAGATTGTATGCAATGTGTGGGAAAGGGAATCAGGGAAATAGGCTGTGGAAGGCGATGGATAGCTTGGAAAGTCGGGAGCTTTTGCTGGACTGATTCACTCCAGCTTAAGTTCTTGCAGGAAACTGGTGATCCTGCACTTTCTTATGCTGATGTGGAGCAGCCTGAATGATATCTAATGATGGCCTTCACGAAGAGGAAGGAGGGAGAGGGAAGGGTATGTTTCAGGTTTTGGATTAACTCAACCACATGCGAAATGATTCTTGACTTGAACTCGGTGGAAGCTAAGATAGATTTATATATATATTCTTACTGTGACTGTTGTACTCAGTACATTACTGGAGAATAATGAATAAATCTTTTTGATGGTTAATTTGGTTCGATGGATTGATTCTCTACTAGTATCCAGTCTGAGCTGCTGCTTATTTATATGCAGTGGTGAGACTTGCAACATTAGAGCCTCCCCCAACTACTGACTGACTTTCTGTAACTCTGCTGAGGTAACTTGTCTAACTGGGTTCACTCTGTGATTTGGTTATTATCATAGGTGTGTGATTGATGCAAGTTTTGCTCAACGATTCTAACATAACTTACTTTGTTGAGTGGCCATTGTGGCCAGAGCTGCATGAGGGGGAGGGCTTAACTCGAAGTTAACCTGTTTGTCTCATTGATTATGAGATTGTTACTACTGTTTCTAACATGGTGATCCATCGTATTGGATAGACCAACCATACATTACGGATGGATGGATGACAGGGAAGAAGTCCTCCTGCAACTGATGGGTGAACCCTTTTAGTTTCTTCGCTCTCTTTGATTTCTAACATCACTGGGACTTTTTTATCAGCATTAACTGACTAACGATTAATCCAATAGATGTAAACGTCTACCCATTTGGCTGATAGAGCAGATGGACGGGTGGATGATGTGAAGGAAGTTGCTGGAACTACATGCATCCGAACTCTCTGAGCTGTTCTTCCTCTATCACGCCTTGCAAGCTGTGGAATGTTTAAAGTTTGGATTCCAGAGTTCAAGCGTGGAGCGATTCATCCATTGCTCTGGAATCTACCAACTCACTGCCGCAGTTTCTTCCATCAGTTGAGAACTGTTTGATGGCAATCCAAGCTGGTTTGGATTGGTAGATTCAACTTATCAATGATTAAGTTAAGTTTTGCACAGAGAAGCAACTCTGGTAGAAGTTAGGTATTTTGATATTGTCACATTGAATAATTGCAGACACCTGTTGTACTTAACGTTAGCTTGCTTGAGGAACACGATATGCTGTTCCTTGAACTCTTCTTCTTTCTTGCAGATGTTATGAAGAGCTCTCTTGTCTGGCTATTTATGATCTGTATATAAGTTTCAGACATGCTCTGCAATTGGGGAAATTCAATTTGGATACTTCCAATGAAGATATGGCTGAGTTGGAGTTGGGTTATCCTTATCTAGTAAGATGGATGCCATGAAATTGAAAATGACACGGGAATTGTTCTTGACGTTAAGCAAATCTATCTCCCCACCACTTGATAATTTTCCTTGTCCCTCATCACAAGTTGGAAAATCGAATCCACTTATATAAGTAACTTGATTATATAGTCATATGAATGTGTGGCTGGCTACTCATATGCATTGGAGGTTTGCCAGGTCAACCTCAATCTCCAGCACTAGCTGAGAAAGATATTGGTAACTATCCGAATATCCCCTCTGACTGGTAAAAGCAAAAGATGCTGCTTGTATTAGCATGCCAACGCATAACAGAGGGAATAAAACATCTAAATTCAGATACAAAAGGAATATCTTCGAAGCATCTAAAAGTGTCATGACAGTTCAGTAATGAGCTGCCACTAGAAAGGCTGATTAGTCTAGTGCCACCAGAGGAAGGAAAAAGACAGCAAAAAGGAGAACATTGTTTGATATATTAGGGCAATTCATGTTTAGGGGAATCATATTTGATATTACACAACCTCTGCCTTGCTGCTGGCTCTTAACTGGGGTGAGCAATGATTCAGACTCGCGAATTGCAGCACAAGGAAACAAGGGGACCAAAATATTTGATGTACTGAAGAACCAAATTGCAATGAATAGAAAATCGGACCAAATACGATTAAATTCAGACGAAATGGACTTATTCAATGTTAACTTTGCTCGTCAGTTTCTCTTTGTTTTCGGTTCGCTCGTCAACAAGTTGGTTATATCTTTCTCAATCTTAAGAGGTGAAGTGGTGGGGGCATATCGCTCCACAACTTTGCCTTGTCTGTTCACCAAGAACTTGGTGAAGTTCCATTTGATGCCGTCTCCCAGGAACCCTCCTTTCTCTGCTTTCAGGAAATTGTACAATGGTGCTGTGTTCTTACCATTCACATCAACCTGCACATAGACACATAAAGTTTTGTATCATCCAACCAAGTCACGTTGAGTTCGAACCTTGCGGTCTAGCTTAGCCAGCATGTTGATGTACCTTATCAAAGACGGGGAACTCGGCTTTGAAAATGGTGCATACAGTTTCCTGAATCTGCTCATTGCTCCCTGGTTCTTGTCCACCAAACTGGTTGCATGGGAATGCCAAGATCTCAAGCCCTGCCACATTGGAGTTTCAGAGAGGTGACAGAGTGTTAATTCAACCCCAGCTTAGGTACCAAAGTGACTCGTGAAGCAAAATTATGATTCAACTAGCCATCACACTAGATACGATTCTGACTCATCTCGACTGATATCGCAATGAACCATCATTATAACCCGACCCAAAACCCTGCTTAACCCCACGAAGTTCAGCGAATCGATAGTGTTCGACCTGCAACACGTAATGACCTGCGTGTGACATGCAATTTGACCCGACTCGACTCATTTGCCATCTATATAACTGGAGTGAGTAAGAGCTGAAAGACCAACTATCAACTAACCTTGGTCTTTGTACTTTTGGTACAACACATTCAACTCCTTGTAGTTTGATTGTGTCAAGCCACTGCAATCAAGTAAATGCACAGTTAAGGAACCACTACCACAGCTACAGTCTACCACTGCAGAGTTTTCATGATGCTAAGGAATACCATTTGGAAGCAACATTGACAATGAGAAGAACCTTCCCCTTATATTCACCAAGGCTCACATCAGTCCCTTTGATGTCCTGCAAACAAAATCAATGCTCAAACATTGTAATTAATAAACAATCAGCAACTGCAATTCCCAGATCACAATCTTTCATCCTGATTTTGAGAGGAAGTTCAATAAGGGTGATCTAATTAGCTTGATCAAGGATTGTGATTTTGATCCAGTTTGAAGTTAGATTAAACCAGTACTTACAAAATGGAAAACCCAGAAGGAAAAAGGAGAAAAGAGAGTACCTTGACAGTGAAGTCATAGATGGAGCTGGATGATGAAGAAGAAGAGTCTTGTTGTTGAGCAGCCATGTTTATCACAGTGGAGAAGGAAGGTAGATCAGATTGGTAGGTGTAGTGTAGAAGAAGAAGACGGCAATAACAAGAAATCCCAGAGATACCCAGTTGCTCAAATTCATGATCCTCTTAAATAATCTAACATATATAGTTTATATAACAACATGGGAAACGAGAAAAAAAGAAATCATTAATGCTGAACCTAACACAGAAAAATATGAAGTCGCCATTAGTCGACTTTTCCTTTCTTTCTTAGTTCCTTGGTTCTTATTTTCATACTTGACCGCTTCTGCAGCCCAAGGGTGCCGTCTTGCCGTCCTCTCTAGAAGGAAAAATTAGGAAGGAAACAAAATAGTATATCTGCAGACGACGCCACGATGGTGATGTTCTCAAATGATTCTGGTTAGTAAGGTTAATTGATGATTTGATGTGTATAAGTAATGTTTATCAAGAGTTGTTATGCTTGAATCTGGATAAAACTCAAATCAATAATTGGTTCAGTGTATAACCAGGTCAAAATTGGCATACAAATATACCGAAATGAAAGGAAATATAAGAACAGAACTGGAGTAATCATGTGCTCAATTATCTTTTGATCCGGTCTAGTTTCAAAGGGATTCAATAGAACTGAAGCTAAAAAGAATTCTAAAGATCGAATCGAAACTATGACCTGGTTCGATCAGATCGAGTTTTAAGTGTTGATATGGTTTGAACCAAATCATTGCCTGACTCCTAAATTTAACTTACAACAACATATATTTTTCTCTTGCTCCCTAACATCCGACAAACTAAGAACCTAAATCTATTACAGCTTTGGCCTCACATTTAACAGTTCCCTTAACCTGAACCTGAAACAGCAGCAGGTTCTTGCTGGCAATCCTCAGTTTCTTCACCAAAACTTGGTGGTTTGGGGGTCAAGCCAAGGAGCTTGAACATTTGTTGATCAGCATCGTAGTCATTGTTAGGAGTAGTCAGCAGCTTCTCCCCAGTGAAGATTGAGTTTGCACCGGCCATAAAGCATAGTGTCTGCTCGGCCATCGAGAAACGCACCCTCCCAGCTGATAGCCTCACCATTGCTTTCGGCATCACTATACGTGCTGTCGCAATCATCCGCACCATTTCCCATATTTCCACAGGCTGCAGAAGGAAGAAGAAGACAGACAAAACATAACCATTATGTTAGCTTCAACACATTCGTTTGTAAGTGCAACGAATTCGTGGTAGTTATCAGTTGGGTCTCATTAAAGAACTGACCTTTTGGTCTTCCAGAGGTGTGCCTTTCACTGCAACAAGAGCATTAACAGGAACACTCTCTGGGTGCTTAGGAAGTGTTGCTAACGTATGCAACAGACCAACCCTGTCTTCCTCTGCTTCCCCCAGTCCGATTATGCCTCCTGTTAAAATCGTAACATAATAGTCACGCCATTTATCTTATCTTTCTTGGCCCTTTTTTAGAAAAGGGAACAAGCACAGCTGAAAAAGGTGCCGCACTGCTGCATGAAAGCACCAGTTGTGGACCGATTTCTTTCAAAGTCTAAGGCAAGGAGCTTTAACCGAGTATAACCACGTCAGCATTGATAACATATGTAGCAACTCGAGAATCAGCATGTAGAATTGTAGATAGATGCCTAATGAGGAGTCCAATAACATTAAAAAAAATGAAGCAAGTGAACGGACTATGAACTCCATTTGACATTTCTAGCTGAAAAATATTCTATCAGCTTCAGCTTGATATATCTAGTTGAATTGTCCAATGAAAATAACATATTCTAACTCATAATAAAGAAATAGCAACATAAAGTCCCATTCGTGCAAAAATAATGTGTTCATATTATTGTAACAAGTTGAGTGACTAGACAACATTGGCTACTTGCATTTTAAGCTACAGTTTTCTAGGAGGATTTGATAGATCACCTGAGCATACATGAATCCCGGCTTTCTGGACATGTTCCAGGGTTTTAAGACGTTCATCATATGATCTTGTAGTGATGACATTGGAATAATACTCTCTTGAGGTATCAAGATTGTGATTATAAGCTGTAAGGCCAGCCTTCTTGAGTTCTGCAGCCTGCTCTTTCTCTAGCATTCCCAAGGTGCAGCAAACCTCCATTCCCATTCCCCTTCAATTGCAGACAGTTCTATATCAACTTAGATCACCTGATCCTATGCTATAACTAGCAATGTTACTTTGTAACTACATTGTTGATTAAATTATAATGTGATTATTTACCTTATTTCTTTTACATAATCTAGTATCTGGTTGAAGTTCGTCTTCCTTCCTACTGTATCTCGCCAGGCTGCACCCATGCAAAAACGTGTGCTTCCAGCCTCTTTAGCCTGTCGTAGCACAGCAGCAGTAATAAATTACAAATATTAAATAACAAAAGAAGACTATTGAGTCACTTTTCTAGATAGAGAATATACCAAACCACCAGTAAGTCTAAACTTCTTGTTTTCAGAACACATACTAACTATCCACAACACTCAAATTCTTCCAACATGTGCTGCTGTGACTGGTGTATCACTACAGTACAAGTCACGAGATAGAGAAGTGTAAGTTGGCCGTGGAACAAATGCTACGATCAAGTCCACGGCCTTGGCTTCCAAAATCGACTAAGAAAACTGGTAGCTGCAATCAAAGGCCACGGAAACTGACTGACAAAAGTGAAGAGCTATGATAGAATGACTCCTTTCTCCTACCCGTTTTTTGAGATTGAACACTCTCTTCAGTAAGATTATGTCACAGATTAAAACTTCTCCACTAGTTCACATCAATTTCCCTCAGTTCCAATCAGACTCATCATCCCAAATATCGGTTTCACGTTAGAAATATGGATACCAACAAGGCAACAACAAAACATATGGTCATTTTCACTCGTGAAACTAGCACTGAAAAGCCACATTCATTGCCTAAGTGTCACTAGACCCCGAAAACCAACTATGAAGAATTTACCAAAGCTCCAAAATTGACCCCAAAATAACAACCCAATCCATATAAAAGAGAGAAAGATGTACCCTTTTTGCAGCTTCCAGAACAGCATCTTTGTTCATGAGCTTCTGGGCTTTCAAACCAGTCTGGTAACGAGACGACTGAGGGCAGTAAGAACAGTCCTCGCTACAGCCACCGGTCTTAATAGAGAGCAGAGTGCATTGCTGAACTTCCCTGAAGTTATGCGCATGTCTATGAACCTCAGCCTGTGCAATAAAACATGAATTAGCTACGAAACCGAAACTGGGCAGTTACTGAGCTAATTAAGTAAAAGTGAGCGGAACCCATTTGAAGAGTAACTGACGCCATGGAAGAGGAGATCGAGCAGAGGGGATTGGTAGACGTCGGTGATCTCTGGTCGGGTCCAATCTTGCCGTGGGCCTTCTCTTATTGCTCGTTCGGCTTCAATTGCAGCGGCTGAAGAAGGAGATGAAGAAGGGGAAGCAGCGGAATGCAGGAAGGAGGTTGGATGCCTGGAATGGCGAAGAGGCCGGAAGATGGATCGAACGGAAAGCATTGCTTAGCTGAATTGAATTCGCAGTGTCTTGTTTGAGATCTCTTCTCGTTCCTCCTTTGTTAGTATCGAAGAAATCTATGGCGCAAAAGCCAAAACTAAACTGTTACAGAAAGCAAGTTCCCACCTAATTCAGTTTTGATTGTGGTTACCCGGCCGGTTACGACGGTCGAACCGATTAGCGAATTAACGGGCCATTGCAACGAGAAGGCTGCCCAGGGCCCAGCCCACGTTTTGGCCCTGCCACCCAGCTAAATGGACCAACACAAATCGTCTGGGCCCATTGCTACCGTTTCTATCTGGTTAGGCCCACGATCATATTAGTACTCAGTCTGGAGACGGCGGTGACTGTAAGAAAACCACCGATTCTCCCCATTTCACTTCTCTCTCTCCGATTCGAGTCTCCGATCGACGATGACGGCGGCCGCCCAGCACCACCACAATCCACCGCCGTCCTCCTCCAAACCGCCTCGCAACTCCCTTAACCCCACTTCCGCTGCCGCGCCTCCCTCCTCCGCCGCAGCTCCTTCCCAAACCCTCAATTCGAACAACCCTACCTCCTCCGCCGCCGCGGCAGAGACCGCGCCGATCGCTCTCCACGACAAGAACCACCCGTTCTCGCACGCCACGCACCTCACCCGCCACGAATTGCTGAAGCGGAGGTCGCACCTACTGAAGCAGGTATCGCGATGCTACCGCGACCACTACTGGGCGCTAATGGAGGAGGTCAAGGGGCAGTACCGGGAGTACTACTGGAAGTACGGGGTCAGCCCTTTCAAAGAGGAGCGGTTAGAGGATGGAGGGGAGGGAGAGAGGGAGAGGGAAGGGGGTAATTTCAGCTCTGTGGAGGCGATGGATGAGAGCAATCATGGAGGCAATTTGCCGATGGGGGCGGCGGCGGCGGCGGCTTGTGGTGGTAATAACAACAATGGCAATTTGAGTAGTAAGGGGGAAGTTGAGATGAAGAATTGTCAGAGCAGTAGGTGTAAGTCTCCCGGGTGTAGATTGAAGGCAATGGCTTTGACGGCCTATTGCCACCTTCATATACTTTGTGATACCAAGCAGAAGCTCTACAAGGCCTGCACGTTCGTCATCAAGAGGTTTGATTTCGCCTTAAATCGATGCCTCCTCTTCATTTTCAATTGCCTTTGTTGTTGCTTGTGTCTAAAGTCAGATTCTTGCTAGTTAGGAGTTTGTTTGTTGTTTGTACCCTCATGCATTTCAAGTTGCATTTGCTTGTTCCTTGGGGTTTGGTTTATAAGTTATTTTGTGATTGATTCGGATCTGATTGTGGTTACTCTTGCCTTGAATGTGTATGTTGGAAAGCATTGGAAGGTAAGTTTTGTTCTGTGGCCTTGGATGAACTTTTTCATAATGGAAAGCTTGCTGCTTATTGTTTTAAGTCAGGGCTATTAGTAACTGCTAGCTTGGGACTGTTAGTGGTTTCGGGCGTTGTGTTATTATAGGTTTGTTAATCCAATTGCAGAAATCAAAATCCAAACTTTGTAGAGCATGAGTTGCAGTGATGGGGTTGTACTTTGCTGTGGGAGTATTTTGTTACTGAACTACATTTGTGATCCATGGGGGAAGATGTCGCAGGTTTGCATTTGGCATTGATTTTCGGGTGCTTTACTTATTGTTCTTCTTCCTGAAGCACGTTCTATTGACGATATTGTTTTCCCATTGTCAATAACTCTGTGTTTGGCATCTTGTTGTCTACAATTTGTGTATTCTTAATACGAAACCTTGTCAAATTTAGAGACTATATAGTATATAGATGATTGTGGCACTAACTGGGATGTAGTTGGTTATATCCTCAGTGCTCAGGCGGGACCAATTACCTGTGGGAAGCCTATACTGAGATCAATAGTGCCTGCTCTGTGTAGCGTCCACTTCCAGAAGGCTCAGCAGCAAGTGACTCGTGCATTGAAGAAAGCCGGCCTCAATGTTTCTTCATCAAGTAAACTCGCTCCAAAGCTTCACGTCATAGTCGCGGAATACGTGCGCCAGATTCAAGCCAAAAGAAAGGCTGCAAAAAGGGTGAATCTCATCAAAGATGCTGTCGCCGGTAAGGAAGTTAAGACCGAAGTTGGTAGTTGCTATGCTGTGAAATCTTAGAGCAATACAAACTCAGAACCCTGTGACGCTCATCCAATACGAGATCGTGCTACACTAACAGGCCACACGTCATCTCATTCCCGACTTTTGCAAAATGGAATGCCAGCAGAGTAGGTCCAAATCCTTCCTAGCCTGTGTGCGAGCCATCTTCATGGAAACCCTGTTCTGTAATATCAAGATGCTTTTCTGGGAGTCTTATTGATCTTGGTAGTTTCTTGTACTCGTAGAATGGAAGACTCGTTTTTGTACAGAACCCTCATCTTGAAAAGATCTCTTGAATGTGGATATAGTGATTGTTGCCTCATTTACTGACATGCATTTTATCCCAGTGAAACATTGAAACCCTTTTGGCAAGGTTAATCTGATTTCAATTGTCAAGAAACTGTGAATTTCATCACACATAGGATTCTCTCTGCGGTAAACTCTTGAGAGCTCCTCTCTCTTTTTGTGTGAAATGTTAGAATTTGTAGGAAAGATACATTGATGCCATAACTCTTACTCATGGTGGTTTATTCACGTCGTTTTATCAGGAGTTGGAAATCATATACCAGAAACAGAATGATATACCTTCATTTTCCCCCCCTGCTATTTCCAATGATGCCAACTCGAATCGAGTTCGAGCGCGAATGAGATTACTGGAACAATAAGTGATAGTACACAAATGCATGCTTGAAATCACGAGTTATCAACGGCCATGATTCAACTGATTGATTTGACAATTTTATAGGGAACATTTGTTCTATATATACATACAGAAATGGATTAAGGTTTGATAAACTAGTACTCAAAAAGTGGATGCAATGAAAGGCCTAGAGACCAGTTGCAAAAAAATCGTTGCCTTGGTGTTTGATTTCTTTTCCATAATCTCATTGGTTGTTCTTAAACCCAAAATTTTGGACCATTTAGAGCTACAAAGAAAGATCAAACAGATTACTGCCCTCCCTCATACTTTACCCTCCCTCTGCTTCCTTCTTGGTTTCTTTGAATGAGATTCCTTCTTCGAAAATTTCTGCCTTTTCTTCTGTGGCCTTGTTTTCACATTCTCGCCTTCCTCATTAGGGGTGCCACTCGGGGGTTCTTCCTCGTCGGAACTCAGTATGAAATCCTCAACGATATCATCATCTTCTTCTTCCTGTCCTTTCTTTCTTTTCTTCTTCTTCTTCTTTCCCTCATCCCTGGATGTATCAACCCTGCACCAGTAAGTAATAAGCAAAGTTAACTGTATGCAATCTTTGCACACCAACACTCCAAATTTACAGATGAGAGATAAATTCAGACAACATACTTTGGTAGACCACTCGGTAACCAAGACGAGTTGAACACAGCTGTGGCTTCCTCGTTTCCAGGACCATCATCATTATCATCATCAACAACATCATCGTCGTCGTCTTCATCACCTTCAGATCTCCTTTTGCCAAACACTGAGGAACGCTCTCCAACAGTAACACTGAAAATTGTCAAGAGAGTTCAGAGGATGGCTGACAGCATACGCACAATGATTACTATCTCAAAAGGTGGGAAGTCAAGAGGCATTTAAACAAAACCTGGATTCCACCAGTGAACTACTTCTTTGCTTTGCTCTTTGATGCAATGTCACAACATACTTCGACAAAGGACTGGGACCCAACTGTTTCTCGTTCTGTTTCAAGACCATAACAATCTACTTCCTCAGGATTCAGAATTCAACTTTGCTGCTCCGTTAGAAGAATCAGAAGAACAAAAATTGCATACCTCAATTTCAGATGCAGCTGCAGGGTCATTCGGTAAAGTGATTGACGCACGCTTTTCATTTGTGAACTTGGAGTTGGCCTCAATCTACAACAGGAAATTAGCTGCAGTTAATAATACTGAGGAAGCTGTTCATCATTTGATAAATTAGCTGCATATGTTAATACCTGTCGTATAAGCTGCCTCATTTCTTTTCTGAATCTATCAACTTTGGTAGCTTTGCAGAAGCTTCTTAGTCTTACAGCCGGAATAAAAGACAGCTCAAAGAAAGCCATTGAATAGCTCCATTGAGCTAAATGTTCGGCTATTTCTTCAACTACAGAATATACACAGGCCTCTTGAAATGCTCGTGTTTTCAGCGTAGGCTTGTTTACCTGGTATAGAATTTTTTAAAACGTCAACAAAAAGTAAATGCCGAAAAGAAGAATCTTTACTCTTTTAGCCCCAAGACATATATATACCTTCATTATTGTGCGCAAATCAATAGCTTTGCCAACACCTCCAGTTGGAGGCCTATTCAGTTCTTTCATTTCTAACATGTCCAAGAGGAGAGTGGAAACCGGTATGAATGTTCCAGTAGATGCAGCAATGCGGTTGAGCATTCTTACACACCTCAATCTAAGAGGAAAGTATCTAGCAGTTGGAACCAGTGAAGCCACTCCGGAAATGATTTGAGTTAACGGATAGGCTAGAGGCTTAAAAACAGCTTCCGAACTGTAAGTGCAGACAGCACCAGTCCAAAGTTCAAGGCAATTCATGAATTTCCATTCATAAACTCGTCGAAATGATTCCTTGTGAAACAAGAAAAAGGCATAGTTTAGCGTCTAAATATTCAAAACCACTTTAAAGGAAAACAGAACGGCTAGCAAGAAAAGATTGTTGAAGGGATGGAACTGCATTAAACCCATTTCTCAGAAAAATCAGGTTGTCCTGTGCGAATCAACTGATATACATGATAAGAAAGTTAAAATAGAAAAAGAAAGAACCTTCGTTTTCATAGTGATAGCATCTCTCAGAATCATTGCCAACTGCCGGATGTAAACGAAAGCTTGTTGATACGCAGTCGGGAGGTCCACCCGAAATATTTCAATAACACAGTTCCCAAGAAATTGGATATGCTGCAACTTTGCAGCATTTATGAACTGACAGTTCAGAACATATGCCTTGTACATACCCTTGAAGCAGTCATCTGCACATTCCTGTCCAAGCCGTACGCATAAATCCCTCAGGAACAGAGTAGATACAACTGGGAGGGCACCGCCTCCTGAACCCCAAAAGTGAAGGGCAACCTGACATGAAAAAGGGAAAATCAATGCTTATTTCTTCTACAAAAATGAGATGTTACCCAACGAGAAATGGCAGATAACACTCCACTTAATAGTATGACACATTCCTTTGAAACAACTATACTGAGTATTCCAGCAAACTGCTACATAAGAGTTCTAGTATGAAACAGAAGCATATATAAGAGTTCCATGGATCAGCTTATAATGGTAATATTTTCATAAGAGAAGACACCAAGAATAGTTATAAGCTACATGAAGAAAAAACAGTGAGAAAAATCATCAACTTTAAGGACTCTGAGTTTCTTATACCTTGACATACTTCCGCAATAGACTTGGGAAAGCAGCCAATAGCAAAGACGAATACTTGAGACGCCGCAAAGTAAAAGCTACCATCTGTGCATCAGTCATTTGGTTCAAAACATGCAGGGCATTTCCCAGATATGACTTCACCAGGTGACTGTATTTCTTCCATTTCCGGGTACCCATTACTTTAAGCATCACCTCTTTCTTCCCACCATAAGAAGGCAGGTCCAACATCTTGCGAAGAATTCCATCCATTCGACTCAGGACAAATACCATTATTTTATTGAACACAGCGCTAGACATGATACTTAAGTTTGATGAAGAGTCATCCCCACTATCATCACCATAGTGGCATGCAATTCTGAAACCTTTCAGAAGAGAACGAAGGGCACCTATTTTACCACCATCTAGCACTGCCTTAGTCCAGGATTCAACCATTGCGATAGTTACAACAGTTTTAGATTGTTTCTTCTCTTCCTTCTCCAACTGAATATGTTCACCGACTGCCTCATCCTTATCTATGGTTGGTTCCTCCAAATCATTATCAGCATCCTCCTACAGAAAAGCTCAGATTGTAAAATCCACCATGCTCTCACTTAAGCAGAAACTTGAACACGTTATGCCTTTCAAATTTACCTCAGCATCCTCGTCATCGAATTCAAGAAGCTCCTTATCATGTTCTTGCAAGAACTGATAAAACTCTGGGTCCTGTCCAGTAACAAGAAAATAATGATAAGTTAACTATAAAGTACTGTAGAAAGCACCATCAAATCTGATAACAAAACTAGCTAAAGAAGAAGATTGGTGCTTCGATGGGTAGATGTCCCTCCACGACAGGATGCGATAAACAATAATTTTCTCGACTCCTAACTACTAGCTGACTAACACTTAGAATCTATCAAGTAGCCCTTCTAATGTATAGTTTCTAAAAAACTTACTAAACCGCAGCCAGTTCTAATCTAGCCCTTCTGCTTCCAAATATCTATAACATTTCAACCCTCCAATATACAAACCCGCAACATTTTGAGGGGTCCATATCTACTACGTCAGCTCAACCACGAATTCACAATTTACTGAAATCCATCCCCAAATTTGGTCTCTTGCATCTTGATTCTAACCATTCAAAAACCTATAGATAGTATCAGAACTTCACATACTTGAGAACAGAGAACAAAGACTTTGAACTTCATTTCACAAGCGTGACACAAACTTTCCACGAGAAGAAAAAAAAAAAGGACACACTAACCTTTTGCTTAAGTCTTTCCAAATCATCTTTGTGCCCTTTAGCAACCATTTTCTTCCCCATCTCTTCCTGCTCCTCTTCCTCGTTAGTCTCATCTTCCAAATCCTTGACTGCCAGAAGCACAAACGACTGTCTTTTTTCAAATAATGGAGAATCCAAATGAAGAAACGAAGTAAACAGTCACCTGAACAAACCTTCGTATTCCGCGTCCATGTTGAGATATGTTTATCAGAGAGCTGAGCTGAGCCGAGTATACACAAGCAAACGCACTAGCGGAGAAGATATGAAGGCTTTTTTGTAGTTTCGCTACGGAGGAAGGAGCTCAACTCGACGAACCCACGATTGGTTTCCAGCGTTTGACGAGCAGATGAAAGGAATCGAAGCTCCGCCGCTGCCGCTGCCGCTGCCGCTGCCGCCGCTGGTTTCGCTTTCCGGTAATGGACCGCGGTTCTTTTGGCCGACCGGTAGCTTAAACCCTTTCGTTTTCCTCCCCATTTATCTGATTAAACTTAAACCCTCTCTCTTTTGGACGAATAACACCTTTAATCACTAAACTACAATTTCTAACAATTTCGTCCATGTACAATATGCTTTTAACAAATAAGTTCATAGTATCACGCAATTTATCATATTCAGTCCCTGAATTTAAAATCTTGTACATAAATCTTAGTAATTGAGTCTGACCCTTGTTCAGTAATCAGGAAAGATAAGAACTTTCGATTTACATGACACTGAATAAGCTATGACGGACTTACTGAACATGAACCAATTATGTTCGTTAACAAACTTGTATAGTTCGATAAAATATGGAGAAAAAAAAGCCCTTTATAAGAGTGTCCTGTGTTCTTGTATATGTACATAAGAATCATGTCAAAAATTTAGTGACAGTATCAAACTTAGTACACAGATTATTGTACTGTCACTTTCTTCAGTCTGTACATCAAAGACTCAATAGATCTCTGTATTCTAACTCCATCACTCTCCCTCACTTGCTGGGATGCCTCCCTCAAGCTCCGAATCCCACGTCCCAAGCTGGCAATTGAACGAGCCGAAGGGAAAGATTCAGCAACACATTCAATCCCATCTCCACACATGAGCAACCCAGAAAGGGTCATGATGCTCCCTCCGAATGTAGCCCAAGGCAGGAACCCGATAGGCCTGACTCTTCGTTTCCTCATTATCTCGTAGAAAGCCGTTCTCATGGCTGAAACGCTGGTCTTCTCGACGGAGGTTATGATCCCATGGGCCACTGTTCGGATCTTCTCGGCAGAGACAGCTGCCTTGGTTGGCCCGCTCTTGGTCAAACCGAACGACATTACCTTCTGGGTTTGGGTAAGCACGAGCTTGAGTGAAGCAGGGAACTTGAAACTCACGACCTTCATGAATGTCGATGCAGGGACCACTTTGGAAAGAGACGAGACTCCAACAACAGCTGTCGCCCCAGCGCCAACTGCTACCACCGGTTTGTTGGGGAATAGCCACCATCTCTTGTTGTCATCCTCCTGGTTCGAAGCTTCCCCTCGAGAGTTACAATCCGTGATGAGTTGTCCGATTAGGCCTTTGATTTCAAGAGGTAATGGAGTGTTCCAGTGTTTTCTGAGACCGGCCAAGGAACTGGCGTCTATTACAGCTACTATGGTCTTGAATTTCTCACTCTGGCTTTGTAGAGCATGAGCAAGGAGTGCTTGAGACTTCTCTTCAACTGGGAGATCTGAGAAGTTGGAGTTTGATTTCTCAGGCTGCCTCAATTTTCCCATTGGTAAACGACCAGCATTGTTTAGGGCAATTCTTAATCCTTCAACGGCTATCCGGAAGGTGCAGACTTCAGATACGATTTGAGTGTCCATACTTTCCCCTCTATTGATATCATAAAGCATCTTCTGTGAACAGTTCAACGCCTTTCCAACTGATGGGAGATCCATGAATATGTTATGCAGGTCAAGAAGCAATGGGTATATGGATTGAGCAAATGCTGGCACCAGGAAAGTGGTTTCTGGCTCGATTCCTTTCGACACTGAAACAGAAGAGCCTGTCTTTGGTAGAGCTGCATCCATGTTGGAACGCAATAGCATTACCATCTTCGACTGGACATCAGAAAGGGGTAATCTTTTTGGACTCGAGGAGACAATTGAAGCTGCCTGGTGAGGGATCAAGCTGCTGACCAGTCGTTCAACCGTGCCTGGTTTGTCAGCTTCGTGAGTAGGATCCGCCATGGTGAGGTTTCTTGTGCAGGGTGCCTCAAGTACAAAGAATGATGAACCAATCTCTTTGGCAGTCTTATTGGCAGTCCAAATGTGGGCATGAAAACCAACCCCAAATATTTCCCTCAACACTAAGTTGCCTGCTATGCTTTCATACTTCTCCTTATTGATCTTCTGAATGAAACATTGTTTAAGTACACCAAATGATGAAGTGGGGACCAAATCACCATTGTTAGCTGCCAACTGATTCTCTTCTAGAAGAGTTTCAAGGACAGTTGGATCCCCAACCTGAGAGATAACAGCTTCAGGCCGGACCTCCCTAATAAGGCACTCGACATCTGCAGCTGATCGTTCGGACAAATTCTGCACAGAAAGAATGTAAATAACAGAATCTGACTTGGGATCACGGACAGCATAAACAAATCTTTTTGTGCCTTCGGGTATACAAAGCTCCTTGACCAAAGCATCAGAAGCTCTTAGATCATTGAATTTGAGCACCGACAAAGGCCACAAGTTTTGTATGCTAGAGATGAAAGCAAGTGACATCGCATCAGTGTTCAGCCACCCAACTAAACCAGTATCAAGAAGACACTATACCCTTCCAGAGATCAAAGAGCTGCCGACCATTCTTTCATCAACAGAATTCCATGATTCATCACTTTCTTATCCAAAATCTATCTCTCATCAAGAAAACGAGAACGAAAGCTGCCTCTTCCAGTCTCCAGTTAGAAAGGAACCAGCACCACCAAGAAAACACAGATAATTACTGATGAAGTGAGAAAAACTTGGAAGAGAACTTGGTCGAGGGGATGCCAAGCTACAATATCTGTTATTGAGCCCTGGTCAACCAACTATGAACCGGTTTCCTAGGGCTTATACATTGGTTGGAGAATGATTGTGTGTTCTGATTCTGACGCTCCACTAGAATCAAAATAAGCTGTCACAAAATAAAAATATTTGTCAAGAGAATCTACCACATGACTTCAGGGGGGTAAAGGCAACACCTATAAATGTAGCAACTCTTGGATATGGCCAAGATAGGGCTTAGCTATTAATAAAGCCATCTAGCACAGAGTGATCCTTCAAACAAAAGGGAAAAGGAATAGAATGGGGAACAGAAGCCCTTGTGCTATCCAGCAATGAAGTTCCACTTGTCAACGCATATATGCAAACAACACAGATTCATTCATGAAAGCAAAATATAGTCCAAGATAAGTCCATGCATACATTTGCAAAGACCAATTCACCAGCTCTCTGAAATGGAAACTAAGAACGAGAATTTTCAACTGCGATCAATGACCCTTGTACTAATTTAAGCTATCCCACTACTAAATGTTAGAAATCCACATGAGCAGTTCAGTAAGCAGGCGCGAAAGCAAGCACATGAAAAGATCATACAGCGGATTTATTTGATTCCTAAGAATGAATAAGTTTGGAATATGACAATGACGATGCTCAGCTTAATTCGAAAGGAGGACAAAAGATCAAGAACCCTTATAATTCCGGGCATAAGAGAAAATGACGACGGAGGACTGCACCGAAGTTACCTGAAGCGAGCCGTTTGAGCTCGCGGCGACGGCGGGCGGCCACCTTTGAACGAAAGACGGCGGGATGGCTGGAGTCCAAATGGAAAAAGTCCCGCCACCGCTTCTTCGTTTTGTGCGGCGGAAAGTGCAGAGGGATTGAGATGGATTCAACGGCGATCGATTCACCGTCGCCGGCGGAACAAAGACGGAGCCGAAAGCTGCAAGAATGGAGAAGGATTAGCAAAATTTAGGGTTTTGAGATTTTGGGCTGGATTGGGACAGACGAGAAGAGGCCGGAGACTCTGTTCACTGTTATTTTCTTTCATCGGTTTGTATGGCGCTGAAAAAGGTGGTTAACTTACAAATTAGTCACCAAACATACTTCCATGTGCTATACTAACCACTGAAATTAATTTCCGGAGCAATTAAAGCACTGAATAAAAACTTCACTCAATTAAAGTCACCCACTTTCTTATTTTATATATGCATCAACATTATTTAGTGAATGTCACAAATAGGGTAGAAAAGGGTTTAATTTAATGCTTATATTGTTACATATAAGCGAGTTTAGCAAAATGTTATAGGTTAACGAGTTTAATGTACAGACGTGTTCCGAATAAAAGAGAAATGGAAATAAAACTCTACATTAGACTGTATTTTTTCCTTCCAATATCAATCAAACCATTAGCGACTAAAGAGGAATAATGAAAATGACAACATATTTTAATAGTATCCTGGTACCCAAACTATTACATTAGGTCGAGTGATATACTAACACATGATCGAAAAGTATATACTAACAAGAGTGATAGAGTTGGATTAAGAGGAAACATACTTAATAGTACATACTATCAGTATTAATTACTCTATTTCTGGTATGATCTCCAAATCCTGCAATGGCTTCGACTTCATCATAGCTGCAGTTCTTGTCACACTCACACCACCACCATCAGGATTGGAGCTAACAGGATTAGGAGGTGGTTTCAAAAGGTCCACTTCCCCTTCAAGCATTTGTACCACAAGCTTCATTGGCGGTCGATCAACTGGGTTCCACTGAATGCACCACAGCCCTGCTATTGCCATCTTCTTCCTGATCTTGCCATCTTCCTCATCCTCCTCGATATCAAACCTTAGTTCTTCCTTCGACCTGCGAAAAAGGCTATAGATCCACTCTGGAAAGTATATCTGATTGGCAGTACCATCTGTTGTAGTGACATCAACATTATTCCTGCCTCCAACAATTTCCAGCAACAGCATCCCGAAGCTGTACACATCGGCCTTGTGTGAAACATTCCCAAAGTTCCTTGAGAAGACTTCCGGGGCAATGTAGCCGATGGTCCCTCTGGCTGTTGTCATGGATATGGCGCTCTGATCCTTAGCACACAGCTTGGCCAGGCCGAAATCTGATATCTTCGGGGTGAAGTCCTGGTCGAGGAGGATGTTGCAAGGCTTGATGTCGAAATGCAGGATCCTCTGGTGACATCCGTGGTGAAGATACTCGATCCCTTTGGCTACTCCGATAGCAATTTCTTGGAGCTTCTTCAACCCAAAGCTGGAATGTTGATTCCCCTTGTAAGAGATGTACTTCTGTAGTGAATCATTTGGTAAGTACTCATACACTAAAGCTCTCCTGAACCCATCGGCACAGAATCCGACCAACCTAACCACATTGACATGGTGGATTCCGGCCATTGCTCCCACTTCATTCACAAAGTCCTCTCCATTTCCTTTGGAGATGCTACTGTTGATGCCAAGTACCTTGACAGCTACTTCGATTTCATTGGATAGCTTCCCTTTGAACACTGTTCCATAAGTACCTCGACCTAGTTCAACAGTGAACTGGTTGGTGATTCGCTTAATGTCGGCGTAAGAGAAGCGTGTAGGCTTGACAGCCTTGTAATCGTCCAAGAACTCCTCAACCTTTGACCGGTATTCCTTTTCCCTCCGACTATAATTGTATGCACGGTGAAGTGCAATGACCAATACCGCAATGGAGACTGAACCCAGAGTAACCCCAGCTATCCGTCCCTTCTTCAAGGCCAGAACTGTTGAGTGTGAAGCAAGAGAACATATTAGTGGAAGAGAAGGTTAGGCAAAAATAATGATGGCTTGTTGAATGTACCTTTACTGCGATTAGCATCTCCAGAGCACTCAACTTCTGGTTTCAGTTTGCCCTGCTTCAACACACAGCATTCCCTTTTTACCTTGTAACATTTGCGGCATCCTGGTTCAGACCAGCTCAAATAAGGATCATCTAGGCCTGTTACTGGAAGGTTGTACATCTTTTTACAAGACACCAATTCAACGTCATCTAGGCTGAGTTTTGAATAGTAGGAATAGACCCCATGGCCAAGGCAAGGCTCTGGCGATAAAGAGCTAGGCATATCATGTGGGAGCTTGGAACAATTGAAGAACGTGTGAATAGAGATTACCTCACCCATTTTGAACGGTGAGGCAGACAGTTCAAGGTCTCGGAGTTGTCTGGGAAGACACCCATCTGGGCTTCTCAGATAAATTCGTTGAGATTCATAGTCAATCCTTTGGACGATGAAGTTGACCGAGTTTGGCAGATGAAGCAGTGTTTGGTTGGTTTCAGTGCTGCAAAAAAGCTCGAACCCAGGATATCCCTCGTACCCAGATGAACGCTTGTCCTTGATGGTGAACGGGAACCTGATGTCAATGGCTGTATCATTGCCACAGCTTGTTGTGGTTCTGCAGGTGCTGTAGAATTTTGCTGTTGCAGCTCCATGATTTGCCTCTGCCGATGGTGAAATTAACCACCACCATAACCACAAGTAGAAGAAACATGTTGGAAATGCTTGCCTTGGGAGGAAGTTCAACATTTTTTACATTGATAATTACCTAGTGAAACAGGGAATAAGAGCACTTTGCCTTTGCTGTAATCTCATCCCAATGAGATTATTAAATCAAAGAGGGTATTTCAAATTTCCATTATTTAATCTCAAATGTATCAAAATGAAGCAATTTCAAACACTCAAAAAGTAGGAATATTTAAAAACTCACCCTACATAGGTTGGTCACATGTCTTTTCTTCACTTTTCCGACATAATCCATGTACAAATGCATTGAACCACTACAGCTTTTGTGAATCACACAGTAAAAACTAACAAGCAAAACAAAAGGCATGCAATTAATACCAATAACACCCAATTCTAAATACACATGAATTGGAGATTTGCATAGACTCACCATACATATTCTTATATTAAATAGTAATTACATAAAACTCTGATACCACATAAAAAACTAGTTCATCCCAAAATCGAGATATTCGGAGAATTAAGAATAAATTTTCTCTCATTTGTACACCCACAATGGCAAAAGGCAAGACAATTACTTCATTTTTAATATATGAAACTCTACTACGGAGGCTTGAATGCAAGACTTCTCACCAGACTAGAGCTACAACTTAAACTAAATGGAAAAGGAGAAATAGCTAATAAACAGTCAGATGCCAGCTTGTAGTTCAGACGCTCATCACTTTCACACACAACAACTCCGAAAACGAAAAATGCTGCCTAACCTTTTTGTACATTAAGTAATTTTTTTTTCCTGATCAGATTCCATTAAGAATTTCGAGATCACAGGCTGTTCTGTAATTGTTAAACACAAGTGGGCTTAAGCACCTGACTTCCCACTCCCAAAAAGTGGGCAGGACAAAAAAGGTGAACATTCACATGATGGCCATAATTTGACAGATCATAGACTGGACATTGAGTAAAATATCCACACAAAAATTATGGAGAAAGCTTACAGTGAACATGACTGGTGTGTTACTGGACAAAGGCAGGATGGATCACAAAGATAAACACGGCTAATATTGCCACGAACCAGAAGATGGCCAAACTTGTGCGCACCTGTGATCATCTCTTACCTAGCTCCACCAACGTTGCCTCCGAAATTCCTCGACTCGCCTTTATCAACAACAGGTACTTCAACCAATGTTTCATGGACAACATCAAGTCCAATAATGACAATCTGCACAGTCAAAGTCAATTATGTGACTGACCGGTGACGTGACAATATCAAGTCCGATGATGTCCACTTTCCATCAAAATAGGAGGACACATACACTTAATTCCAAAAATCCATTGATGAAATCAACCCAAAGGAAACTCTAGTTTGAGAAATGTGACATTACGGGGCAATTCTTTTTTCTTTCTTTCCTTGGGTTTCTTCTCTCACTAACATAGGAAGTGGGAAACACCACCATCCTTTGTTAACAATTAAAAAGAGCTAAAGCTCCTTGGTGGGAAATTTGGCTGATCCGACCTCCAAAAGTAACTCTTGGATTGGTTTATGGCTTTATGCAGGTAGTCATGTTCACAGTAAGGCTTCCCCTCCTCCTTCACATTGCTGCAGCTCGACTAATCATCTCACCATTATTCATTTTGCTGCTGCTCCAAGCTTGTCGAGCTACTGATGGCCAGGTGGACTGTGTAGCTTCCTCCTGTGGAATCATACCCATCATTAAATCACCATTCCGACTCAAATCAGATCCTGAGAGCTGCGGACACAACAAGTATACCCTCTCATGTGAGAGCAATACAACAGTGCTGTACCTGGGATCGGCAAGATACTATGTACAGGCAATTGATTATAACAACTTGACGATCCGGTTGGTGGATGATGGTGTGATTGGAAACAACTGCTCCTCCTTGCCCACTCACCCCCTGTCTGAGAGCAGCTTAACTTCTCACCCATACTCCGCCACCCATTTGAGAAAGATGCTATTATTCATGATTGGAGAAGAATCCTTGAATGAAGCTTTGGTTCTGGTGAGCTGCGATAATGCTGTATATTCTCCACTGTATCTGCAAACAGCTTCTTGCATCAACATCGGATCGAAGAACTCTTCAAGTTATGCGCTTGTTGGGAATGCTGTGGTTGCATCAGATTTGGCAGAGACATGCACAGTGGTGATGGTGGCTATGCTACCAAAGACCAAGAAGAAGAATTACCAGGTTACATTTCAAGAGGTTCACCAGCAGCTTGAATATGGTTTTGAGCTTTCATGGCAGGAGTATTCCTGCCCCCACTGCCGTCGCCCATCCCATTGCTACCCTCTCAAGTTTGGCATATTTCACTGTAATAATGGTAAATATCATCACATATCCAACAATCATCAGTTGTCTTTGCTCTTCTTTTTCTTTCCCCTACACAATTATTATGCTCCTTTCATCTCAGACTAATGTTTCGAGTGCCTTTCTTTCTTCATGTAGGACTACAAGACTATATTTTCATATACACATGTGAGACATCCCTGCCTCCATCCTGTGTCAGAGTATTTCTATTTAAGGCCCTTGCTTACTCTCGAGTATTACTTTCTAGTGTAAGCACTTTGTGATGCTCCTCCTTCGCCTCTCTTTTTATTTTTTGCAGCATTCTATGGGCCTTGGCTGATTGCCCTTGGTAATGCTTCTCTCAACTTCCTTATTATTTGACAGCTTCGTGTCAATTCTTTCCCTTCCCATCTACATTCATCAGCTCCAAGACTGACTATTTATATGCATACTCTACAGTGGCACTAGTTGTAGCATTCACCCGTGTCACTGGAATCCCTCTTGTGATTATATTTCTGATATACAAATGGCGAAGGAGGCATCAATCAGCATATTATAACATTGAGGAGTTCCTCCAGAACCAAACCCTCATGCCAATCAGGTACTCTTACTCAGACATCAAGAAAGTCACCGAAGGATTCAAGGACAAGCTAGGTGAAGGTGGGTTTGGCTCCGTCTACAAAGCAAAGCTACGTGGTGGCAGCTTTGCAGCTGTGAAGATACTTGGGACCAAGAAGTTGTCCACAGCTGGAGGAGGAAGTGGTGGTCAAGACTTCATGAGTGAGGTTGCTACCATTGGTAGGATCCACCATGCCAATGTGGTGAGGCTGATTGGCTACTGTTCCGAAGGACCAAAGCGAGCTCTTGTCTATGAGTTCATGCCAAATGGTTCACTCGACAAGCACATCTTTCACCACAAGCAAAGTTCTTTGAGCTTGGAACAATTGTACCATATCTCCCTCGGAGTGGCCCATGGGATCGAGTACCTGCACCGCGGCTGCACAATGCAGATACTGCATTTCGACATCAAGCCCCACAACATCCTCCTCGACCAAAGCTTCAACCCTAAGATATCCAATTTTGGATTGGCTCAGTTGAATCAGCCTGGTGGCGATCACAGCATCGCCACTATGACAGCAGCAAGAGGGACCATTGGGTACATGGCACCCGAGATGTTCTATAAGAACATTGGAACAGTGTCTTACAAAGCCGATGTATACAGCTTTGGGATGCTGATCCTGGAAATGACAGGTAAAAGGAGGAATCAGAATGCAGCGACGGATCATTCGAGCGTTTACTTCCCCTCATGGGTTCACAACGAGGTGTCAACGCCCGGAACTCCGATTGCAGTTGGAGAAGTCACGGAAGAGGAAGACGACATTGCCAAGAAGATGGTGATTGTAGGACTGTGGTGCATCCAGACCAATCCCGCCAACCGTCCTCCGATGAACAAAGTGGTGGAGATGCTTGAAGGCGACTTGGAAAGCCTGCCGCTGCCTCCAAAGCCTGTTTTGTATGCCGGCGAAACTGTAACGAGGAATGAAGAAGAATCATCGACTTCTTCGTATATGTCATCCATGTGTACACAATCAATTATCAGTACTGTAAGCAAATAATGAATCTCCACAATGATGGTTAATAATAATGCAGCTCAAGTTCGCCTTCTTCTTCTGAAAATGACTATGTTAAATTTCAATTTGATCCTCCCCCTACAAGAAAAAAGGTTCGAAACAACTACACTTACCTGAGAGAACTGGACACCGACGGCGAGCTGGTCCAGCAACTTCGAAGGAGTGACGGCCGGCCTCCTCGCTCCAGTCTTGACCGCTTCATCTCGGAGACTGCATAGTGATTGAGTTGGAAAGTCAACGGCGGCCAGTTCAACGTCATCGGAGGGACTAACACGGAATGCCAGATTGAAGATTTATAGGGTTTCTAAATTTTTTGGGACGAAATTTGGGAGGATGGAGAAGAAAGATCAGGTTCATTGTTCTTCAATCTTCATTCGCTTTTTTTGCGCGGGCTTAATTATCGCGGGAATCGGTTCTGCCGCTGCTCAACCCGGCCCGACTATTTGGGATTAATTATAACAGGCCCGACCCAATAAGGTTCGTCAGCCCAATAGTTTTAAGAGGTAGTTTTGATTCAATGTGTTGGAGCTAGGGTTGTTAATGAACCAAGCCGTTCATGAACGACTCGGTGTGCGACTCGACAAAAACTCGTTCGACACTCGATTTGTTTTAATCGAGCCGGCTCGCGAACAAGCTCGTTAACTAAATGAGCCGAACTTGAACCATACCATGTTCAGTTCGAAAGCTCGCGAACAAGCTCATTTAATGGTTTGACATAAAAAAAATTAGAATTCATGGATTTTATGTATTGAAATTGGGATAAACATTGTGTTTTACTTTGCTACAGATTTGAATGTAATTTTGTGCGCAGTTTTAGGTCAATCTTGAGCTATCATGAACATTTTATGAGCTGAACTCGATTTTGGGCTCGTTAAGCTTATTTGACGAGCCGAGCACAAGTCGAGCTCGAGCTTTCATTTTCATAAACGAGCCGAGCTCGAGCTTGCATATTAAAGCTCGTGACGAACACGAGCCGAGCTCGAGCCTGAAAATATATTAACGAGTCGAGCCCGAACTATGGCAAAACTCGACTCGACCCGGCTCCTTAACAGTCCTAGTTGGAGCTATGAGACTATGGACACATTTAAGGAAAACCGATGTATCTTTCGATTGCATATTCTTGTTAGTTTTAACGTCTACCATAATAAATTTCATACGCCAAACTTGAAACAATATTATATATGTTGTTTGCTACTAAACTGATACTCATTTCTACATACGTAAAGAAACATAAATGAAGTAACCAAAGAGTCGGGAAGAAGTGGAAATTAAATCATAACGTGTACCCCCAGTCGTAGTTTAATAACTACAATCGGCAACAAACTGTAACAGTTGGGTTGTATCTTACTGGAAATTTATTAATTTATGACACATTTTCCAGAAACTTATTGGTCGATTTCCAGTCAGACTTCGTGATAACATTTGAACTTATACATTTTCCGTTGATAATGATCGTGATTGCTCAAAATGCGCATGCAATTAATCAAATGTATTTTTCAGCATGGTTTCTTGTTGCTCAATTTATTATATCATTATTAACTAGGAATCATTTTTTACGGCTCCTCATCCCACTTATTAATATCATTGATACTTTTACACGTTTGTAATTCGTATGGTTTTTTCCGTATAATTTGACCTATTTTTAATAAGCACCAAACCATTAAAAAAAAAACTCCAATCAAACACTTCCCAAGACAAATCATTTTATCAGTTCAGAATTCTCAATCTTTCTGCGTATTCTTGGCATAAAACACTTTTATTTTCTCCCTTTTCCTCCCCTTTCCGTCAGGGGAAAAAAGGTTGAATTTTTAAGTTAAGAGCTCTATTCAATTCGCAGCTCAAGCTTAGACAGAGAGCCAGGCCGAGAGAGATATTCTGAGCGAACGAGAAACCGAGACAGAGGGAAAAAGGAGGTCGGGGAAGGGCGGAATTGAGGAGCGCCGTGGTGGGAGCTGCGGATCTGGTCCTGAGATTTCCTCCCCGCCGGCGAACTTGTTTGATCCCTCCGGAGAATGCGTTGTTAACGGAAGCTATCACATCAGAGGTCGTAATAGTTCCTCCTTTTTTTCCCGCGTTTCTTCACCCCTTCCGTTCCTTTCGGTTTGTCGGCGGAATGTTTGGGTTGTGAATTTTTGTGGCGGTGGCTAGAGATCTGATCCGTTCGCCGCCGCCGGCATTCCTGGTTCTACATCCTCATGCCGCCGTTACCGATCTGTGAATTTCCTGTTTTGTGTTGGAGATCTGGTTTTCCCCATATCCCCAAATATATTAAGCTCGTCTTATGGGAACATGGGTTTATAACTCTATCTGCGGGAGCGTAAATGTTTGCTATGTATGGTTGCAGATTCGGTTTTTTTAAAGTATTCGGCATTTTGGTGAAGCTATGAAAAACGGCATGATAGAATGCAGCGTGTGCCATTCCAAGCTGGTGCCTCCATCTTCCAAAACAGTTTCGAGGGCTTATGACAGGCACAAGAGCAGGGTGTCGTCCAAGCTGAGAGCCCTGAATGTGTTGTTGGTTGTGGGTGATTGTATGCTAGTTGGCTTACAGGTGATTGATCTGGGTTTTTTTGTTCTTGGTCTTTTGAAATGTGATTGAGCTGGCAATATATTACATGGTAAACAGTGTAGGCGGGTACAGAGATGCTTTAGTTGAACTGGTTTGACCTCTTTGATGCTTTCAGCTTATGCTGCGTGCATAAAGTGTGCCTTGTTTTAGGTTAATGTTGCAGCATGTTTCTGTTGAAGTGTTCACATCCGTTCTCATCTGCAGACTTGTATGGTAGAGTTACACGGATAAGTCTCGTACATTGTTAATTCTAGCTGAGTGATACATCCCACACAGGACGAGTGTCATATGATTTTGCGGGTTTGTCCATAGTGATGGACGGGGGAGCTGCCTTGTGAACATAAGGGTATACCAGAACTTGTAGCATTAGCATTGTTCTCAAAGTTCATTGGTTGGAAAGATGTGATATTTTATTCTTAAATCTGTTAAGTTGAGACGTGGGTTCTTTCTCATGTTGCTGAAATCCTTTGACCGCTAAACATCTATGCTGGTTAAGCTTAGGCTCAGTGTGTAAATCATTGATGTTATCCTGCTGCATGTTCCTGCCTTCATGATTGTACGGTATTTTTGTTGCAGGCTTCTGGGTTTCTTACAAATTAATGTAATTTGTTTATTAATATACTTAAGTTCCTAATTTTCTTGCGTACCTTGCCTCTTCTTGCAGCCTATATTGGTGTATATGTCCAAGGTGGATGGAAAATTTGAGTTCAGCCCAATAAGTGTAAACTTCTTGACAGAAATTACGAAAGTCGTATTTGCAATTGTTATGCTTATTTTACAGGTTGGTAAATTTTTTTCCCTCTAACCTTGATTGATGCTATTGGTATATATTTGCTTCTTTATTAAGTCATATAATGGTTGTGTAAGATTGCTTAAGACGTTTCCTTTGCTTGGTGTAGTTCTAGTATAACTCAGTTGGGCACCTTTAGGATGTATTGAATTATTGATAATGACACTGTCTGCTTCATGCAGATGTTTTGATGCATGAGAATTAGTGGACCCATAACGTATAGTGCTTAGCAAACCACAAGTTTATTTGAACCCTGGAACTTCAGTATTAACATGATGAACCACAGATCACAGATATTGTTGCTTGTGATTTTATGTATCTGCTTTCCTCTGAAAAGGTTGATCTTGCTATATAAACATGATAATATTGCTTTACCTCGGTGGGTTAGAAGTTAAGGACTGAGGAAGGGTATGGTGGTAGTGTGACTGGAAAAGACGAAAATATAATGGCTAGATTCCAGAGGTCTTGGCCGCCTGAGTATCTTGTTTTGTATGTTCATTATATGTGTATGTTGAGTCATGGTATATTTTTATCTGATGATGCAAGATTTTTCCTGATTCTGCAGGCTAGAAGTCAGAAAGTCGGGGAGAAGCCACTTCTATCGATCTCTACTTTTGTACAGGTATGTGTGTGATATTAGTACTAATCTATCGTAGATGAAAATAATGTTTCAGAACACAGGCTTGATTTTTAGAACCTCCTCTCTGCCCTTGGCTTTGCAAGTGGAACGTGTAATTTGTCTTCATTTTATGGTGTCAAATGTGACACTGAAGTTGAATCTTTACCTTCAAATAATTTTGAGGCTTTTAACCAATCCTTGAATAACCTGGATGCATATTTGTGTTTTTAGTGGACTCTTCATTTTGTTTGGTCACCAAGTTAGATATGTTACCTTATTCTAATCAATATTTTTGACAGGCAGCTCGTAACAATGTCCTTCTTGCGGTTCCTGCGCTTCTCTATGCTATCAATAACTATTTAAAGTTCATAATGCAGGTAAGGTGTCTATGTTATCTATCATGTGGATCTACTTTATGATTTATTTTTCATAAAATAAGAAGATGAATCTGCTATGAAGTTCGCACAGCAAGTGTATTAATTCTATCTTTAGCTGTGAAGTACTTTGAAAACCTTGGAATTGATGGGTCATAAAGAAAATGTTTGTGAAACCATGGAATATAAAAGTAAAACAAGGAGCTATAACTGAAGTAGCATTAAGAGAATATTTTCCAAATAATTTTGGTAAACAGTTATGGTGATCCATTGAACTGGTTTTAAGGAGGCATGTGAAGGTGTGGGGATGTTGAAAACCATATTTTGCGAGTTGGCTAGGTTTATGCATTTTTTCATCCGCAAATTAGCTTCAATGTATTCTTTCTGGATGGCTATGATGAGGGTTTGGTGTCTGGAGTTTAATGTTTCAAATTTACTTATTTGCTCCCCTTTTCCGAACAAGCTGTTGTGACTTGTGAGTCACTTGGTTGAGAACTTTTGTTTATTTTGCAGCTTTATTTTAATCCTGCAACGGTGAAGATGCTTAGCAATCTGAAGGTACTTTGTTTTTCAATGCTTACTTGTGTTATGTGATCTAAACTATTATATTTGTAGAATCTTTTGGCATTAGTGGGATGGGTCAGTTTGAAAAATAATGTTTTTTTTGGGTAGTTTAGCTGTAATAATTTGGTGGCAATAATATGCTGAATACTTAAATTTTGAAAATATGATCGAAGAAAACCATGCTCTTTAAGCTGGCATCGTCTGGACAGCTGTAGCTTTTGTTGGTTGTTAACCATAAGACTTCTATACTCTTATTTTTGTTTCAAAAGAACCTGTAACATTCTGGCAGGAAACAGGAGAACTTTAAAATTAATTTTTGCAAATTTTCCCCTTAATTAGCTTATGTACAAACTTGCAGGTTCTGGTCATTGCTGTTTTGCTGAAGTTAGTAATGAAGCGTCGCTTCTCTATAATTCAGGTCAGTTCTATAAGCCACAAGCTCACCTCTAGTAATTGTACTTCTATGTGGGCCCTCAGCTTCTGTTACTTGAAAATTTTAGCAACTGGATCATGATTTATGACAGTGGGAAGCCCTTGCTTTGCTGCTCATTGGTATTAGCATAAATCAGTTACGCTCATTACCTGAAGGTACTACTGCCTTGGGCCTTCCAGTTGCAACGGGTGCTTATATGTACACATTTATCTTTGTAAGTTCTAATAAACTTCCTTCAACAGTCTGGATTCAAGATTGTATTCACTTAAGGTTCACTTATCTTTTTGCTTATTGGTAAATTTCTGAAATTTTGTGAGGTAACAATCCCATCTCTGGCCTCTGTATTTAATGAGTATGCTCTGAAGAGTCAATACGATACAAGCATATATCTTCAGGTAATGTACTACTGCAAAGGACCTTTGGTTCTTATGTTTAAATTTTATGTATCAATGATGCTCTTCATTTAGGCTCCTAGAATATCGCTTTTCAAGCTTTCTATTGTGGTCTATGGCAAGTAGCAGGATTTTTGTGGAGCATTTTCATTAGCTCGTCAATCTTATTCAAATTGAATAACTATATGAACATGTGATAGAGCCACGACCTGTGTTCCTAATTTGTTATCCTCGTTGCTAATATATATGCAGTTGAAATTAAATAATTGGACATATATATATATTTCAGTTGGCTATGTGTTGACTCATAATATTTTTTTGGTTGCAGAACCTGTTTTTATATGGCTATGGTGCTATATTCAATTTTCTGGCTATACTGGGAATGACCATCGTTAAAGGTATAATCAGGGACCAGTTGCTTGTCTATGGGGATTTGGCTACCCTCAGTTCTCTGTTTTTGCATCTTATGGGCTATGGCACAGTTACTGACATCTTGCTGCTTTGATTGTAATTGATTTCTCAGGTCCCAGTAGCATGGATATCCTCCATGGTCATTCAAGAGCTACAATGCTTCTAATATGTAACAATGCAGCCCAAGGAATTTTGTCCTCTTTCTTCTTCAAATATGCAGGTTAGTTCAGACTTTTGCCATTTTCTTTCTGCTACATATCCAAATTACATCACTGACTGGGTTGGGATTTCTCTATTTCCAGACACTATTCTGAAGAAGTACTCGTCAACGGTGGCCACAATCTTCACGGGCATAGCATCTGCGGCATTGTTTGGTCACAAGTTGACAATGAACTTTGTGTTGGGAATTTCAATCGTGTTCATTTCAATGCATCAGGTGAGTGATTTATCAGACTTGGTGATGAATTCTGGGATAACTTTGGTTGTTAATTAAGCTCCAACATGTATCTTCTGGGTTCTTTTCCTTTCCAGTTTTTCTCCCCTCTTGCCAAAGTCAAAGATGAACCCCATAATGGGGTTGTGGAACTGAAGGAAGAGGACCCCCAAAGGTACAGTCTTTCTTCTCCGTGTCGTTAGTTTCTGGTAGAAATTAGATTAAGTTCTCAGATTTTACAGTGCCAAGTATAAACTCCAGTGACTTGTCTCACCGGAATTAATCTGTTCTTTCGTCTGCTGAGCCTGAATCTGAATGCATGTCGCCTTAGTAATGGGGGCTCTCTCAAAGAACTCAAACATCTTGCATTTGTTGTATTCAGGTCAAAGGAATCGTTCATAAACATGGCAGCAGCCACGAACGAAGAGGTGGGTTTGTATATTATATATCAATCGACCTGGCAAGAACATGTATCTTGACTAGTTCCAACATAACATTATTATGTTCGCCTTGCCAGATGACTCACCGCGTAGGCCATGACGAAAGGCAGCCACTACTTCCTACCTAAAGTTTTGTAGAGTACATACCACATACATGAAGGTACACTTCCATCCATCTATCTCCATTCCTGCCCAAAAAGAGAACCAAAACCAACTCACGACTTCATGGAACATTAATTTGGTTTCAGGCATCCCTTTTCTATAAGGGGAATTCTTTTGGCAGATGGTGGACTTAACACAGAGTGATAAGTTTGTCGCCTCAGACCGCAAAATAATCGAAAAATGAAAAGAAAATAGAAGAATATTTTACAGTTTGGGAATGGGGGATACTATTTGGCATCATTAGCAGAGAGAACCCATTAGAAGAAGAATGAGTGAAGTACAAAATGCAAATGACTGTGTTTTTGGAGGGCTAGGTGGGTTTTACACTTTTACTTTTACCTGTATTCATCTTGGACAGTAGATTCATATATATATCTTTGTTCTTTTTTCACCTTTCTTGATCTCTATTTCATATTATTATTTTCTCAGAATTAGAACCTTGTGACCTTGTTCACTGTTGTTACAATGTCCATGTAAAAAAGATGAGAGATTTGCTCTCCTGTATTCTGTTCTTTTTTTCTTCTTCAATCATTCCGGCACGATACGAGGAATGTTTCGTTGTAATGGCCGTTCTGTTTATAGACGAAACGTATCCTTTGATGAAGCCCTTAGCGCGCTCGCTTGCTGCAATGTTATGTTTGCTTGGGATGACTGAATGGTTGTACTGCATTTGGATACATTGACTACTCGTCGTGATCCAGAGACACCCCGAGATTATGTTTTCGCCCTTACAGGTCGCGATTCTTATTGATTCGTTACTTGCCAGTTGACATGAATTGAGTCTTCTTGAGGTCTGAGTCGCCAGACCTACTTGTGCTCGTCCATTTATGGTCAAATGCAACACTTTCTCGTGTGCCCAATACTCAGATAAATTGTTTAGAATAAGACCCAATTTGTTAGTAATTACAAAGTTTAGTGACCAGTTTGGCATTAATTCTAAAGTTCAGTGACCGTTACACCCCGTGGGCAGATAAGACAAAAATATATGCATCACGGAGTCAATTATCCATCTCGTCCTCGTCTCCTCCATTATCGCAGGAGGCCGTCTTTGCTCATAACTCAGCACCTCAGTCAGCAATTTCCCGCCGCGGCCGCCAACGGATGCGAACCAGAAAACGAAAAACCAGTTCCTTCCGATGAACTCCACAGCCAACAGCCTCCGCTTCTCTTCTCCTCTTTGTCCCCGATTCCAATCTCCCGCCAAATCCCCCACCCTCACCTCCGCTTCCAGATTCTCATTCGTCCGATGCTCCTTCCCCTCATCCAGCCGCCGCCGTTCGCGCCGCTCCGGCAAGAGGAAACTACTTCAGACCTCGACTTCCACGGCCCGCCCCTCCCTCCACCTCGACGACGACCTCGATCGCGCAGCTTCGGCTCAGAGCCTCGAATTGGTCCTCGACCTCGACCAGCTCTCTTACCTCGCTAGTTCCAACCTCCGTCGGTTCATCTCTTCCGGCAGGGACGCGTACGCCGACCTCAGCACCCTCGTGTCCTTCGACGAGAGCAGAAGGATTGTCTTCTCCTGCCGGAAATCGACCGTGAGGTTTACCGGCATGGTTTTGCTCTGCGGATTTGTGTTTATTTCGGCGGTTAGGGTTTTGATCGGCCTGGGGCTGGCCTTCAGGCGGAGTGTAGGGTTTAGGCGGGAGAAGGTTGTCGTGAGGAGAGACCGGAGTCTCGGAGGGAGAGAGGTGGTGGTTGCGACGGCGGCGGTGGCGATGGAGAGAGATGGCGCGAGGCCGAAGAGGAAGAGGTTTGGGGTTTTGGATAATCCATTGTCGTCCCTGAGCCGTGCGGTAGGGGAAAATGATTGGAAGAAGTACTTGGCTCGGAGGCAGAACACCTTACCGAAATGGTGGCCATCGGCGGTGTCGGGGCACTTATTATTGGAGAATCAGGAAGAGTATCAAAGGGAGGCCAAGAGATTGATTCGAGGTTAGCTTTCTTTCTTTTCCAGTTGCTTTTTTTTTCAGTTGTCGATCTTGGACATTCATGGCATTGAGGTTTTAGGAATGCAGCTATGTTGTTAGGAAGAGCTTTTCGTCTTTGCAGTGTCAACTAGCTCGAATTTAAATGCTTGTGCAGTATAAACAAAACCAGCAGGACACTCAAAGATGGTTGGTCTACCTTTGGCACATTTGATGGTGGTCCTATTGGTTTCCTTTTTGAGCTGAACTGAGCATTGTAGAGTCCGCAATGGAAATAGTGTGTCCCAAGAGTTTCAAATAGGCTCCAATGATAGAAAGTTCATAGCTTTATCATTTAAGATCTGAACCAGAGCAAGGGAGTGGTTTGTTAAAACTAAGAACTGAGTTCCAGAATGGTGTGATGTGGATTTGTCCGTTGTATCAGCTATTATGTGTTTCAAGACGAGATAATATGCGTGATTGATGTGCTACTAAGAACTGAGAGCACTGAACAGTCTTGTATGATTGCTTCATCCATACAGAATGTTATTTTAGTTCTCGAGTATAATAACCCTTGGCATTAAAGATGTGCTGATGTTATATCCTTGGTCCAATCTCACTTTTTCTGTAGGTAAACAAGTGCCGCATTTCTTGAAATTAGTTTGTATTTATATTAATCGGCCCTTTTGCAAATCACTACTCATGAACTTGATTTCCAGCAATCACGGACTATAGAACAAGCGGAAAGGATTTTGCAGTGGATGACATAATTCAAGTTAGTGCCTTTCCTATTCTCTTCTCCCTTTATTTGAAACAATGAAACATGATGTGAAGAAGTAATAATACTTCATTTCACGGGATGGGATTTCCTCCCACGATCCTAGAAAAAGTGAATATGAAACATGGTCCTTTTGTATGGTGATCTGATTCTCAATATGCGATGGTCTCTCTCTTTCATGCATGTGTGAGCAGTTGCGTCGAATATGCAGGACATCTGGAGTGAAGGTTAGCTTTGACACGACAAACACTCGCGACGCACTCTTCCGTGCATCAGTTGACTTCGTTTTAAATATGTGTAGCAGGTATATGTATTTCATACCTTCCATCAGCTATGCCAATTTGTGACATTTAGATCTTGCTATTCTTATATATTGACATCTTCTGCAAGCTTGCAGGAATACAAGTTACGAAAGTGTACCTGAGATTGATGCCGAAGATGTCCGCCAGTTCATTGCTGGACTCGCTGACAACATTGGGCTTGAGAACATACGTGCTGCTAGAATTGTGTCTGCTGGTGTTGCTGCACGTACTCATTCGTGTTTCTTGCAGGCTTGGGTAATTTCTGCTCCTTTCTATGAATTTCATCATCTTATAAATTTTAACATGGATTACGAACGAAAACGACCCTTCATTTGCTGCCAACGACTTGGAAAACTAGTTTGTGTATTTTAGGAGGTGGAATCAGATCATATATATTGCTTTCTTTAACTATCACTACTTCTATCTATCTGGTTGATGTCTGTAATATAGTAAAGATCTCTTTTAGTCAATTGAAGTGATCAACTTCTTCTTGTATAGGCATATATCTATATATTGCTGCTTTATTCCTGAAATTACGCAATACTATCTAAGATGAAATTGAACTGAAGGCTTAGAATATATCAGTTTTATCTGGAGGAGTCTGTTGAGTAGTGGGTTCCTGCTTTAATCCCAAGAGGTTGATTAAGGAGGATTTTGATCAATGAACCGCGAATGCAAACATAAGGTTTCTTTCTAGTGAATGCGACTTCTTTCCTTTTGTTGGGTTGCAGGCTTTGGATGTGCAAGGGAAACACTCTGAAGCAGTAATGGAATTGTTGAGCATCTGTTCTGTTCTCCACACATTTCCTCCTGATGAGTCTTCGGTTTGTTTTCTCCCTATCTTCTTCCTTTTCTTAATTTTTCCTGGTACTTCCACTCGTCTGCTGATCGACAGTGATTGGAAGCTCTTGTTTGTTTGGGGGATTGGTTTCGGGTTCTTGATGCTATAATTTACGTACCTACCATCCAAGTCCAACTTAAGTTTACACTTGACTCCACTGTTGCTTGTACCATGTATGGCCTACATATTTTTGTTGTCAATGTTATGGGCTGTTATATTCCCAAAATATCAAACCATTGGATGTTTAATGCTTAGCCAAGCTTTCGACTGTCAGCATTATTATAATGCCATTGTAATTATGGTGCTAGATGGTGGAGCAGTTACATCTTTTTATCCCAATGGTATAGCTCATGCAAAAATGGCGGTTGCCCCTCCAGCTGTTGGATATTGAGTGTTATTTTTTGTTTCCCGATATTTCGCAGCCGGAAATGGAGATGGTAGCAGAGGGACTAGGAAAGCACTTAAAGGTCGAGCAGAGGGAACTTCTGTTGGACATGTTCTGCGTGGCTTGCAGCTGTAAAGAGAGCCATAGAAGTGCAGCAGATGCTCTTGGCTTGGTTCTTACCCCTTCCTCCTCTCCTTTAAATACCTCCTTTCATACAATCCATCCCTTCAATTTCACCCCCTTTGCGTGTGTTTGATTCGGTTGCTCATTGTTCATGCATTGCTGTAGACGCTCTCATCCGAAGCATCTGAAGTTGGTGGTCTTCAAGAAGACAGCAGCAGAAGTCCGGTAGAAAGCTGATCGCAGGCAGATTTCTTAACCCGTTAGATCAAGAAGACAAAAATAGAAGACACAGACCTTTTAGGCTGTTGTTTATGTATATGCTATTTGCCTTCTCTCTCAAATGGCATCTTATAATCTGTTCCGTTTTCTTTACACTTGCGAATAATCATCTTTAGGTTAATCATTCATGATAATTATCTAATAACAACAGTGCTAGTTTACAGTTTACACACTGCAGCCTTCTCTCCAGACCTCAGTTGTTCCTCTAAGCTCGGCCGTAGTAATGGAGCAGGATACAAGGTTCGTCGTCCAAGCAACAAAAGGAGCCTCTGTTTACTTTGGCTTGCTGCATTTTCTTGGCCAGAGGCAACTTCTCCTATACCTACATTGTGATGAACTCTGCATGAACTGAGCAAACGTTGCATAGGCATCTGCTTCCCCATCGTAGATGCCTGTGCTAGCCTTACATGGGCTTACAGAGCTGTCAAATTTGGGCTTCACATGAACCAAAGCCCAAAATCCAGCCCACTAAGAGTTTAACTTGACTCCTCTAATTGACCCAACTTCATCTCCCCGTTTTGTTCCCCTCGCCGCCGGTCTCCACTGTCCGTTCCCGCGAAAGCATCCCAGGTTTTGAGCTGCTCTCTCGCCGCCAGAATCGAAGTTGTCGGGAGCTCGCCCTGATTGCTCCGGGATGGAAGGATTAAGCGTGGTTGCAGCCAATTTGAAAGTCTTCCTCCAGCCTTCGCAGAGCAATAATCTCACTCTAGCTATCTTCCGCGAGCTCAGCGCGTTGCTCTTCAAGTTCGTTTCTTTACTCCTGTTCTGCTCGGTTTTCTTGTTCTTGAATCGTGATTGCGTTCACCTGGTTTCTGCTTCAATTGGGTTGCCTTGCTTTGTAATTTGATGGTAGAACTGTACAGATGGTTTTAGATTGCCAAGTTACAGCGGGCAGGGTGTAGAGCTTTGCTGTGTGCGTTTAGCCTGATTCGCGGGTTGGTTGCGGGAAGTTCCAGTTATTGAGAATATCCATTTGCTGGTGTGGCGATGGCAGGTACCATGATGAATTCGACGGTGTCTTGTTAGCTTATAATGTTCATGCTCCGGAGAATAAGGGGCGAATCCTTCCCGGTGTTCATCCGTTCATTGCTGTGAGACTAGAGGCTAAATTGCTTGTCTTTTCGCCTAAGCCAGACATGCTTTTAGGTATCCTTTCGCCATCGATAGACGTTGTTCCTCTTTCCGGGTCATATGAAGATTGGTTTTTAAGTAATTTTGAGCTAATGTGTTGTTCTGAATACTACAGAAGGGAAGGTGGTGAAAGTGGCTGAGGAGTCTATTCATGTCATTGTTCTTGGTTTCTCGTCGGCTGTAATAACAGATGAAGATATCCGCAATGAGTTTAAGTACAAGACGGTATGTTAACCAGTTGTTATTATTGAACTTGTGTAGAGTGGCTTTTTTTCTTCTTCTTGGGAGAGACATTGTTGCTGTTGGTGTTAGCTTACTTGGGATGGTGGCTTCTCTTGATGTAGAAACACGGTCAGGGTTTGTATGTCAACAGATCTAACAAGCGCCATGTGATTAAGGCTGGAACTATGATTCGTTTTGTTGTCAAGAGGTGAACTTTTGCTCTCTTAATCTTGTGCTAAGATTTTTTTAGTGATCAAGCAGTTTTACTATCCAAAAAAAGTTATTGAGTATTCTCCTAATCTCAGTATCTAGTAATCCCTCCTAAGATTAGTAAGAGAATGAACCATTATCATCAATGCAGAACTTCAGATGGGGAAGATTTAACATTTGATTGTTGATTTTATGTAGATTGCATGTATGCGATAGTTCATGTGATTTCCAATCGGTAGCTCAGCAACCTAAATCTCATCATTTCTGTTGCTCCTTTGTTTTTACTGTCTTACTACATAGTTGCATAAGTATGCTTATATAATTAGATGAATATGAAAGATATTTTCGTGTTTGTTATTTTACACAGTATGAATGAAGAGACACTCCACATCTATGGATCATTGATCCCTGCTAACACTGGAAGCATCAAGATATTGGAGAAATCATCAGAGCATACCAACACAGAAAGCGTCACAATCAACAGGTTTCTCTCCAAAATCTGCTGCCAACACTAGAAAGTAGAATCTCTTCTCACTACAACTTAATCAGTCTCTCTAATCCCATTTCCTTGAAACTTGATTTGTGTAGCACTCCCAAGAAAAGGAGAAGCAAAGAGCAAGGAGTGGCACAGATCACAGAGCATGGCAGCATTGTCAAGGATGCTCCTTCACATAACAATTATGATCGTGAAATTAAGAAGCCGCGAAGAAGCTGATAACTCATTGAAAGCCGGATTAATGAAATGTTGTAGTTTAGCCTGTTATTTGTAATTTATTGCATACAAATGGCTGCTTAGAAGGTTATAGCCAATTCGCTCAAGTCCTGGGAAATCTTTCTTCGATCTTACCCTGTTTATGTGCAATGTGCTTCAAGATATGAAAAGTTGGTCGTGCTAAGAAACTGAGGGTTCAGTTCCTTTTTTCATTTGACATTGATGGACTGAAGCTTGATTAAGCCCCTGTTCAAGTTGTTTGTATCCTGATCTACTCAGCGTAATTGCCGAACCAATCACTCCCTATCAAGTGCCATCTTTGTGGTAAAACCTCATTATCACTATGATGAATATTCATCTGTTGAAATCCAGTTGTTTAGACATTGCTGTAGATGCTCCCATCTGAAGCTGGGCAGATTTTTAGACTCATTAGACGAAGGCGAAAATAAAAGACAGGCCTTTTAGGCTTTTGTAAATGTATACCCTATTGCCGTCTCTGGCAAATAACAGCTTAGAATTTGTACAATTTTCTTAAACTTACATATAATCATTGTTAAGTTAATGCATTCATGATAACAATTCAATAACAACAATGCTAGTTTTGGTTTCTACCACTCGCTGCAATTCCAGTGGCCACAGCTTTCGATCTAGACCTCAATTGTACCTCTTAAGTTCAGCAGCAGTAATGGAACAGGATCCGAGGTCAAAGTCCAAGCATCAAAGGGCTTCTGTTTCTTCGCCTTGTTGGCACCATAGTAAATTGGCAAGAGTGTCACTTCTGCAGTCAAGCCTGAACCTTTGGACACCATCTTATAGAAGAGTTCCAGGCATCGCATTGCTCTTGGGACATGCTATCTTCTCCGTGTTCGACGATCTCATTTCACCCTTGAGCCAATCTTCTGGCCCTCAGCTCTAGAGAGTTAGATATGCACGTTCCTCCCAATGGAAGAACTTGATTCAATAATGTCTCATCTCTTCCTTCCCTTGACTGGCAATGAGACTCGGACCATGCAGTCGCAGAGCTTTTAGTCGGGTAGCAACTCAATGCAATATCACCACAAGTCTCCACAAGAGCAGGCTCCATCCTTGAAATGATGAAACCGATTCGTATCCCTGACGAAAATTTCCCTGTCCTCAAACTCAGAGATGAACTTTATCACAGCATGGCAGTCTCCACATATCCTGAGGTTCTTGATCACTTGAAGTGGAAACCCACGACTAGTATTCAGAAGTCCCAAAGCAACAGCCAACTTCTCGCTATGGTCGCACAACATCTCCTCCTTATCCTGCTCCTCCACATCCTGCAACACAAAGTCTGTATGCGGCAAGTAACCCGACTTCTGCATCTCTACTCTCAGTTCACCCAACTTTTTCGTTATCTCAGGCATCTGAGGATGCAAATTATCACCAGCCAGAAGCATGTGCACTTTGTTCTTGATCTCAATCCAACTACATCCAGGATTCTTCCTCAAACCCTTGCTCTTCATCATCTCTCTCACTGAATTCACCTCAACCCACATCGATTTAGATGCATAGATGTTGGATAAGAGAACGTAGTTACCGGGATTATTTGGTTCCAATTCGAAGAGTTTTCGTGCAGCAATTTCTCCTATAGCTAGATTGTGATGAACTCTGCATGAACTGAGCAAAGGTCCCCATATACAACCATCAGGTTCCATAGGCATCTGTTTCACCATCGTGTATGCCTCGACTATCCTTCCAGCACGGCCCAGAAGGCTGACCATGCAGGAATAGTGCTCTAATCTTGGTTCAATCCCATAATCTTTCGACATGCTATCAAAATAGAACTTACCTTCCTCGGTCAACCCACCTTGGCTGCAGGCAGACAAAACAGAAGTAAAGCTGATGAAGTCAGGTTCCTGACCACTCTTCTGCATCAAGTTGAAAACTTCCAATGCTTCTTTAGTCTTTCCATGCATGGCGTATCCACCTAGCAATGCGTTCCAGGAAACCAGGTTTCTCCTAGGCATCGAATCGAAACAACGTCGAGACAATTGTATTCTGCCGCAGTTAGCATACATGTCGATCAATGCTGTACCAACATAGACATCATTTGAGACCCAGTTTTTCAGAGAGAAGCAATGGACTGCCTTCCCGTGCATTAGTGCCGCAATGTTCCCGCAAGCTGGAAGCAAGCATGGGATTGTCACCGAGTTTGGCTTGAGTCCTTCCATCTGCATCTCTCTAAAGAGTTCCAAAGCTTCCATGTCTTTTCCATTCTGTGAGCAGCTTGCTATCATTGAAGTCCATGAAACTACATTCAAATTGAGTCCTTGTCTCTTGAATTGTTTAAATCTCTTCAATGCACCTTCCACACAGCCAGTCCTGGATAGCCCTGTGATCAATGCATTGCAAGCTCCAACATCCATCTCATGCAACTCTTCGCAGACTTTTGACATCTCATTTGGACGTGCGCACTTCCCATACATATCGACAAGCGAGCTAACGACCCAGTTATCTTGGGATAAACCTTGCTTGATCACACAGCCATGAATCTGAACCCCACAGGGTAACATCTCCAAGTCACCAACTGCAGGAAGGACGCTAGATATGCTTGTCCCATCGGGCTTAAACCCTTCCGAATGCATATCACGAAACATCAAGATAGAATCTTTGAAATGTCTGCTGTGATTAAACCCGGCAATCATCCCATTCCAAGATACCGAATTCAGCTCCAGCCCCATCTCCACCGCTTCTCCAAGCAGCTCTTTCGTCTCCTCCACGCAGCCCTTTCGCGCATACCCCGAAAGCAGAGCGCTACAAGCCACCACATTGGGGCGGGGAATTCTATCAAACACCTTGCGGGCTTCCATCAATCTGTCGCACTTGAGGTAGAAATGAACCAAAGACGACAGAAGAAGCGAATCCGAATGGTGCCCATTGACAAACGCCAAGCAATGAACTTGAACCCCTGTCTTCAAAGACGACAGCCCAGCAGTCGCCTTGACGACACTGGGCAGCACATAACAGTCCGGTGAAATCCCCTGACTCAACATTTGGGCGAACACGCGGATCGCCTCGCCGTACTGATTGCTCCTCGTCAAGCTGTAGATGTGGTTCGAAAATGAGACGGCCCCGGAAGTGGATGCATTGAGGATGGGACCCGCATTGCCGAAAGTACGGTGACCAGGATCGCCGGAGAATAGCTCGGCTGTTGAAGAATCAGCGGACACGGTTGTCAAGGTGGAAGCATGAGTATTCAGGGGACCAGTGAAGTCTTCCTTGTTGGTGGAACTGGAAAATGATTGCTTCGATCCTAATAATATCTCGAGGCTCGAGTTCAATCCTCCATTGGAGCAACATGGTGGTCGTTTCCCACTCGACGATGACAGGATTCGGACGGCAAAAGCGTTGGGCAATCTCATCTCCGGTTGCCCGTTTGTTTGTCGAGAAACCACCGGAGGGAAAAAGAAAGAATGCAGTTCACTTACAGAAGTGGGCTTTTGATATGTGCCAGCCCAGCTTCATATACCATAATACCTCAGATGTATATGAAACTTGTGGGCTGACGGAGTTGGCTATTTTGGGCTTTATAACAACCAAAGCCCAAAACTCAGCCCAGGTCTTCAATCAGCGATTGGACTCCTATAATTAACCTAACTCCATCCCCGTTTCTACGGTCGCCACTCTCCATTGCAGCCAAAGCTGCTTCGATTTTCAGCTTGCTCTCTCGCCGCCGTCTGCCATGGTAACCCTTCTCTCCTCTTTTCCATCTACCTTCTGTAACATCGACATTGCTATGGAGATGTGTTCGATTCGGTCTGAATGGATCTTAGTTGATATGCTATTCTATCCATGGCTTCTCAGTCGCTGTTTCTCCTCGCGGCTGTTCTTCTATGGCTGCTACGTTGTTTCGAAGCAATTGATTGGTAGTTGAGTGTAGAGATCCTTAGGTCGTAAGGCTAGATGAGGTTTGGGTGTTATTCTGTTCATTGTAATTCCTTTGCTGTATTCTGTTTCATCAGATGGCGTGTTGAATGTATTTTTCCATCTGTCATTTTAGTTTGCTTTTAGCTGAATCGTTCCTTTGCTTTTTTCCTATTTTGCAGGCCAAGAGAACCAAGAAGGTTGGGATTGTCGGCAAATACGGTATGTTCTTGCTGCCCCTTTCGTATGCCTATCAATTCACCTAGTTCAACCAAATGGAGTTTTCCGAATGTTGGGGTTGGTTTGCTGGGATAAGTAAATCATGGGTTTGATGAATTATTCAGTCTCCATTGCTGCCTGGAATGATGAATTTTGTCTTGTTGTTCTTTCCTTTTGAGGGGTTTCTGTTGATAGAACTCTGTGCTTGTTTTTTAATGCAGGCACCCGATATGGTGCTAGTTTGAGGAAGCAGATCAAGAAGATGGAGGTGAGCCAGCACAGGAAGTACTTCTGCGAGTTCTGCGGCAAGGTAGTAATGTTCCATTTCTGATTCCTCTCATCATTGCTATTGCTGGTTTACTTTTTGCTTGGTTTTGCTTGAACATCCAATTGATGGAAGCTTTTATCTGCTTGTTTACCAGGATGCTGTCAAGAGAAAGGCCGTCGGTATCTGGGGATGCAAGGATTGCGGCAAGGTGAAAGCTGGAGGAGCCTACACCATGAAGTAAGACTACACTCCCCACTCTTTGAATTGTCTCTAATAATCGAGTCCATCCCGAGTTAGTTCTAATCTGGGGTGTGTTTGTTCTGTTGCAGCACCGCCAGTGCTGTGACCGTGAGGAGCACCATCCGACGTTTGAGGGAGCAGACCGAGAGTTAGATGTCTTGTTTGAATCGTAACCTCGTTCTGTTACTGTTATGGGATTTTGATTTCGTTGTATTAGTTGAGAACAATGTCGTTTCCTTTCTGGTTTGTTTACTTTGTAGGACCTAATGAAAGCTGGTTTTTTTGGGGTACTGTTTAAGAGATATTGATCATTGTAGACACCACCGAGTTGGTTCCTCCTTATGTAGTGTTTTACTGCAAATTTGGCTATACAAGACTCATTTCTGTGGCTGATGCTCCATTGATTTTTCATCCATATTTCTCAAGTATGGTTGCACTTGCATCTGCTGCAATAATGATATGTGGATGGTCTGGGATGGTAAGGGGAGCTAATTGCTAATACAGTAACACTGTTATGGTGTTTAAGTGGTTTACTGTAAAGGACTCTATTGAGCCGCGAATATTTACGCTTTGCACGTCAAGGGTGCTTCACTGTAACGGACTCTATCGATCAACATTTTACACGTAAAATCGATATTTGTGAAATCATGTCGAAGATCGTAAAGTCGATGTGTGTGACAAAGTCACCTAATGGGTTTGCTTCTTGCCCTAAGCATTTTCTAGTTCCTCTCTTCTCTTATGATTCGCGGGACAACGTCACCTCCTTTCGGAGCGGGCCCGCTCGATCCGGCCCGTTGCGTTCCGGATCATAGGCACCCGTATATATGTCAGGTTGCCATTTGTTTACGAATCAAATTAACAGACAAATCCCCCGCTAAGCATTTCTCTGCAATTTGTTACACTGACAATTTCCCTTTTCCTCTTCCATTTCCATCGCCGCTCTCTCCATTCCATTTCTCCTCCGATTTCCTCTCCGCAGCGAGCGCAGCCCCGCCTGCGTCTCTCTCGAGTTTTCTCAGGTACTCTCTCTGCTTTCTGTCTGTTAGGGCTGCAATTTAGGGCCGTCTTCAACTAGTTCAACTTCCGCCGGAGAGCTGCAATTTAGGGCTGAGTTGTTGCGGCTCTCTGATTCGCCGCTTCTTCTCCCGTGTTTCCAGTTCCCGGTTCTCCTCTATCCGGATCGCCGTCCCAAGCTTTCCGGATTCCACTTCGTCCCTGCCGCGAGAGATCCACCGTCGTGCGTGCATTTACTTCCCATTCGCCGTCCGGATTTCTCAAGGTAGTTTCCTGCTCCTTTCGGTTTTCGCAGTTTTCCGATTTTGCTTGCGAGATCTTAATTAGTAAGTAGAGCGTTGAATTGTTTCCTGATCTGTATAGCAAAAATTGAATTCGTCTTTCTCGCGTTTGTTTGTTTGTTTGGTGCAGTGAATCGTGACGAGTTTCTTCTGAGAGCCTATCTCGGTCGCTGCGATGGTTTCGTTTGAGATGAACGATCGCAAGAGTGAGTTGAAACCTTCATTTGTTCATTTTCTTCGTGATTTAGAACTGCAGCAGTTTATGAATCGTCTAGGAGTTGGAATGAAGATGAATTCTACGTTCTTAGTGTTGATTATTATGAGTCAAGGATGATTACGAAGCTGTGTGGCTAGGTTCCCTGTAAAGAGCCATATGACGTCTATTGAGTAGTTGGCCATTTGTTTTCTCACTGCTTATTGCTTAATGAAGTAGCTCATGACCCTCCCACTGTAAAATGTGTTGGTACAATTGGTTACGGGAAAACAGTTTGTTGAACGGTTTGCTTCTTTATATGAGCTCCTGTTTGTTTCCAAGTTAGGCTTCACTTGCTTGACACATAAATGGATTATCTGAAGTCATGACGGGACTAAAAAGAACAGAGGTAGTGTATGTTATAGAATGGTGAACCAAAGAAGGGAACCACCTGTTTATAGCTTCTGCAGGGTAATCATTGATCTTTGTAGTGAATTGGCCAACTAACTCTTGCCATTTGTCAGTATCTGCTATAGATGTTAGGGAAAAAGTGGAAGTCCTTCATTTGTGCACTAAGTGCGACTGTGCCTCCAATTCCTTGTTTTCCTGGGTGATGCAGAAATTGGGCTAGGATTGACAGGATTTGGCGTCTTTTTCTCCATTCTGGGAATCATCTTCTTCTTTGACAAGGGACTACTTGCCATGGGAAATGTATGTGATTCTAATATTGCAAGTATCTTCTTCTGTTCCACTTTCTCACAATATTATACATATTTAACATTGACTTGTTTTGCTGTGCCTTTTGGTCAGATCCTCTTCATCTCAGGGGTGAGTCTCACTATTGGACCAAAGTCGACCATGCAATTTTTCATGAAACGCCAAAACTATAAGGTGAAACCTCCTTTCTCGTGTTTCACTTGCTTGCCCCATGTGTAAGCCTTATTTCGGTGTCATTTATGACTACTTATACTATGCTGATTCCCATGCAATCACTATAAGAGCTAGTGATGTGAACTGTTTGTCTTCCTTGTGGACTAATGCTTTCTGGTTTGATGGTCATACAGGGGACTATCTCATTCGGTTCAGGTTTCTTCTTTGTTGTGATTGGATGGCCTATTATTGGTATGATTTTGGAGGCATATGGGTTTGTTGTGCTCTTCAGGTAATTTGATTCTTCATTTATTTGTATAGGCAATGTAATTGATAATTGTACACTGTTGAAGATGCTGATGGAAATCTTTGTGCAGCGGCTTCTGGCCAACACTAGCAGTTTTCTTGCAGAGGATACCTATTCTTGGGTGGGTACTGCAACAACCGGCAATCAGATCGGTATGTGTTTTCCCCCCAAATTTAGACATTTCAACTCACTTTTTGATTAGCTTCTGTGATGGATACCCTCTCCCATTGCTTGGACCTTTAGAGTCAGGATAAGGTGTGGCTCTTTGAATTCATTGTACCCATCTTTATAGTATGATGCAAACAGGTTTATCATCGATAGTGATTAGATAAATACATCAGACATTTAGATCGACCTCCATAACTTGGTATCAATTTTTGTTCTTTGATGTTAGAAGCTTAAGTTAGTTGTTGCAACATATGAGGACCAATTTAGAACAACAAAGACTGTAGAATTACATAAGCGTAGTCCTTGACTTTGATCAAGAGTTTGAGTGTAGATGTGCTTTGACATTTGTAAATCATGAACTCCCTTGACTATGATGACTTGAGTTTCCATCTGATTATGTGTCTACTGAAACACTAACGATGTCGAAGTAATGAATTCTGCCTATGCTTTACCATTGGAGTTGCATCTACCTCTTATTCGTTTCTGTCTCGTTCCTAGAAATTCTTATCCTTCCTCTGGTATGCTCCCACTTGTTATCTATTTGAAAACAAATGGACCTGTATCTGAGTAGATGCTGGCATCCTATAGAGTCTTGTCTATGATTCCTTGCATGATTTGATCATAACATCGAATTAAAACGCTTCTGATGTAGTGTGATAGCGTTACCTAACCTGTTTCTTACCAAAATTGCATTTGCAGTTCTTTGATCGGTACAGGGGCAGAAGAGTACCTGTCTAAATCCTCAATCATTCAGATGGATACAAGTCTCGCTTTGATGAAATGTAACTGTGGTGACTCCTGATTCATAATATTTTTCTTATGGTGCCTGTAGTGGTAACTCACAAAACAGCTTTTGGTGGCGGAACTCAGTCAGTTAGGCTTCAGAATAGATTCATATGTGTACGTAGAGGTGGCAAATGGATTGGATTGGTGGATTGGTGGATTGGATTGGTGGATCCATGGATCAAATGGATTGGATCTAATGGATTGGTGGATTCATGGATTGGATCAAGTGGATTGGTGGATTATCCATGAATCCAAATGACATCCTCAACCAAGGACCAATATGTAAAATGTAAAAAGCTTAGGTACTAAAATGGCACAATGAAAAATTTTAGGTACCAAAACGTAATTTTCCAATGATATTTTTGTATAAAAAATAAAATTTTAGGTACCAAAATGTAAAAAATAAAAATTATAGGTACTAAACCGTAATTTGCCAATGATCCATGGATCCAATCCATGAATCTACCAATCCATTTGGATTTGGATCAAATGGATTGGATTTAAATGGATTGGATTAGATGGATATTTTTAATGGATTAATGGATTGGATTGGTGGATTGAATTGAAATTGCCACCTCTATGTGTACGTCCTTGTAAAAATAGAGTCGATTACCGAGAATGTTGGTATTTCCTTTGTTCTTCTATTTCGGTGTTGTCTTTGCCTCTTTGCACAGCAAGTACAGAGTTGCATACATTCTTGATTTTTGACAGAAATGAGAAGGAAAAGAACTGATAGAGAGAGGTCTAGTTTCTGTTTTAAGTTGTGCTGTGAGAAAAGCAAAACAGAGCATTATTTTGGTTTCTTCCCTATTCTCTTCATGACATCTCAGGGTCTATATGGAACTGGAATCACACGCAGTGGATACTTCCTCGCAATCGACGCCCCGACGGTTTCCGTCATGTCGAGGCTCTCCGGTCTCGAATCTCCGGGGAGCCTCCAGCTAAAATGAAACAGCAGGTTCGCCAGAGTCAGCTTCACTACCTCTATTCCGAACCCGTATCCTGGACACATCCTCCTTCCAGCCCCGAACGGGACGAACTGGAAATCGTTCCCCTTGTAATCGATCGAGCAGTCCACGAACCTCTCAGGGTAAAACTCCTCCGCGTCTGACCAGTAACGAGGATCACGACCGATCGCCCAGGCATTCACTACGACTTTCGTCCCCACCGGGACCATGTAGCCACAGAGTTTCGCATCCTCCCTGCTCTCCCGCGGAAGAAGCAGAGGACCCGGAGGGTGCAACCTCAAACCTTCTTTCACAACACAGTCCAAATACTCCAACCCGTGCAGTCCCACCTCGTCCACGTCGCCCTTCTCGTCGAACGCCTGCCTGACCTCATCTTGCGCCTTCTGCATCACTCTAGGCTGTTTCATCATTTCCGACATGGTCCATTCGATCAGGTTGGCCGACGTGTGACCGCCGGCCAGGAACAACTCCAGAGTTACCGCCTTTATGATCTCCGTAGTCACGGTCAATCCAACCTGGTCGGGATTCTCCTGAATTTTCAGGAGAACATCGACCAGGTAGTCCTCTTCCTCTTCCTCCTCACCACCTTCCCTGCTCGACCTCGACGACGATCTCTTCGATCTCCTCTCGTCGATGATCGCGTCGAGAATCGAGCTCGCACCCTCACGCATACTCTTGAGCTTCCCTTCGAACCCGGACAGGACGGGAAGAAATGTAAGCGAAGGATACAAGTCCGACATCCTGAAACCTGACAGGACATCCGATATGTTGTCAGCAACCGTCAGAAACGCCTGGTTCAGCCCCCGAATCGTCCCGAACAACGCCCTGGAAATCACCGCCGCCGACAGCTTCTCCACCATCCGACTAAGATCCACCACACCACTAGCATCCGCCGAAGCGCGGCGGAGATCAAGTACGAGCTTGTCCACCTCCTGTCCCCTGATCCAGCGGAAGGACTGGACGCGCTTGGTGCTGAGCAGCTCCAGGGTGCAGATCTTGCGGAGCTGGCGCCAGTGGTGGCCGTAGGGCGCGAAAGCGACGTCGTTGCAGCCGCCGTAGAGGACGGACGGCGCCAGGAGGAAAGGCCTGGAGGCGAAGGCGAAGTCGTGGGTTTTCATGACCTGTTTGGCGGCTTCAGGGGTGGAGATGATGACGTGGGAGAGCTGGCCGAGCTGGAGGTGCATGACGTCGGGGCCGTGGCGGCGCGCCAGCTCGGCGAGGCGGCGGTGGGGGTGAGAGTGGCCGCCGTTGAGGGCCAGCTGGTGGAGGTTTCCGATGATGGGGAGCTTCCGTGGCCCCGGCGGCGGCGGCGGGAGGGCGGTGGTGGTGGTGGGCTTTTTGGGTCGTTTGTAGTGTTTTAGGAGGAATAGGATGGTGGTGAAAGTGAGGAGGAGGAGTGGGAGGTTGGAGATCAGCCATGGAAGGAAGAAGGTGGAGGAAGAGTTGTGTTGATGGCTGCTGGCTTCCATTATCTCTCTAATTCATAAATTAGCCAACTCGATCGGTACTTTACCTTAATAAACCATGTAAAATTTGTATATTTTTTTTGCCCTCTTTTGTTGGATTGTTCATTCCATTACAATGTTGCTATAGTTCCATGGCGACTGATTGATCGATATGATTCATAAACACTGCATTGCAGGACAAACGGAGCAAAATTCCAAAGCTACAATACATTTTCTATTTTTAGAAACAGGCTGACGTTGAATAATTTCCTTTTTTTGTTTTTTAGTTCGATGAATTATTTCCTTCTGTTATACGCACGTAGTCATGGATCATGTGATCCAATGTATGGCGAAAATTCAAGGGATGAGGCTCTCACTTGAATTATTAGTCACTAATAGTTACAATCTGCACATTTTCCTTTTACTTTATGTTAAATCGAGTTGTGGATATTCACACATATGATTATTACTTGGGGTTATGACATCGGGTTATAAATTATTTGACCCAAATAATACGAGTTGTTGAGAGCATATAAATTATGAATTTTATATCACTTTCTTATACAATCACTAGTTGTAATAGTTTTATTATTGTGTAAGCGACTTTATTTTTATTGGAGCTTGTGGACCGGATTTTAGCCTTTATGGTTGAAGTTATCCAATTGCCTTTATGATTGAAGTTATACTTTCAATTGGATTTTTGTAAATAGTACAAGATTTTATAATTGATTTTTTCCCAACAACTCGAACTATTGGAAGTTGAAACCAATTGGTTCAACGACTCTAGGCTCTATAGTAGCTAGGGTTTTAGGGTTTATTGAGATTGGCACAAGCACAAGCTGACAAGCCCTACACTACCCTGAGTCTTCTATCTGACAAAGAACTGATTATCTGTTGAAATAGTGTGTTTCAGCATTCAGCCTGCCCAAAATATCTGCCACAGATGGTCGCCAGGATATTCAACATCACGACCTCATCGTCCAGCTCGGACTTGGCAGCTCGAAGGATTGCACATTTGCGGAGAAGCCCACGAATGGCAGCGCTGGTATCAGCGAGCAGCGGAGTATCGACTGCTGCGCAGAGAGCAAACAGCCACAGGCAGTCGTTCTTCGATAAACTGGTTGTCGTCGCGCTCTCTGCAGAGCTGATCCTTTTCTTGAGAGTGGAGACTCGAACCACAGAGTCCATTGCTCGGATCGCTGATAAGGTTGGGTGACTGGTTGAACTCTCATTGACCCTGGCTGTGGTAGCTGCTGGAGTGGGAGAAGCTGCAGGTGGCTTATCAACATCGTCGGTGATCGCTTGTGATACTGATGGTACATGATCAGCTGCGTTCTCGAGAATGGATCCCTCAGAGGGACCATTGGGATCGAGGCTTTCTGGACAGAGCTGATTAACATTTTCGAGAATGATGTTCTCGGTAAGCAGATGGAACTGAGCTTCATCATCCTGCTCGTGGCCTATGGTGACTGACGGAGGCTTATGAGAAATCAGATCATCAGATTCTTCATCTCTTGCCAACAACTGAGGGAGAGAGAGACAATGAGAATTCAGGACAGAATGCTAGTGTGTAAACTTCTCAAGAATTTAGGATGATGTAGCCTCTAAATGCTCAGCAAAACTTAGTAAGAGTCTCATTACAGTAAGCCATGTGCTGTTAACTATTTGTGAAGCAAGCATTAACAATTGAAATTTTAAGGTAAATTTCTCAGTAACATACCAGTCGCAGCTGTGAAAAGTCGGACAGGAATGCGTCTTCCCAAGTTTTTGAAGGCAGCAGATGGTCTGGACACTTGGGAATATCGGGTATCTGAGGCATATAAACACTTTGCTCTTCCTGAATCTTATGCTGATCAAGCTTGGCGACTTTGACTTTCGGAATACGAGCAGCTTCCCACCTGTATAAAAAGAACAGGAACGGGTAAATTACAAACTGAAATCCAAAGAATGATAAGTTCAATTCATGATTTAAGTTGCAGAACATGGAAGTAAAACTGTTACCTAACACGCCTTAGATATTCTAATCCATCTTCCGGAGGTCCAGAATCGAAATCCGGTTCTCCTTCTATATGAAAAGCTGGTTTTTGGATGCTAGCATAATCATCATCGCTATCATCTTCTTCATCATACTGCCCTTCTGCAACTGTATCGGGAGTTTGACCACCCGCGATATCATGACTGCAGGAAGAAACCGAACTACAATTCTCTCTATCAACTTCTTCCAAGTTTTCTAAGTCATCACCACCATTTTCGGAAGACTGTTCTTCCCCTGAAACAATAGGAATTTTAGAACTCTCGACAAATTTATCAATCGCAAACATACTTGGTCCACAAAGATAATGCAAAAAATCAGAAATGGCATTCATTGTATGAACTGTAATTGAATTGTGTACAAGCATTTTTTACATTCATCCACAGATTTTTAGCAAGTTGTATCATCTACTACAACAGCACAGATTCTATCACAAGAAAAGCCTACACCAAAGCTAAAGATGTAGGGTAGCCAATGGCCAGAACACCTATGTACAGTGCTTCTATGCACACAGAAGCTAACGAAGTAGGTTAGCCAATGGCTGGAAGCCTGGAACACCTATTTACAGTGTTTCTATACTGACAAACCATTTAGTTGCCTATGAATACTGCTAAAAAACATTGAGGTTACTATTTTCCCAAATCTACAGCTCAGTTGCTCTTTAGCCCATTCTTCAATGTACATATACATTCACATGATTCCATCTTCCCCTTGCAGCACCACAACCTGTCCAGAACACAAAACTCAACCCATCAAATTGAGAACAATAGGGCCCCAAATCCAGCTGGGAAGTAGGGAAACAGCAAAGAAGAAAGACCGCCAAAATGGAAGAAAAGGGCTCAGCAAAGTGTGGTGTCTTTTGTGAATAGAGGATCAGACCTAGTAGAAGCCACACTGAAAAGCGAGGATAGATAGAAGAGGAAGTGATGAAGCATGGTTAATTAAGAACCAGGTAATTCTAGAAGGAGAAGGTAACGAGGGGAGAAATCCCAAACATCAAACTATTTGATGAGAATTATTGACAAGAATGAGAGACGGCAGGGCAGGGCAGGGTATAAGCAGCATGGAACCAGATATGGAGTTCTGGGCGTTGAATGTCACCGTAGTGAACTATAAGTCATTCTCCTTTAATCTTTTCATAGGGTTGAGATGAGATTTCAACGGAATGGAAAGACCTATTGAAGATGCAAGAAGAGTTGATAACCCAAAATTGCAATCACTTGACATCCTTCCTCCTCCACTAACACTAATACCTTGGCTGTTCATCTAGTACTAAAATATCAAATTCATACACAGAATAGGCCTATGGTCTGTGCTACGCCTATTTCCACCTCATTTTGCAGCAATGAGTCGACCTTAGCATAAATGTTCAACCTAAAAACCTTCTACAAATTCTTTGACTTTTGACATGTGCTGCCTACTAGATCAACCCAGAAACGAATGTCTACCAGTAGTTTATATTGCAACAGAAAGATAAACCCAAAGCTGTAAACACTAACGAAAGAGGAAAATCACAGAGAATTATAATACCACCCGAGCAAACAAATGGATGCACTTCACAAGTCAACCAGAAGCATTTACTAAACTAAGGCTGCAGAACTGCACGTAATTTGGCACATCAAACACTTTCTTCATCATACAACTCAATCAAGCAACCGAGAGTATCAAAATCCAAAAGATGATTCTCATCTGATTCCCCTATTTACTTTCTTGAGCATTTAACAAACAAATAACTGAATCTCCTTCCCCCTCCTTTTTTCCTTATCAATTTCCATCGTTCCATAAACCACTCAAAACTGATTCAAGCTTGAATCATGGAGCAAGAAGCCATCAAAGACAAAGCAATAAGCAGAACACGCAGTGGAAAACAAGCAGACACTTTCTTGGCAATGCATAATGAACTGTGAAACAGCAGTTTATCAAAGTGAAGATTCATTCTTGTTTATCAAAATAGCATGAAAAACTCACCAGGAACACCTGACGCGCCAGCAGCAGCAGCAGCAGTTTGACTTCCAAAGCGTGGATGCCTGGAGGAATCAAAGTTCCGGTGGTGCAAGTTCTTCTGGCTCCTTGAGCAAGCCAACTCCTCATACTCCTTCACAACAGCAGCCCCTAATCCATTGTATATACTTCTCCAGATTCTCCTTTGCTCCACAATGTTCATAAACCTCATCTCCTCCAACTCTTTCCTCGAATACTTTCCATTCGCCGGATACAATCCTTCAGCGCTACAATTTTCAGACACAAAATCTTGATTCATGTTCCCCTTAATCAAATCTTTCCCCTTCTTTCTTGGCCTCTTCTTCTTCTTCCCATCAGCAGCACCTTGATTCCCATTCCTCTTCCCGTTTCCCCCATTCACCTGCTGCCTCCCGTTCTGAACGTTTCGAAATACAGAAACCGGTTCGATCAGCACGGTATCATCAATTACTTGAACCTTGAGAGAAGGTCCATCAGACTCCTCAAATCCATTGGAAGCACCCACCACATTTCCCAGGAAGGTTTTCCCTTTAAAGATCGCTCCACCTTCAAGGTCAGCCAGCAACTTTTTCTTCTTGGCCTCCAACAAACTCTCCCCGCCCGAAATCTCCACTCTACCGTCGACATCTTCAGCAGCGTCGGAGTACCCAGAAATCGGACTAGCACAAGTTGCCATCTTGCCTCCACAGGGACCAAGAGCCAGCGCTTCTTGAGCATGGTCATCAATCAGTTCTTCAGAAACTACGCATCCAGCCTTCTCGAGAGGATGAGAACTGGGATTGTTGCCCTCAAGAAGCAAACGACCATCTTCTTCGGCTGCAGTAGACGGACCAGCGACGATGGGCGATAATGGCTGGGGCGAATCTTTCATCGCGGGAAGCGGAGAGCAAGATTCGGGGATTTCCTCGGAGCGGACGGCGGGAAGGGCGCATCCGCCGGAATCAGAATCCATAGCTTCAACCATTCTTTTGATGGTCAATTCCACAGCGAGTAATTTGAGAGAATGGCGGAAAGAGATGAAGAGCGAAACTGAGAGAGATTGTTTGCGAGTAAGAGAGAGATTAACAGAGTTTGAAGCTCCGACGAGACGGAAGAAGAAAGGGTTTAAGAAGGGGATGCCGACAGAATTTAGTTATTTATAGAAAAATCAATAAAATTGGAGATTGATAGATGGGCTCAGCTTTCATAGTGTTGGGCCAGCAGGTCGGACGGAGGAATTGGGCTTTATTGGGCCGAGCCGAAGTATAACACACAAAGGGCCACAACAGAGTTTTTGGGCATATCTTACAATTTTTCCTGCTAAAAGAACGTTTCAGAGCTGAGAGAGAGAAAAACCAAAGTCCAAAGCAACGGATTATAATCACCAGCAGTTAAAGAGCTCCATATTCCCCAAAACTACAAACCCAATTCGATTCTCTCTACATCATCATCAATCAAGGAAGAAAAAAATATATCAGATACAGCCCCTCTCTTTGTAAGATCCTTAGAGCACATCTCAAACACCAAACACAAGCTGCAATCGACGATTTCCGGAGTATTATTACACCATTCCATTCCAAACCAAACATCAAAGGTATTCAACTCCTGTCGTGCTCTTCCCTTACGTTGTTTCTGACTCTCCTTCAGGACTCTGGGGCGGCGGGGGCAGCAGCAGCAGGAGGCACTTGAGACTTCAGCAGTGGCTGGAGAGCCTTCACGACGATGCTCATGTTTGGCCGAAACTCTGCTTCATACTGCACGCACAATGCTGCCACAGCTGCCAACTGCAATAAAAGAAAGACGCTACCCATGTATCATACGTAATGTCGTCATCTACAAGTAGAACTAGCTTAATACGGATGTCTGAGCAAGTACCTTGGCTACTCCCTTTGGTGGATACTCTCCCTTCAGCTTTGGATCCACACACTGCTTAACTTTGTCTTCACTTAATCTTGGAGTAGCCTGACCAAAGGGAAATATGATACGATATAAACTATCTGCATTGTAGATATACATTGACGCAAAGAAAATACGAAAAGGGCATTGTCAGATGACGAACCCAGGTGACTAGACTCTGCTGCCCACGGGGCATGGTATGATCGACTGGTTTCCTTCCGGTGAGAAGTTCGAGGAGAACCACACCAAAGCTGTAGACGTCACTCTTCTGTGTCAATTGTCCAGTCATTGCATACCTACAAAATAAGTCAAAAGTGAAATTCATATTAGCTGCACAACAATCAAATGGTTGCTTAGGAAAATAAAGACAGAAGAAAACACAAAAAAGAAAAGAAAAGATGCAAGAAGATACGGGAAACTATATGAACTAACATAAGATAGAAAAAAATCATAAAACTAGGGGTAGGTAACAATTCAGATTCAATCCTCCAATGCAAGACTTCATTTTGTTTTGATTCCATGCAGATTTATTTTCCTTAATTCTATCTCCGCCTATGCAGATTATGTCAGATTCTGAACCAACCTGACAATACCCGCCTTCACAAAACACAGGCCACTTGAGCATGGTTAACTATGTCTCATGCATGATGCAACTAATGGGTGCAAGTGCAACTCCGGCAATAATCCATGAATACAAGCCCCTCATATGTAGGAATAACAACACCCCCGAAAAATGAAAATAAAGGGAAAAGATTAAGCATTACTCTGGAGCATGATAACCAAAAGTTCCCAGAACACGAGTGGAATGCAGGCGTGCAGCCATGTCTGGAGCCTGATTTGATAGGTTAAAATCTGCAATCTTTGCTTTAAAATCCTCAAAGAGAAGCACATTGCTTGATCTGATATCTCGGTGTATTATGGCAGGCTGAATCTTCTCATGCAAGTATTCCAAACCCCTTGCTGCATCAACTGCAATTCTGACTCGCTGCATCCAGTCCAGCACTGGACCAGGTTGTGCCCCTTGAACTCCCTTTCGACCTGTTACACAACACATAAGAAATGCCAATGTAAAAAATATGCTTACAAGACTAATACTCCATCCGTTTCATTACAGATGTGAAGATACATTGTAACTATACCATGCAATATGTCATGAAGAGATCCCATTGTTGCAAATTCATAAGCAAGCACTCTGAGATTTCCTGCTACACAATAACCTTGCAATTCTACAAAATTCTCATGCTTCAATCTCGATACCATAGAAACCTGAAACCGAAGGAAAAAGAAAAGAAAAGAAAAAGTAATAATGTAATGGTCATTACTCTGCAAACACAACCAAATTGAACAGAATGTAGAGCTGAATTATGAAACTTAAATAAAACTGAATAATGCGTTGACTAAAGTATACCTGAGTTAAGAATTCGTTATTGGTTTCTGGCTCACTGGATACATCAAGTTTCTTCACAGCCACAGCTTTTCCGTCATCTAGGTTTGCGTAATACACTCTGCCATAGGATCCTTCACCAATAAGAGCCTTTGACCCAAAATTATCAGTTTTTTCTTTCATTTCATCCAATGACAAAGCCGGCACTTGAATAGGTGGTGCTTCCTTTTGTACTTCAGGCTTGACAAGAGCTGATGCATTTGCACCTTTTGGATGCCCTATCCAATGAAATAAGAAAAATAGGACGGTTATCATATTATACTGGCTGCAATCGACGTTAACACAATATCAATAAAACACTTGAAATGGTTTTTTTAACTCATATACAGTAGTGTGGAATTCACACAGATTGCTTGAATTGCCCCACATTGGACAGTGGCATAGCACCAGTGAAGAACACGAGAGATTCATCTTGATTATGAGAAGCAAACATGCAGCTTCAACAACAAAAGTACAAGCTACAATGATTACCTCCGTTCCAGCATCACTAAGATGATATCGCCGCACTAGGGTATTGAATGATTTAACTCATAACTATCTAAGATGAAAAATGCACTTCAGAAAGAGGAGGGGGGGGGGGGGGGGACTTTATCTAGACAAGCAACAATGCATAAAAATCACAAAGAAACAGCGTAAATTTTAAAACCAAAAGTCAAGCAACTAATAATCTACTGCATTCACAAAAGTAAAAAGAAAAACAGACACAATAGTCAAGTTATGCATTATCAGGTATCAGCAATAAAATTGATGCTACCTAAAGGTGTCCAATTGTATCAAACAAAGACAAGAAGAAACAGATTTTCTTCTACCCACAGCGCAGGAGACAATCACATTCATTAAGTAAAAATGACAAGATATGTACCATCATTATGGTGTTTTGGGCTTCTTAGCAGCTCATTCTCGTGAGATGGGTAAGCCTCCTCCACTTGACAGGTGCAGCACAGCCATCGACGCATCTTGTCTCTCTTCCTCAAAATTAAATCGTCTTGAGACCTTGTTTTATCCAAGCGAATAAAGAGGGCAGGACAAGGTGCATGTGTCTGTTCAACATCGCCCAAAACACACACCATATTCAACACAATGAACTTGGTTAATTCATACCCTCATCATCAAGCTTATAGAAAGTTCAATAATCAAATGATTCAAGCAGCTGTGGGATAGAAATGGTTAGCTATCAAATCAAAGGGGTTCAAACATAATGAACTAAGTTTCGATTGAGGATTGGATAACATATCCAGCAGCCACGAGTCTAAGCATGGGCAACCACCCTTCGGCACTAATAATTCAATCAAGTCAATAATACCCTGACTGCGTATCTCTTATCCAGTTTCAAACAACAAAGAAAGCAAAAACAAGATGAATACACTACAACACAATTAACTTGGGTAAATCATACCCGCATCACTAAGCTCAACATAAACTGAGGGATGTAAATGAAATGGTTTGCCTTATCAGGGTTCAAACATAACGAACAAAATCCCGAATGAGGTACTTAATAACTGGAAAAGGCTGTAGCTGCATGAAAACCCATCCTGCAGCCACGAGACTAATCATGGGCAATCACAATTCGGAAGTTGCAATTCAATCAAAACCAATCGACACCCCGGTCAAGTTTTCTTCCACACCATTTCAGACAACAAAGAAAGCAACTTGAAAGGAATACATTACGAACAACGAATTAATCATCGCAAACAATTCATTTACAACATCAGACAGCATCCTAATCGAGAAATTCACAACTGCCCAATTGAGATTTCAATACAACTAAATCGACAACATGAAGAACCACCTCTCAGAACACGGAGCCAGTCAAATTGGAAAGGGCAATCCTCACCGCAACAAGGTGACGTGAATTGCAATCCTTCCCCTCCATCAAACACTGATCGAGAGAGAAAACCAAGGAGGGAAGGGGAAGGAAAGACAAGAGGCGAGACGCGCCGAATCGCTGGGAGGATTGCAGCAAAAGGTGGAGGGAGGAAAGGAAGAAGGGGAAGAGGGGGCAAACGAGATTACGAAAAGGGGAAAAACGCCAAAAATTAAGAGGTGCCATAACAGAATCGAGGATTAGCCATTGGATCGCAACGGCAAACAAGGAGCCATTCGATGGAAACAGAGTGAAAAGGGAGTTAAAAAAAAAAGGAAAGGGTTTGATTACCTGTAGGCTGATTTGCTTTTCTCTCTTCTATGGCGCCGAGATTACCTCTCTCTCTCTCCCTCTACCTCTTTCTCTAGTAGGTGAATTCGGTTGCTCTGTTTCTTCTCCCTCTTCTTCTGCTGTGCTTCTTCTTCCTTCGTCTTCTTCTCTCTCTCCCAAACGGGGATGGGACGAGAGGTGCTGGATTCGTTGGAATTGTCTGTAAAGAGGAAGAGGAGAGAGAGAGAGAGAGAGCGGCAGGGGAGCGAAGGAGAAAGAGACGATAGAGAAACGGCTAATGGGAAGAGAGATAGTGTAACCGATTGCGGGAATATTTTACTTATATATAAGTAGAGAGAGAATTAGGCATTGTTTGCTTTAAGTTTTTGTTTTGAGAATATTAAAAAAAAGTTAAATACACTTGTATATCCAAAACTTCATGGTTGTGCTAATAATATCCAAATTTCTCGAAATACCACTTATATCCATGTTTTAAAGTTGTTCTTTGCCAAATCTATCCATTTCCGAATATATTTTTGGTTAAATACAAGTTGTTCTTTGCCAAATCTATCCATTTCCGAATATATTTTTGGTTAAATACACTTGTATATCCAAAAACACCGTTAAAGAATGTGACGGAATTGGATATAAGTGGTATTTCGAAAAATTTGGATATTATTGATACAACCGTGAAAGTTTTAGATATACAAGTGTATTAAAAAAAATGGTTTTGTGAATATGATAGGGGTTGTTTGGTGTTTGATGTTATGCACTTCAAAGTTCAAATGAGTTTTATTTGTTTAACCAATTTAGACAAGTTTGGTTTGTGTTCATGGGAATAACATAAGCTTTTTATTATTAGATTCGTCGAATTACTTAAGTTAGTAGAGCAGATAAAATATCAACAAATGCACTTGAAAGTTTTATAGGTTATAAGTTTATGGAGTATAATTTAGTAACTCGTGTTGTTAATAGTACAATTCAAGCATATAGTCTATGACAAGACTAACCAAAGTGTTTGAAGAGCAATAGTATGTCAGAAAGGGAGACCAAACAAATAAGGTCAATTAACCCTGAGTAAGTCATTGATGTTGCACATCAAAGGAGGGATGTCTCACAGAAGGACCAAGGGTTAGGAGGATTGATGAGATCACATTTGCTCACTGGATAGTGGCAAGAACTCCAAGAGTGTTAAGTCTTGTTTTGTCATCGTTGTTTTGCGTGTTTGGTGATCATAACGAGAAGGGAGAAGGCTGATCGCTGAAACGCAGAAGGCGAGCTAGAAAGCTGGCACATAAAACGAGAACGAAGGAGGAGGAGGATATGAGTTGAGGTCGGGGCGGTCGGAAAATTGGATGATGCGAGAGTGTTGGCTCAAGGTTGGAGGTCTGGAGGCTAGAGACGAGGACATCGAAACTAATCAAGAGAAGGGCTAACATTAATTACTAAATTCGTATAGACACTAGCACTAATAAAAAAGAAGGGTTTCAGGTTAAATGTTAGGGTCATGCAGAGAACGCGTTAGGGATAATACAATTACCATCGAAATTAAACTTTGGGATCGGGTGATAAGATAAAGTTGTAAATCTCGCAAATAAGACCACGTCTAAATTAAAAAGCTAGAAGACTACACAATTGCACTTATTGTAGTATATCGATATATTGTGTACATACAAAGTCATCATCAACATCACCATTATCATATCCATATGGCAAAAGCCAAGATCACTACTCGATTGCATCTCCTCACAGCACACAGCTATACTACACCATCATTGACATATTCCATATTTCCATTATCGTCGTCCAAACACGGCCTTACCTGCCAGGGGTTTGCTTCGCTTAGCTGTTTCGTTACCTGGAGACCAAAGAAAGGAAAAAGCATGGAAATCGTCGATACTGAAGAATCTGACCGTGTAAAAACAAACAAACAAACGCGGAACAGATCTTTCCCCTGAAATAATTTCTTTTCCCTTTTTCGAAATTCTTCTGTTCATATTGAAGTATTGGGCTGGAAAATCGTAAGGCGAAGTGATCAAAGTGGTCAAAGCCCATATGATTGTTTTAATAAGTCCGCGGGCTTTCATGAGCAGTAGGCCCAAATTAATCTATCAGCGGCCCTCGGCGGAAAGTTGTGCATTTCCTGATTAGAGTCCATTAGAAAACAAGATTTTGGGCTGTCTACGGAGTACGGACACAACGCAAGGAGGGAGCAAAAGAAGGGCCGTAACTGTTTGACTTGAGTCCGCCCGCCAGCGGCCAGCCCATTATGGCTTTTGAACAGATACCTCAATAATACCTCCTAATTAATTGCATGGTTATTGAATGGAAATTGAGGCGAGTGTGGTTACGCGCCCCACATTTTGTGGATACCCACACCCACAAATTTACAATTATGCTACCCACAACTCGCACCACAGTGATTAGTGGGTAACCACAACCTATTGTGGGTTTGTGAAGGTTGGGTGTGGTTACTCGCAAAAATTCATCTTTGCAAGCATAGAGTTCTAGTCGCCACTAACGTATTTGTTGTTCGTAACTAGACTATAGTGATATACACTTGTGTTGTTCGTGGAGATAAAATTTTGTACATCGATCTTACTTAACGTGGAGATTTTTTCTTTTTGAGTTTGATATTCAACTTTTGTGTCAGAGAGTTATGATTTCATATTTTAATGAATTGATTATTCTCCACTCTGTCGATTATAGTGTTTTATAAGCTAAAAAATTCTTACATAAAACTTATTAGGTGTGTCTTTTTTATTTGGTGGCTACTTTAATTTTTATCCTCACACTTTTCACATACTATTATATTATAAAGTTAATTCACTAAATAAATATAATTAGTGTGGTTATTGTGGATTTTGTGGGTTAACCGCGATGGGTAGTGGATAACGACTAACCACAAAATTCGTTATTTTACTACCCACACCCAACCCACTACCCACAACTTGTGGGTGTGGTTACCCACAATAGGTGCGGGTTGGTGTGGTTTGCGGTAGGGGTGGGCAACGGGACGGGACGGGATACCCGTCCCGTTTGAAACGGGTACCCAATCCCGTTGGGAGGTCAAAGTCCTTCCCATATCTCAAACCCATATGGGAAACGGGTACCCATTACCCGTACGGGACGGATAACGGGTACCCATACTACCCATAAATACCCAAAGTTTAAACCACTAAAATTTTAACAGCAAATTAATAATGCATAACAACAAATTAATTAAACCACTAAGAAGAGCTGCAATTGGAAGCGAGAAAAATTAATAATGCATACCAGCAAATACAATTAGGTAGCTCCAATTAGTAGCACGCAGTAGCCGTTAGGGCAAGTTTAACTAGGTTGTTAGGTGGCTCCAATTAACGGCAGTAGTAGCAGCTAGCTAATAAATCAAATACAATTGAGGACATGTAGTTAGAAATGGTAATTGAAAGGGTAACTGGGTAAGGGCCGAAATGGGTTGGGTTGTGCTGGGTAATTGATTTATGAATTAGTGAATTGGGCTGGGCTGTCGGCTGAAATGAATTTTTATTGAATGGGTATAACGGGTACCCACATTACCCAAATGGGTATTTGCGGGTAACCCGCGGGTACCCATATTAGGAATGTACAATCCCAAGTCCCATCCGTTTATAATATTACGGGTAATATGGGTACCCGTAACCCTTAAAAAACGGGACGGGTATGGGTATACCCAAATACCCGTTTCCCGTTGCCCACCCCTAGTTTGCGGATTATCCATAACCCGCAGCCCAAACTTCTAACATATGTATGTGTCAAATGGTTGGTTGTGGAACCCTTGCTTCATTTTCGCTTCTCCTACTTATAGCCATCTCTTGTAACCGCCGTGTAACCATATCTTGTTAACCGCTTCTCTTTTGTTTGGTACTTGATGTAGCTTGCTTGACGCCTTGACTGTTTTACGTGCTTGCCACTTGATACCTTGCACCTTGATGACTTCACTTGATAGCTAGCCACTTTTGCCATGGAGGTGTTGCTTGGTGAGTGAGGATTTCAAGCTTGGTGGTACTCGTGCTAACCACCCTTGACACTAGGTTGCTTGGGGGTCTGATGGATGCACACTGACTCCCTTGGGGTGACAGCATGCTTGCAGGGTCTTGACAAGGTGGTCTACCATCCATGAGGCCTAACATGCCTGACTACTTGGGAAGAGAGTGCGTTGTGCCATACCCCCTGTTCTACACAGTTAGCTAGTCCACTAAGTCTCATTAAATATTTCTTTGGTGTTTGATATTTTGTTTTTCATATTTAGATTATTTTTTAATTCAAGTTCAATAATTAATTGAATTTTTTTTTTCTATCTTATAAATTGAGGGTAATCTTAAACTCTCAACCTAACTATCACTGATTCGAATATTGCATGTCAAATTGCAGTATTAAATATGTAGAAGCGATATAGAATTCTCAATTTATTATCAACTTTTAGAACTACAATGAAGCACTGATATTTTGTGCAAACTATAAGCGGGCAGCTCTCTTAAAATTTTAGTCCGGTTAATCGCTAAATATCAAATCTCTTGCTAATTTGGCATGACAATACTCTACAATCATGAGACAAGATCGGATTTGATGTACTATTCATTTCACCATCTTTTGATGTGTTAATAAATTTGTAGTGATTGTAGGCCAATCTGAAGGTTATCTCACACTTATTTTTAGAGGCCTAACATGTATATCATTTATTCTCTTCCCCATCACGGAATGATAGTATTTGAATTATGTCCCAAGAATATGTTTCCATAGCAAAAAAATGCAATAAAACTCGAGAGAAGAATCAATTCATCTCTTGGCGGAACCATTAAATTGGTAGTTTTCCTACTAATGAACCATATGAGAATAATTTATCTTCTGAAATTAATTACCAGTAAGATAAGTATATTAGCTATTACTAGTGTAAGTGGTTCATTTATTTCAAGTACCATATTTTATATGTTTGGTGTTTTATTCCTTACACGTTTGATCTTAATTTGAGGCTAGATTTGATTAGTCTGTTTATGGTGATTGCTTAGATGTTTCTTTGTGAACTTATATATTTATTGGAAGTTACATTATTGTTGTTTGTGAGTGACTGTTAATAAACTTTCCATCGAAACTTGATATAGCTAGATTGGTTAGAGTGCTTGCTAATTTGAGACGTGAAATTGGGTGTACACATTTAATCAGTTGTGATACCAAGTACACATGATGATATCCATATTGTCCTTAGTTGCATCATGAGTTTATACAAATTAACTTAAATGATATATCCGATATAAGTGTCAATTAAATAGTTACAAGTGGGAGCTAGACATTGACAAACAAAATACACATCATACCAAACAAATTATATAACCATCAAGTTCTCCGGCCAACAAGCCAGGCCTTGTACTAGTACTTGCTAGCTACGTTAACGCTTCATTTCCTTCATCCATGGTTGGCCACTGGAACCATAAGCAAAAACGTTGATTTTAGGAATTCTTCCCAAAATAAGGTAGTTTTCTTTATTTGTTGATCCAGTACTTAAGCGATTCAATCTTATTCTAGGCCGAACCAGACCATACCCACTCCCACTCCCACATAGAAAAGTTGTTTCTTTATAAGCAAGTTATAGCTATCACAAACATAAACAAGAAAAATCCCACAACGTTTTGATCTTAGCATTATAAACAGTTGATCGAAGGTACAAAAGTAAGGTAGTTCCTTTTAGGAGATATCAACAGAAGTAATAGAGCGAGGGAGGCAGTACAACAGCAGTTCTAAACTCTGTCAAGCCGAAACAGGGGTTCTGTCTGGCGAAGATGATGCTGCCTTTGCTGGCACCCGTCGCTTGAATGCTAACATCTTGTTCAGGGCACTGATGTAGGCTTTCACACTGCACACCACTATGTCCATTCCAGCCCCGGAACCACTGTCCACGAAGAGAAAAAACGAAAGAAACGAGTTCCAGTTGATGCATTGTGTCGATCTTTTATGTGTATTGTTTACCAGAGTTTAACAAGAGTCGAATTTGAAAAGCTGGCATTACCTGAATGTGCGCTCGAAAGGCTCGTCGGTCAATGCATGGGTAGGGGTGTGCTTGTTCTCCCCACGGATTAGGACTCGGGTGGTTGCAATTGCATCGATCCCTTCTGTGACAGCGTTCATGGAGTACTCCATCAGTGTTGCCTCTTCCTGGAACCATCCAGCAACACACAAAAATGAAAATATTGAACAGTCCTTAATGGCGCGATCACATCAACGAGTTTAGGAATATCAGAATCACAGTCTAGTGAAAGCTCAACAACCCAAAATTTGAATTGGGTCCCATTCGACTAAGCTCGCTAATGGGTCCATGCTTCTCTGCTACCTATACCAGTCCTATAGTGAAAAGTTCTGACAGGAAAAATTTCCGAGTAAGATTTGAATTCAGACCTTCACTATGAGATCAACTGCTTTGTATGCGGAATCGACTGGACCAGTTCCTACAGCGCAGGCGATATGCTCCTCCCCGTCAGCATCAGTGAGTTTGACAGTGGCAGTGGATAGGCCAAGTGTTCCACAAGTTACCTGTGTAGTAACAAGCTCATTTCAGTTTCATACAAATTGTACCAAGTTCACATACACATCAAGAGAGAGAGAATACCGTTTACCTGCAAGTCATGAAGTTTCCAAACAGTTTCTGGTTGGAAAACTTCATCCGAGACTAAAGCTATTAGGTCTGCATCAGTGACTCGCTGCAGAGAACATAAAATTAGTTAACCAAGGTCCAGTTATGGGAAACAAGTGTTCTTGATAGAGGAAGAGTGAATATATAGTTTTGCAATAAGGTGGATGGTAAGCAGAAATGAAGCATTTATCACCTTTTTTTGTTCAGCAACTGCCTTAAAGAGCCAAAAGATGTTGCCTAGCTGTTGATCATCCAGCTCATATCCAAGCTACAAAAAGTAGGGTGAAGGCAGTATAAATGCTCTGTTAAGCAAAAGATTAGCATAACTGAACCGAGTCTAACATGTACTAGCAATACCTCCTTCAACCGGTCTCTCAATGCGTGGCGCCCACTGTTTCAACAAAAAGAAAGAAGAGATTACATGAAGGATGTTATTGATAGCTGGAATTAGTTTCCAAACAAATCAAAATGAAGAAATGACATGATAAGAAGTGATGCAGCCTAACCGAAGGAATCAAATACAAAAGTAACCAGGAAGATAAATGGTGTTTTCCCCTGCTCAACCATTGACCAAATGGGGGGAAAAAATTAACAGTTAGCTGTGACTAGATAATGGCCTTTATAATATGCAGTTATAGAATCTCTCATAACTCCATTACCATTATCAAAAAGAATCTCATAATTCTGCACTTCAAAAGTTCTATCCAAACAGCTCAATCCAATGTGATACTGAGCAGGGTAGTAAATGAATCCAGATACCATTGTGTTCCACACAGTGCGATAAGATGAATGATACCTAAGTTTCCCGAGGACAATACCGGCCTCATTGGCTCTCTCAAGACCAATATCTTCGGGAGCTATAATCTCATACGTCCCTTTATGCTTTAACATTCCATCCTGGACCAAATATAATGAATTTCGAGTTACTCGCACAAGGACAAAGGAGATTTTAAGAGCTGCTTCATTAAAGGGGAAAAATAAGTCCTCAACACAGCCATAAGATAAAAAAATTATGTGAAAAACAAATACACCGAAGAAATTTTCGGAGTAAAAAGGCATCACTATTCGTCATTCTAGGCCTCGCTCTCCCACACATTCACCCCATTCAACTATGTGTTGACTGCCCCACTACAAGTGTTATCACACGAAACTAACATTAATCAATATCTTCCCTTCCAAACAATATGCTGATACTACTTGCCATTATTTTACTCTACATTCTCTACATCATATCCCAGAAACTACTTGACATGGCGAATATTAGCACAACAAAAGTAGGATCCTAAAGATCAATCCAAGCTGGAAAACGAGTTGTAAATTGTAATTGCAAGCTAACCTGATGTATCCCACTTTCATGAGCAAAAGCATTAGCTCCAACAATAGCCTTGTGAGGCTGCACTTGCAATCCACTGTAGTCTTCCACCTAAAGGAACATTGCAACCAGGAGTCATATTTACTAAACAGCAAAAAACAAATTATATACATACAGAGAGCTATACAGAGAATTACCATCTTGCTTGCCATAGTAATATGTTTGGTGTTAATCCCAGTGTACAAACCTCCTAACACATGCTCTCCGCGGCATTTTATGGCCATTACAACCTGCATAAATTGTCACGAACAAGAGTTTAAGGACAAAATAATAATTGGGTATGAAAAATATAGCCAAGAGAACAATCCAAAGGCACAAAAACAGGCAGTCATTCAGTTCACCTAGTGAGTTGAATATTTCAGGATTTTGGAGACAGAATGGGATCATGCCCTTCCGACTTAACTTGCCTACTGACTGGGAGAATTGCAGTAACTGCAGACATTATCTCTGTTCTGTGCCATCACATTCTGCGCAAAATTCAAAACATACCTCCTCCAGTGAAGCATTTCCAGCTCTCTCTCCAATGCCATTGATTGTCACTTCTACTTGTCGTGCACCCGAAAATGCCCCCTGAAATTATCAGTTGAGATTTTAATGTAGTTGGGTTGTACCCAAAAAATGCTTCAAAATAAAAAAGAGAAAGGAGTGACATACTGCCAACGTGTTAGCAGTAGAAAGTCCAAGATCATTTTGGCAGTGTGTAGAAATGATGACATTTTCAATTCCTGGTGTGTTGGCTTTTATGTCAGCAATTAGTTGTCCAAATTCACTAGGCAAGTTAATTCCAACAGTATCTGGTATGTTAAGAGTCGTTGCTCCAGCTTTGATCACTTCTTCCAAAATTTGATACAAAAATTCCCTGTCAGACCTGAAGGAGAATAACAAAGCTTAAAGCACCAAACCGAGAACCAAAAAGCATGAATAGCCAAAGCAGGGGAAACCTTTGGCAATTAGACAAGAGAGTTGGCGATGATGAGGAGACATGCAGGTATAGCACCATTGACAGGATTACATTTTCATGCAGATTATTCCATCCATAGCCTTTGCTTCAGATAGCTTCAAACTAAGGATCATCAAATTCATATGCCTTATAGAGGGGAAAAACTAAAATTCCCTACATATTCTCCCCTTTGCAACCTCAATCAAACTAAATGATACTATAATCGAACACATTAATTGACATGCCCAGGTTTCTACCACAAACAGAAGTAGAAAACACAAGGTTCTGCTACGAGATTGTTGAATTCAAAAAGAGAATGGAAAAGTAGAAGCTTGAAGGGTTGCCTCTCCAAGCAAACAGGAGCAAGGCTTCACTTGAGAACCCACTAAAGGAAGCTAAAAAGACAGTAAGCTCAGTGCGCATCATTACTGATACTAATCTGCTGCTATGCTACACAAAGTAGCAAACTTTTTCAGTCTTAATTTCTCCCTGATCATTCTTGACCTATAGCCAACAAAAATGTCCAGTAACTGTTATCTATCTTCATTCACTCTACTTCCGTAACGACCCTCTAACTCCATTGAGCCACCAATTTAGGACAGAACTCATATTTCAATCGTTATGACATCCCCTCGCATCCAAATCAGCTTATGGGACTAAAGACCACTAATTATCTTCACCAGCAAAATTCAATTCATCTATAGTTTACCAAGGACAAATCAACGAAACAAGTTCAAACACTTCTCTCCAAAATTCCCAGTTTCCATCGCCACCTATAGCTGCTAGTTCAACAGCCTAAACAGAGAAATGCAAATTGGATCGAGAGAGAAATAGGAAGACTCAAACCTGCCAGCATCCTCGGGGCTAAACTCCACATCTTCACAGCCCAAACTCCTCGCGAAGGTCACCATACTCCTGGCAATCTCCACCACCTCCTCTTTGCTCTTCCTCAACTTATACTCCATATGAATCGGACTAGTCGCTATAAACGTATGAATCCTGGGCCGCTTGGCGTACTTCACCGCATCCCACGCCGTCCGAATATCCTTCTCGTTACACCTCGATAGCCCACAGATCACCGGCACGTAACCATCCTCATCCACCGCATTGCCAATCTCCTCGGCAATAGCCTTGACTGCCTCGAAATCGTCCTTGGAAGCCGCAGGAAACCCTGCCTCAATCACATCCACCCCGAGCTTCGCCAGCTGGCGGGCGATGTCGAGCTTCTGCTTCGACGTCATGGTCGCCCCGGGGGACTGCTCGCCGTCGCGGAGCGTGGTGTCGAACACGCGGACATAGTGAGGATCGGAGATGCGGTTGGGGATGTATTCCGGGCGGCGGCTAGGAGTCGCGGAGCACGAAATCGAGGTTTTGAAATTCTTGCGGAGGAAAGAGGGAGCGGCGGTGGAGGCTGCAGAGGAGGGGAAATGGCGGGAAGGGGAAAAGCGGAAGTGGATGAAGGATTGGGGGAAAGGCTTGGCCTTTGGATTAGCGGCGGAGAGCTGGGAGACGGAGAATCTCGGTGACGGAGAAACGGCGGCCATCGAGCAGGCGGCGGAGATTAAAACCCTAGATTGGGATTTGGGAAGAGAAAGGAAGCAAAATTAATAGTACAGTGGTGTTTCTGGTAAGAACGGAAGGAGAGGGTTTAAAGTGGCGGGTATCCCAGTTGCAGAAAGTGGGGCCCATTGCCGAGCTGGCATTCCGATCTGGAGTAAATGCTGGTACACGTGGCGAACCAATCGAAACAAGAGGGTGACCCGGTTTGTGTAAATACGACCCGATGTCGTGGCAACATCGCAGCCCTCGATCTGATCTCTGCTTCCGCCCAGAATAATCCTTGGCGTCTCCCTCGTTACCTTCTCTAGTTCTCTTCTCCTCCCTCACAAGCTCCGTAAGCTGGAGCAGTTATTTTTCCCTTCCGATCGCTCATCAGACCATAGAACGACTGTTAAAGCCCTCAAAGGTTCGATCTTTACACTCTTAAAAGTATTGTGGGATTTTCGCTTTAAGTCAGATTCTGGTTTGTCTGAATATGGCGGTGATGAGCATCTCCATCATAGTGTTTCTCTCGAGGTTTTAAAATTGGGATGAACTGTGATCGCGATTTCATTGTGTTGTTGAATTGAGAATCTTTATAGCTCATATCGAGTTATCGTTTCGCTTGCTGAACAGATGGGGGAGAGTTGCATAGCTGAGCTAGCCTACAAAGGCTCCATCTCTGAAGCAATTCTCGAAGCCAAAGCCCAGAAGAAGCTCTTTGTTGTTTATATTTCAGGTAGAAGATTGGTTCTGAAGTGATTTAATTGGGTTGTTCTTAGGACTTTGTTTTGGTTTGCTTTAGAGGGTTCATTACATCAATTTGAGATTTGATGAACTGAAAAGGGTAAGTGGCAAGTGGCTGACTTTCAATTTTCATCAACAACAATAACACAAGGACTTCGTCATTGCCCGTAATTCAGAATCGTTAGAGATCAAAGCGCTGTCTTTTGTTACGCGATGTTTTATCTTGGTTCAGTAGATATTATTGTGATAGGAAAAGATACAATTTTTCAAGTTGCTACTACTTAGTTGCAGCTTAGTAAGTGTAAGGTGGGGCTAGATTCTGGTGTCTTGTTAGCTCCAATAGGTTTGGTAGCCAAATGGGTTGTGTCACTATCTTAGTTTTTTGCTCACTATTGCTTCTCCTTATTCGCTTGCTCTGCAGGCAAGGATCCAGTGTCAGTGGAATTGGAAAAATCGATTTGGACTGACTCAAAGGTATCGTCATTCTTATGTGACTTTGCCTGGAAGTTACTTCGTTTTTGTAATTGTGTAGAGTTTTTTGCTTTCACTGGCCCTACATAGTTGAAGTGCTTTTTACTTTTATTTGTGGCATGCAGGTGGCAGATACATTGTCGAAGTACTGTGTTTTGTTGCATGTTCTTGAGGGAAGTAATGATGCAGTGAACTTCTCTGCAATTTGTATCCTTTTTTGAAGAAGTTTTACTTTTTGTCACAAAAGCACCCTTCTTTATTATTCCCCTGGATTCTTTTTATATGTAAATCAAGAAAGTATCCTTGCATCAACTTGTTGTAGTTCCACAAAAATCTGTTCCTGCTATAGCAGTTATAGGATTCAACGGCATCCAACTCTGGCAAAGTGGTATGTATTCAATCACTAATGTTAAGCTAGACAAGCATGTGACTTGCATATTCTTAAAGTAATTGGAAGTGACTTTATCTTGAAACCATTCCAGATGGATGCGTTAGTGCTGAAGTTCTGGTTTCCAGTTTAGAGAAGGCATATCTGAGTCTACATATCCAGGTTACAAAAGTAGCATGTCTGTCTATGTAACTAGTCTCTTTCGTTTGTCAATGTTTGTTTTTTCTTTATTTAACTGGATGTTTCTGGTGATGAACTGCAGGAAACAACTGCAAGTGTCTTCACCGCTGCACTTACTAATACGAAATCTGTACCAACTACTCCTGGATCATCTGACATTGTATCAGGTGACCTTGAAAGTTCTTCAGATACTGTTTTGTCATCTCCAGCAGACAAAAAAGTGCAATCCTCTGAGGTTGAACAGCCTAGTGCTTCTGGGACAAAAGACGACAACCAATTTAATGAACATAAATCTAAGGTTTTATCACATCTATGCCTCCTTTCTTTGTATATTTCAAGAGTTTGTAAATGTCCTGAAGTATTCTTTCCATCAACAGGATGATGAAAATGCATCTTCAGAGCCATGCAATGTCAATAAGTCTAAGAGAGCTAAGGATGAACAGTCCCACTCTCGACCACTCAGCAAAAATGCTGACCCCCCATCTAATCCTTCTGCGGCAAACTTGGAAACATTCGATAATGTTGGTGCAGAAAAGATTCATGTTATCCAAGAAGTCAGCATTGATAATGCTTCTGACAGGCCACCTTCGATTAATCCCCTTAAGAAGGATGCACAAGACAAAAAGTCTGCACAAGACAAAAAGTCTGCACCTTTGAATGAAAAGGAGATTGATGCCATTGACAAAGGTTCCAAAATTAACGCATCAAACGATGTGTATCTAAACATCAAGTTGCTTAATGGAACTAGCATACAAGAGAAGTTCTTGGTGTCAAATACACTGAGAATGGTCAAAGAATACGTGGATAGCAACCAAGAGAATGACAATGCTTCATACGATCTTGCCATCCCATATCCTCGGAAGATATTTGGTGAACAAGGTACGGATTCCAACTTTCTGACTAAATAACAGACATGCATGGTGTGTTTGGTTTGAAGTATTTGTAAATTGAGTTATTTGTCTCGATTGTAAGTCCACTTAACTCTACTTTTTTCCCCCACACCTTTGGCAGATCTAGGCAGATCTTTATCAGAGTTGGGTTTACTTAACAGACAAGCACTGATAGTGGTTCCTCATCAGAAAGGCGCGAGTTACTTTCAAGGAGACTCTTCTTCTTCCCCTGCACAGAGTACAGCTGACACCAGTTCATCAATTGCAAGTCCTGGAGGATATTTCGGGTACATTAGGAAGGTCTTCTCTTTCATCAATCCTCTATCCTATGTCGGAGGATCTAGTTCAGCAACATCTGGGCAAGCTGGAAGCAGCATGTGGCAATACAGTAAGTCTCCTTTCTATACCTTAAACTATCGTCAGTAGAGGTCTGAGGCATTGCTATTGCGATATGAATTTGTTTCATGTTTCAATTGGTACAACAAATGCATGTACTTGATCTAAATGTGTATAAATTGAACAACTGAAGTTATTTCACTTTTTACATGGTCTCGGAAAGGACTTACCATGCTCTAACTTCAACTCACTTGCGCGTTTTTAGGTCCAAACCAGTCACTCCCAAATAGCTCGGGAAGACCAGGGCCAGCTGGTGCCAACCCTCCCGATCAGCGCAATTCGGCAGCTACTGCAACCGATGTCAGGAGCAGGCGATTAGCAATGTTCGGGTCTGGAAGCAATGTTCACACACTCAGACGGGATGAAGATGATGACCGTCCAAATGGCAGGAATGCCTTCTGGAATGGAAACTCGACACAATTTGGTGGTGGTGATAGTAATAATGATGGGAGGCCATAATGTGATGCAGGAAGGGTTCACATCTTCGTCGTCTGTCCTCTTTTGCCATATATTTCTCTGAAATGGATCGCGGATTGGTTACCTTTAAATATAGCAAGGAGAGCATAGCAAGGAGTGAATATACAGATTCTCGGCCCGAAGCTAGATTCGTTGACTTTAAATATAGCAAGGAGAGCATAGCAAGGAGTGAATATACAGATTCTCGGCCCGAAGCTAGATTCGTTGACTTTAGGAGTTAAGTTATGATGGTGTATATCTGTTTCCTTCTTCATTTCTGAATGTTGAATTGTTAGTATTTAGTTTATATGAACTCTTTTAGGAGTCAGGTGAGGAATAATGTAACCATATTCGGTAGTGCCAATCTTTCCAAAAGAAGCTGCTGCTAACATAAGTCTCCCAGATTTAGGAAACCAACTGTGTATCGTCTCAAATTGCTGTAATTTATGCAGACAAAGATGAAAAATGGTGCTTATTAATAATATATATATATATGAACTTACTTTACATGAGCTATGCAGATGATTGATATATCAAGGTCTGGTCATCAGCATTAGCCTCAAAATTACAGCAACTACAACAACCGCAGCCACAAAAAAGGAACTAGGCCGAGTCAATCATTTTGGCATTGCCTTTGTCTGTCCTGTGTTAAAACAGACATGCAAACCAAATTCAAATCCGTTACTTATGCCGCCAAAGTTCAATGTGGACATGCATCATCACGCTGCTAATGGCTCCTTCACCAGCCACCATTTCAACATAGAACGAATCATGCATCATCAGGTTGCTAACTAGTCCTTGGCCTACCACCATCTCAACAATGAAAAATCATGTCGGGAGCACAGTCACCTGAAACTCCTTTCGTCCAGACTATACCACCATGTAGGCTGGGCTCAGACGGGTGTACCTTCTTTACATACAACTTGTTTTGCCGTCGGACTTGGAAGACTCGGCATAGATGCTTGGCAAGGTCATCAAAGGTATTAGTGGTCACCATGATGTCTCAACCTGATAGAGGCAGCAGATCACATTAAAACAGGGAGAAGAACAAGCACTAAGCAATCCATCTGAAAGGATGCCTGGTGTTGTAATATGCAGCTTAAGTAGAAGTGGAATAGAGACTTACTGTTACTGGAACCATGAAACCAAGTTTCTAAAATCCATCTCTGCCATTTCTTTTGACTCTCAAATCTCTGATGCCATATTGGAGAAAAAGGGTCTCCAGAACCATTTGGACGATAGGGTATTTTATACACCAGGAGTGATTCGCTTCCACAACAGGCTCTTTCAGGCTTTCGTTTGCTTGCTCTTCTATCATCTTGCACCCTCTGAGTGATAGACATTACTGCCTGCCAATGACACATGCATTCATAAGAGGGAGAAACTGGAAAGCTACACTATCTTAAAGTAGCCTTCACATACCACCTAAGTGAGCTCAGCAGGCAGCAGGCTTAACAACCCTGATCATGAAACCGTTCTTGATGATAGTTTTTCCCAATAAGTTCTGTGTGTTACTTCACAGAAGTCGACTATCAACCAGTGGTCTGCCTACATTGAACTTCCGGTGCTAGCGCACCAGTTTGCTTCTTCACATAGTACGCATTGAATCTTACTGCTTCAATCTTCCAAAGATGGTTCACTTCGAAGAGGAGGAGGAATCCAACCTCCTTCAATGGCAGTAAGTCCACCCTGCATATCAGTTTAGGAAAATTATTTCAACTCTCAAGGGAAGTTTCTTTTGGAAAGAGCATACCATTTGCCATTTCTATAGAAGAACAATGCAAACAGAAGCACATAAAAACAAAAAAGGCCCCAAAAGACCTCTGTAGACCGATTTCCATGTAAACCCTCAATCTACATATTGAAATAAGGAACATTAAAATCAGGAAGTCACAGAAGCATACCTTCTGGCAAATGCCATCTAACAACTGCAATGTTTCATCCCACTTGTTTAATCTCAGAAGACACTTGATAAGGTGAACAAATGTGTCTAGCTGCGGAACAATACCTTTCCCTATCATGTCTGCATACAACTCGTAAGCCATATCAACCTTATTTGCAAGTGCAAGGCTCTCAATCAAAGAAATATACATGCTCCGGTTAGCATCTGATGATGACAAAATAGACGAGACTTCTTTGTACAATTCTAGAGCTATCTCTAGCTTTCCAGCCTTAGCAAAATTGTCTATCAGAACCCTGTAAATAGGGGAAACTGGCACGGATTCCTTCTCACCCAGCTCATCCAACAGCCCCAGAGAAGCAACAAATTCTCTACTGAAACCTTCGACCACTTTACAATATCCTGCTACATGCCTTGGCCAGTGGGTCTCTTTCATCTCTTGCAGAAGCTTAAGAGCCTCATCCAAACGACCAGCTGCACAACAATGATTTATCAAGACCTTGTAAGTGACAAAATTCGGAGCACAGCCCTTGGAAGTCATCTTTTGCAATAACAAAAGGCATTTATCAACTCTTCCCAATTTCCCAAAGCCATCAATCATTGCTGTATAGGTCACAACATTTGGAAAACACTCCTTTTCTTCCATCATGACCATAAGTTTATATGCTTCGTCAGTCTTTCCAACTTTGCACAGACCATCGATCATCTCAGTATAGATAACAACATTAGGGGCACAAGAATTCTCGAGCATTTTGGACAATACTTTCAAGGCAAGATCTAATCTTTTATCTTTAAACAACCTGTCTATCAACGAGCTGTATGTATATACATTTGCATTGTAACCATGCTCGATCATCATGGTAAACACTTCTTGTGCTTCATCTAGATTGCCAACCTTACAACATCCATCTATAAGGGCATCAAATATTATATGATTGGGCTGAAAACCTTTTGCCAACATTGCTTCTAGCAAGTCACGTGCCTCTTTGACCTTGTGAGCTTTGCACAGGCCATCGACCAGAGCTCCATATGTGAACAGATTGGGTTCCTCGGAATCTGTTCTATCAACCCTAAAATATAAGTCTATTTCTGAATTTTCTGCCTTATCCTTCTTCATTCTTGCATATATCTGGCAAGCCTTTTCAATGTCACCTGCTTTACAATGCCCATCGATTAAGGCTGTATATGTAACAACATTAGGAACTGAACCCTTAGACAGCATTACCTCGAAAACTTCATTGGCAGTGGAGACCTTCCTTGCTTTAAGGTAAGCGTGAATAAGAGCTGTGTAAGTTACTACATTAGGGGCACAACCATCTTTCTCCATTTCATTGAGCCACCTGTGAGCCTGCTCCAGTAGACCAGCCTTACAGAAACTATCAATCAATGTCGTATAAGTATAAACATCCGGTGGGACACCATCTCTTTTCATTTGTTGAAACAATAGGAAAGCCTTTTCTACTTTGTTTGCATTACAAAGATAAGTAATGACATTGGAGTACGTACTGGTATCAGGAATAAACCCCTTGCTCATCATTTGGCTAATGACACAATACGCCTCCTCGAATTTCCCAGCATAGCAAAGACACAATGCAAGATTGCTAACATTAACCTTATTCAGTACAACCCCTGTATCAAGCATTTCCTTGTACGCCTTCTCAGCCAACTCTAGTACACTCATATCAGGCATCTCCTGATTACCACAAATACTGCCAATGAAAATGTTGTAAACTACATACCCCGGTTGGCACCCACATTTTGGCATCTTCTTAAGAAGCTTATACGCATAAGCATAATCTCCAGACTTGCAATAAGCATGAACCAAAGAGTTAAAAATGGCTGGACTCGGATAACAACCTTCTGTGATCATCATGCTGATAATTCTCTTACACCTACCGAGCTGCTTCTTCTTCAAGCACCCACATAGCAAAATCCTGAAGGTCAATACATTTGGAATACAAGAATACACACGCATCCTGGTTAAGAAATCCATGGCTACTTCAAATTGTGATGCTTCGCACAGTCCAGATATCATGTTGGTGAACAGCACAGTATCAGGTTTGAACTCCTGGTCCTCGATCAACTTCAAGGCCTCTCTCCACTTCCCAGCTTTACAACGAGAATGCGCAAAACAGCCTAAAGTATAACCATCCATGGTGTACCCTAAACCCGACATTTCCCGATGAACCAGCGAAGCAGTATCTAACCGTTCTGCTTTCAGAAACACTTGAACCAAAGCATTATAAGTGGATCTTGATGGCTTGTAGCCATGATCCTTAAGTCTACCTAGTTCCTCCAAAGCAGCATTCCACAAACCGTTTCGACAACACTTGCGAATCAACACGTTAAGCAATTTTCCAAGTACTTCCCTATCATCATTTCTAATCTCCTGCAAGAATTGCTCAGGTATTCTACCATCAGTACTAGTATGGTTGTTCCTCTGCAGCAACTCTAGCAACGCATTGTACACAGCTAAACTATGCGAATACCCAATTTGCCGACCTGCCCATATGAAGAATCTAACGCCCAATTCAGGACTTTTGACCAAATTCAAAACCTCAATAACCAGAGTTTCGCTTAACTTGTCCCTATGCTGCCTAAGCAACTTCTGGGTTTCTCTCCCAAACTGGTCATTACAAGTCGAGATTGCATCAACAACTAGAAATGCCTCGTCTGAATACTTACCTGCTGGCCCCGACCGCTGCCATCCAGCAGAATCAGGGTTCAACAAAGAATCCCGTAAAAGAGCGAATTCTTCGCTTGAAATCAACTCCGCCGGCCGCGAACTCTCCAGCAAAAAAGGGTCCTCTGGGTCGACCAAACCTTCTAGAGTGTCGGAGGGAGAAGTGGAGAGCAATCTGGGGGCGAGAATCGGAGGAGAAGGGGAGAAGGGAGTAGCAATTGAGGAATGAGGGATTTGAAAGGGAACGGCACGAGACAGAAGGGTCTTAGCGACCCATCTTCTCATTGCTCTCTCTCTGAATAACTGTTTGTAGGAAAAAGGTCGAGACTTGGGAGTGTTCCAATGGCGGCAGGGGGGATTAGAAAGGGTTTAAGGGAAACACTTCAATATCCTGCCTTTGTGTCTTTTACTATGGATTCACATCATTCGAGTCAGGCCTGGAAGGATGGAACTTTGGGTCATCGGAATGATGAATAAAGGCAGAAACTTTCAGTTCCCACTAATTCCATTCTGCCCCAGCAAAAATGCCCCGAAACAGAAGAGTCCGGACTCCTCCGCTTCAGACGCCGGCGAATACAAGACGATCCCGGCGGTGGGTAAAGGGCGGCTACTATATGCGAGGGGTTTTAGCCTTTTAGGGGGCTACTGGTCCTTAAAGTTCAAACTGGCACGCCCATTTTCCCTAGTTCAGTACTAAGTACCTATACTATCTGGTTTTAACAAATGCATCCATATATTGTCATTTGTTTTTTTTTTCATAGATAGGATACGTTTTAGATATTACAGGACACTAGACAACCAAACGTGACAGTCGACAACTAGTCGAACTGTCGATGAAAGGGCATTAGAACTAGGTAGAGAAGTTAAATACAAATTTCATACAAATGTGACATATGGGTTATCAATAAAGTACATGCTAAGTATGATTGACTATAATACTCAATGAATCTAAATGAAATGGTTAAACTGTGATTAGAAGAACATGCAAATATCCTAATAATGGATTAACTAGTTGACATTAACTATATGAAGACTTACTAACATAGTACATTAGCTAAAATTCTCACTAATCATTTTCATATGAAGTCTAATTTTTGTCCAATGAGATAGATCACTCCCCCACGTTACTCACAATTTAGCTCCTCCAAATGTTGCCAAAGATTATGATTCCTTTCTGCCGCTGGACTCGCCAACAACAACAAATTCGGCCTCATCAATTATGAATTTATGATTCCCTTTACTTAGAAGTGTTTGCAATTATTGCTAAATTCACCTCATTTTGTTCCTTTCCGTAATCGTGTTGGAGACTTGGAACAAAAAAGAGCGAACAACCCAAAAATTCCGAACGGAAGCACTCACTCCGCCGTTGGAATTGCCTTTGTCAAAAAGCCTTCCTCTGCTTTTTCCACTTTCTCCGCAAAATTCTACGGCTGGCGACAAATTCCAGCACTGTTCTATTGATGGGCTTCGGGAACTTCCAAAGCAACTCTCTTTCTCAGTCTCACTATCACCAGTCAATCGCCACCAAACTTCAATTCTCAGGAAGAAAGCAATAGAGGGAAGTGGTGGGTTTGCCCTGTTCCCGCAATTCTCTGACCTCTCCCGCAGGAAGGGAAGATAAAGCTGAAATTTTGGGACTTGGGGTTGCTTGATTCCTCAACAGGGTTGCTGTACTTCTTTCGGTTTCTTCTGGGTTTGGAGTAGGAAGGGAGGAGGGAAGAAGGATGTCGAAATTGAAGGAGTTCTGTACCAAAAAAACGTTGTTGGGTCTTGGGTTGGGGCAGTTTCTCTCGCTGCTGATTACTTCTACTGGTTTCGCTTCCTCTGAACTTGCCAGAAAAGGTTCACTCAGTTAGCCCGTGTTTAGCTTAAGTTTTGGTTTCCATAGTGTATCTTTTCCTGTTGACTGAACTCTTTTGGTGTTTGAAGCTTGTATACTTTTTTTTTATCCATAATTCCATATCATATGTTGGTTTCTGGTTTGTCTCTTCTTATCTGTTATTTCTTCCACTTGTTCCTCTTGTTTGTTTTTACTATATGATCAAAGCAAAGTGCTCAAGTTTCTGTCTTTTTGTATAATTGCAGTTGATGTAGTGTTCATGTCACCATTTCTTACCATTTTCTGGCCTTTGCTTATTTTGCAGGGATCAATGCTCCAACTTCTCAATCATTTTTAAATTATGTATTATTAGCTATTGTTTATGGTGGTATTATGCTATACCGGAGAGAAAAACTTAAGGTGATTTGGTTTCATGGTCTTAACTGTGTCTTTTTCTTTTTTCTCCCATGGATTTGATGGAGCTTGAGTAGGGGGAACTAGATCAATTAGTTGATGTTGAATGATAGAGATGAATGGAGTAATGGTTAGTTCATTATCGAAATCCGCATTGTTAGGATAAGAATGTGGTGAAGTAGTGAGTTGCTGTTTTAAGTGAATGTACGAGTCCTCATTGATAAAACTGCTACTTCAATAAGAAGATGGAAAGTAAGTGCTGAGTGTAGCTCAAAGTCTTAAACTTGGCAGCTAATATACCTTCTTTGGGACTTTGTGCAGGCAAAATGGTATTACTATCTGATTCTCGGATTGATAGATGTGGAGGCCAATTTTCTTGGTAAGTATCTCATGTTGCTAGACTTTACCGCTAATTTTCTTGACCATGGTAGTATGGACATGGTGTCTTTTCTCAAGCTTTAAAGTTTCATCCTGTAAATATCTGTACCTTTTGGCATTAAGCTATTCAGACCATAAAGTATATGTATAGTTGACCAGATGCTATTTGAAACTCTTGGTGTTTTAAATATTGGGTTTCCTTCGCTGCAATGTGGAAGCTCTGAAGCTTAGATTTTGGTTTCATCACAACTCAACAACTCTTCACTGTTTGTGCAGTGGTGAAGGCCTATCAGTACACCTCCCTTACAAGTGTCATGTTGCTGGATTGTTGGTCAATCCCATCTGTTATGATTCTCACATGGATTTTTCTGAAGACGAAGTACAGATTCAAGAAGATAACTGGAGTAGTAGTCTGTGTTGCTGGCCTTGTGGCGGTTGTTTTTTCAGATGTTCATTCTGGTGATTGGTCAGGTAAGCTCAGCCATTCTGTTTTTAACTGGCTTAGACTTTGATTTATGTGGTTACACTTTCATGGCCTCAAGCATTCTTGTCAGATTTAATTATAAAATATGAGTTTCGAAAGTTTATCCTTTCTTTTGTCACTGAAAGTGTAATTATTTATTAGTTAAGAAAACTCTAAGATATCCCTTTTCTTACAGGAGGAAGCAAACCTCTTCTAGGAGATGGTCTGGTCATTGCTGGGGCAACGCTCTATGCTGTCAGTAATGTCAGTGAGGTAAGCTCATTTTCCTGTTCTCCTGTGTAGTAAACTAGCTAATCAATTATTAAGACTATTGACTACTATGCTGGTGAAGCATGCTTCTTTTTCCCCATTTCCCAAGTTTATTGTGGAGATTCAATATTTTTTAGTTCTCGTGTTATATTCTTTTATCTTCCTTGCCTTATTCTGACTGACGATACTCAATTCTTGATCATGAGAAGCTTTTTCCCCTTCATGCCTGCTATTTATCTGAATCCATATTTTATTTCCTTATGCAGGAGTTCCTTGTCAAGAATGCTGACAGAGTTGAACTCATGGCACTGCTTGGTTTTTTTGGTGCCATTATCAGTGCTGTCCAAATGTATCCTTAACTAAATCTTGGGTCCATTCCTAAATGAATAATACTCTTTTAGTGCGGCTATTGTGTCCACTTTTTATTGTTAGTCCTTAATGATTTCTACAGAGCCATTCTGGAGCGTACTGAGTTGAAATCTATTCATTGGTCAGCTGGCGCAGTAAGTGTTTTATACATTCTGTAAATGCTAGTTAAACATCTAGCCATCACTCTGGCAAAGTTTGAAGTTACCGAATGCAGCTGAATTGCCTTTTATATCAACTTCATTGGTTAGAGTCATCCTGAGGTCTTTATCATAACAAATGTAGTTAAGTATTCTCATTTAGTAAAAGTAAATTTAAACATAGAGCTTTTTAGTGCTTAGAAGGAAGGAAGTATCACCATGTTTTCCTTAGTAAAGAATTTACTTTGTTGAGCATGGGACTTCCACTGCTCTTCCTTTCTGAAATTAAATTTCATCTAATGTGCTTACTGAAATTTGGTTTCAGGCTTTTCCATTCTTTGGGTTTGCGTTGGCGATGTTCCTGTTCTACTCATTCGTTCCTGTTTTGCTCAAGGTATTGTTTTGAAGTTGCATATACATTCTTCTTATATAGTAAAACCATAGCTCTTTCCTAAGAACGAAGTGCTAAATATACTCAAGTAAAGGGTACCAGTAGGTATAAGGTCAATGGTTTTTATGCTTGCTTTCCATCAAACTGAAGAACAACTGTTCAACTTATGGCATTCACTTGTGTACCCTCTGTAAAAACAGACCGCTCTTGTTGCTTGTTGCAACATCTTTAAGATAGTGGGAAGATTAGTTCTTCTGGTACCCTAAGGAAAAAACACACTATTAGGCGTCCTTTGTTGAAATGCTTTCGTGTTTACATATTATGCAATGCTATATTATATGCAGATGACAGGTTCTACCATGCTCAACCTGTCTTTGCTGTCGTCGGACATGTGGGCTGTCTTGATTCGCATCTTTGCATACCATCAGAAGGTTCTCTCACCAGCCAATATGCCCAAACTGATGTTTAATCCAATTAGGAAATTTTGAGTTCAAACCCTTGATTTGCCATTTCTGTTCAGGTTGACTGGATCTACTTCATCGCATTTGGTGCCGTTGTAGTTGGGTTGGTCATTTACTCTGGGTACGTAACTTTACAAACTTGACACCTGTTGATGATGGGTTAATAACAGTTTGGTAACTGAAAACTTGTCTATATGTGTCACATTGGACACTGAACTCGTGATTGTATTGGCACGAGTTTGGTGTTATAGTTGTGCAATAATGAGCTCAATGCCCCTATGTGATGCATACAAGCGAGTTTGGTTGGTATTTTAACCCCATTTGCACTGCAGACATGTTTGTTACAAATTCGGGCTCATCTGCTTGTTCTTTGCAGAGGTGCGGCAGACGAGGATCGATCTGCAGACGTAGCAGACGAAAACGCTGAAAGAAGCAAACACGACGAGGAAGCTGGAGCTATTGCGAACCGCAGTAGGGGATTACTGGCTGGGAGTAGTTCAAAATCAGGGTAGGATAGTGCCTCTCTGGGTAGGGAAGGGAAAGAATCCAAACCAAGATGTATTTGGAAAGAAATTCTGAAAATTTTGAAGGCATGGTCTTGGAAACTGAACAGAAGCCAATTTTAGTACTCCTAATTGATGTCAGGTTAAGAAAAAGGAGGACCAGAATAATCATAACATCCGTAAGGAGCATGGGATGGCAATAGAAACTTTAGAGTCCTCCTGGTTACTATTGTTATCATTATTGTTAATTGTATAGGTTGATCCGTCCAGAAATTGTTGCTTCAGAAATGGCAAAATGGAAACTTGAAAACAGAGTTTGCTTTCTGTGCTGCTTTTAGCTCTCAATTAGACTCTCGTATCCACATCACTTTCGGGGTTCTATGGCGCATGTGTCTTTTCAAGTTTCATGAATCACGGAATCGTTGCTTCAGAAATGGAAACTTGAAACAGCAGTTTTGTTTTGTGTGCAGCAGTATATTATTAGAAGGCTCAAAACAAGTCTTACAAGCAAACCTTCATTATTCAGTGCAATATACAACAAGTCGGCCCAGGTGCTTTCTCTTGAGCTCAAGTTTCTTGATCAGATCTAACACAAATGGTTACTAGATCAAACACGAATCAACCCACAATAAGAAATGATCCTCATCAATACAAGCAGGCCACCACGAAAAGAACTAGGAGTCAGGGGTAAGTCAGATGCGAGCAAGATCCTTCCCTAGGTTCTTTCCTGGTAAGGCCACAGAAGCATTTATGTAGCTCAGTCATTTCTTATTGGTCATGGAGGTTCTGAGCACAGCAGAGAGATATCAGTGTGATCTCGAGTCCCTTATCCTGTCCCCTTGATTTCGTTTCTTCCTACGAGACCGTGGGAATAATAGTTGGTGAATCTGTTTTTCTGCAGCAACTTCTGATCTAGCCTGCAAATCAAAGCACGACTAGAACCATCAGCAGAGTAGCAGCAGACATATTCATGCGGCGTTATGATCATAACTTTCAAGTCCGAATTCACATGGATTATAGCACATTGCATATTGTTGCCATATATTTCCTTTCGGCACCATTATCTATATTCAGTAAACTGAACATAGCAGCATACATAAACTTACGTGGACTTTGAAGGGAAAACGATGAGTTCGTACTTCCACTCCGGAGGAAATTCTAACATCCAAGCCAAGGCTATCAACTCCAATCAAATGCGCCTCCTACACAAATTTGAAAAAAAATACTTGCATATTTCATAAAAGTAGAAGCAAGAAGTAAAAATAAGAATAAACGTATCAGGTGCATGAAATTGAAAGGATCTCACTTGGGAGAAAAATTCCCAGGGATGTTGCAATCAGGAAATAAAAATAGGGTATCTGAAGCAAGTGCACTCGAACACCCATTCAGTAAAGTGTCGATGATAGTTCTCACGCTTAGATACATGGGACGACGTATCCATTCAGGCACTTCCATAGATTCCAAATCATAACATACTTGTTTGACTCCAGCAGGCAAACTAAATTACCTCGCTATCAATGCCTTTTTTCTTGCAAAGAGCTTTAAGAGCAGAATCAACGTCAATTCCTCTATCATCGAGGCGTTCTAGGATTGTTGGCACACAGTTTAGAAGGACATCAGCCTCGGCATTTTGAAATTCTGAAAATCCTATTGGTTTCTGCAATGTTGATAAGAAACCAGCACTAACATATTACTCCATCATAAAAAATAAGAGAAGTCCATTTCCAAGCTCCACTAATTGCAAGCTATTAAGACAGTTCTGACATTCTAGATAAATGTCCTACAAATCTGGCTTTGGTTACATTGACGTGCATACCTGAGTACCATATACTGAAAATAGATCTATACTGATGATCTCGAACCGATAAATAGTTGCGGATCTAAACACGTCCTTTTTGGAGCTTAAATTCGGAATCTCCCCATCTAAGAAAACAAAAAGCACAAACATTCTGAAAAAGGTTGTACAGGTTAAATAACCATCATCTGGCAATTCAAACAAGCAACTCAATGCAAAGAGTGTTCTGTTTTCAGATGAAACCGAGTCAATTTGAAGAATCAGCACTCCTAAGGTAAAGCCAATTGTACTATTATGCTGTAAATATACATGACTTGAATTTAATACCTCTGGAGTCTGAATTATAGCCATCGCTATCTTCAGAACAACATACTGATCTGTAGTATGCTTCCTCATCATCAAAAGCAGGTCTGAGGCACCCAACAATAGAAACACCATTTGATGGATAGCCCATTTTTATACCATGCTCGGTATCAATAGCCTAATAGAAAAAGAACACCCACATCAATTCTACGAGCCAAAAGCTTAAAAAATTATGCAGTTCTCCAATGGAAGGTTGAATTGTAACAGCCGGTGCAGATACCATATTTTGGTACATTCCACGTACATAAAACCATGTTTTTTTTTATCACCTTTGATAAGCACTTGGCAAAATGAATTGGATGAACCCAAGTACAAGTGTCTGGCATCCCCCAGTCAACTGGAACATCAGAGGCTTTGTAATCCATGATCTGTTTCCAGTTCATTTGACCTCTCAGTATTCAGAACCCAAAATAAACTAATAAAGAAAACACAAATCAGTCTGCAAGCAAGAGAAGCAAGCTTTCACCGGAAAAAAGTCATTGTCAATGGGTATATCGTCTGCATCTCTGACACTGAATATGTCATATTCGCTCGCAACTCTTCTATTCTCATATATCGGGACGTCCATCCCAATAAAAGCATTCTATATGTTTCCCATGGAAAACCACACTACTGTTAGTTGATAGTGAGAAGTACCAATTTAGCAGCATATTACTAACTAGCGAAAATAAAATTATTCAAATCTTTCTAGGGGTTTTTTCATGTCTGGTGATGTTTTCTCCTGCTAAAGTAAGGGGTGAAAAGTTTTTATTTTACAGACATGTCTTATATAGGTCTGTTTGCGATTTACCTCTTTTTCATTTATACTAGAAATGAGAAATAGAAACTCTATAGGTATGTTTCAAATACACAAGCTCACCACAGGATTAATAGCTTGACGATCTCGCAAGACGTTCTTATCATCAAAAATCTCAAAATATATATCTGAAGGAAACAGAAGTTGGAGTAATTAAGATGACCATGTCAAACCTAGATGCAAGTAGAACTAAAAGAATGCAAAGTCTGACAAGTAACAGACCTCCATAATCATCAACAACATACTGTAACTCCGCCCATGTGATTTCTTCATGTGGTTCACGGTGTACTATTCCAGGAAAGACCACCAGAGCGCTGCTGTTAGCCTAGCAAAATAAACTCGTGAGTTTCTGCGCCATTCGATTTTCATGTTCACTGAAAGTTAATCATGCACAAACCTCGACAGTTGTTCTTGCAATCTCAGCTGGTGTCAACTGAGGTTCCGGTCTCCTTCTACCGACTATCACTTCTTCCAGAGGATGATAGCTTCTTGCACTCGTATAACTAGACGAGTCGGGAAATGGTGAATCAGAATAATTAGCAGCAACCGACACTTTCAAATGGCTCTGATCACGTCTTCTGCTTGACCAAGGGAATAATGATCCTGATCCAAAGATCGAACTTCCAGACCTGAAAGGAACTCTTTAATTAAATGATGCATGATATCTTTTTATCATCAAGGTGACAAATAAAACATAGCATCGCGTAATCATATGGACAATAAGAGCAGAAGTCGATCGGGTAACACTTGCTCCCAACAAGAAGATTCCATACCTTGAGCTGAGAACATCAGTACTATTGTCAATAGTGTTTTTCATCCAACCAGTTGTGATCCCATTTGGTGTTGAGCAGGAAGACCCATCAGCTTGACATAATTGACACTGGGAAGGACCTGAAGAAAAAAAACTGATGTCAAAGGAGCATCATGCAAGAAGGTACTCTTCTCTAGCATTCTTAACTCTTCACAGATAATATTCTAAGGATTCATACAATTTCACTAAGTAGAGTCTCCCAATCAGTTATGGAATCCAAAAGTGAAACTTCCAACTCAAAAGCCAGTCCCAGTTTTTCACTTCCACATTATTGCAGCAATTAGGACTAAATAACTCTCTTTCGACCACCTCATTAACATTTGAAATACCAAGCAGAGACCTTTTTACCCCAATTGAACCGATATGTTTCACCAGAGTATGCAAACAAACTCCACACTAAAGTCAATTTCTTGAACTGTATCCATACATCTACAACAACGAATCACTCCAGAGCATGCAAACAAAACCCCGAGTCGTCCAATCAAGATCACAACATTGCATCGCAGAAACACCCCAGAGACTGGAACAATAAACTGAAAAGACGAGAGCTTTGGTCTCGGGGGGAGTGGTGAGTACCGAAGGAGAAGGCAGCAAACGCAGCAGCAGCAGTACTCATAGCTGATGAAAAGTCCGAGGACATGGAAGAAAAAGCTCGAGACTTTTTCGAAGCTCTTACAGAAGAAAGGAGGCTGTGAAGGTGGGGAAGCTGTGGAGGTGAGGAGTTGTAACTAAGATGCGCAGAATATGACGAATTAGATGCTCTATACGTTTGTTTTTGGTTCCGACTTCGATCGAGCCATCAAAATCGACTTGTCAGAACAAAGTTGTTTTGTTTCATTTGGGTAGTGATCGAGCTTTTGGGGTTTTCTGGTCAGTGGGTAAGGCTGTTGGGCTAGAAAACAAAGACATATTTTACCAACCTCGCTCTCTCTCACATGGTGGAAGCTAGGGAGATGGAACTGCTCTGCCTCTGCAGCAGAGGGAAACTGTGCCCAATTTCTACTTTACCCTCGACGACTAATTTTACCTCTTAGTGACAGCGTGTTGATCAATTACAACAATGGTCACTAAAACTTTAGGACCATTCAGCCTTAGCCATAGCATTTTGTCGCCCAAGTTTGAAGCCCAACTACTTCCCTTCCCTACCTACACTCAGTCGTCAGTTCTCAGTCTCCGCTATTAACACTCTGCAACAATGAACTCCGCAGCATTTCCTTCCCTCCAATCTTCCTTCTCCCAAACTCCAAGCTTCCACTCATCACAATCATCGCAGCCCGCCTTCTCCTTATCGCTCCCTTCTTCTTCTTCTTCGCCATCCACCTTCAGGACTCAAACCTCCCTTTACCTCCTCCCCAATAACAACAACAATGTCTTCCTCCAAAAACCTCGCGGCGCCTACAAATTCCCCCCCAGAGGTAACCTATCACGCGCCACCAGTAGAATCAGCTGCTCTGCCGCCGACCCGGCTAAGAAACTCCGGTTGATCCTAGACTCGCCCGGGACCCACCAAGGTCCCGCCTGTTTCGATGCTCTGAGTGCTAAGCTCGTGGAGAAAGCTGGGTTCCCCTTCTGCTTTACCAGTGGTGGGTCTTGGTTTGATTTCTGATTTCTGTTGGTTGATGAATGTGAACTGGGTTTTGATCATGGTGACTTGGATTTGGTTGCTCTGGCAGGGTTTTCGATATCAGCTGCTAGATTGGGGATGCCTGATACTGGGTTCATCTCGTATGGAGAAATGGTAGATCAAGGGCAGCAAATCACTCAAGCTGTTTCGATTCCTGTGATTGGAGATGGTGATAATGGATATGGGAATGCCATGAATGTTAAGAGGACGGTGAAAGGATACATTAGAGCCGGTTTTGCTGGAATCATTCTTGAAGACCAGGTTTTTCCTTCTTATAGCTTCATCAGTTGGCTAGTTACTTAAAAGCTTCAAATTTGATGTTGTTTGGATGTCACTTGATATATTTTTCTTAAAACTGGAAGGTGTCTCCAAAAGCTTGTGGTCATACCCGTGGTAGGAAAGTGGTGTCAAGGGAAGAGGCAGTAATGAGGATAAAAGCAGCTGTGGATGCCCGGCAAGAGTCAGGTTCGGACATTGTGATTGTTGCGCGGACCGATTCTCGCCAAGCAGTGTCCTTTGATGAATCACTCTGGAGGTGTAGAGCTTTTGCTGAAGCTGGAGCGGATGTCCTTTTCATTGATGCATTGGCTTCAAGAGAAGAAATGAGAGCCTTCTGTGAAATATCTCCCCTAGTTCCGAAAATGGTAACAGCGTTCAAAGTCTCGTGTATTGATGGTACTTTATACCATGTTGAGCGGCATGGTGACGGGGATGAATTTGTTTCTCTTGCTTGCAGGCCAATATGCTTGAAGGAGGTGGTAAAACTCCAATACTCAACCCCTTGGAGCTGGAGGAAATTGGCTACAAGGTTGTGGCATATCCGCTTTCCTTGATTGGAGTCTCTATTCAAGCAATGCAGGTCATATTCTCACTTGATTAGAGCTTTCATGTCCCTGTCTCGAAACTCACCTGAGATCCTTGTTATGAACTGCATACCGTAAATTGTATGGATTATTTTTTATCATCTGTGGAATTAACTGACATTGTTTCCCTAAACTCATCTGCAGGATGCTCTTTCTGCCATTAAAGGAGGCAGGATTCCTCCTCCTGGAAGTATGCCATCATTCGAAGAAATAAAGGAAACCTTAGGTTTCAATGATTACTATGAAGAGGAGAAGCGGTATGCTACCAGCATTTCTAGGCAGACAGGTCGGTGACCTGTATACTCTATGATTCAGAGAAACTTCTCTAAATTATGTTGTGAAGTTGCCTTCAAGATGCACGATCACATAGATCCATGCAACCTTTGCTACCTATTTGTTCAGCCGAAATAACAAACTATCTGAAAATGGCTGACCCTGCTGATTGCTGAGTGATTTTATTTGCTCAGATAGTAGTAGGTATGCTTGTTTCAGCTTTTGCTATAAAAAAGTAACTAATTGTGGAGTGTTAAGTTGTTTCTTTCCCTTGCAATGTGAGGATACTGTATGTTTTTCAGTTCCTCACTCCTATAAACTGTAGGTTCATCAGCGAGCAGTAATGTGTATTCTATGCAACGGAGTGCTCAAGATGATAGAGAACAAAGAAGTGAAAGTCCCCAAGAGCCTGTTGTGGAAGTGATTACTCCTGATGTGTACAATAACTATGGTGCAGATGGTTCTAGATCCTTTTCTGGAATCTGGTCTCGGACATTGAGAGTCAAGATAACAGGCAGAGATGAGTTCGAAAAACTTGACGTCAGAATCCCCGTGAGTCTCAGTTTCTTCCTTCCTCTTCTTGTGAAGCAGCAAGCTTGATAGTAGCATCATTTCAAGTTCTAAACATAACTCGTCATTCATGCCATGCAGGCTGGGTTCTTAGATGGGATAACCAACATAGTGCCTGGTAAATATTCCACTGTCCATATTTTAAGCGAACACATAAATCGTAATGTCATTGAATTAATAGATATGAGTCATGTTGTTGTCTCTTGTGGAACAGCTCTGGGAGGTGTCAACATCAAAGAACTGTTGGATCAAGCGTCAGGGGAAGCAGGAGGCAAACTGCTGTTGGATTTCAATGACACAGCAGGAGACAGAATTCAAGTCTTCCTAGAATGAACTCTTAATTCTGAGACGGCCTTTATCGAAGCTACAGGGAAAGGCCTCTCCTTGCTACCAGGTTAGAGCAAAAACACTCACCTAAGATCTTCCATGTAAAATGATATGAATTACCATAACCGAACTACATATGATTGTGCTCTCTACCTACCTCATCCTGTTGAATGGTGTGAAAGGGATCTGCATGTTCTCGCTATGCATTAGGTAGAATAATGTATTCGATTGGTTAGCTAATAGATCCATTGCTAGTACCTAATCCTACAGAAATGTCGAAATGACCGAGAGATGAAGCCTCTCCTAAGCGTTGGCGGACAGGTAGAGTTGTTGATGGTGTTAAAATTTACTACCAGCATAGTATTTAGAGACCACAGTTATAAAGCTATGTTGTCTGTTCTAAGCTAAGAATTGAGAAGAGTATTGCTAATACTGCTCTATATGGCTGTGTTTGTGCATCAGGAAACTATTGTGAGAACAAGGATCCGACAGCGAAGCAGAGATACAGAGGCATCAATGAAACGAAACCCATGGTCGGGATAATATGAATTTAACCACAGCCTAGTTACCGTCTGAGGCAGACTTGTAATCGTCTCGGAAGCTGATCCAGATGATCAGATTGTGAATCTCGCGACATGAATGGTTGCTCACTGCTTTCACAATAAAATTTGTAGGGTTGCTAAACTGAAGGTACAGAATTGAAGTTTCTAGGAACAAATGAACGACTGTGCATTGCCATGATGTTGTTGCAACAAAATTAACTAGCGGTAATTGCAGCGTTACTGAATTTTGGAGATGTACATCATACAAGATCAGGTTGTAGGATCGGCAAATCATCGTGTCCGAAACAAACCGAAGAGAGTGATGGAGTAATGGTTTCAGAGACCAGAAACCAAAATATCTATTTAGCTACAAGGTTGGGTACCTTCTGCACCTTGAATATGCTATCCCAAAAGGGTACAATCAGCAGCAAATCGATATTACAGGCGAACACGAATGCAGAGTGAATCGAGGTGGAACGATTGAAGCAGAGCAACAAACTATCATATGATTTATTGTTCTCATTCAGTAAAAAACCAGGAGTCAATAAAGTATAGATGAACCTCAGTTACATGGAAATAAAAAATGAAACCGACCCGAAAAATAAAGTACAGATGGATATGGCTACAAAACCTTCGGTAGCTTGTTCGTTTGGCGCGGAGGCATATTACAAGCTGCAGAGACTCGTCTAAGAAAAACCCAATTCAACAGTACTTCTTCAACTCTCTTCCCAACCCCAAATAACAATGAATGATAATAAAAAAAAGAGGTAAGCAAATAGAATGGGGGGATAAATGAATACACAGAAATCGTATAAGAAACAAGCACATTGCATGAATCTCTCGCGAGAGTGCCAACCATCCGTCAGTCAAAAACACGCGCACTGCATACAGTGGACGAGCATGCACTTCTTAAGACCTCTCCCCACATTGGTTTGAGATTCTGAACTATGAATGGACATTCATACCTCGAGGTCTTGTACAAACAATGAATGGCAAAGCCGGCGGGGGAGCCAACTTGAATGTCTCGTCACTGGTAGCCTCTTCCGCCGTAGGGCTGTTGAGGGTAACCACCTGCACCCATCATATTGTTATATCCGCCAGGCATCATCGGTGATCCATGTTGAGGCTGCTGCATAGCTGGACCCTGCCCCATTCCCATATTCATCCCCATGTTCATTCCCATCCCACCAATTCCCATTCCCATGGGCTGCTGAGGCATCGCTCCGTAGCCTCCCATGCCCATGCCCGAACCTGGACCTCCAACCATGGTCATGCCCGGACGAGGGCCACCTCCCATACCCATACCCGGCCCAGGGCCGGCACCCATACCCATGCCTGGAGCGCCACCCATACCAAAACCAGGACCTCCACCCATTCCCATACCCATGCCCCCACCGGGAGCCATCATCTGGTTAGAGGGTGGCCTCAGACCAGTAGCTGCAGCTCGGCCGACTCCAGAACCAGACCCCATGGCTTTCCCCATGGTAATAGTAGACGCAACTGCAGTAGTGGCTGGTTGTTTCTCCATTCTCTTCTCCTTCCGATTAATTGCATCGAAGTCGATTCCAATGTCTGACAACGGATTGATCTTAGCTGCACCATGAAAAACACACCATTGAATTGTCTCCAGCTAAAGATGAAAAACCCCAATATACACACCTAAGCATTCACGATGGACCATATCTATCGTTCTTCAATTACTTTTCGATAACTAAAAATATTTGATATACCATCAATGCACTACTTTTCTAACCTTTACCAAACACAATTTTCATCACTCTATTAAAACCAACAAACCGAGTATATATTTTCTAATAAAATACAAGTACTTACATCCTGATATGTTCAAGTTGACGAGCCCTCTGTTGAGCGTATCTGCCCAAACTGTGGATTTGGTTTCGAATTTGTCCTTGGATGGTTGCTGAACAGGAACAAGGGCCCCAGTGGAAGAAGAGAGACTGGGCTGAGAAGCCAAAGTCTGACCAACGGGCTGGGGAGGCACTGGAGTGCTTGAACCTTGACCAAACAAACCACCTAAGACATCTGTGTTCTGATGAGCAGAGGGAGTAAAAGAAGGGACTTGTGAAGGCATTGAGCTGGTAGTGTTCGGGTTATGGAACATGTTTCCATTACTTAGCTGTCCAGAGGGCCCAGCTGGCATTTGTTGAGGTGCCACCCCGTACCCCGGCTGTGGAAGGAAGTTCCCATTGTTGTACTGTGTAGGCTGTCCCATGTTCTGAGCAGTGGGATGCATGGAACCTCCCTGCGGCAGAAAATGTCCGCCACCGAACTGTGAACTTGAAGGGGCCATATTTGGAGCAGCTGGGACTGTAGGTCCTGTTTGTGAATTGAAGTTTCCATAACCATTCCCAGCCGGGAATGAGGCTTGCATGGTTTGAGCTGGAAATCCGGCCTGTTGCGGGGCAGCGGATGGACCAGAAGCTGGGACAGTGGGTCCTGTTTGTGAATTGAAGTTTCCATAACCATTCCCAGCCGGGAATGAGGCTTGCATGGTTTGAGCTGGAAATCCGGCCTGTTGTGGGGCAGCGGATGGACCAGAAGCTGGGAGGATATCAGCGAGTATATCGGTTTCTAGACTTGAGGACAGTTCTTGAGGCAAAAACTGAGAGTTCGTTGATGCAGGCTGAAAATTGGGTGCTGAATAAGTCAAGCTAGAGGCTGCATCCCCAAAGGGCGAGTTCTCCATTTCTGCGTTGGAAACAGATGCATGTGGCAGTTCAGCATATGGGTTCACAGAATTCTCTGGGATGAGATCTGAAGAAGGAACAGCCTTGAAGGGAGTCTCCCCAAATGGATCTTCAAACCCCTGAAAGAGAAGAATGTTTTTCCATTCCAATATTTAAACCAGTAACAGTCAAACTGAATACACATATTTTGAGATATGGAAAACAAAGTTGAGCAAAGATTCACTACAAATCATGATCCTCGATTTGATCTATGTATTTCACCACTGGACACCAGAGAACAATATGACATCCTAATGGATGCTTAGAGATAATAAACTTACCTGATTATCAAAAGAAACTGGTGGTTGTGCTGAAGTAAATGAGGGTCCTGAGAAACTTGGCTGGACGACAGCTTCAGAGGTAGTAGTAGTTGGAGAAGAAGCTGGAACAATTGCCAATGGACCAAATGATTCCGAGAGAGAACCAAGCAAATCCATTTCAGCATTGTTTACGGTTGTAGGAGCAGTTGAGGCAGCTGGAATTGCGTTAGCAGTTGGAAATGCTGTAGAACGAGAACATCAAACCATCAGCTCTGAACTTGAATTGAAACAAACACCAATGGCTACCCTCCAAGATAGATCCCAGTGAAATTTAAGCATTCATAAGTATAAATGGCATCACGTAACCTGCAAAAGAACCACGGGGATCAAACTCGTCTACCACCACTTCCTGATTGGCTGGAGACGCAGATGAGCTGACACCAGCAGTTTCTGGGATGGCATTATTGCTTGCAGATTGAGAACCTTGAGGAGCAAGCGGAGAAGAAGATTGAGGAGCCGAAGGCGATGAAGCTGCAGGGCCAGATTGTGCTGAAGTTTCTCCATTCCTTTGATGAAAATCAAATAAAGTCAATCAAGTTAGAAACATTCAGAAAAGCAGAAGCTGAAAGGTTGCTATCGGCGAAGCAAATTACTTATCATTGTGCGTAGGGCTACGGGCATCATTCACAGCTTCTTCATAACTAGGGGGTGCACCAATATTTTGCTCGGAAAATTTTCTCTCGAGGGGCCTACAAAAGTTCAAAGAAATAAAAAATCATGTACTGGTCACTTACGAGCAAATAATTTAAAGAACATATCTGATCCCAGTTACCTCCCATCCTGAGATTGATCATCACCTCTCGCACCACCACTGCAGGGAAACAAGGGAGCAATCAACCATCTCACCTCAACGATACACAGTGAACAATGCTTTCATTACAGAACTAAGGCCAAAGATGTGGACAAAGCAGCCATAACATATAAATACATGTCAGCAGCTCGCTTATAGTACCTAAGTTTCATTCAGAAGTCTTGTTTTAGAGGGTTTAATTTGAAGAGTGCACAATCATGAATCAAAAACAATATGTTTATCCTCAGCATCTTGAGAAACACAGTAGCAAACAAATTCAGGATTGACTCAATTGTAACACGACATTTAGAAACACTAACATTACATGAAAATACTTCAGCAACAATCCGAAACCCGAAATGATGAAGTGTGAACGTGAATATGTTAACTCCTATTTGCCTAGCTAAAGATATTGAAACAAAATTTGGTGTCACCAAATCACACAAACACCCAAAGGTACCAGTAGCTTGATAAAGGAAATTGCAAAAATACCGAGATGAGTATTGGCCATCATCATCATAACCACGGTCTCTATCTCTATCAGAACTCCTGCCTCTCGAACCATAGCCATCATTGCTACGACTCCTTCCTCTGTAATCGTCATCCCTGTATCCATCGCGACCGTAGCGTTCTTCGTCTCTGTTTCCATCTCGATCATATCTACTATATCGGTCATCATCCCTACTATTTTCTCTACCATATCCATTCCGCTCTTCATCCCTGCTTCCATAACGACCCTCATAGCGATCATCATCATGCCGTTCGCCATATCCACCACTGGGATGAGAACCAGGCCTGTACATACCGCCAGCCGATGGGCTGCGGAACCTGTCATATAAACAGAACTCCAGAGATCAACAATTAATAATATATAGTGAGGTCACGATCTGACTGCTAAATTCCAAATCTGCTGTTATTTACATTATTAGAATTAAGATAACAAATTGAAGTAACTTCTCAGATTTTTATACAGAAAACAACTTATTAATAGAATACAAACTTTTCTCCGAAAGCTAACCCACCTTTCCCTGTTTGCAGCAGCTTTCTGCCTGACTTCAATAATCCTTTCTTTATCATTTACCAGAACCACAAGATTTTGAGATTTCTTTCTGACATTGCTGCCCTGGTCCCTTCCACTGGAATCAATATACTGAAAGTCGGACAATGTCTAACATAGATGGAAAAAATAGCTGGTTAGGCACCACAAAGGTAATGTGCTGCAACCCTAAAGAGTTGCAACAGTAGTATCAAGGAACTCCGAGATTGGAACAATAAGATTAAGAAAATTGGAGCTTCACCGATATCTGATAAGCATGTTCTTTTATGTCATCTATGACTCGTTCTGACCCATGAGCCACAAGATACTCCAAAACAGTCAACCCCTGAAATCCATCACGGGAGTTATTAGCATTTGTTGCAATGCAATATAAAATACATCAGAGACGTGTGGTAAGTAGAAATTCTACAACAGTACTGAGGACATCTACCAACAATATCAAGTAGCAAAAGGAACCAAGAACTTCTTGTAGCATTTAAGTATAAGACAAACAGAGCAAACAAAAATAATTGAGCATTAATCTTTTCATTAAAAAGAAGCAGCACGAACCCAAGATCAATAACCAACTAGTATATGGATGTGCACACCAATTTTATTTTGCAAAGACACATAGCATTGAGCACATGATGACCACACAAAATTCACTAAAACATTGCGAACCTTGTAGACATGTCGCCAGTTCTTGCCTGTATCATTGATTCGTTTCCAGATCACTGACATAATCATCTGGTACTCATGACTGCACAGATAGTTTAAACATCAGTCCCTGAAATTAAGTATCTAATCTGCAGCAACAACAGTAAGAAAGTAGGAAATCTTACTAGTTTCTGGTTGCTTGAGCGATCTCTGCAAGAAGTGTTCCATGAGGACCCCAGGGCTCATTGCTGGTAGCATCAAGAACCTAAAAATATGATAATGAGCATTCCATTCAGTAGGTAACCAGGAAATCATGAACCAAAATTTATGCATGTAAAGTATCTGGAGGACAGTTGCAGGGACAAAAGCAACAAATAATTCCAGATGGAGAGCCAAAGCTTCAAAGATAGCTTCCAAGGTTTTGATATGCAAGATGAAAATAACGAATATGCTTTTGTCACAATCATTATCTCATACCAACTTTCAAGGAACTTTGAGACATACCTTCTGTTCTATACCAGGAACTTTAAGCACTTTCTTGTTCACCTCTCTCTTTCTACAGGCACAAGGAAAGAAACAATGAAAATCCATTAAATAACATACCATATACAGAGAATTTATAAATTTTAATGCTGAATCGTCTACAAATAGAAAGAATAATTTCTACTGAGAAGATCTAAACAAGCCTAAACTAATAGCACGCGCATCGGCCATGTCCAACAAACATATTTCTCAAAGAATTGGTTCTAGAAACTTTCCCCGGGCAAACTTTCACCAGAATACAGTGATAGCTTAATACAAAAACATTTACCACTGTAGATTGCGAATGAAAAAGTCACTTACAGGTCTCTAACAGTCTGGCCGAAGACCTTCTTCATTACAAGACTTGCTGTAAGCCTGTGACACAGATAAAAATTTTTTGTCTATTAGCAACTACGCTTAAGAGTTAAGACTTAGCTACCCACTGAAAAGAAACTGGAGAACCAACGATCCAAAACGAAATACGTCAACACCGGATGCCCATATCACAACCAGCTCAACTTTACATTCAGCTTTAGAACAGCAGCAGAAAACTGAATCCAACTACCAGGGAACACCAAGCCATATCCATTTTCAAACAATGCATCATGCATTCAATAAAAAATCTCCCCAATTCTACATAACGCGGATCCAATCACTAGGAAATTTCAACCAGCAACATAAAGAAGCACGACAAGATCCAATTCCATATTCGCACACGACAGCAAACGCAAAGAATCTCAACGAGCATCTAACGACTAACAATCGCTGGCACCTCGCCAGATGATTCCTCTCCACGCATCACTCCTCAAAACCAAAAACAAGCTAAGCTTCCAACGCATCCGAATAAAAAAAAAAACGCAACGCAGACATCAATCTCCGATCACCAAGAGAGACCAAAAGAGCATATTCTCACAGAAATTCAGGACACAGCTGAGCTAGAACTTTCAACAGGACACTCAAAGATCGGATCACGCGGAATTGGAATTCCAACGGCGCCAGATCTTTCGAAATGTAAAAACAGAGAGAGGGAGAGAGGGAGAGAGCCGAACCTGAATCAGAAGTTAGAAGGAATGAGCGGCTTGTGGAAATGGAATCAGGCCGGAGATCTGATGGACGGTGGAGGAGAAGACCACGACGAGGCCGATCGATTTCCGCAGCGGAAAGGCGGAAGAAGGAGCCGTGACCTGGCTGCTAGAGAGACAACGAGAGAGAGGGAGGAGGGAGCGCGTAATTGCTCCTCTGGTAAAATGACGGATCCTTGTTTTTCTTCCCTTTTTCCAATTTTGAATTTTTGTTTCTCTGGGTTCGTGGAATTTGCCAGGAGAGAGAGAGAGGGAGGGAGAGGCGTCGGTGTCGTTGTTGGGTCGAGGGAGTTGGGTTTGGTTTGGTGTGTTGTTAAATCCGAAACTTTCTCTCTCTCGCTCTACAATTACGGGACCTGGCTGGACTTATGGGCCCGAGTAGTGGGCCGAGTCCAAATTCCCCGTCGCGGCAGTTTCTTTCAAAGCCTGATTCCCGTAAGCCCAGCTAGAAGCCTAGAACTAGCAAGCAGTAAAATGAACCGCTCATATCGGTTCCCGGAGTTGTCCCGCCATTTGCCCGATCGAGCTCAGTTCAGTTTCGCCGGGAAACGAAATGGTGGAGACTCCTTCGGTTGAAAACACCATCAGGGCGAGGGTAAAGCAGCCGCGGCGCCGGGCGCCTTTGCCTGTGCTTCGTCCGGATCTCATCGTCGAGATTTTGACCTGGCTACCTGTGGATTCGCTCCTCCGGTTCAGGTGCGTCTCCAAATGGTTCAAAACCCTAATTTCCAGTCCCGATTTCGTGAAAGCACATCTGAGGAGTATGAAAGCGTTGTCCGGAGAATGCTATATATGCTATCGTCGACGGAAAGGAGCAAGGCAGTTGGTGAGTTTCATTTTGGATTTGCATGTGTGATGTAGTATGAACTCATCCTAGTAATTACTAATTAAGCAATGGTTTCAACTTTCACGGGGAACTTGGATTTGTATGTGTGACCAAGAACGATAAAACAGTACCGAAAAGTTAGTAGTAGAGTATTTTGTGTTGAATCCGTAGTTTATACCGGTCATTTCAGTTGTTACGTGCAGGTAAGAAAGTTAAACCAATTGACTAATGGTACCTCATCGTATTAACAAGGTATCTAATTCGATATCCAGTAACCGTGGCTCCCATACACACCTAATCCAACATGGCTCAAAGAAGGCGAGTCAAGTCGATCGATTAAGGGTGTGGAATTTTATTAGTTTTGTGCATTAAATAAAATCTAGTCTTGCCAATAATTTACCTCTGATCTCCCAATCATACTATCAATGTTCTTGTGAAAGTTGATTAGCTAGAGAGCATTTGCAAGCTAGTGGACCTCATTAGGGGTGTCGGTTCGGGTCGGGTTCGGTTACCCAAACCGAAACCCGAAATCGAAAATCACCAAAATCGAACCCGAACCCGATAAGGACTTGCGGGTTTCGGTTACCCAACCCAAAAATTCCTTATCGGATTCGGGTTTGGTTAAAGCAAAACCGAAACCCGAAAACCCGAACACTTAGAAATACGGGCTGAGTTCTATTTATTGGAGATTTTTATCCGGAACCCGAAAAACCGATAAGCAAAACCGAACCCGAAACCGAAAAACCCGAAACGAACCCGAACCCGAAAAACCGAAAATGTATATAATCGGGTCGGTTTCGGGTAAACTCAAAAAACCGAACCCGAATGGACACCCCTAGACCTCATAGGCGGCTTGCCGGTCATATTTTACTTTCTGCCGCCGATGAGAGGATGAGATCATTCCGGCCGGCAGCATACCTCGTCGAATTTTATCTTTGGTGCGACTTTTGTCTTCTGAGTTGTAGCCTTTCCAAGTTACTTTGTGTCAAGTACACAATTCTGCCTTCTATCTCAGAGATCACAGTCACTCAAGCATCGTTCTTCATGTTCGTCGTGAAAGTAATCACGTTTTAGCGAATACGAGGAATCATCGTCCATGTTCGCCACTCGCCAGGACATTCTCTTACGTTGCGCCCTGGTATGTAGCTGGGTTCTTGATTAGATCTGCAATGGCGATGAAAGGACTTGAGGAAAAGATTACCTAATGTGAAATGACTGGCCATGAAGTGAACCATACAAACATATAAAACTGCGACAAACCATAACATGATAACACAATAATCTTATCCTTGTGATACACGTAAGAACCAGTAAACCTTGTAATAATCTCCAACAACTTGGTATAAAGATTTCAGAGCCGAAGGCCCTCTCGGCCATTCCAAAATCAGAAGAGAGGAAGAATTAACGGTTTGGAGTTTGAACATGGGATTCCCAATCTATAGCCCTTTCTCCTACTGCTTCTGCAAAAATCACAGACTCACTCAACTAAACATGGCGGCAGCTCATGGCATTTCTGCAGAGATGGTTCTCAAGGCAGGGCCCTGCACTGACAAAATTTCAACACGTTCAGATCAAGTATTGGATTCCCAACTAAAAATAGCGTGTACTGTAATCTATCTAATACTAGACTCACAGAAGCTTTAGACGACCGAGTATCTGCCAGTTTGAGCGCCACCAGGAACAGAGAATCCCTGGCTGGTGATCTCTTCCAGGACGCGCTTCAAGTCTGCCTTGGCTCTCTTCACTGACACCTCGTTCGGGCCTTCGATGAACAAGTACAGCTTCCGTTCTCCAGGACCTGGTACCCGCCCCTGTCCGAAGTACTGCCCTCTGGTGGTGATGGCAGCTCCGGTCCACTCTGAAATCGGACCCAACGTCTCCTTGTGGGTCACCTTCCACCGAGCGTTCTGTGGGAAATCGTTGATCTCCAGCTCAGCCTCGTAATGCTCGGGCAAAGCATCAGCTTGCAGCTTCAACAGGTTCTGCTGCAAGTTCCTGGCAGCAGCCAACGCCTGTGCTCTCGCCATCCCATCTGCTGCTGCAGCAGGAACACCGCCGGCAGATAGTAGCTGGGCAGGTGGTGGGACAGAAGCAACTGCAAGGGCTGCCATCTGCTGAGCACGAGCAGCCTGAAGCTGGCCGAGATCGTTATTCCCCGTCTTTCGAATCCCTTCATCCTCATCTTCCGAATCAGACTTGTCTTCCTCGAAACCGTACTCCTTTGCCTGTGCTTTCTTAGCCGCCATCCTCTTCTCATCTTCCTCTTCATTAAACTTGAATCCACTCCCGCCATAACCAGTTCCATGCGCCTGCTCGAGCCCTTGATTCACCTTTGCCATGAAACCATCTGCAAGAGCTTTCAAATCATCTGGCACAACTTGCTCTGACAGTTCCAGGGCCTTCACAAGGTCTGGCGCATATTTAGCATCGTCCTCTGATATGAATGTCACCGCACATCCCTTCTTGCCAGCTCTACCAGTTCGACCAACCCGGTGGACATAATCCTCGTAGTGGTTTGGAGCGTCATAATTGACCACCAATTCAAGATCCTTGACGTCCAATCCACGAGCAGCAATACTTGTTGCGACCAACAAATTGCAGACGTTGTTCTTGAAGTCCGAGATCGTTGATTCTCTGTCAGTCTGGTCTTTAGCTCCGTGAAGAGAGAGACAAGGGTAGCGATACACGTTCATCATTTCTTTGTATAACATATCGCACTTGTCCTGTGACTGGACGAACACTAGAATCTTCCCCTTGTCATACCATTCCCCAAGAAGCTCCAGCAGTCTGAAGATACGTTCATTTTCTGGTCGAATCTCGACAAGCTGGGTAATGTCCTTGTTCACCACGCTCCTACCGCCAACCTGAATCTCGACTGGTTTGTTTAGAACCTTCCGAGCCAAAATCTCGACCTGCCTTGGAAAAGTGGCAGAGAAGAGAACAGTTTGCCGATCGGGGCGAATGTTCTGAACAATTCTCGTGATCTGAGGTTCAAATCCCATGTCGAACATTCGGTCAGCTTCATCCATGACTAAATACGTCACCCTCCGGAGATTTGTGATCTTCCCGCCGCTCGTGCAGAGTATGTCGATCATCCGACCTGGAGTGCAGACGACAATCTCAGTCCCACGCTTCAACTCGCTGATTTGCTGGGCAACACCGGAACCTCCGTACACAGGCACGCATCTCAACCCGAGAGGTTTTGTAAACTTTCTGATATCACTGTGTATCTGCTGCACGAGCTCTCTCGTGGGTGCCATTATCATCCCGACAGGGCCATCTCCAGCTTCAACAGGCGGTTGATCCTTAATATGTCTCAACATAGGAAGGACAAAAGCTAGGGTCTTGCCGGAACCGGTCTTGGCAATTCCGATGCAGTCCCGGCCACTCATGATCACTGGAAGTGCTTGAGCTTGAATCGACATCGGCTTCTCGAAGTTGAGTTTCCTGATAGTGTCCATGATTTTGGTGGTCAGACCAGTTTGGTGCCATGTCTTGATTGGTTTAGGCACGTCTTTGCCATGTATCTTGAGTTCTAACTCTTTTCTATGAGCAGAAACCTCCTCTGGAGTCATTCTCGAGATCTCCTTCACCTCGATGTAGAAGTTTTTCCTGAATGGCTTGTAATCAATTTTGGAGTGATCGACGAGGGACAACTTCTCAGCTTTTGTCTTCTTTACCCTCTTGATGAACTCTTCATCATCTTCATCTTCAGAAGCTTTCTCATCATTATCAACGTCCCCATAATCCGAGTCGGAATCCTCCCCTTGAATGATTCTTCCTAATGATTTCTTTGACCCCTTCTTCGACTGTTCTCCATTGTTCTTTGCTTCCGTCTTCACATCTTTCTTGCCAAGATCGACCCCGTTATTGTCACTAACAGCTGCACTATTGAGCTTCTCCACTTCTGGTAAAACCATGTTGTTCATGAAAGCGTCGAGGGGGTCAATATCTTCATCCTCCTCAACAGGAGGGGCTTCTGTTGCTGCAGCAGCAGCAGCAGGAGCTACTGCTGAATCATCTTCTTCTTGAGCATCTACAGCCATTGCATCTTCAGTTTCTCCATCAGGTTTTGAATTATCATCCACATCCATTTCAGTATCCGATTTCCCCATGGCATCTTCATCATCAGATTCTCCCTCGAGAGTCCAGGTTTTACCTGATTTCAGCTCGTCTGTCGGACCTGATTCCCCCAGCTTTTCACGCTCGGACTCTTCCTTCTTCCTCTTCAGTTCTTGCCACTCTTGGACTCTTCTCCTTCTTTTCTCCATCTCATCATCCAACCTCTTCTGCTCATCCTCTAATTCCTCCTCTCGAGTTTTACCACTTTCCTTAACTTCCTGAACATCAACAGCAGCAGCAGCAACCTTTCTCGGTGGAGAGCTCCCACTACCGTCACTGTCATCCTTGCGCTTGCTCGACTTGCTAACTTCTCGTGTTCTCTCCTTGTGATCTTCTGCCTCTTTTTTCCGCCTCTTCTTATCACGATGATCCACCTTAGTATCATCATTATCGCTATCATCGCTACTACTATACCCTCTGTGCTTCTCCCTCCTCCTCCTTTCTTTCTCTCTATCCTTCTTCTCCCTCTCTTTTTCTTCCTTACCCCGCTCCCCCTTTCTGTCCCTTTCCTTCTTCTCTCGCTCTTCCCTTTCGTGTTCCTTCACCTTCTCCCTTTTCCTCTTCTCCTTCTTCTCCCGATCACGATCCCTATCCCGGTCTTTCTCTTCTCCATCCCGGTCCCTCTTCCTATCTTTGCCATGCCTTTCTTTACCATCATCCTTACTTCTGCGATCCTTCTCCTTACTACGCTTCTCTCTATCCTTATCCTTATCCTTCTCCCTCTCCCTCTCATACTTGCTGTCCGAATCAACACTCTTCTCCCTCTCCGATCGCCTGCTGCTGCGGTGCCTATCTCCATTCCTCTCACGGTGACTCCTTTTGGAATCCTCTTCCTTCCTGGACTTATGCTTCACATCCTCCATCTCTTCCCCTGACCAAAACCCACTAAACAAAACAACATTACGGGATTCGCAAGAAAAAGCAAAGCACGAAACTTCAACAGTAAAAGAGCAATAAAACCCCTAATCATTCAACGAGCTAGTTTCGGACAAAAGAACAAAAAAATTGAGAGTCGACGAGTAAGGAGACAGAAAGGAATCAATTCACTCTGGGCTTCATCCCCCAAAACCCACTTTTCCGTGCATAGTTGGGGGAACACAAATCAAGACCTGATTCAAAGCGAGTGAAAAGACAAAATCAAAACTCGGGCGGATGCACAGCTTTCTAATCGGCAACAGGCAAAAAGAAGAACAGAGCGATGCATAGACAACGGAGATTACCTATTGCAGCAGGGCAGCTCAAGCAAAGACGAAGACGAAAGGATTGAATTCGAAGTGAACTGTCTCGCTTGTCTTTCTGAACCCTAACAAAAGCTGTCGTTACTCGTTACAGATCTCTTCCTTCCGCGCCAGTCGATCTACTCGATTAGGTCAAGTCGGAATAGCAGAAGACTGCTGAGATGGCGACGGACGAGACCAATTAGCGCTCTCGTCTCAAGCAGGCGAATAGGGGATGGTGGAGCGAAGGAAGAGATTGACGAAGGCTGCAACTGTTCCTTCTTCACTCTCGGCTCGGGAAATAGAAAATCTTTGGTTTCCTTTTCCCTCACGAGGAAGAAGAAAACAAGCAAACCAATTATACTAATGGTCATCATACTTATGCTTACTTACAAATCAATCACAAAACTTTAATTTTGAGAAATTTGTAGCTGATTTTATTTCTACAGGCCGGTAGCGGCTTTAGGCCCAATTTTAATGGGCTTTTAGCGGGGTTAGACGAATATGAGTTGACCCGACCGTAAGCGAAACTCTCCCGCCGTCTCTCTACCGCCGACGATTCCCATTGTTCATACGATCTCTCTGTGTTTTCCCTCCGTTCGTCTTCATCATCTTGATCCTGAATTTTTCAATCTTTCACTCATATCTCCGGGAAGAAATTGGAGACCATTCTTGCTGCCGAACAGATTTAGGATCTTTTGGATGTTGATTTGAAGCCCTACGATCCGATCAATCAACACATTTTGCCATTTCAAGGGGGCTGCGATAAGTTGAGTCGCTTTTGAAGCTAAAGCGGAAAATGGCCTACGAACTGACTGAGCAGCAAAGTGAGCAATTTAATCTACGAATCCCAATTATACTGTGCTCTTCTTGAATTCCATTTCGTCTTGATTCCGGTTCGTGAATGGTTGGTTCTATTGTCGCAATTTTCATTAGGACTGGACTGCTGGAAATTATCAAGGGTGATGCGCTTAATTCTGATTGTAGCTAGTTCCTGGGTACCTGTTGCGAAAAGGGTTTATATAGTTTGTTCTTGTGGTTGGAAAAATGATGCTGCTTTCATGGTTTAGCTTTAACCTTGTTATGCCCATTGTTGAGCTGAAACAAGATTGTGATGTTGTGCATTGTCCCCTTTACTTTGGCTACTTCATGCAGTCTCCATGAGGTTGTTGCAGCACCTGAGTGCGCATTATTGTACTTCTTTTAGTGAATTTCATTGGCATGTTCTGCAAAACGGGCCTTGAGCAGAAACTTAGGTCAGCTGGGTGTTCCAATGTTCATCAATTGCTCCCTTGATTTGTTGCTTTAATATTCGTTTCATGTCTACTTGAATTGTGCTCCTTACTCTACTCATAGGGCGGTTATTGCAGGAATTGGATTGGGTCTAATTGGATTTGGGATCATTTTTACATTTCTCGGTGTGATCCTGTTCTTCGACAGAGGGTTACTCGCCCTTGGGAATGTATGGCTGCTTCATCTTGAAATCTATTGACTTCTTTTGCTGGGGGGATATACACCATGTTTGATTGACCCTTTTGAGTTCTGTAAGTAGATTCTGTGGTTGACAGGGGTGTCCGTTTTGCTGGGCTGGTACTCCACATGGAAACTCTTTACCAACAGAGAAAACTATAAGGTAGTTACAAAGGAGGATGTTTTATCTAGTCTATAATGAGTGATCTCGTGCAACATTTCGAAATTTAGAAACTGCACTTCTCTCACAAACTTTTGAATTTCATAGGAAGCCTACCTCAACTTAAACCGTGCTTATCATACATTGACGAACTGAGTTAACATATTGAATGTGTTTGCAGGGCTCTGCTTCATTTGTTTTAGGACTGTTCTTCCTTTTTGTTCGTTGGCCAATCGTCGGCATAGTCTTGGAAATTTATGGGTGCTTTGCTCTGTTCGGGTCAGTATCCGGCCTCTCCCCTGATCCAAACTGTATCACATCATGTTCTGTCGAGCCAATATCCGATGTTCTCCGTCATTTTATCACACTTCGGAACTCAATAATCCCGATCTCATTGTTACAATTTGTTATTTTCTAATGCAGAGGCTTTTGGCCATCGGTCAAGGCTGTCCTTTATCAAATACCAGTCATTGGATGGATTATACAATATCCAGTTCTGGTAAGTACTTCTGCTTCTTTCTTAAGTAGTCAGTTATGAATAGTCAGTTTATAAGCCTAGCCCCTTTTCATCTTCCTTAAGTACTTGAATTTCATGCATCTTAGACTTATCAGAACACTAGACATTGGACATATCGATGTCTGATACTGCTTGCTAATCAGTGTTCTCTATCCTTAAGCTAAAGCCTAAATCTGCGGCTGAAAGACCTTTCAAACCGAGCCATTAATGTGCTTGCTTTCAAGTGCAACATGAACTTTTGAATGATCAATAATACACTGCTGTCGTGGTGATGGTTGCAACAGATCTTTAATCGTCTGACGAGTGGGTAGAGGGTGGAAGGTTCAGTTTGGTAACTGGCTTTATTGCTTACCAAATTCGGACTGGGATGAAATGCATGCAAAGATTTCACGTTGGACAAAACGAAGTTGCAACAGAACAGTGGTTTCCAGTACATCAGCGAACGACCCGACTTGGCTGGCGACTCTCTTAAAAGGTTTCCACTCATTCGTGTAAGTATAATGTCATTTCTGGTACGTGTAGTATACTATTTTAACAAGCACCATTTTAACAAACACGTCTTTATACTTCGACTTCTAATAAATTCATCTTGACCATTTACTATTTCTCTTCATCTTCAGTCCTTTCTCTGGAAAATTTGGTTCGAATCCGCTACATATGAGATCTCGTCGTACTTGATAAGTATGTCATTGATGATTCACATGATATGTATGCTGGAAATTCATGTCTCGTCTCGAAATCCGGCTCTCATGCGTTAGATCTACTCTCGTAACATTTGTCTTTCGAGTATAACCGGCTAGGGATCAATTAACACGACTTTCATTAAGCATACGTGACATGTGAGTCATCAAATGAGATAAGAGAGTCATGCATGGTAGGATATTGATGTTGGAGCCTTTTAACTGTTGTTGAGAAGGCAGTTCACCAGGATCTAACAGAGTTTAGCGATACTACGAAACCGAAATCGTCACTCATCCTATACTCAGAATCTTAGGAACATGAGATGATCAGAACTAGAAAAAAAGTTCAGCAACATGTTGATTATCAAAAAGGGTTGTGTGAGATCTTGGGGAAAAGGACATGACCTTTGTTCCTATACCATATTGTCAGTACCAAAGATTCAGCTTTTCTTATGTTCTTAGAGAAAAGCCTGTGACTATAGAGCCAAGGTCCCTACTTCACTATTTTGTCAATCCAATAAGTGTATTTCCAAACACAGTCATCAAAAACAGAACTTTGGAGACAACATGATCCATCAACCAAACAAAACCCTAATACTGTTTCAATTTTTTTTTGGGAGATTAGGTTTGGATAGAGTGAAGGTAGAGAAGCCAGTGAGGTATGGTGATATCATCATCTGCAAGAATTCAATTGGATTGGCTTGAATTGAAGAGGATCCTACCACTGCTGCTGTATAGTTTAGCTGCAGGGGGCATTCATAGATTGGAAGTAACGCCCCAGCCCACACCATTTATTATCTCCACAGCAGCAGACCAGTATGTTGGGATCTGTGTGTGTTAGCTAGCTCTCCTTCAATTCTCCTACCTTAGTAGCTAGCTACTAATGGAGCAAAACATAATGACGATTACGATAATCCAGACTCTTTGTATTTGTTTTAGTTTTCACAAACATACAAGTCGACTTATGCTTACCGACCACGCGCACACCGTGATATGTCTGAAATGTACGTGGATTGACTTGCTTCGATTCACCACAACCATCTTCACAGAAAGGTCGAACGCATATCAAAAGCGATATATAGAACAATCGGTGGAGACGTAGGTTGTCGCGACCTCCCCCAACCCCCCACCCCCCCCCCCCCCCCCCCCCCAATGCACCCTCTTCATACACACATATTAATGGCTTTTCGAGTTCCACCGCTCTTCCCCTTTCTTCTTCTTCTTCTTCCTCTACCTAGCTCTCATTAACTGACCACCAAGAACGTATAATTATGTGCCTTTCTTTATGGCAATTATAAATGCTTGCGTACGTTCTTTTATTTTCTTTTGGTTTTATGGGTGTGGACTGTGGTTGGTCACTTCGGTTGAAAATTCCCCCTTTCTCTCTTTCACTTGTACACTTCCCCAAAACACAATCTTGTAAATAGCACTAGTCTTTATATCCTTGTGTTATTAATGAATGCCCTTTTGTTTAATAATCGTTGATTCCCAATTTGGGGATCAGTTTTTGGAGCTTAGCAGAGTTTCGATAATGGTGTCTGTCATCAGAAAACGAGACAAGTCGAGGGTTGGTTTTCTTCTGTTGCTTCGTTCACGCCTGGAGTGGGCCGACGAGGGTGGATTCGGGTGGAAAGTGGAAATCTTCAAAATCCACTTGCATGGTGGTGATAAGAATCAAGTCATATCAAATCAATGGTTTTTAATTGTGGGTTGATACGCCTGATTCGGTTTTTGGTTACTTAATTGCAACTGTCCCCCATATCGGGACTGGAGAGAGATTGTGGATGCTGAGTTTAAAAATCGATTCGGATTAGCGGGTGACCAGTAGAATATTGAATTTCATGTGTGTTTTGGGTAGCGTCTAAGATGTGGGAGACAAAATGAGTATCTCTCTATCATAAACTCGGATCTGCACATTTTACATCGCATTCAATGTTCTCACTTCTTATTTGGAAACGATCTATGTATGCTACTGTCCCCATATCGGTTCTAGACAGTCGGGATAGAGAATGTAGATGAGTTTAGAGTTAGCGGGTTTAAGAAACAATCAGGTGACCATAGTAGAATATTGAATTCTAGGAGTTTTTTTTTTGGTAGTGTCTAAGATGGGGGGAGCGGGGGGAACAAAATGAGTATCTCCCGATCATTAAGTTGGATCTGCACATTTACATCGTATTCAATGTTCTCACTTCTCATTTTGTAACGGTCTACGTACGATTTTCAATCTCGAACTAAGTAAACGTCAATGAGGGGGTTTTTTTTTTGCAAATAAAAAATCTGAGTGACTAATTCGCAAGCTCACCGTGAGTACCAGACGAATCGTACACATAACATATCCTACAACTATAGCCAGCTAGTCTAAAGTCTCAACTCAACTCCCAAACTTTCAATTCTTGGTACTGTCCACCAAACACAAGAGAAAAGAGTGGTTGAATCCGTGCAAGAGAGTGTTAATTACCTGTTCTCAACTTCCAACTTAAATTTTTGTTTTCACTGTCTAGTGTTCTTGAACCAGCTACTTGTTATATAGCTGCTGCCTATCACAATAATTTCTATCTTCTTCTTCTTCTTCTTCTTCTCTGTGGAACTCATGAAAGGAGTTATACCTATTTGTCTTGAAAAAGTGAATCCCATCTCCCAGAAAAGCCAGAGAAAGGGCACAGAACTTCCCAGAATTGGGGTTTTAATTATATTTTTCAATTTGACAACAACCATATTTATTGTTGCTTAATATTTATTTGTGTTTTTGTAGTTATGGTGCTGGTGATGGCACATTTATGAGTAGCCATGCAGCTTACTGATGAGCAAGAAGAAGAAAAAAAAAATGGAATGACTTGACTTCCCACCAGAAAGAAAGAAAAAAAAAAGAAACAAAGGCCTAGCAACTTCTTTCAGGATGTACGGCAGACCCATAATAATATCCTTATTTAGGGTTAGCCATCCATGTTTATCAATAATCTAGTAATTACCACACTAAGTTACGTCTCTAGTCCGTGGCGAAATCAGAAATCTTTCATCATCTAACATGGTTATTACTTATTAAGAACACTTGTTTTGCATACATGTCAATCATCCAATTTTTCGGACTGATCGTCTCATCGAGCAACATGATCATTCTCCTTTCTTCTTTTTAATTACTTCTTTGAGACACTCTAAGAGAAGAGTTGCGAGAGAAGGAAGAGACCCGCCCGGTATTCTTCTTAGTTAAAAAATTTATCGTGTATACAGACATTTCAAATGCGATTGTAACCTACCGATCGACTCACTCATCGTTACCCGATTTTATTGGTTAATTATTATCAAAGGTCACCCCTTTGTTCCTGAGTTGAAAAGGAAAAAAAAATAAATAGCACAGGCAAAATCACCCAGCCAGTCGAGTCAGCAAACTATCTGGAGACTGGCCGTGATATCATATGGATATGTTCATCATAAAAATTATAAACTTCATTTCTTTTTTTATAAATTTGAAATAATATTTATACAAATTAAACACAACACATCAGTCATCGTAGGACAATAAATAAATGAAAGCAAATGGGGGTTGAATTGAATTCATGTGTAGGTCTGGGTTTTTAATGAGCAACGTTATAGCTAGCAGCTGCTCTCCTCTTCTTCACAGAGAGAGCAGGAAGAAGAAACCCTTCAAAATTAAAAACCTAAGGAGAAAAAAAAAAGAGAGAGAGCATTAAATTGATATCTACTTGCCACCTTTAATGTTTTGGGCTGCCCCCTCTTCCTTTAATGCATGCAGTTCCCTTCCCATCCATGGAGTTAAGTTGCCCTCTCAATTTAAGGGCCTCCCTCCCTTCACCCATTTTTCCCTCCACACCTCTAAACCCTTCTTCTTCTTCCTTCTACCTCTTCTTTTAAGGGTTTTCCATGGAGTTCACGACGGAGCTGTCGTTGGCTCCGAGGAATCATTCGAGGAAGAGGAAGATGAGTTTCGACGATTGTGATCGTGATCGTGATCCTGATCATGTCGTCGATCTTCAGATTCTTGATCGAGAAGTGATGAAGAACAACAGGCCTCTGCCTTTGGATTGGGAGCAATGCCTCGACCTTCATGTAAGCTTGCGTGTGTGTGTGTGTTTTCTTCGCGCGCGCGATTCGAACACAATATCTCTTCTCGTTAAGTTAAGTTATGACGATGTTGTGTTATGTTTCTGTTGTGGTGGGTTGTGTTTTGTGGTTCGTGTCTTGACCAAATGTTTGTTGGTTTGCTCGAGATATTTTAATTAGTTATATATTAATGACGGTTGCATGGCGGTGGTTATCTTTGCACATCCACGATCATTAATTTTGGTCATGTTAATGTGTCCCCTCCTCCCATCTGTTTTTTTCGTAATCTCATTTATGCTCCTCTTTATTGTATGTTACTATCATTCTAAGACCTAAGTGAGAGCACACACGTGCCAACTACTATAGTGAAGTACTTGTCCATCATAGTAAGACGATAGTAAACATGTCTTCATATATCTAATCGTTTTATGCTATTTTCTTACCGTGAAAGTTTGTTTATTATGCTTAACTTTGTACACTTATCATGATCATACTTTATATCTTCGAATCAATTGGTTGATACTAGATAGATCATAGAGATTGTATAATTAAAATCCAAAGCTCGAGTCGCGTCATGGTCTCATAATGATTGAGTTATTGTGTCATGTCCAACTTGTCTAATCAGCTTGTGATTTTGACATTTGAGCAGTCAGGGACGATGTACTACTTCAACAGGAAGACGTCGAGAAAGAGTTGGAACTGGCCAAAGGACACTTACCATGATGGCGAAAATGATCAAAACAGCGGAAGTCTCGACTTGGAGCTCAACATCTCATCATCATCATCATCATCATCAAACAAGTACTATAACAACAATATTGTGAGTGATCACCATCACCACATGAAGCTTCACCATCACCAAATTCCAGCTTCTTCACCATCACCATCAGAAGAAGGGAATTTCAGTACTAGTGATGACAAGGACAATAACAACATGGTGGCATTGGCATGTTTGAATTGCCATCTCCTTGTAATACTCTCAAAGTCATCTCCTTGTTGCCCCAATTGCAAATATGTACACTCCCTCCCACCCACAATATTCCACCACAACTACCCACCTCAGCCCAATGGGCACACCAAGGTCCAGTTCCCTCCCAAGCCCATTAGCACCTTGAGCCTGCTCAACTAGATCCATGATCAAGATTATATATATAAGTATTAACTATGTGCATCTTAATATATAGGACTATATATATATATATGAGTATATGTGTGATATTAATTAGTATAGATATGGTATGGTATGCCTCTTTTTGGGTCTTTTCACTTCTATGTAATGAGGGTAACCTCACCCCAAAGCTATGATGTGAAAAGAGTTAATTAAGGAATTAAGCAGCTAGTAATTATGTATCTAAGCAATGAAAAAGTCTTTGCTTTCTTTGTGCTAGCTAGCTATATGCAAAATCTGCTTCGCCCAAAAATTTACTAACATTCGTGTTTGTTGTGTTCATACATAATAGTAAAAACGCCTTTCATACAACTATCACGATTAGATTCTCGATCTGGTTTGAAAATAGCATCGACATACAACGAAAGATATTTATAAGAACATAGGGGCATTCATACCTTAACCATAACCGTAACATAGATAATACATTGTCTTTCACCAACTAATTAATTATACCGAATGATATCCATCAAAAAAAGATCCTCCCTTTTAACTCTTGCTCCCCGCAAAGAAAGGGTAAACAACAGCATTTCTGAAAAACCAAAACCAAAAACTCCCTTCCATCAATATAATATTCCTTAATATTCAAATAAATTACAAGTTTTTGTCACCTTACATCGTTAAATAAGCCACAAATTAAAAATGGCGGCCAAGGGACGTCGAGCAAGGGTCGCCCCGGCGGAGGATCCGAAGCTCCTGTCGGAGATCCGGAACCTGGAGTCGACCCTGTCAGCCTCCATCCACGACAAGATCCCGATCTTCATCCCCCACAGGTTCGTCCCCTCCAAATTCGTCGAAGGGATCGCCCTCCCGATCAACCAGAAGATCGCCTCCAACCTCGAGAAGGGCGCCTCCAGGATGCGGCCGGTCCTGACGATGGGGAACCTCAGGCGGAGCAGCGTCGTCCTGGGTTGCTGCAACCTGGCGCTGGCTCTCGCCGGCGGGCTGATGGCGGGGAGGTTGGTTTTCGAGGGCTGTCGCGGCGGGGTCGTGGTTCCGGTGCTGTTGGTGTCGCTGGCGGCGGTCGCCAAGATGGTTGGGATGGTTTGGGTTGGGCTGGCTCAGGATGCGACGGCGAGGAGTATTGTGGATTCGCCGCCGGAGGAGGATGCCGATCTTCAGGCCTCCGTTGTTCGTCTTCGGAGACGGGTACGTTCGTTCGTCGGGATCCCAGTTGTTCGTCTCGGCGTCGTTTAATCGTGTAGATATCGTTAATTTTTCCCTTTTTGATATTGACCGTCTAGCTCCAGTATCGTCATTTCACTCGTGATAACTTCTTTGGTAGCTAAACGCACTGGATATTTACTCAAACCTAGGCGGGCGAGACATTTTGATATTTACTCAAACCCGGAGCGTTAGAACTTGGCATTTTGATGAACGAGGGCTTTGTATCAGACTTTGCGTCCTAAAATATTATTCCTTTTTAACAGTTTTTTTCATGAATTATGTATGAAAAGATGATTTTTTTCATATGCGGACATTAATCCGCGACTATAATGCTCACATGATATAAGGCGTCTCTGTCTATAAGAACGTATTCGCGTAAGATGCCAGTCATCGGCATATCGCGGTAATTGGACGAGAGAAAAAGGAGGCTAATTGTGGATAGTGTTTTATCTTCAGGTCAGCTACACAACGTGGCTGTGGTGGAGCCGTTTGGCCATTGCAATTACCATATTGCAACTCGGGAGTGCACTTTTCCTTCTCTTCAACGTGATGGAATACATTACCCATCACCAACCAACTAGTCAATGTGGTTTAGGTAATAAAAAAAAAACCCCCTTTTTTTTACCACTCTTAATGCCCAACAAATTTTAACCCTATTTCCTAAATAATTAACCCTCAGTTAATTAAATTCCTTTTGTGAAGGGATAGGGAGCACCACGTGGCAACAGAAGCTACTGATTTCGTTCATCGTCATGGCGTCGTGTGTCCCCATGGCCCAATGCTTTGCGGGCCCGGACGTCCTGAGGTGGAGGGCCTTTTACGAGGCCCAAGATGAGGTGTGGGAGGCCCACTACAAGGAGGTGTTCGATTACGGTATACGAGAGGCCTTGTGCTGTCTGGGCCGTTTCAAATACTTGTGGGTTGGGCTTTCATTCTTGCCGACAAAAGTTCCCAAAACTTTCCAATCTCTCGCAATTTGATCATCTTTGTTGCTACTAATATCAATCTTAGTCCTTCTTCTTTTTTTGGGGGTTTGGTTTTTTTGTAGGACAATGTAT